TCTCGGTAGACTGCGCCCAAGGATCTTTCTTTGTCGATACAATCTTCGAAAAACGATGGTGATAAATAAGGCGAAAGTACGTCATAAATGGATATTAGTTATCTTCAGTTTCTCTAACGTTTTACGCTGTTATCGATACAAACCTCGTGCAACTTTTCCATCATTTGCGGCGGGACTAGTTCATCTTGCCCGCCGGAGAGAAAGAGCACAGGCGCCTTGATATGCCGGATTTTCGACAGCGTTGGAAACTAAACGAAAACTCGTGGATAAAAATACATCAACGAAGCAGATTTGTTTACCAGATTTTTATAACACCAATTAGGTACATAATCAAGAACAGCTACTTGAAAAAGTCGTTTAGCCATATCAGGAATTGATGTAAAAGTATTCTCAACTATCACACAGTACAATGGTGGTGTTACATTTGTCTGAGCTAGATGAGAAGCTGCAAAGAAAAGTGAAGAACTAATAACACTTGAATGATCCACTTTGCTTTTACCAAGATGCAATGCAACAGCACCGCCTAGTGATCTTCCGAACAGGAAGATTTTTTCTTGGTTTAAATCATTTCTTTTTCGAACATAATCATAGACAGCTAAAGCATCTGTGTATAAACCAGATTCGGATGGCATTCCAGTGGATTTGCCGTATCCACGATAATCGAAGAGAAGAATATTGATATTGCATGTTCGGTATAAAAGATGAGCATTTTGTAAGCTAGATTAAAACAAGAAACGTTACTATAAGCAGAGCTTGGAGCAATTTCCGTCATCTCTGTTCTTATCAAGAACTTTCATTACTCAAAAGATTTCCTCATTAACTTCAGCCTTTTATTCCCTGAGACTTCTAAAGAAATGACGTTTTTTTGTGTATTCTGTTATCGAAGAGTACATCTGGCCCGAAAAAAACAGTGTTTGACATAATCGTATCCGTATAAAATCTAACGGCACGAAATAAACAAACATGTAGTGTTAGTCGTCTTTTTATTCGAGTTGCGAGACGTATTTTAGGGTTCATTTCATCATACCGATGTCCAATATTTCCAGCATTGCCGTGAAAAAAGACTAATGTTTCGCGTTCACTTGTTCGACTAGGTTGTTTGATTAAAAATCCATGTAATTTCTCATTGTCAGGTGTTTCAATAGTGATTGTTTCATAGGGCATATGAAACACATCGGGTGTTTGAACAATTGTTCGCGATGTATCGGGTTCATTTGGTTGGAAAAGAAGAGCATCTTGAAAACCATACAATGACGCTAGGAGAAAGATCTTTTTTTATGTTTTATAGATTATTTTGCGAATCGCATACTTATTTGTTGCTGTGCATTTGTGAAAAAGCTGTTTATGGATTGCATGAAATTCATTCAAGAAAATAAGTTTGATAAAAACAAAAGAAGAGAAATCTAGAAAGAAATTATTTCAATACAAGAAAACAGATTTTTTTTGTGTTATCTTGATTTCGCAATTCGAAACAGAAATAAATGTGTACAGATATATATATATAGCCCCGTAAACAAAGAAAAAGAATAGACTGTTCGACGATTCCAAAAAGTATGATCTAAGCACGTTGAGGTCGTTCAGGAATTAATGAAGAGAAAAAGGTCGATACGGCAGTCATTAGAAGGCGTGATGTCGTCACTTGATTGTCAACCACAGGAGCACGTGGAGGCGTAGAAGACTAAAAAAACAAAGTCACATTGATATGCGGGTATTGAATTAGAATGTGAATATCTTCATTCTGTGTTGGGTTTTTAGTGACTGATTATAGGATCTATCTGAATTATATATATATTTTGAAAAGTAATTCAACATACACGTTGACGTTGAATATCGTTCTGGTTTTGTGCTTCATTTGTTGCGGGTTCATGTTCATTATCATCCTCTCCATCATTTTCAGCAGCTTGTTCTGGAGCAGCAGGAGTAGCAGGAGCAGCAGCTGGTGCTGGTTGTACTTGAGCACGTCGACGTCTTTGAATGGATAAATAGCCACGGCAGTGTCTATTGACAAGTAAAAGAACAACAGAGATACTATTTTTATCGAAAAACTCAGCTGTCAACACTTACAAGTAAAGAACAGTAAAGAAAACGAAGACAAGAAGAAAACGACTGAATGTTGAGTAGAAATAGATAATTGAACACAGAACGAATAATTCCACTAGCATATTTAATACACCTAGTAAGTCGTTTTCTTGTTCAACTTCGTTATTATTCCCAGCAGCCGGTTGTGCCGGTGCCGCAGCAGCAGCAGGTGGTGGTGGTGGTGCTGCTGCTGCTGTATTACTAGTAAGATTCACTCCTATATTCGGTGATGATTGATTCAATATTGTCATTCCTGGTGTGACTGTTCTTTGATAATCAAGTAAATTTTGACTAATCGAAAAAGAAATGTATATATTTGGAAATCATCGACTGGTATACTTACTGCATTTGGTAATGCGTATAACAGTATTGCAAATAGGCTTGTGTTTCATAATTTGATGTAGGCGTGTAGCCGCCAGGGTTGCTTACAAATCTAGGCGTAACGGTTTGTTTGTTTATTAATAGAGAAAATGAAGTAGACATACTGATGCAATTGCTGTTGATATTTGTTTAACTCTTGTAAATATTGCTCGTATGTAGAGGATGGTGACGGAGGAGCTGCTTTTTCAGACGGTTTTGGTTGTTCGCGAACAGAAGATGATGATTGACGAACTTTTGGTGTCTAAAGCAAAGCAAACATTCATCTGTAGATGACGTACGCGCTGATGAACTCACTGTTGCATTTTTGTCTGAGTCAAGTACGAGATGAACCATAAACGACGATCCTGTTGTTGCCTAAAAAACACAACGAACTAGATAAAAACATTCGCGACCAAGAAAACAAGAATTGTCACAAGAGTTGAAGTTCTGCGAACATAGTACTTGAAATATCTATCAAAGCACTCAATATATAAATATTTGCCAATAACTTGTACTTAAGTCAACTATGTTATTAATATGAATTGGATTGTGGTTAGTTTGTCAAGAATTACTAGAGGAATGTGAAACGATCTTTACTTTGAGAAAAATTTGACTGAGCAAACTGGCATCGTCGAGAAGTTTACCAGAAAATATCAATCGTTGGTCTTTAGGTATCTAGAAATAAACCGAGCAAATGTTAAATTGATTGAATGAATGCGTATCAATGGTTCTTACTGGTTTTGTTGGATGATTTAATGCTATTTTCTGCTTAAGATCATAAACAGTTAACAATAATGGAAGTTCAAGATTGAAATCAGCATATTTATTATTTGCTGTACGAATAATCAATGTAATCGTATCGCTGCTCGTCGCCATATGAACGCAAGAAATCTATGTGATGAAAGTGTATTTTCCCTTTCGATTTTGTAAAACTTGGAAATCAAGAAAGAATAAACATTACGCATATATACATATACATTCATTCACAGGTGTTTGATTTTCTATTGATAAGTTTTTTGACCAATCAGAATTAGAGGAAGCACGTTTTCTAGAGGTCACATTTATATACTTGGCACGGCAGATAAATGAGTCATGTCATTATTTAAACTTTATAATTAGAAAAAAAAGAACGTTCTTTTTCGTTTATTTCATTTTAATATTTTAAGAGACACAAATCTAGTGATTCCATCTAAGTCATTTTCATCTTGTATTGGTACTCTAGTTACATCAATTTTTCTTTTTCTTTCTGTCTTTTTTTTTTATGATGATAAAAAACAGCAGCAAAAGAACGTCGTGACATTGGCAAGAACAAGATCTCCATGTCAGAGAGTGGCTTATTTTTCTTGTAGAAAGGCAATATTAATAAATGGATAAAATATAGATTTGTAATATAATGTTCTATTTAGATGAATCGCATGAGAAAAATTGTCAGTAAAAAAAAGCGAAGGTATCAACAAGATGGATTCGATTTAGATTTATCATGTAAATATATTTCTATCGAAAACTCCGTATGATTCATTGTTAATCTGTATCGTTTTATTAGATATTCGACCAAATGTAATCGCTATGGGATATCCAGCTGATAATTACGAAGGAGTTTATCGAAATACAATTGGTGACGTTAGTCGGTGAGCAGTTTTTTTGCTTGTATTCAAATTGATTTTCTTATATTTGTTTGTTCAACAGATTTTTATCGTCTAAACACGGAGATAAATTTTATGTATATAACTTGTAAGATTTTTCGTTGTAATCAGAAAAGAAAATTTGATTTCTGTTCTTCTTTTGCTTAAACAGATGTGTAGAAAGTGAACGACATTATGATGGTTCCCGTTTTAACAATAACGTGTCAACCGAATTCAGTTTCGAAGACCATAATCCCCCTACAATCAAAATGATTTTAGCATTTTGTCAACATGCTGAAACACAACTCAAATCAATGACAGACCGAATACTTGTTATTCATTGTAAAGCTGGAAAAGTATGTTTAATACAAGTGCAATCGACAGAATTCACAAATGATTTTCTTCTAGGGAAGAACAGGTGTGATGTCTTGTTGTTTTTTACTCTACTATTATCGTGATGAATACAATGATCCATTGCAAACTTTACAATTTTATGCTCAACAAAGAACATCGAACGAGAAAGGTGTGACTATTCCTAGTCAACGTCGTTATGTAGAATATTTTGGACATTTAATGAATAGTCAAGTTCTCTACTCACCTAGACAAATTGTCTTTACTGGTCTATTGATAACTTACAATCAAAATCATCTTCGAAATTGTAGTAAGCTCATCGTCTCTTCTTATATTGCATTCATTCATTCATTTATTTGTGCAATTTCAGGTCTCTATTACACAGTTAGCTATTCAAATCATCGACGACAGTACAAATCTTTCGAAATTCCATTGGAATATGACATAACAACTACTAGGGATTCCATAGCAAGTTATTCCGTGCTAACTGCAGGACATAAACATTTCATGCCTCCCGCTCATCAACAATGTCGTATTCCTTTGGAGGAAGATGTTTTAATTGAAATCTTCGTAATTAAAACTAGGCGAGGAAAATCTGTAAGTTAATTTAGTCAAAGAGATATGTTTATCCATTTATTTATCTATCTGTGTTCTTCTTCTAGGAAAAACTATGCCATTTCTGGTTTAATACGTTTTTTCTCGTCGATCCTCAAATGCAAAATGTTCTTAGTGTCTACACAGAAAAGCATTCAGAGAGCAATCTAGGCGTACTTAGTGCTTGTCTCATACCAGAATACGGACATAAACATTTGTATACTCTAATCAAAAAAGATATTGATGGATTACATAAAGATAAGCTACATCGATTGACGCCATCGTCATTTACGGTAAGTTTTTATATTCATTTTATCAAACTATTAGTAATTAGATATGTTGCCGTCCATTGACAAGTCTATTCTGATGATCTAGTTCGCTTTAGTATTTCATGCAATAGTAGCTAACTTTCTATTCCTTCGTTATAGATCTTTCCGATCCGTTAAGTCTAAAAAAACGAATATTAGAGTACTTGTCTGTATTCTTAGCCGATTTTCAATCTATAAAATAATTATTTTCTAGGTATCTGTACTGTTTGATTACGATCTTACTCTTCCTGCTAACCTTTCTCAACCCGATCAATCGTCGGTACTGATAGAAAACAAATCCAGCACGAATCTGAAACTGATCGAATCCGATGATCAATCGTCGATTCTTATTGGTCCATCCGACAAGTTGATAGATAGAAATGACATCGAACAAACGAATCATTTCAATGAAACAAAGGATAATCTAACAATCCCGAACGATAGCAACACTTTTCGTGAACCGAAACGTCGTAGTCTTCGACCAGTCTCTTATCCAACACGTACATTTTCTCTATATCCCAACGGAGTGTCCGATTGGGATAGTACAGATTCCGAAACAGGTATTAATGAAACAAATGGTAATCATGGTGAACAAGAAACTCGTCAAACACGTTTTTAATTCTACACTGTGTGTGAGAGTGCGCGTGTGTGTGTATCTATATTTTTTTCCTTCTCTTCGTGTACTTTTTCTTCTCATTCAAATTGTACTGCACATATTATTTAAAAAGAAAATAATTTAGAACTTTTTATTTCGAATCTCATTGTATGAGTTTATTTTTCATTGTTCGAAATTTTTATTATAAAAAATGCGAAAGATAACAGAACGAATGTGTAACAAACAATTGAAAAAGATTCTATTCCGCACTAAAAGGTTTACGAGTCCAATCGACCTGCTGACAAACATAAAGAACGGATGCACTGTAGAATTTAGTGTGAGAAATGGGACTTACACATTGCTATCATCTAAGAGTGACAATTACCAAATATTTATAGATCTCTTGTGCGTGACATAGTAATTTATGTAGTTCACGAAGAAAAATATTACCTTTATTTAGTAAACTAATAGTTTTCGTATTTTGTATCCAGTATATTACCTCTTGTTTGCTTGCAAAAACATATGTTACTATTTGTGACACATAAAGGTGACACGTGAAGGTGTAAGTGCAATCTTTTGTTTTCTGTATAAAGATAATTGCTTATCTCTCATACTGGTCTCCATTTACCATAAGACGACTATGGTGAGATGTTTTCTATTGGATATTCGACCGAATAAAATTGTGACATAATGAGTATAAGTAAAGATCTTATTGTTAATCAACCTTCAAAACAATGATGAAGTTTTTGACAATTCTCGTCTGTTTTCTGTTATCATCTGCACATAGCGAGGTAAGATTCTAGATTTCATTGTCGAGGTTCTATGAAGTAAGCCGTTCTTTGAATTGAAAGGAAGGCCATTGTGTTTGGTATGGTCAATGTGGAGTTAATCCATTGGGCAAAGTTACGAATTGCTACTATAATGGTACGGCAAAACAATTGACGGACCAAGTGGCATTAGAACAGTTGCGATCTGCCTGTGGAATGATATATAATGGTAGGGATCGGAAACTTTCGAACGTCTGAACATTTCATGCCCCGTCAATTTAAGGTCCAAATGATACATTCACTTGTTGCGGTCCTGATCAAATCGAAACATTATCAAGCCAATTCGGCTTGGCAAAAATGATGCTTGGACGTTGTCCATCGTGTTTCTACAGTTTTCGTTCGCTATTCTGCAGCATGTCATGCAGTTCAGACCATAGTCGTTTCATTCAAGTCACTCAAATGGGCAATAGCTCACTCTATCCTGGCCGTCAGACTGTAGAAGAAATTCACTATAGAATTGCGGATGATTTTGCTGAACGGATACTTTCTTCATGCCGGTAGGTCGATGGTTTTCAATCGAAATAGATTCAAGACTAAGAAAAGTTTCTTTTCATCTAATTAGTGATGTATTATATCCAGGTGGTAATCAACATTCACTTGATACGATGTGTGGTCGACCTTATGATAAATGTACTAAAGAAGACCTAATGAGATATTTAGGTATTGATAATCCAGCAGTCCCATTTCCAATCTATATTGAATTTTATAATGATACCAGCGAGCAAGAGACATACTACAATCAAACTACATTCTCATGCGATGAACCGGTCATTACACGATATGAAAATAAAACTGCCTGTAGCTGTTTGGTAAGTTGAATAGTTTTTGAATGGAAGTGTAGGAGATGCGAAGAGTACCTTGTAGGATTGTGCAAAATCATGTAGTCCACTACCGCCTATTGTTCCAGATAAGGAATTCTTAATTGGTAATCTCGATGGGTGGTTGGTGATTGCTTTAATTGTTATCGCTGTTATATTATTGATCTTCTTCACTTCGACATTCACTGTAGCGAAATTGAAGAAACAACGTCAGGATCCCTATCGATCAACAGGTAGGGATGAGATTTCGATGTTAATGCGTGATTGATATCGTTTTCTATTTGTATAGATGTGACTCCACTAGTTTCAGGATCAACGCAAAACGAATCTACTGGACGTTTGTGCAACATCCAAAAGCGAACTGAACTATTCCTTGAGCAAATATTCTATCGGTGGGTTATTTGTCGAATTTTCATTTGTTTGTTTTTGATGAAATTCTCTTTCCAGACTAGGTCTCTTCTGTGCTCGGCGCCCTTACTTTGTTTTAATCGTTGGTTTAGTTATCATCACTGGTCTGTCCTGCGGATTAATTAAATTCAAAGTCACTACCGATCCTGTACAACTATGGTCAGCTAAATCAAGCATCGCGCGACAACAAAAGGATTTTTTCGATCAACACTTCAGGTATGCCCTCTAATATAAGTTTATTCTCATCATCCATAATGTTTTCCTTAGACCATTCTATCGAACTGCTCAGCTAATTATTGTTCCACACGATCAATCATTCGTCACCCATACATATCTATCACCTCCGGCGCCATTCAATGAATATACATTTGGTCCTGCTTTTGAATTGCAATTCCTGTCTGATGTACTAAATCTTCAAACGGAAATTCTCGCACTCACGACAGGATCAAACACGACCAACCAAACAATTTCACTGTCCGACATTTGTTTGAAACCATTGGCACCGGATAATGAAAACTGTACTGTCTTCTCACTTTTACAATACTATCAGAATTCGAAGGAAAACTTGTACAAACGGATAGGTGATGACTTCTTTACCTATTTCGATTATACCACACACTTCTTGACTTGTTCACAAGCACCTACGACTACACGAGATGACCCGCTAGGTTTGTCGTGTTTCGCTGATTTCGGTGGAACAATCAATCCATTCATGGTGCTTGGAAATTATTCAAATGAAGTTTATGCAAACGCTACAGCACTTGTCATCACAATCGTGATTGAAAACTCCAATGATCCTGAAAAAATTCAGATGGGTATGTCAACGATTATCTTCTTTCTTGATTGAATTATTCACTTCTTTTCCGTAGCTGAAGACTGGGAAGCGGTTTTCCTTGATTATATGAAAAACTTTACCGAAACTCAAAAGTCATTACGTGAATCTGGTCGCTCACGCGAAGCTGCTAACTTTACTGTTTATTACAGTGCTGAACGTTCAATTCAAGATGAACTGGATCGTCAGAGCCGCTCGGATATTCTAACCATAGCGATTTCGTACACCATTATGTTTCTCTATGTGACATTGACTCTAGGTCATATTCGTTCATGGCGAACATGTCTAATCGATTTGAAAATCACAGTTGGATTTGTCGGTGTTCTTTTTGTTCTACTCTCAGTGATGAGCTCAGTTGGATTTTACTCCTACTGTGGTGTAGCTGGTACGTTGATCATCTTCGAAGTCATACCATTCCTGGTATTAGCTGTCGGTGTTGACAATATATTCATTATTGTCCAACATTTTGAAAAAACGAAAGAAGAAGAAGCTGAAGGAAAATCGTCGCCGGTAGACATAAGACTGGCGAAGACGATTAGTCGTGTTGGCCCATCGATACTGTTAACAGCAACAAGTGAATCGATCGCTTTCTTACTCGGAGCATTGACACCGATGCCAGCAGTACAGATCTTTTCGTTGTATGCATTCATGGCCGTGTTCATTGACTTCTTCTTGCAAATAACCTGTTTTGTATCTGTGTTAGCAATCGATGGTCGACGACAAGATTCAGATCGTCCAGATCTATGCTGCTGTGTTCAAGTGAATATGAAAGAAAAATCGACTGAAAACAAACCGAAACGACTTTTACAACAAATATTTACGAAAATAGTCACTCCAGTCATACTTGGCCATTCGATTGTACGTGCTATTATCTTTACAGTATTCATCATCACAACTTGTTTATCGGCTGCGGTTATACATAGAATCCCGATTGGCCTGGATCAAAAATTATCGATGCCGAAAGATTCGTATGTTCTCGATTATTTTTACGGTCTCGAAAACTATTTAAGCGTTGGTCCACCTGTTTACTTTGTCGTCAATCAAGATGCTCTTGATTATAAACGTATTTCTGATCAAGATCTACTCTGTGGTACATCCGGTTGTTCGCCTATCTCATTGCTCGGCCAAATCGGGCAATCACTACGACAACCCGAACGGTATTACCTCGCTCAACCGCCATCATCATGGCTAGATGACTACTTCGACTGGTTGCAATCTACAAATAATCCGCCATGCTGTCGAATTCATAATCAAACAAAGGAGTTCTGTCCGGCAACATTGGATGATCCTTCGTGTACACATTGTCCAGTCACATTTATCGATAATCAACGTCCATCGCCTGATGATTTTCCTCGTTACATTAACTTTTTCCTACATGATAATCCGGGAGAAAAGTGTCCTAAAGGTGGCCATGCAGCATATAAAGATGCAGTGCAGTTGATAGCAAATTCGACAGTGAAAAGTTCATATTTCATGGGCTTTCATTCCGTACTGAAAACATCAGCGGATTTTATAAATGCAATGAAAAGCGCAAATGAAATCGCTAAGAATATTTCGAAAACGATCTTGAGTAATCAAAGTAAAACATTCACAGAATCCAATCAACTTCAAGACTATCCCGTTTTCCCTTATAGGTAAATCTCGAGAAACTTCCTTTCTTCAACTATTGTGACTCTAACCTCTGTATTTTAGTATCTTCTACGTATTTTACGATCAATATTTAACCATTTGGCGTAATCTAATTATCAATCTCTCATCCTCTTTTGTCGCCGTTTTTCTTGTCACATGCATACTATTGGGTTTCGACATTCACACCTCGTTTCTTATTATTCTCTGCGTATTCATGATCGTTATCGATATGTTTGGCGTCATGTATTTATGGCACATTGAATTGAATGCTATTTCCGTTGTCAACATTGTCATGGTATAATACGTTTCCTTCCTGTTCACGATAAATAATCTCTTTCTATTTTCAGTCGGTCGGTATCGCAGTGGAATTTTGTGCACATGTAGCTCGGTATTTTGCCGTTACACGAGGTCGCAATCGGTTAGACCGTGCGAAAGTCGCACTAGCAGAAATGGGTAGTTCGGTAAGTTTCAAAACTTAACTTTTCTTGACATCTATGAATAATTGATTCTTAGGTATTCAGCGGCATAACATTGACAAAAGTCGGTGGCGTTGTCGTGCTTGCTTTTGCTAAGTCACAACTCTTTCAAGTATTCTACTTTCGCATGTATTTCTCTTTGGTAATTATTGGCGCACTGCATGGCCTCATTTTCCTACCAGTTTTGCTGAGTTATTGTGGTGAGTGTCTTGTCGTAATACGTTTGTTTTTCACTGACATGTTGTTTATAGGCTCGTCATTGTCAGCGCGGGCTGATGAGAAAAGGCAGGAGCACCACCGGGACACAATTGCTGATATTGTCACGCCCGGAAATCTGGTTGATGGAAATGAAAATTCTTTTCAAGTGAATTCAAGAGAAAAATATTATCAATGATTGTCTAATTTCCTGTTTTCAGTCGATTCTCGAATGTCAGATAGATTTTCTTCCTGTTTTCTGTTATGTTCAGACAATACATGAAATAAAACACTTGAAAAAACTGCTAGAAGATTTTATCTTACCGCTTGGTTTGTTTTTGTCTTAAGAATGCTGACTTTAAGGTGAGAAAACATGCATGTTTTAACATTTCTTCATTGTGAATGTCATGCGCACCCGAACAGCCAAAGAACGATTAAATAAATAGACGGCAAACAGTGAATAGATTATTACCTTTCTTTTTCTTCTTTCGTAATGGGCAGACTCAACGGTAATTAATTTTATGTGAATGAAGTAGGTAGGACTGATATATATCATCTTATGAATTATTAAATTTGAATATTCTCATATTGACGCTTGAGAAATTCTTCATTTGTTTGAGATGTCATTTCAAGAATCCTACTCTCACTTTCCTTCGCGTCTCTGAACATCTAATATCCAATTTCACCATAATCTATCTGAGAAAGTCATTTCCGACGAAAGCTCTAGTTGTTTTTGAAAGATATGCGTCGTTGATAGTGAGCTGCTCTCTTTCACCATCGCTTTTTATTTATTTCAATGAAATTCACTGACATATGGTGTCCGTGTTCGTTTTGTTTTAAATCAACATAGTACTTATCTAGCGCCGTGTATACATATATCTATAAAAACAATCAATATTGAATATTGTTAATCTTTTTCGGTAAGCAACAACGTCTGCGATTGTGTTCCTAAACCTTTTTTTTTATTATGACAGATTTGAGTGATATAACGCGAGGCAGAAGACATTGAAGAGATGTGGCGTAGGCATTGTAGGCGATGAGTGACATCTATCGAAGACGTGGGAGTAATTTTCTTTTGAAACAATTTTGTTGTTTTTTTTCTCGAATGAAGAAATGAAAATGAATCCATGTTTACTTGCAAACGAACCTTTTAGCCGTACGACTGCTAATGCATTTCTATCCAATCGTGAGTAGTATTTTTCACTAAGTCATATGGGGAAGAAGTCAATCTAGCTTGAGTTGTCTGATATAGAACAAAGTTCGTTGAAAAGGAACAAAACAAGGCGATTGTTAGTACTTCTGTTGCTTTAGAAGTCGTTCTATTATTGATGACAAGCCAGTGTGATCAGAGTACTGGTTTTTGTTCTTTATTGCGAATAGTAGATGTTCCTAGTGAGTATCTGTGAATATGATAGCATCATTTACGCCCTCAAACTTCGCAAGTTTTGTGTAATTATTATTTCGTTCATGACTCTGTAGTTATTTTACATACGATAGTTTCCATTTATATTTACCTAGATTAAATCAACAGAAAGGCTTGTTTGTCGTTTTCCTTTTCTCTCTCTTTCGCTATCGATATTTTTTCTCTTTCATATTTGATGTATGTGGAAAGAAAGAGATCGCTTCTAGTAGGTTTTTAATTATTATTTTATCACACAGACGGAACAATTAGGAAAAAGGTATGAAGAAATTTTTTTCTATGCATTTGGTAGCTGGGTGCAAGTGAAAAACAACGATATTCGTTTTGCATGTATTTTTAGCTATTATGTTTGCAGCGTAGAAGCGGAGAAAAAGAAAAGAAGGTGATAGAAATGACGTCGGACGCTTTGAAAAAAAACAGAACGAAATATGGTGAATAAATAAGTAAAATAAAGCGTCGTTGTGATGTAAAGGAGAGAGTGTATGAAAAGCGTACTCAGACAGGAGAGAGAGAGAGAAAACGAAAGAGAGAACGTGAAATACATGACATTTACTGATTATGTTACAAAGTCATTCTTTTTATCAATGATGTACGATTTGTTTTCTGCGTTTGTGTTTTTCTCGACAATTACCACACCGTCTTATGAGTCTGTTGAGTAAACATAATGTCATTTTTGATTTTTCAAACGGTGAGTAGACTGGAGAAAGTCGATATTGCAGCAAAATAATCCAGTAAAAGAAATTGAAGTAGCATGTAATGATATTCGCTCAGTTTATCTTACTTAAAGTGTAGGCGTGAATATTACGAAATGAGTACTTATCTGACACGAGATTGTTATTTATTTATAAATGCATGATATATCTTCTCGAATTTTCTTTTGTTCAATAACTGCTAGAAATCTGTTTATCAGGCTTTGTTCCCGTACGCTTACTTTTTCTGTCTGTCTTATATTCTCATGTTCTAGATGGTACGGTTGTTGAAAGAAAATTCTATCTTTTAAAGTACATCATCAACAGCGAAATTCGTCCAAAAATCGAGAGGTATTTGTCCACGTGGTGTCAATCATATTCAACAAAAGAAGCTCTCTCTCTCGATGGCAATGTATACATCATCCGACAGATATTCTGAACAATTTACTCTAGTGCAGCAGCAATTTCAAGAATGGTCACCATTTGATCAGCTGTGTGCTGTTATCGAATTAACACGCACATTTCAACTCTCCTACCGTCATTTTCTTTCACAATTATGTCAATCTCAAATCTTGAGTGAAAACAATGATATATTCAAACACATCGTCGATGATGCCAATGCACCAGGTAACGAAGAAAACCCTCAAGGCCATAAACTTGACGAAATATCCGTGTTCTTTTTTTTTAGACATCGTTAATTGTTTATTATCGAACTCATTAGATAAAATCATATTTACACTGCAACTCTATTTACCTTTAATATCAACAACAATCATCAACGAGAAATTACTCGATGCCTATCGTAAAGTTCTCATGGCATTGGATTCGAATCTGAGCAATCCAGCAAATTTCACCCATAATGAACAACAAGTGATCCTGTTTTGCCAACAAATTCTGTTTTTCCTTCAAAACAATCCTGTTTTAACACGTCTGACGATTCATCTGCCAAAATTGACACAACTTGTTCAAACAAAACAATTTCAACCTGATGCACAAAAGTCATCTCAATTACCGTTACAACGTTTCTCTGCTGTCCGATCACAACCTTCGTCGGCACGAACGAACATGTCAGGAGAAATTCATGAAAGTATCAGTCAACAAATGAATCGTCTTGAAGGGAATGATAGTGGGGTTGATTTGACCGAATCTTCAGTACCACATACGCGTCAAAGTTTCCTATCTGCGCGTTCAGTCCTGGATCGAACAACAAATAAACACACGTTCGTCGGTAAAACAACATCGTCACCTATACCAGAACATGGAAGTTTGAACACGCCAGCCCGTGTACCATTGAAAGGTGTTCTGAGTGCACCATCGACAACGTTTTACTCCGATGTTCGACAAAAGAATTCAAATTATCAACAACTAAAACACAGATCGACGTTAGCCAAAAGTGACGAAGACGAACAAGAATCTCAAACACAAACAACTGAAGCAACAACCGAAGAGAATTCGAATCATGTGGACAGCTCGAGACCATTGGGCCAATTCTGTTCATTACGTTATCGAAATGGCAAGAGCAACCAACAATGCCAAGATGTTTCACAGTACTTAGGTGTCGATGCGCATGCCACTTCAGTACGCAATACGTTTCTTCAGTCAAATTCTGGCATGAAAGGTAAATTGATTATTGTTTGATTCATTGCTTTCTTATTGATTTATGTAGACGTTCCTAAATGGTTGAAAAACCTTCGTCTTCATAAATACGATGTTGTCTTTTCTCAAATTACCTACGACCAAATGATGAATCTAACCATGGAACAATTAAAAGAGCTTGGCATAACAGATGGTGCATGTTCGAAAATCATACTGAATATTAAAAAATTAAAAGAACGCTCCATCGCATTGAAACAGTGCAGTGTTGACCTTGATAATCGACAAATTGAGTTATCAAATGCAATCTTACAATTGGCAGAAGTTCTGTCAACGCCCATACGTTCAAAACAACTGGAGTTAGACAACAACAGCAACGAAGACATACCGACATTAATCATGGAAATTCTCGAGAAATGTAACCATTCACCATCTGTTGACTTACCATTTCATGTTTTTTTTTCTTTCAGGTAATCAACAATTAACACCAACTACGTCATCAGATATCTGCAATAGTCTACTTGGCCTATTCGATCGATGTTATCGACATGAAGCATTCGTTGATGCTCAACGCTATGTTCTTTTACAATGGCGTGGACGCCTTTCATCCATGCTTCAATCTATTGGCAAAATCGAATTTAAAAAAATTCAAGCCGTGTATAGTCATAACCAACAGCGTCGTGAGGGGAAACCGCCCATTCGTCCGATGAAAAGTGCTACAGGACCGTATCAGCAAACTCATGGATCAACTTCAATTCCGTTAAATAAACACAGTTCTGAACCTCAAAGCAATAGTTTAATGGATACGAATTTCACCCGTCGGCCAAACAAATCGCCGACGCAGATGTATCCAACAGTCGAAGAATCAATTGATAGTGTACATCTTCAAACCTCATTCACTTGTTTAACATCCACACTGCAACGTAACAGTGGAGCGTATTTAGCTAACAATCAACATCAGACGCTAACTCGCAAAGCGAGTATTGATCCACATGGTGAAACAAATTCAAACAACCGAACGAAATTATGTAAGACATTCAGTGATCCAAATCGTATACGATTTAATAATCCATCACAATTGTCGCACTTTCAATCATCAACAGGACGACCTCAACAGCAAAGTCCGCCTACAAGTTTGTTTCAAATGACTTCAACTCCATATTCTCAACAACAGCGGCAGTTCGTCTCTCGATCACCACCTTCCTCATCGACTGATACATCAACATCACCTATCAAGGAATGTTGTCCGGATGATGAACACACAGATTATTTTGGTAAGTTGATGAATAAGTAATAATCAATATGATTACTTTATATATGTTCTTTTTCTTCGTTATTTCAGGACATCGTGACAATATGATCTCGATGTCGAATATCAGTGAAGCAAATGATCTAGAAAATACAGATGAACAGCGACAAAAGCATACGGAAATGGAATCATTTTGTCGTGAAATAACTGAATGTGCTATTGATGAAAATGGTAAGTAAATTTAGTTTTCTTTTCTCTGAAATTGACAGTATTGTTTTTCGTTTGAATAGTTTGTGACTCGTCAATTGATCATCCCGAAGCTGTTTCAAATCTGAAACCGGCTTCAAATCATTCAACAGATACGGAACAGTGATGAATTGACTTCTTTCAAGCAAAACATATTTTATTTTCTGAAATGTATATTTTTTCAACTGCACTTCTCTTTCTCAGAGTGTCTGGTACATTCAAAAGAAGCTTTTTTTCTCTTTGTTTCCTTCCCTCTAGCTTTTGTTATTAACAATCGTTGTTGTCTTGTCCGGTGACAAAAAAAGGCCACGTTTTCACGAAGCAATCGACAATAACGACTATTTCAGCCGGTGATTTACCCTCCCTGCCTTTCCTTTCTCACGTTTGCTGCTGCGCTGCTGTAATCTGGGGATATAGATGCTTATATACCACACAATGTTTATGATTATGGTCAATTTTCATTCTTTATCTCTTTGTCTTTTGGTTTCTTTTTTTTTGTATTAGCACCTTTCGGCAGTGCCGAATACTTAGAAAAAAAAGGCAAACAAACATTTCTTGTTATAGAGTTCACTTCTAGGTGTACACGCGGGAGGTGTCGTTGTTTTTGTTTGTTGTTGCTTCTTTTAAATGTACATTTATGCTCATCTATTTCTGTGTTCTATCATTTATCGATTAAACATTTTAAATTTCATTCGTCACCGGTGTCTCACGTGCTTGGAGGAAGAAAAAAACCACTTCAATAAGATTGTACTTTCGAGGGTTACGATTCGTTTCTATTTGCACAAGAAAATCACACGTTTTTTATTGATCGTCGAATAATATCATGCTTTTTAATCTTCGAAAAGCAAGGTAAAGTCATGCACGTCTGTTATTACGTTGTCTTCGCATCAACAAGTAGATTTGTATGATTTTGTTGAAAAAGATTGCTTGATTTCATCGATCATTTGGAAAATTTCACGGTGTTTTCATGACATACGCTTGTTTACTTAACTTACACTTACACAAGGGATAGTGTGATTACTTTTCACATTGGAAAACGCCTTCTTCGTTTGGGAGAAACATTGAATATCATAAAGCAACCGACTTTACCTTTCTTCGAGCATGACATCGCTCGCTGTTAGAACAATGAATTCTACTCATGTTTGTCAATCAATGTTTACGATCGTTGATTTCAGTATAGTAGAATCATGACATGATTGAATACAAATTTGTTCCTGTGTTTACCACATAAGAATTATTTGTCAGTCAACAAGATTTTCTAGTTTTTTTACTTTAGATAGACAAATATACAAAAAAAAGAAAGAGAAAATAAAAACTGATAGATTGACAAAAAAAAGAAAGAAAGAAAGAAGAATGTTGTTACGCCGACGCACACTCGAATGATTGAACAGATTGAGGACCAGAACCCGACTGTTTTGATGATGGTGCTTTAGAAACGACCACAATTTCCTTTTCCGAAAGTACCTGTACAAAAAATGCACCTTCTTTTTTACGAAATTTTTTATGAGCTGCATCGTAGGATAAACGAATACCCAGAGATAGACTTAACAAGCAAACTAAACATTCTATGGATGATATGAGTATGGCAACAAGTACAAGTATATCTTTCCGCTCTTTCAAATAAGCTTCGCCGTCGGTAGTAATATTAACAAGTCCTAAACGTAACAGTTGAATATTAACAAAATCCACAATCAGTGTGACGATGCTTAATGCTACATAGCATAATATCTAAATCGAAAGAAGACGGGGAGTGGAAGTGAATGCAAGTCGGCAACATTGTTTACCACATAGAGACCTTTTTGACGTGCGCATATTATTCCAATTCCACCACAGGAAGCGAACTGAAGAGAAGAAACAAATATTGATTTGAAGGAACATTGAGAAATTGAATCAACTTACGAAAATACCGGCCCATATCGGTGAGACACTATGTGCAATCCAAACAGTCGATCGACTTTGTGAAATGATGCCAATAATGATACTGGTGAAGGCAAGTAGGAGATGTAATGACGATATAGCATAGGTCAGTGTAATGAAAATGTACATGAGCTAAGCAGCATTAGTATCATCATCATCATCGGTTGAACATTTACCGACACGAGAAAAAAATGAAGAAAAGAAATCGGTAATACGAGGAATGAGAATAAGCGTACGTCACATCTCATAAAAGATTAGAAACGTTCGCATTTATTTTCTCTCTCTCTCTCTCTATCGACAATAGAGAACAAGGTTTTTCAACGTCCGGAATAGGAAAAAGAAAAGAGACACAGAAGAGAAAGAGAAGAACATGAACGATTTTTCTCGTTTGTTGTTTTCCCGACATCTTACGGGGGTGTGCAAGCCATAGTGAACGAAATGCAAGCATTGATAGAATCTCTGTTCATAATAGCAAACCAAAGAACATACAATGTTACCCCTGAGAACAAGCCACAGCATCCCGATCAAGGACAACAACAATAACAAAGCCTTATTTTTCCTCTCTCTCTTCCTTTCTAATTGAACCCGGCGCCGCTTATTCGGCATTGATGACAACGACAATTGGCAGCTACTTCGACTGATTGGCACGCATTTAAGAAAACAGAGGAGAGCCACGAGACAGAGACGGAGTACAGAGAGACAAAAGGAAAAAATGCGAGAAATACAACTCAACAAACATAACCAGATAGTATCACTTCTTTCAATCATAATCATTTTGACTATTCATCAGTAGAATTAATATAGCAATGATTGAATACTATAGAGAGAAAGAAGATCAGACAGAAAAATGTCGAGTCGGTTTCTTACATTTCAAACTAAAAGCATCGATAGTAATTTGCAACAAATAAGAAAAGACATGATTTCTTGTTTTTATCGTATATTAACTGATTGTGAAATAATGAAAACATGAATGACTATTCGAGTAAATTAAATTAGTCTTTCCTATATTGTCGGCAGGATTCCCGAGCACCTCGAACAGCCTCCTAATAAACAATTACCATAATCGATAGAAAAAGCTTCAGGACATTGTAATAGTCTGCAAATCTCTCCGAGAACAGAAAGCGCATTTACTTTTGATCAGATCATCAGACAAATACAATTAATATTTGATCCCAGAGGTCATTATGTTCCCTCAAATAATTCCATCTCTTTGGATCTCTCGCGGAGGAAGAGCACAGGTACACAGCTTGCAGTAAAAGTTCAACTGGAAATTCGATCGTTTGTGCTCTATTGAAATCACTCGATGGTTTGCTTGGTCGATTCTATAAGTGTAACTGAACACATCTATTGAACTCAATAGCATTTTGGAATAAATGTACTTGAAGATTTCCTTCTTCAGCATAATTCACGGTTCAAGGGACTTTTTTCGTTTATATATTAACAAAAATGATAAATACAAATAAAAATCATGTCATCGATGCGAGTTAGGATACGGTTGAAGAAAACGATTTTGTGTAGGCACAAGTCTCGTGTGACGTTTAGGCACATCTTTCTCTATAGTCAATGGTCGTATTAGACCGGATTCGACATCCGGCTGATAGAAATCTAAGTAATCCCGTGAAAGAATGAGATGGTTCATTTTCGAATCGCGGTTGGTTTCTTCAGTATAATGAGTTTTCAGCGACAGACAATTGTTTCCCATGGTTGACGAATGTCTCATACATTGATTTCGATCATTTCCAACTTGCATATGTGGCAGAGACACGGTTTTGTGTTGATCCATTCTTAGCGGTTGTTCAAAGAGCTCGGTTTTCCTTCGAGCAGTTTGGCGGAGTAGTTTGGCACGTGAAATCTGTTTCTGTTTCGCTTGATTATATTTCGAAAGAAAACACGAAATAAATCCGATGAATATCAAACTACAAATAACTAATAATAGGATGGTTCCAGTAAGAAAACGTGATTTAAATAGAAGAAGCGTATCTAAATCGAGAGAAGATTTTCGTAACGAGCTTTTTTCCAATCAATCATTTTACTCTGATGATTTGTCACCATCTCGTCATAATCTGTTTCACATTGTTCACCGAAATATCGACGGTCGCATCTAATCAAATTTAAGACAGATCTTTCTCTAATCTTCAATCAATCAAAAAAGCTTACGAAAGAGACTTACAAGCATTTCAGCTGACTATCAATTACCAGGCATTGTCCTCGCTCGTGACAGAAATTCAAACTGTCGCATGTCACATTCATCGTTGACCTGTTTATCAGTGTATTTTCATTCAAATCCAAGTAAATACTCGCTGTAGTGTAATTGAGAAGATTTTCTGCATCTAATAGCGTAGATCAACAATCGATACGGATATGAGAAAAAAACGGAGGATACTTACGACAAACATAGAATCCTTCATCGCTATTCATTAATGATTGAAAATATAGGGTCGACTGGTACCTAGATGAGATGCGTCAATAAATGAAAAATCGAAGGTGAAATTGTACTTATTCTGTATGGAATATATCCGACAGGGTGTTTTGCATTGTTTGGCCGTTGGATAATATTCGGATGATTGATTGTTTTTACTCCACAGTAAACGTGGAATGGGATTTCCACGAGCATTACATTGTAGTGAATAATCGTGCAATAAAATTGGTTTATCAAGTCGAGTCTTGATGATTATTTGTGGAGAATAAGTTTCTAGAAGAAAAGAATGCATTCGAACACAGATTACAATAGAAACTAATTGAACATTAACACTAATTCGGTTAGACACAGTCGGGTTCACGAAACGGAAATGCAAGGACAATGCCCTTTCTTTTCTTTCCATGTCAATAAATAGTGTCATGAAGAATCTAACCGACAATCTTTATTTACCGTATTTTAGAACATTTTGAATATTTTCTCGAACGCGTAATGTGGATTCCACAGGTGGATATTGCAGGTGGAATTGTCTCCTGGCTGTATCATTGAGAAACAGGATGATATCGGCGTTTTCCATGCGAAGCAAGTGCCAACAGGAATCGTCAAGCATTTCGTCAAGTTCTTGTTCAATTTGAAGGAAAATGGTATCGTTAATTTTCATTGAATGAAAAATTCGTGTCGGAATTTTCAAGATTTCACGTATGAAAACTTTCCGTAAAATGAAATTTTCTAGAATTTCTTCCGATGAATAAACCGGTTGCACACGTAAAATAATTGAATGACTATAGGTCGCTGATTGTAAATCAATAGCACTTAATAAATCACATTGACTATTGGAATTTATGTGTAATATACAATTGATTAAAAGAATGAAGAGATTATGAACACTCGACATGCAGTAATCAACCACATTGAGGTTAATTACAAATGAAACAAAATCTTCGTATGAATAGGATAGTTGACTGGTATTTCTATGAAACTCAGTTTTCCTTTTTCTCTTCTTCTTCTTCTTCTTCTCCTTCGTCTGTGCATGCAGTCAGAGTTTTTTTTTGAAAATAGAGAGAGAACGAGGGAAAGAGAAGCGAGAGAGAGAGAGAGAAGTTATTGGTTAGAAAGTGGAATAGTATCGAAATCGATTCAAACATTGTTTAGCGGGAATTTCTTATTTTGTTATTCTTTTTCATCAATACCAAAATAGAAGAAATTAGTTCATTCATAATGATGTGATCGTCACCATCAAAGACAGTCAATGAGATACCATCGACATTGTCGTTTCAGGTTGAAGTGGTTTGTTTATCTGCATCGTCTCGACTACGATTTCATGTGCAGAAAAGCGAAGAATTTGCTATTGTGCAATGCTGAAAATGTTGGTAAAAACGAGTATTTCTACATCACTTTTGCAGTAATATGGTTTTGCGTGAGAAGTTTAATTATGTTTTCTATGTAGGAGGACAAACGAGAAAGATGATTAGCAAGAAATTTAATTTAACCATCCCATTTGAAGATTATCACAGTCATGAGACATGTCGCAGACGATATTTCTAATGACTTTGTAAAGATAGGCAGCAAAGAATGAGAACAGGTAGGTTCAAATGCAGGAGTCGATTGATTGAAGGAACTCGTTAAACGTTTTTCAAGGTAACAAAAGAAGTGTTCCGAAAATCGGAAACCCTTGAAGCAGTGTGTATAATAACAAAATCGGAAATAGCTCGTTTTCACCACGATACGTATCATGCTTGGAAAGTTCCGTAAGTTGCCGTCAGCATACATAATGTACATAGTATCTAGGCTTCTTTTTCACCAGTAATCTATTGCTATTCAACTTCAAACAAACAGTTTTTCGTTTATTCATTGTTTTTATATGAAAAAGAAAAGCACCCGAATACGTGTATTTATTTGCTGTCAGAACAAAATACATTGATATGAGAAAGTCCTGATCACTCTTAAGCATATACCAGTTAGAATTTATCCGTTGGCATTGTGCCATATGCAGAACCGTATATTGAATCTAAACGATATTGATATAGAGTTTTTTTTGTTGTTGTTGTTGCATGAAATCGAGTTCACTTACTTGAATTGGGTCGGTGAGTGGAAGTTTCAATCAGCGATCGTACACCTGACTTTGATCCAAACGAGGGACCAAGTGGTGTCCGAGGTGGCACATCACGTCCGCTCGTTAAGGGACTACTTCTGTCAAGATTAGATCGAGGTGATCTACCAGACTGTTTGTATAAATCTGATGAGTAGGTGTCGATTAAAGATTTGACTGCTGATGGAGGATGGCGTGGTGAGGAATCTGTTAGTTTTGCTAATAAGTCACGCTCACTAGCTGATGGTACGATACGTTCACTATGATCACGAGGATGTTTAGGAGATTGACTGGGGGATGCCGGTCGTCGGTTTTTGTCAAGAGATGATTCTTTAAGTTGACTCAAAAGGTCTGATGTCCGATGGGATTCGCGTGCTTCAGATACGGGTGGTTTACCTGTTTCTCGTGGATAACGATCTGACGGTGTTATGCTTCGTGGTGATCGCAGTGGTATGTCTCGCTCTGATGGTGAAGAGCGTTTCGTATGCCGATCATCATGGTGCGTATCAAAGGATGATTTGAATTTCGTTTCATTACTCGAATGGCTTGATAATTGTGATGCTTTTGGTTTTAATGTTACTTCGAGTTGACCATCAGATTTGTCTTTAGCTAACCAGCAATTCGCTTGAAATTCATAGATATCATCATCTCGGCTGTTAACTGTCGTCTTTATTTTGTTGTCACTTGTTAGACGATCGGATAAGAGTAATGATTGTGTGGATTTGTCTAATTTCAAAGGATTTGCTTCTTCAATGGATTTTATTCGCCATTTATTATCACGATAATTATGCGAAGATATCCAAGTCGCTTTATGGTCAAAATGACCTGCTTCGGCTTGTTGTGGTACTGGGCTTTTTTGACGTTTCTGATCAATGATTGCTTGTTTACTCTTCGATCGAAGCAAGTCATTAGAGTGCCGTTCGTCTTGAGAACCAATACTTTCTTCATCCCAGGTGACTTTCTTTGCTAGCGTAGATTTACGTGAAAGACTTCCATCCAGTGAATAATGATCTTTATCTTTCGAGGAAGAGAATTGAATTTTATGACTCCTTTTTAGTTGCTCGCAGGCTTGATTGTATAGAGCTTTACTAATTTGTGTCACACGTTGGATGAAAATGTTGGTAATCGAACGACAAACGGAATGCTTTTTACGAACAATGACCGTGTCAAGAAACCAAGCGGCGCCTGGTTTACTGTTGTCGTGCCAAATTTTGATGGCATTTATATTTCCGACGTCAATATCCATGACCTAGAAAAAGAGCGATATACTTCATCGCAACCGATTTCCGTATGTCATACTGTAAATTCTGATGTGGTATTTCGTTCGAAATCATTTTTGCCGATGTTATCTAAGAGATGAGTTGTACTACGACCACTTTCTCCATAAATAATGATGTACACATTCGCATCAGTACCAGCACCGCGAACATCTCCAGTTTTGATAGCAATATGATAACAGGTCGGTCCTGAATGAAAACATCTAGTAAGTTATTTTGCTCAGAAACACAAACAAAACAACCTCTGGGATGATGATCAACAGAACGATAAGTTTCTCGTTTCGCTGTCAATGTGCTTTTTTTCTTTCCGATCCATTGATTAAATGGAAAATAAACTAAAACTTGTTTAGATTCATTATCTGGCAAGATCTTCCAAATATTCATCTCTTTCAGATCCCAATCCGAAGCCATGTGTGTTCGATCAGATGTAACCCTAAGAAAAAAAAAATCATTTGCAATATCTCCAAATGTCTTATGTTCTATTACGTTAATTCTAGTAAATCACCCAGATCCCATCCAACTATCGCAAATGTATCTAATTGATTTTGTTCAAACAGATTCGATGCATCACTTGTCAATGATAATTGACGTGTTTGGCTATCTGTTCCTTTGATCATCACTTGAATTAATGAATCCGTTCCAGCGAATTGTTTTCCACCAGTACGAACTTGTAAAACGTAAACTAAACCGACAGAAACGAACTATGGGCATCGACTGGATCACCAAAGCATGGTACACATACCGCATAAATTCTTCAAATTTAGCTCGCTAGAGGGTTTTACGTGGCTATGTGGCTCTTGATCGTTTGTTTTAGGTAGCCAACAATTGAATTCACATAGCCATGTTTTCGAAGTATTTAAATTCGTTATTTCAATCTCCTTTAGAAACCATTCCTTACTGGAACGAGCACCCACAAGCTAAAATAGGAATTCGTAAAAGATGAAGCAGACAGATTAGCAAGCAATTACATTAACATTGAGACGACGTAATTCGCCAATGTCCGGTCCTTTTAAACAGAATGTTCGCACTGAACCAGCGGGAAAACCATCGACCGTTTGATTTGTGCCTGCGCGTAGATTAATTGAAGTCCAATCTTGATCGGTTCCATACATATACAAAAAAACCTATTGAGACAACATAGAAGCAAATGGCAGAGCGAGAAAGTTCTTCGAAATACCTGTGCTCGTGTCCCGCTATCTTTGTCTTTCGCAGTTCGAACAATAAATCGATACGGGGTTGAGTTCGTCGTGGATAAACTCGATGCCGGCCGATTGAAGGATGCTGATCGAGCTTTGAGCGCTTTCGGATTATCGTACGGAATTAGTTTCCGTCTCTAGACGAACGAGTAGATCCAATCCGAACGTTTATAAAAACAATTCTCCTACTTGTGATTCAGCTCGAGGTTTGCTTCGTTCATGTTGATGTGCATTGATTGAACATAAGTAACAAAATGTATGTCCATGATTATCAGAGAAATCTAGACAAGAGCTTGCTTTGATATGTACAAATCTTTTCTCTGACGAATACCTGTGTGGTGAATTCCAGTCATATCTGATTCGATGGTTTTGTCAGTAAATAAAATTCCTGTATTCATCCATTGAAGATTATCATTTGCAAACGGAAATCTTGGTTGCGATTGCTTTTCATTCGCTGAATACAATGGTTCAAAACCATGTCGACGTGCAATACTTTCTAATTCACTAGGTGATGTAGAGCCTAAACAAAATTCCTCGAATCGTACATGATTTCTTTCTGTCAATTCTGATCTATCTACTTGATTTGAATGTCTCGATCGGTGCATTGTAATGATCACCAAACGGAAGCGTCCACGGTTCATCTCCACCAATGTATTTGACATCCATGTGTGTGTTGTATATTGAGTAATGTTTTACTTCTTATGTATTATGTTGCCATTAGTTTGTAATACACCTTGACGATGACTTCATCGGTTACAACAAAAGAACAGAAAAGAAATCGCATGTTCTCTTTCCCTCGCAATCAGTGAGATATTATCAAAATGCTACGACATTCGTGTATACATGTATTAATCGACACGAACCTCAGCCATTCCTTGTAACCATGGATTTTATCGATAAAGTTAAGTTGAATGTCAAGTTCTATATCAACGTTTCGGTATCTTTTTCTTGAATTCACATTCATAGCGTGAAACAGAAAGACGAATACAAAACTTAATTTTACTAATGATGTAATAATTACACGTGTATTCTTTCCCGTCACCATCATCTACTGATTGTTCTACTTTACACAAAAAAAAACAACAATATTTTTGTAAACACGCCAAGACAAAAGATGTGTTTAGAAAAGATATCTTCTAATTTTCCAAAAAATCACTTGAGCGTATCAGAAGTAATTTAAAAATATGAAAGAACAACACTCGCTGATAACATTTTTCGAAACTGACTTCTCAATAATCCAATATTAAAATGTCACTTTATTAGCTGGAATAAAGCCGCTATCACCCATACTTTTCATTATGATACTTCCATCGCTTAGAATCGTTATTTGCGTGATAGAACCATGATTCAATGTCATACGTAACCATGCTTGAGTTGGAAATTGCATCACTCTGATGAATAGTGGAGGCAGAAGATTATCTGTACTTTCATTGATGCGAAAACTTACTTGCAGATGAAATAACGCAGTAGATTCGCGTGAAATACAAGAATATCGTGTGTTTCTCGAGGTTGATTATGACGTGCGCGATGGAAATATGTTGCGAATGCTGCGTCGATTCGAGCTTTGTCACCATAACTCTAAGAGTGACAATTTTTCATTGAACAAATTGAAAAAACGTTTTTCTCTTTTACATCAACATCTCGTTGAGAAATACCCGCATATGGAACCGGTGCAACAGGTAAACCTTCAGTGAGATTCGCATCTTGAATTAAAGTAAGCTTTTGGTCGAGCTGCTCGTTAATTATTGTCGCGCTTTCCAATGCGCGAACCATACCGGAATGAATGAGACGATTAAATTGAATGTTCATTTGATTCAGACGAATACCAGTGTATTTCAATTGTTCTCGACCGAGAATAGTCAACTTCATTTCACTTAAACTTTGAGCATTATCAAAATATTGACCATGTCGGATTAAATATAGATGCCGTAATGCAGATGTTTCTCGTTTTAAACTAAACGGAAAAACTATTTATCCAATTGATGGTCACTATGATGATCTTACCCATCCCAAGAACTATTCCATCCTGCTGAAGTTTTGACACTAACGTCATCAGGCAATAATTGATTCTTTTCATATTCAAATTTCGATTGATCAGCACGAAAATGCGGTTGTTTATCTACTACTGATTCATTACGATGATAGATAATTATTGTAAAAAAAATTCCCGTGAAAAGACCGAAAAGAAATCGTAGCGTTAAAAAGCGCTGCGTTAAATGCAAACAGATGACACACATTTGTGAGGCTAATGATCTTTGTGGCATAGTATTCTTCGATGTTGCATACATAATAGAAAATATTAAAAAAATGATTCGAACGAGACAAAACCTACACTATCAGAAAGTCATTCCGGAAGGAAGTAAATAGCAATAGTTTAGTTTCTACTGTGACAGCTGGTATGCATATCGATGGTAGCGTTGATGTTCGAAAGAGGAGAATGGTTGAAAAAATGAGCCATTCGCCATCTGTGCTCATGTAACTGACGACGAACAGGATCGCTAGTTGATTATATGAAAATATTCGGTTAAAAAACAAAGCATGCACGTGTAATTGTTTCATTTCATGCGTGTTTATGCAAATATTCGAAGGTCAACGGAATAATTATTGTATGCAGAAAATCTGCGACGAAAAAACGGCGTGTTCCGACTAAGTCAATTCATTAAATATTTAACTTTTCTGAAAGCGTACGACATAAATACATCTTTTACTAAATAAGTCCTATCAATAAAAACATCACTATTCGATGCAGAATTAAATTCTAAGTCGAATGGGCCGGTTTTTACGGGCGGGTCTCATTTAGAAGAAACTTCTTAGTTAATATATGGCTTCTTCGTGCTAGCTTCACACTGGTTAAGATTTTTGATAACCGTGAACACTCCCTCAAAGTGTTGAACATAATCGGCTCTAAAAATAATTACATATATAAAATGCAGCGCATGAAAAGTTCTGCATTTTAAATGGTTTTTCCAGAGAGAACTCATGATGACTAAGAAAAACAACAGATCGTACATCGTTATACAATCTAATAGTCTAATGAGCGTTCTAATGCATCCTTACCTATATTATAATGAGCTCATATAATTTGTAAACAGCTACACATTTTTCATAAATTAACAGAAAAGCAGCGAATAAAGACAAACTAGCAATACAATATAAGACAGCGACACAAGTTGCAAACGAGTTCAGAACCCTTTCATCACATGATTGTTTCCATTAAAGTGCAGACTCCAGAAACTGTTCCGTCAACTGTGACTGATTTCAATGCTCACTGGGCCAATGTCTCCAATACGATGCGGAAACCATTCATTTCCATGTCATCCCTATACTTACCTCTCTGTATTTCCGGAATCATCTAAAACGAGAAGTAATAGTAAAAACAGCATGCCTGACTACAAACAAAGCAATTCATTGAAAAAGAACAAAATACTTCCTACAAGATAATTCGTAGCAAAACACTGAACCATCCATACGGAAAAAATTCACTCGTTTTCAAGTCAAAACACCAGAGCAAGAGCAAAGACAAAATAACGAAGAAAAGCAAAAAAGCATCAACAGCGAGAAGAGGTTCATCGAAAATCAACCTTGGCGGAATTCGACACATACTATCGCCGACATCTTCATAGCGTGGCGTTCCCTCGTGAAGATTGGTCTAATTGTTTCGATACTGATCTGCATTGAATTGCAATTATTTCACCACTTGTTCCTATGTTGATTGGTTATCGGCCGTGCGGGTTCGGCGAATATTTACAATTTGTTGAACCGTGTTTTGTCTTGTGTGAAAGAGAGGAACAGACATGCGATTGAATACTGGACTCAAATGCTTAAAGCTTGTCTCTCAATCTGATCCTATCAGGAATCAACATTTCTTAAATGAAGCCAATTGATTGATGATCATCACAGACTGACTACTAGTAGTACTGTAGAGGCCAAGCGGACTTGAATCTGAGAGTAATCTCAGCTAATAATTATCTATTAATAATTTACTGACTGTCAACTAGAGATATATTGTAATTGTTTACAATGAGGATTGACCACTAGGTCATCGAGGTGAGAAAATTTTACGTGATCTTTTTATTCGCTGAACTTCGGCTTCTTCTTTTCTCTTTTCAAAAGAGTTGTATTTGTGCCTTTCCTGAAGTGTTTCGTGGATGGTTGCGGGTTGAACGCTATTCTCTGATGTGATTTATGCAAGAAGCTTGCCAGCGCAGCCTCTTCGGGACTAAAATGTAGACTTCGCATGCTTGTGTTTTGAGAACGAGACTGTAGTTAACAATAGAATTTTCATAGAATAAATTCACTTTCAAATTCATATCCTCAGGCTCGTAGCGTCTGTAGGAGTCACGAAAATAACATCCTGTCGATTCAACTAAAGAAGTCAATACATGGTTAATTGCCGAGCTTACTACCAAAAAATTAGTCTAAAATTATTCAGAATGGTTGATAGAGTGAGAGCACCATGAATACAACGCACATGGGACGCTTTCTGTGTGAATGAAATATTAAAGAGGAACATCCAAGCAACAGAGCACACACAAAAGAACTTGAATTTGACAAGGAAACATGTTCAGTTCTAAACAGAGTGAAAACAATTTTTCAATTTACGTATCCCTAATGCTATTTTCATCACAAGTACGGGTGAGAGATCCGATACTTCTATAGTGGCAATACTTCTGTAGCCCAAGCAGTATATTCAATAGCTTTATATGATTCTAGCGGTCGGGAAAGAGGTCCAATGATTCCTCGTTTAGAATTCACACTCACTTATTTTCAAAGTAAAATAAATGTGAGATCCATGAAATTGTTTATATATCCTAGATGAAGATATTTGTGATTCAAGCAATCAGAAGTAGTTGTATGAGGCTGATATCATTTTTGCAGAGCCACGTCTCAAAAAGGTATACCCGTCAGTGCAATTCCATCTCGTTAGCTACAGGGACATCAACAACACAAATAAAGTTCTAAACATATGAAGCACTATGATGAGTGACTTTTCATCATCTAGTTTCCTTCGAAAATCAAATCAATGAACTATCAGCATTTCGGAAGCGACAATGGAAGATATGAGTAGCCGTGAAAATCCCAGATTAGCCTGAACGTATGCATTTGGAACAATTTTAGCAAACACAATTCACACTCGAAAACGACTCGCTGACAAATGACTAATCGGTTCGAGTAATGGAAAACAAACAATCTTTATCTTCTATCCGCTCTAGCGTATGACATAGTACCATGATTCAGTTGAAGACCAGTAGTAATCGTATCATCTTATCTGCTTTTCAAAACATCTGAATGTGCTCAGCACGAGGATAATTCTCCCCGAAAAGGATCATCTAATCCGAAGGATGAACGTTACTTGCGTAGACAACCGAATGAAATATTGTAAATATGGTCAGATTTTCTTTTGCTTCTTGGAAGATGTCAACCCTCAACGAAAACTCCTTGAATTCCGTTTAGCGAAGGATCATTTATTCTAAATCCTTTTTACTTCTGGCTTTTTATTCAATGAATTGACATCGTGCGATAATTGAGATAAGAAAAATGATCGATGTACTTCCGATTGATACTGGAGAAACTTACACATTTGAAAGTGATTGAATGCGATCTCGGCGTCCAACGATCGAAACGATATGAATTCAATTAGTCGATAATGGTTTAGAATTGTCAAAATGTAATTACGTCATGGACAACTTCCGAAAGTCTATTTTCTGAGAGACAAAGAAAAAAAGAAATGAATAGCACCTGAAGATATACACTCAGTCATCATACATGGGTGATGTACTAAAATGACTGAAAAAAGACGAGAGATTGATGTTCTCGTATAGAAGATAGAACCATTAGTTTCTCTCTCTCTCCCTCTCTCGCCTTTTGTGCTTTAAACAATGTCTCTATGATTATTCCATTAAGAACTCCAACTCCTCTTCTCATAAGTATTTCAAACATTCGAGAAAATGTTCAATTTCTGCTCTTGCTAGAAATGGATCTTTATATATACTATCTTTATAATAAATCTATTCAATTCGATTGTAACCTCGACGAACTGCGAGCAAAACTGAAAGTAAGTGTGCAAGAAACTTGATTTGTCTGATTAACAGCTAACAGAATGGGAAATGTTCATTCAAAAATAAGACGTTGACATCTTCATGATAAAATTAATTACAATTCGATGACAAAAGCGCTACTTGTTGTCATCATCGAATCGAATTTTTCTATCAGATAACAACAGTGCCGATGCTGATAGAATGACAATGAAATAACAAAAAAAAAGGAAAATCTTCTCCGTTTCTTTCTCCCTCTCGTCGTTGTCTCGGCCGGAAAAAGATTTGCAAACGATGATAAAACTACAAAATAAGCTCACTTGTCGCGAAGAATCTTTTTACGATTGTTTCGATAATGGTCTACAGAAAAACACGTTGGAAATGGCATGAATGTTTGCAAGTAATGTTCGATGAAGCTCGAAAGATCGATTTTCACAAAACAAAATTAACATCAATCTATTTAAATTGATCTTTTCATCTCTAGGCACGGAATGAAATAATCGACAACGATTCCGAATGTGACAGTGATGATTATCTTGACAATGGGTCGATCACAATAGAATGGAAAAGTAAAGTACACAGCATTCGAGAGCAAACTTCAAGCTCCCAACCTTTAACTAAAGACGATGCCATAGATTATTATTTATGATGTGAAGAAAAAGTAGATGACACTAAGGATATATCCATTAGGAAGAAAAGACATTAGACAGAGAAGAACGAAGAGAGGAAACTCATCATCTAGTTTAACAATGTTTCTTCTTTATCTGATGGCAAACGACAGATGTAACAAGATCTTGTTAACTATAGGCTCCATTGAAGAACATGATCAAACAAGTTCTCTAGTCAGAATGAATGCGAATGACGATATTCTAAAGCAGCAACAAAAATTGAAGGTATGGTTGAAGTTTGTCATTGGATATAACGAAAAAGCAAGGTTTGATTGTCTTTCTAGGAAGAAGCAAAAATTGCGCTTGTATTAGGTGCAAAGATGGCTCGGATGCAAGTCGAACTGGAACGACAAATATTGGAAAAGAAACGTTCATCACTCTATGACCTCGTACATACACGGCCTTGTTTACTCGAAATAAATCTCATTAAGAATTTCTATTCGCATGTCAGATGGAAATCAATATTGACATGGATAAGCCTTTAACAAGTGAAATTCTCGAAGAGATGAACATTGGTCAATTACAAGCAATTATCAATGATTTATATTGCTTGATCGAAGGTTCGTTTTTACTAATTACGAAAGATTGTTTTTTTTTGCAACAGAATGAATTTGTCTTCATAGATAATAATGATCAGTTAGTGAGTCTGTTGATTGAAAGAGATTCATTAAGTATGGAACAAGATTCGATTCTTGTCGATATTGAAGATTTACAAAAGTAAGCAGTTTGATGAAATGCACATTGCAAGATTTGTCTTGATTTAGACGAGTTCAAGAACGTACCATGAACGTCTCGTCAGTCTGCGAGTCGAAAGAATATGTTTATATACAAAAACGTCCACAAGAAACTCTTCCGAAAAAATCCATTTTTCAAAATCTTCTACGGAAAGCTATGATTATTTGATATGATTTCCTTTGAGCAAAGCTTTACTTAACCGTTCTATTTGAAACGCTAATAAAATTGCAGGATTGCCGATCTATCCACTTTTGCTCGTTCGTTTAGAATAAAGAAAAATCAAATCAACGATGTTCTTTTCTTTTTTATTCCGTTATTCTCATGCTGCTGAAGATGAGCATTGAAAAATCGAGTAGAACGTGAAAAACAATACATTTGTAACACGTCTAAACCATTTTACGTAACAGTTGATTGATATATTGTTCACGATTACCAAAATCACCTCCATCAGCAAAGTGATTAGCTTTCTTGCGCCAGCCACCTGCGAAAAGACAAGCCATAGAAAACCTATTCGGCAAAAACGTTTCGTTTCTCACCTTTTGGATTGTTCAATTTGAACGGCCAGAGAAAGTTTGTTGCCTTTTTGAAGTTTTCGCCAACGGTAAACACTTCATGAACAAGATCTTCCATACAAATGATATCTTGTTTGCCGAGCGCTTTTTCTATGACGCTGTTATCGGATAATGGTATACGTTGCTTGTTGACTTTGCCGAAACCGCGTTTGTAGATGAGTTCTCGAACGGATTTCAAGTTTGGATAACCCCAGGCAATGTAAGGTTCAGCAATACGTAACATTTGAACGGTAGCTTTGTTGAGTTTGACAAAAACGCCGTTGTTAATTTGACGTAAACGAAATAAGCGTAAGACTTGTTTCACACGTGGATGTACACCACGAATACTAGAGAAAAATGTAGTTGAGAAAAAGAATGATTTGATTTGGCTACATACCCACGAATACGGATAACAAAGGCGAGTGAAGGTTCGGCTTCAACATGATAGTTGTTACGAACTTTAGCTGAACGTTTAAGACGAATTAAATCTCGTTCTTTCTTACGATATTCACTAACATATTTTTCTGCACGTTTGAAGACAACTAAACGTTTGTATTTCTTGTTCTAAACCGAAAGTAATCACGAGATCAACGATATGAATGAAAGACTAGTTTTTCGTACTTTTGTTGCTTGAACTTGAGAACGAAGACGTTTTGCTTTGAGGTCAGCGTAAAGTTTACGTTTCTTCAATAAAACTTCAGGCACTTTTGCAACGGCCTTTTTTGTTGTTGTTGTGGATGTTGTGTCCATCTTTTTGACGCTAAAAAACAAGCCATAGAAATTAGGTAAGACCAAAAATACACGACATACGTAGAAGTCATTTTAACGGGTAGATTCGAAAACGATGGATCTGAAAATAAAACATCGAAAGATTGATTTATTGTCAAAAAGAAATTTTCTCAATGAACTGGAAGAATACGACGATCTCAGATGGAGGAATTGTTTTCTTTTATTTCTCACTGAATCCATGTTTTGCCGTACGGGACAGTAAACCAATGAGAAACGACTTTTGATATTAGACTTGAAATAAATTCAGCAAATATTTTCATAAATTTTTTCTTAAAAGTCCACGAACATTGAGCAGTGATATGACGAGCTTTTCATTTTGGATGAAAACCACCTGCATTTGATTGGTTCCAATTGATCAGAAGATGAGTCATCGGTATTGGCTAGCATTGCTATATACCACTGCTGCAACACGAAATCAATCAAAGCTATCTTTCAATTTTTGCTCAAAGGCTGTCCTGTAATTTAATAATTTGTATACAAAGAGAAAACATCGTTTTGAAATCAGGTGTATGGAAAAGCTAAGATACTCTAGAGGACTTCTATTCACTGAGGGAAGACATTTGGTGTCCAGTTTCGTTTCCTCTCAAGCTCTGTTTGTACCTCTATCTTTTCTAGATGACTGAAGAAGAAGTAGAAACCAGCATAGCTGACGAAGTTCTTGAATCCTCGACAGAACCTAAATCCGAAGAGAAAGGTTATCTTGCTCGCGATGAATATACATCCGAGCGGTTTAAACTCGAAATCAATAATCTTCCTAAATATTTCGGTTTTGGTGTAAGCATATTTGAGTGTTCTGTCGAAGATCTCGTTTTCATTTTCATTCTCAATTAGGATTTGAAGAAAAGATTGAAGCTTCTCGGCGTTGATTTTGTTAAAATCAAAGTACCGAAAGGAGCTACACACGCCTATGTCAATTTTCGGTAAGAAAGTCACAAGTACCATTCAATGCGAATGAAATGTTCTGTATATTCTCGTAGAAATGAAGAAGAGCGAGAGAAAGGCCTGAAACTACTAACTGGATGGACTTTTCGAGGCAACCGAGTTGAAGTTACAGTCAGTACAACGGCTCTTTTCGTTACGTATCAATAATCTTAGTTTCATTCATTTTATAGCATGCGAAACCAGCAACTGACATTATGTTTCGTCAGAACAAATCAAAGAAAAGTAAACGCATAGAAATTTTAACGATTTGCAATTCATACATCAGCTAATTAGATGATAACAAACGTGATCGGCAAGCAGACAATGATCACGATCCGAACGCACCTGATGAAGTCAAGTACGAATTGTACAGATCTCAATCGGAGTACACGTTTAATAATGTTTAGAATCCAAAATTCTGCTACACCGCTATGGAATCTAACATATGAAGAACAACTAGCGAAGAAATCAACAATTGTGCAAGAGTATTTGAAAGGACTCGAACAAAAAATCAAAGAAACAAAGTAAAATAGATCATGCACATTAACTCCAATTGAGAGTCTCGTTCTATTCAGTTCAAAAGATATTACCATTCCATTCGAAGGAGTTAAACCATCGGTAAGAATCAAATGAATCTTACAACGAAAACTCCCATGCATGTTTCAGCCCATTGTCGATGGCTATCGAACTAAATGTGAATTCTCATGTGGAAAGGGCAATAATGATGAAGGTAGATAGAGAAAGTTGTGTACAGAATTCTATACTCTACTATTTAGAGAAGATCGTCGGTTTCCGTTATGGTAAAGAAAAGATTTACCGCACAGATATTGTGAGCGGCATTTGATTTCTGCATAGGGGAATATCGTTCTGGAATCGATCGAGTAGGAAGTCCAAGTGTATGTAAAAATGTTTCCGATGAAATGAAACTCGTTGTTCAAGTACGATCCACATTTCCTGCAAGCTTATTCAAATATCATTCAGTGCTTTTTAGCATTTTCAAGACTTCATTCGATCTCGGTCATCGCCATGGTATTCTGCTGAAACACATCTCGGTTGTTGGAGACAATTAACAGTACGAACAAGTCGTCTGAATTATATATTGATGATGATTTCGTTTTGTCAAGGACAATTGGCAGCAGTTCGTAAATGATATTGTCTGCCTGAGGAGGAGAAGAATATTGTTTCTCTTTGTAGGACGAAATCGAAGGAGAAAAGAAAGAGCTACTCAAATATTTCACAGCAGGTTCAGGAAGTGTTTGCAAAGTGACAAATATCATATTTAACGTGGAGAAAAATAAGTAAAGATATCGATGAACGAAAGAACAACATCGAATTTAGAAACTTTTCCCTAGAGCTGGTAATGAACTCGTTCAAAGTGAAATTTTGCTGGGCGATTCGGTAAGTGAGGCAGTGTGAAATGTTGTCATATGGATGTCATGTTTTCTTTTCACTCACAGTTTATCGTCGAGAAGTTATTCGATTTGCAATTTCATGTATCAGCCAAAGCATTTTTTCAAGGTAAGTGTATATATATATAGTGAAAGTATGGCAACGGATTTGTTTTTCAGCGAACACGCAAGGTGCTGAAGTACTCTACTCACTAGTGAAAGATTCAATGAAATTAGATCAGGATACTGTTCTTCTCGATATCTGTTGTGGAACAGGTACGATTGGTATCACACTGGCGAATGTATGACGAATGTATGTGAGCGAATTTGAAGATGATCGATGTTATTTTCTAGAATGTCAAGCACGTTATTGGCATTGAAATGATCAAGGACGCGGTTGAAGATGCGAAGCGTAATGCACAATTGAATAGTAAGATGAGATACATATTCCGGAACTTGAAGACGTTCATTAAATTGGTGTAGATATCAATAATATTGAATTTATTGCTGATAAAATCGAAAATGTCATTCATAAATTGGTCACCAAATACAATCAACAACGGCTGGTTGCTATTCTTGATCCTCCTCGTGCCGGTGTCCGTACGTCATCTTCAGAGATCCTCTGTCGTGCAAAATCACTTTGTATTTCTGTTCATTTCAGATCGAAAAGTAATTCAGATACTTCGTTCAGCTGAAAATATCAAAGTGTTGGGCTACATTGCTTGTAATCCGCACTTAGCAACGCATAACTTCGTCGAGTATGTTCACTATAATCTATACAATTGAACAATCTAGTTGAAATTCCATTTTTTAGTCTGACTCGTCCGCGTTCAAGAGCGTATCAGGGCGAACCATTCGTAGCAGTAACGTCAACAGCTGTTGACTTATTTCCACATACGCCACACTACGAATTGTTCGTGCTATTTCAACGATGAACAATGACTGTTATTTGTTTGATGTTAACTTTTCAATAAATATGAAATCTTGACATTTCGAAAGGCAGACTTATTTATTTTCTGCTTTTCATATGGTATACACACAACAAGCGAAGAGAGAAATATACGAGACACATTTAAGAGAATTTACAATGATTAAAGTATTCATACACACAACATGAAACATTAAATGTTATTTTGCTTTTTTTCTTCTTCATTTTCACGGGTATTTATGAACCAAAACCATAGAGTGTACGACCTTGACGTTTGAGAGCATAAACAACATCCATGGCTGTAACAGTTTTACGTTTGGCATGTTCAGTATATGTAACAGCATCTCGAATAACGTTTTCCAAGAAGATTTTCAATACACCGCGTACTTCTTCATAGATTAAGCCACTGATACGTTTAACACCACCACGTCGGGCTAAACGACGAATAGCTGGCTTTGTTATACCTTGAATATTGTCTCGAAGTACTTTACGATGACGCTTAGCGCCGCCTTTACCAAGACCTTTTCCGCCTGAATACAACATACAATTCCATGTTGTATCTGTCTTCAAGATAAGTTCTCACTTACCTTTGCCTCTTCCAGACATGTTCAAGTTTTAAATTAGTATCGAAAAAGAAGAAAATCTAAAACAGCACACATTTTTTAATACACAAATGTAAATCGTTGCTGATCGAAAGGAGATTTGTCCTTCGTTAGGACGTGTTAAATGAAAGAACGAGACGCACATTCTGACGACATCTTTGAAATTTTAATGTGAATTAAATTCCAGTTTTTTTTAATACAAAAAAAACGAAACAAGCTCTATTATATATCGGAAGAGAGATTTCCATCATTCAGGAAAATGAAAAACTGTACAGTTAGTAGAGAAAAAAACGAATCTGAACGCATGTGTTATATGTATATATCGAAAGTGATAAAACAATGGACTAGTCTACAGAAAAAAACGAATTATACACGCAATATTTCGAGAAAATTATTAAAACAAATTGCAATCCAATCTGGCTGAGTAGTACTCCATTGTACTTGATTGATTTCTCCTTCAGCTGTGTAAGCGAGGATAGGATCTTCAATTGCTCGTGGCATCTGTTGGATATCCCAGATCAATGCTTGACGATCGTCACCTGTAACAACAAGAATAGGTATCTTTGTGGATTTCATCCTCAAAACTACAGCTACGAACCAGCAGTACAAATATGACACGCAGAATGAGGTGCCCATGCAATGCCATTTACGCCCGATCGATGATTGTTGAGGCGAGCAACTGGTGTGCAAGGAATTCGAACGTCCAGAATAACAATTTCCATCGAATCAATAGCAAATGTCGCTAAATAGTTCGGATCTTGTTTGTTCCATGCCAGACGAAGCAGAGAATGGTGTTGAGGATCTTCGTAAATGATTGTTGAGTGTTCTAAATGTCGTAGATCAAACATTCGAACTGATCCGTCGGCACCAACTGATGCGAACATATCACGACCACCACCACCGCGACTGAATGCAATATCATAGACTTCTTTATCGTGAGCAATTAATTGAGTACGAACGTGGCCACTGACGGGATTGGTTCGACCAATCGCTTGTCCTGTCTAAAAGCAAATAGACCGCTGCTATTTGAAATGGTAACAGAAAACTAATTACCTCAAGTCCCCATATGGTACAAGTTGTGTCAATACTGGATGTGCCAATTAGATTGGGATCAACTTCATTCCAATCGAACGATGTTAGAGGAGCACAGAAATCTGAATTTTTATTCTAAAACAATCGAATTATTCCAGTCTTTGATTCTTTCGAAGATCTCACATTATTTAATAAGCACTCCAATCGAGTACCACTATCGCTCGTTTGCCAAACTCGTAGATAATCACCACTTGTCGCTAATAAATCCGGAAAAGCGCCTTTCTAGATAGATGCAACGAACACAATAAAAACGAATAACAAAACTCATTCGTAACTTACCGTATCGGGTATCCACATCACTTTTGTTGTCGGATATGGATGATCGAATGTTGATTTAGCAACAAATTCTGATGTTTCTTCATCTAATGAAACAATTTGTACCTAAAATGATAAATAAAATGATAAATTTCTAGAACGTGATTTGTATTTACTTTATTATTGTATTCTTCGACAAATGATCCCAGAGCAAGGCGAAAACGTTTGTCCGGTCGAATCGACCAGTTCATGGCGTAGACCATCCATGGTGCTTCGTATTTATAAATTTCTTTTCGTTTAGCTTGAGCATTACTAGTTGTAGTGGTAGACATATCTAAAAAAAGGTGTAGTACTTGAATGGCAGTTATTCTTGCTTTTTTTCTTCTTCTGTTGATGTTTTATTTAAAAACAAAAAACAAACAAACAAACTGTTGCTGTTATATTATACGTAATGTGTTTGATTGGATATTTATTCGGCGTTGGCTTCTTCCGAGGCAGCTGCTGCAGCGGCAGCGGCAGCCTTCTTGCCTTTCTTTTCACCACCACCACCTTGTTTCTTTTCGGTGCCACCTTCTTTACCAGCTTCTTGTTCACCTGGTGCATCTTCTTTGGTTGCTCGGGTATAGATTTCTTGTCTGCTGTGTTTAACGACTGGTCGAATGAGGCCGCGACGAACGAGTTCACGGATGATTTGGCGAGCAAGTGAACCACGAACTTTGAAACGTTCACAAACAATAGCCGGGGTGATTAATTTGTATTGTGGCATATCTTTGACACATTTGTCATAAGTTGCTTTATCGAACAAGACCTATAAGAGGACGAAGTCATTGAAATGAAAGAAAAAAACACACGAACCATGTTGTTAAGCTTGTCGCGAACTTTTCCTTTCGACCACTTCTTCTTTTTAGCTTTGCCACCACCAGATGAACCTCCGGTGGCTTCTTTTTCCTTCTTTTTGGGTTGAGCTGCTTTAGCTGGCATCGTAGAAAAAGATCTAAAAAAAACTTACGATAAAATTTTACATCGCCACACATACGCTCGTATACGTAAATAAAAATACAGACAATAAGCTCGATTCGCATTCGCCGTCATCTTGTTTATTTCTTCACATTAACTTTACGAACCCTCACTTCGAAATAAAAGTTTATTCCTTGAACGAAAATTCTTGAACTTCTCTGAAAAATATTTTTCCAAAAGTATTTCCTTTTTCCGAAATTTTTTTTTTCGAAAAATCAATGAATATTCACCTCTCGGCCAAAAGCGACATCTATACAAAGAATTCAAAATGACCAATGGCTGTCAGTCGAAATATTCTCTCATCTCTCTTCTCTCGGTTAACAAACAGCTGCAGTGAATTTTGTTACCGTTAGTAGTCTCTTCTTTACGAATAACGAAAACAATGACGATCAATTTTTGCGAAGTTTGCCTCGCAGTTATTGTCTGTTCGATTATAACGATTGTCTTCTATGTCGCTTCTTGGTTCACTCATGAAGAACACGATGTAAGAAAGATTGTCCGGTTTTTGCTCTTGTGGTCAAGTACAAAACTGTTTTGTTTAGGACAACACATCAAAAGAACCTGGCGTATCAAATATGCAAGGTTTAGACAATGATGAACCAGTGGCTCGTAGTGAACCAAATGAGATTATCAATCTTGATGCTGAGAATCGCCTCATCTCTCCTACGTCTCAATCCACTGGCAAAATCGTGAAAGAAAACTCTGATATAGATCTTTTGCAAGACAAAAATCTACGTGCTCATATTGCTCAAAATGAATTCGACGACCAGCATATTGCTGATGATTACGTCACTATCGATCACGCGCATAGTCTGGCAGAATACGATGCAGTTGTACATCCCGATGGTAAAACTGGTCGTTTGCATCTATCGATCCGATATGATGACGAGCGAAGTAAATTAATCGTTCGATTACTCGACGCGCAAGGTTTAATACGACCAGAGCAAATCTATTCGCCAGAAACATGCTTAACATTTTTCTTAACTAAGTCGAATACAGACGACAGTGAAACAGAAAAACATACCAGAGTAGTTGTTGAAAATGCCGCTATTTCGTGGAACGAACCATGCACATTTTGCTCAACATTTGAGCATGTGATTCAAGGCAATTTATATGTTAAAGCATCTAATCGTACAGATCCAGCTGCAATTCGTGATCGAGAAGTATGATTGAACTGTTTTCGAAGGATCGCATGTTTATTCTTTCAATTCAGGTTACGATTCCGTTGAACAATCTTGGAAGTCAAGGTGAAGAAATCAATGAATGGTAAACAAAAGCGAACATCTCATCATCATAATCATCGATTTTCGTTTAGGTTTGATTTACAATTTGTGCAATCAACACAGTAATCCGATTATATCTATCGCCGTTTGTTTTTCATGACTGATTTATTCAACATTGAAACATATTTTTGATTTACGCTAAGTACAGAATTTCGATTATATTCTTTTTCAGATGTAAACTTCCATGGCCGATTATGCTTCTTCTCCATCGCCGAAACGTCCTAGGTTAGAATCGGCAACAAGCGATTTAGAAATATCACCCACGCTATACAACTCATATCTAGATAGGTCAGTTCATTGAAAGCGAATCACATAAATAAAAACAAATCTACCTTTTCTTTTAGTAACTCAACTCATGAAACTAAAGTATGAATCAGAGATATTCTTATTCTTTGTAGACTCAAATTTTCACGATAGATTTTCAACGATCCTATACATGGCTGCATCGAACTGCATTGGCTGTTAGTGAAAATAATCGATACGCCTCAATTTCAAAGACTTCGACGTCTCAAACAACTTGGAGTAGCCTATTATGTATATCCAGGAGCATGTCATCAACGATTTGAGCATTCACTCGGGTACATGCGAATATTTGAGACGATAGAAAAAATGCATTTGCTCCTGTTTAGAACCTGTCACCTTGCTGGTGAATTACTTTCGCGTCTCTGTGAACGACAGCCGGAGTTGAATATCACCTCTCGAGATGTTCTATGTGTTCAAATAGCAGCACTTTGTCATGATCTCGGTCAGTTTTCCGTCTGAAGTATGAAGTTAGACATCGAGTATTTCATTCTTCCAGGACACGGACCCTTTTCACATATGTTTGAAGAAGTTATTGCCGAACTTCGACCCGACCTCAAATGGAAAGTAAGTCATTACTAAAACGAATTAATTCGAACCACTTGTTTATCATTTAGCATGAACAAGCCTCGATCCTAATGATTGATCACATGATAAAAGAGAATAAATTGATGCCATTTTTCGAACAAGCTGATCTAAATGAAATTGACCTCATATTTATAAAAGAATTAATCTTTGGTGTACTAGACGAACAAACAAATAATCAAGTTAGTATCGCTCACATCTTTCATTCGCATATTCTTTTTGATTCCGTAGACTTGGCCGTACAGAGGGCGGGATATATCAAAATCATTTCTATACGAAGTAGGATATACATATTTATCAAGAAGATGTCACAAATTTTCCATAGATTGTCTCGAACAAAGTGACGGGTATTGACGTTGATAAATTCGATTATTTCGCACGAGATTCATACTATCTGGGAACCAAGATCTCCTTTGAACATCTACGTTTCATCAAATTCTACCGTGCTATTAAAGTAGACGATGGTAAATTTCATCTATGTCTACGTGATAAAGTAAATTCGACTTCTCTACACTAAACTCAACTCGATTGTCTTTCTTTCAAGGAAGTAAAAGCATGTTATGAGATTTACCGCATCCGCGACGATCTTCATCGACGCGCATATCAACATCCAGTAGTGAAAGCAATTGAACTAATGTAAGAAGAAATCTCTCCATTCTTGTTTTCTAAATTCGTATTTATAGGCTGAAAGAAGTATTAATCATCGCCAATGATCATTTATTCTTCACAAATGCATTTGAGTATGAAAGCAATGATCGAGCGAAATACATATACGAAGTTGTTTTTCTTTGAAGAAAATGTGATATTCGATTGGCACACACAGTTGACGACATGTACGCATTCAATCAAATTGATGATCATATAATAACGTTGATCAAACATTCACATCATCCGAATATGGTGAAAGCGAAAAACATTATAGAAAAAATCGAAAAGCGAGGTGAAAATGACAATCGTCAATTGATGTAACTTCATTTCTTCGTTTTTTCTAGAACTTTATCGTTACATTGGAAACACACACGTGCAATTCTCGACTAATTTGAATAAAGTAAGTAGTGAACAAAGAAGCAACGCGCGTTAACCGGATTTTGTTTTTTAGGAAGCTTGTAAACGTGCTTGTGAAGATATCATTCGACACTGTCATTTTGATGAAAGTGATCATCCTTTAACAGCGCGTGACCTGATTATACAAGTACGTTCTTTTAACTTTATGACAGTCTTTATGACGGAAAGGAAACATTTTCAGGTAGTGGAATTAACTTGTGGCGATCGAGGCGAAGATCCTATACGAAACATGTGGTTCTATACTAAAGTGTGTCCAAACAAAGCAACGAAAATTTCCAAAGAACAAGTATGTTGTACTGAATAGTTCTTGTCATTGAGAGATAATCCTTGGACTCTTCTCTTCAGGTTTCCACGCTTTTACCACAAACATTTTGTGAACGCGATATTCGTCTTTATTGTAAAAGTCGCGATCAACGTATCTGCTCAATCGTTCGTTGTGGTTTTAAAGAATTCTGTCTTGCAAAGAAATATCCAATACCTAAGGTATTTTGTGAAAAATGATGCCCAATCTGTACGATTGATTCTCTTCACTGCGTGTGCGTGTGTATTTGTGCACTGCTCTGCTGCATTTAGTAAACAGCCGGTAAAGATCGTTTCTTTTAGGCTTCTTTAACCGCTTGTATTAACTATCCTAACAGATAGATACTCACATGTTTTGTCGTTTGTTTTATTTCCGTCCCATTGCTCTCAATAGAATCATCATTAGAACTTTTCTCTTGCTTATTGATTTTATTCTACGTTGTGGATATTTGAATAAATGAACCATGCATGCTAATCGGACTATCGAACTAAAAACCAGCGTCTACCATCGGAAATATCTTGTTTTTCTGCTTATAGGGTAGTCAACAGTGGACAATTTTGACTCCGGGTAGTGCACACGTACTTACAACATCAATAAGTATTGTTGAACAACGTCCTGATTTTAAAAAATCTGTTTCATTGTAATTTTTGTAATCTGCGTCTTTTTTAACAGTTTGATTTTCTATCGAGTTTTGCTGTTAAGGCAAACATCTTTGTTTTAGTGTGTAGCGATTTATATTTTTGTCTTTGGATATTTTAAGATAGATATTTGTGTGAACTGATCATGTCGAAAAGTAATAAAAATCAGAAATCAATCACATCATTTTTTAAAAATCCTGGACAAACAACAACAGCGACAAATGATCCGGTACCATCGAAAACGAAACCATCCCCAACCGTTGAAATGATGGAGATCAAGAAAGAAAAAGAGGACGTGCCCAAATTACTCTCGTCGTCGCCACCACCAGGACCAGCACCAGCATCGACAGTTAAAGCAGTACTTTCACCCAAAAAGCCAACAGCGGCTGTTGTGCCGACTATTCAGCGCAAGCCAACTCATGAAACTGAATGGATTAACTTATCCGATCGATTCTTACTGAACAATCGTAATTTCGATGTGCAGTACGCTCATCTATACGCTGAACGTCTTGGATCAATGCGAAAGATTGTCACGAAAGCAGCAGAAAATCGGTGGAGTTAGTTTCATTTCAGCGACAAATAGGGCAATCGACATTGTTTCTCTCACAACTTTAGATTCGAAGGTTCCACTGAAGAAAATGAATGATCTTGTCTTAGACGAAGAATGCGTACTCATCGGTATCCTATTCAAACAAATGATCTTGAAACCTAGTATTGTAAAACAATTAGCAACTGAAGTATGAACTCTTTCATTGAGAATTCAAAGAAGAATTGCATATCTATAGAATGGTTTCAATCTACAACCACCTCGAAAACGTTATGTTGATCCATCGGATAAATTAGTTCTTGAGGAAGAATCACAACGAATTGTTCTCGATGGAAAAATTGATGTTAATCAATTTGTCACCGGTGAGCAGAAAAGATTGCGAAAGATTCTACCACTCGCGCTTGATTTGTCTACAGGAATTGTCATCGCCGTACTTGGCCATGAAGACGATAAAGGTGTATTCATTGTTAAAGATTATTGCTTCAAGGAACTTACAATTCCCAAACAAATCACGCCAACAAAAGATGAGAAGTACGATTAGTGAAAGTTGAAAGATAGTATTGAGAAAACTCTATTCAGATATGTTTTATTCGCTTCGGGTTTTCTCCTGTCTGAAACTTCGACCATATTCAATCAACTTGAATCTCTAACGAACTCACTAGCACAAGCAACAAATATCGAATCAACGCCAGTGAAAACTATTCTTAGTAATATCATTCGGTTTGTCGTTGCTGGAAATCTCATCGAGAGTTCAAACCGTTTGAAAGACACAACCAATCAGGTGAGTTGTTGCCTATCGTCCGAAAGTTTGTTTACACTAAGACAATAAACTCTAGGCAAAATATTTAACACGAAAAATGGCTGCTAGTAGTGTCGAAGCTATGCAAAGTATCGATGAATTATTCGACAAAATTGCTGTAGGTCACACTTCTACTCTCCTAAAACATTCTCTTCAAGCTCGTGTATTGATAGACTGTAACTGATATTGATATCATCCCTGGTGTGAATGATCCAAGGTAAATTGAAAAGTCAAGGCTATTGTCTGAAGTACATCTTGTATGTGTTCTAGTTGTCATATGTTACCACAACAGCCATTGCATCCTTGCATGTTTCCAACTTCAAGTAAACGAAAAACAACACATTGTCTTACAAATCCATATGATTTTCAAATTGGTGATCTCCGGTAAGGCTTCTTCTCCCGTAGCTATGATCGTCTTGTATGTCTTGCTGATGGTAATAGTCTACTCGGTACATCAGGTCAAAATATCGATGATATTGACCTTCAATCCACGATTGATAGTCGCGTTCAAATCTTAGAAAATTGTCTTACCTGGGGTAATATATCGCCAACATGTCCGGATACATTAAGTATGTTGAAAACAATCGAGTTTTACAGTTCAATTCGCTTTACTTCTTTCAGGTTGTTATCCGTACGTGAATAATGATCCATTTATCATTCATGAAACTCCACATGTATTCTTTGCTGGCAATCAACCAAAATTCGAGACTCGTCTTTTTAAAGGTAAACTGAATGCTATCGAATGAAGTTGATTGCAACTTGAGTTTTCAGGACCGAATGATATTCAAGTACGTCTTATTTGTATCCCATCATTTGCTCAATCGAATACATGTGTCGCTTTGAATTTGAATACACTCGAATGTCAGGAAATTTCATTCGAAAATCAAGTACCTCAACTTATTCAGTGAGAACTGGCGCGATATTGTGATAATCGCTCAGCATGATAAACATTTCGTTCATTTCGTTCTTCTGTTAATATTGTAAAGACAAAAAAAATAAATCTACATGGATATTGAGAAACACAAGCACATCTTCGTCGAATTGCATGAACATATCAAACAAAAAGCAGATAAATCTCTTTCCGATCTCGTTGAATATGCACATAAAATAGAATGTTTTCTTCAAACTACATTCGTTTCCAATAACGAAGCAGTCAATGATAGAAATCCTAAACAGTTGAATTCCCTGATACAACCAGTGCAAAATTATCTGCATGATTTCATTGAAATAGTTGAACATTTAACCTTGTGGTTAGAATTACAAATTCCATCGTATAGTGACAACGAAGATTTTCGGATTGTAGTGCAGAATGAGATTCTCGATGATATTGCGTCGATGAAAGCGCAATGTATCATCTACATGGGTCGATTCGTTGAATATCGTGAGCAACGCGCTCAAGCCAATAAGGAACTGTTTAAACAACCGACATTTGATGATAATTATCATTTAATATCCAATCTCGATCATCAATTTCATCGAAATTTGAAACTAATGCTTATGGAGCTGAAATCTTATATCTTACGTATATGTAATTTATTAACAAAAAACAAAGATCTCCTCGAACGACAAAGTTTTCATCGACAACATATCAACAATTATTTCTAACGGCGAACATATACACAAGAAAATAGATCGAGCAGAGTTTGGTTGTTTATTATTTTTCGATACGCAAGGTTGAGTCGAACTAAAAATATGTAGTCAACCTTCACTAGATCAGCATATAATGAAATAAAATTATACTGTTTACCGTATATACAATGAGTAACCTATTTGGTTGTCATACGATCTTTCGAAATGACAATCGTAATAACCGTTACAAACGTCAATGAAAGATCAAACAGTGTTCAATCTTCGGATATCTTTCTCTCATCAAGTGACAAAAAGCTTAAAAGTTTGTTTTTTTTTGTATTATTTCGACATTGCCTCAAGGTCATCTGCACAAATATTTGCATTTTATTCGAGTTATTCATTTTCATTATCTGAGGATGACAATGTCCGATGAGAGAATATCGCGCGTTGACGTCCGGTGTGATCAAACAGTCGGGTAATACTCCATTGTCGAGCTTTATTCCAGGTTAAAATCTTCGTTTTGACACTAACAAACGACTGCTGCTGTTGGTCTTGACTTTCGGGTGGAACAGGATCGGGTTCCGCTATACTTGACCAGAGTTCAACAGTCGTCGATGGCGGAATAATAAATTGATTTTTGATGATATATCGAAGCATGGGGAAATTGTCTGTCTGCCGTTCGATGTACCATCCTGCAAGATCGTAATATTTTTTCGGACTGATATTCTCGATAATGATCAAATCGCCTGCTGGAGAACAGCCATTGAACATAATTGGACCTTTTGAGTATCGTCGAAATAAAGTTTTCGTCTGAACCAGATCATCTTGGTTATCGTGATTGACAGACGTGATCGTTGTTCTTGTCATCATACGATTTAGATATAATTGTCTGTTGAAGACACAAACCACAGGATGAAAAGCGAAATGAAATGATACGGCGAACTACTCAAGCGTTGCATTCATTTAATTTGATTGCCTCACTATTATTGATAACGAAGGTGACACAAGACAAGAATAATGATACCAACAGCAAAATCATAGGTATTAGCTTTCCAAGGAGGATGATCGACGCGTCGTTTTTTCCTTCCTGGCTTCACGTCCTTAATCTACTTGACAAAATGAAAGGTCGTTTTCTTTCTATCGTTCGTTTGTTCGCATTAATCAAAGGGTGGCTAAGACGTATTTTCTTGTTTTGTTTTATTCTTAACAATAAACTTCACATATCTATCGTTGTTCATTTTTTCTCCTTCGAAGTCAAAAGAGAAGTATAAAAAACTGTTTTTCTAGACGAACAAAAGAAAAAAACAGAAATCTATTAACTATGCCATGTGAAATCACAAGAGACAGATCAATTTTCTCCCATGGTTGACTTTTGTTTTAATCAAATATAGAAAAATAATAATAATAATATATAGAGATTCAACTTTTACAATCAAGCGTATATACAAATACAGATGAACATGACAACAATGTCAAATTGAAGACAAATTAGACAGGTGGTTGTTTGCGTTTTGGTATAAGCAATGTACATATAGGTGTACTATCAATTTTGATTTCGTCATTGGAAATGAGTGTTAATGGAGATGATTTGACATCTGTAACATTACTGGCGTCTTCTAGAACGTTGGTTTTGTTACTATTGATGGCTTCTGCATCAGCTTGAAAGAAAAGAATATATATGTGGAGGTAAAACGCGTGGAAATTCATTTACTCATCACAACGTCGGTATCGTCGATCATTGAACAGTTTTCATTGGAATTCATTTTACGACGTTTCGATGGTGAAGCACTTTCAACAAGAATTGAAGCTGAACTTATACGTTTCGCTGTTGGAGTGACAGCCGAGGGAATAATTGAAGCTTGTTGCTGTTCAGTGGATTGACCTGAAAGCATCCAACATAGAAGTTTTAAGTCGTTTGACTGGCAAGACTAGATAATGTGATGAATTGGGATTGAGTATTACTTTTTTTCGAAGCTGTGGATTTCTTTTTCGATACTCGTTTTGGTTTGTCTCCGTTCGGAGCAGATTCTTCAGTAACTTCTTGTTCCTTCTCTTCCTGTTCCGGTTTTTGACAGATTTCTTTTGGTACAAGTATACGCTACAAACAAGAAGAAGAAGAATCAATTCCTATTGCTTTGTTGTTCTAAATATTACTTTGAATTGATGAAAATAGTTGGATAATTCAAATTTGACTTTGTCATCTAACGCTGGATCGTAGATACAACCGAAAATAGGTTTTAATTCTCGTTGTTGATTAAGACGTGCGACTTTCTTATCCCATACATGCGATTTAGCTGCTTCACGAGCTTGCTTCGTTACTGTCGACTAAAAAACAGCCAATTCGATGTCCTAACTATCCGTATATCATATATTCTTACTTGTTGTTGTTCATCCTCATTCAATTCATCATCTGACAAGTGTCCATGCGGTACAATAAACGAGTCAGTATCACTATCGCTATCAACTGCTTCTGAATCACTCAAATCTTCGGCGTCAGACCGAAGTTCTTCGCCGTCCTTACATGGCTCTTCCCATTCACCTTCGGAATCAACTGCATAATCAATCTAATAAATAAGACAAGACGGCTTTCGAATGAATCATGCTCTATAACCAATATACATTATCGATTGCAGCATCGGGTTGTAATGGATTCGCATTGGCAGTTAACGCTTTCTTCAATGTTCCATAGTAAGGTGGACGATTAAAATACTTCTCCGGAAAATGAATATATCGAGTTTTGAGCACATATTGATTGTTCATTGTTGTTGTTGTTGTTAGTGGCAAAGCCGTACAACTGCTCGAATCACTGGGAAAATATCGAAATCGCATACGACATATCGATCGCAAAACGAAGTCAAACCTGTTCAAACGCGGTCGTGCAGCATTTTCTACTTCAGTTGGTTTCATCGATCGCAAGTTTTCCAATAAATCCGATACGAAATTAACATCCTATGAGATGAACAGATGACGATTGAAGATCAACAATTGAGTAGATGTCTACTCACCTGTTTGCAAACGATTTGATCAAAATCATCTGTGCAACGATGATAGACACAGTTATTATTCGTTGTTGCTGTTTGTCCGTCTTTCTAAACGAATTGAAGGATTCGATCAGTATAAATAATAACAATATTGTTCGTACTTGTGTCGATTTTTCAATAGGTTTGAAATATTTGTTCATTGTGTTTGCCATCTGTTTCTGAAGCATCTCTTGTTTTTGTGCCGCCGCTTGTTTTTGTTCTTTCTTCTGCATGATTTCTGCTTTTTTACTTCTGCAAAATCGAAAAAAGCATGATGAATGAGATGTTTCAATGATAAGAGAAAAACTAACGCATTATCTGCTTCTTTTCGAGCTCTTTCTTCGGCTCTTCGTGCTTTTTCCTGCTGGAGTTCTTCTGCTTTCCGAGCCTTTTCCTGTAGCAATTCTTCAGCTTTGCGTGCTTTCTCCTGTTGAAGTTCTTCCGCTTTTCGAGCTTTCTCTTCCGCTCGTCGAGCTTTCTCTTGTTGAAGTTCTTCTGCTTTTCGTGCTTTTTCTAGTCGAATTTCTTCAGCTTTCTTTGCTTTCACTAAAACAAACCAATCATCGATTGAAACAATCATCCTCGAGCCGCTTACGTTCTTCTTGAAGACGCTTTTTCTCAGCTCTGGCTGCTTCTTCTTCAGCTTTCCTGGCATCCCGCTCCGATTTTCGTTGTGTCTAAAAGAAGATTAGTATTCGAGGTATTGATGGCCTTGCTTTTACTTACTATTTCTGCTTTGGACAATCTCGGCTTCGATATCGATTGTTGAGGCGTATCAGTCCCTGTTGATGGGGTCGAGCGCAACGGAGACAAAGCCAGAACGATACAATCGTCCTGAGATGAGTTCATCGATTGATTTTCAGATTCCATTTCGATGAGAATGAACAGATCGCGTCGACTAGTGGATTGTGTTTTCTGGTTAAAACAAAGAAATATTATTCGAATTTCTAGCACTGAATTCGAGTGGTTGTTCGAAAAAACAAAGAATTTCACGATTTCTCTAAATTGATGTCGCTCATCGTTTGTTCCTGAACATGATTGGTCGAAAAGAATACGTAATATATGTATCAGAACGTTGAATTTACACTTCTTATCGATTATGACAGATAGTACAACGAGCACTTCATCGACTTGCGACGAGCTCGTCGACGATCGATATGGATTCATTTACAGACTTGTTTTCGAGTTGTTCACAGGTCGAAAATTAGCATCGAATATTTTAGTTTCGTTTTGTGCAGAATTTAAGAAAACGCTCGTTTTCAATGAAACAACATCGAACTATAACTATGCCAGTCATGTTTCAAGTAGAGTCAATTTAGATGCAAGACATCCATGCATATTTTCGGATATTTCATCTAGTTAATAGTGTGGATTTTCCTCAGGGTCTAGCAAAGAGTAAAAAAGAGGCGAAAGCAGCAGCAGCACGACGTGCGATAGCTTGTTTACTTGAAATCAACGAAGAACAACTCAGTCCGGAATATCTCGGTCAGAATTCTCTTTGAAAATTCATCATCGCCGTTTGACTCCGACTTTTCTAGGACGAAAGCAAATATCGATCGATCGTCACGGCCATACATTGGCTCACTCAACAGATACAACGCATCAGCACGGTCTTATTGAAAGCTTTCTCGATGACTATGCACAAAAACTTCTCAAACTCGGACAGTAAAATCATTTTCTATAGTTTCAATGCTTTTGAATCACACATTCGATTTTTCCATTAGAGACGAAAATTTACTCAAATTGAAAGGTAATCGGATAGCTATCTTCCGAATGTAACGAACAGAAAGTGTTTGTCAAGGCATCAAGACGAAAATCCAACAGCCTACGAGTGATGATAATAATAATAAACTTTCGGAAAATTTATATAAAAGCGATTCAACATCACGCTCAACCGCGATGAAACGTCTTGCCGATTATTGTAAGCAATTCTCTGTAGTTGCAGATATTGTCATGTCTACAGATGATCGAACGAACTTACCCGCTGAAAAACGGTATTCGAACGGGTTGTCCCGATGATCAAACACTCGATTTCTCTTTAGGCATTTCGCGAAAGTCTACTTTGGTTTGAATAAAACTATTATTGCTTCAGCGCATGGCTCCACGGCATTCGATGCTAAATCGAAAGCAGCTGATCGGGCCATGTTTGTTTTGTCGAGTCGAACTTCGAAAGACGGGGTAAACAATATTGAAAGACACCACTTATTCAGAAGAAATCCATTCGTTCTAGCCTTCACAATCGAACGAGAAGGCACTCCTGTCTCTATCATTATTCGATCAGCATTGTCAGCTAGTAGCTGACTTTGTTAAATATCATCAGGAGGCAAATACTTCACCGATATTTCAAACGTTGCAACATCGATCTTATGCTGCATTTATTATAAAAAACAGTTGGTTTTGTTCGTAAAATCATCCTCTCGTAGTGCAATCGAGTTTCATAGATCAAAACGATCTGGGAAAAGTCGTGGCATTCGGTGTTGGTAGTCGATGTACATCACCTGATAGTATCGATGATGATGGCTGTGTAATACTTGATTGTCATGCACTGGCAATGGCAAGACGAGCTTTGTTGCAGTAAATCATCATAAACCGATTCTAAACTTTTTTCTACTGTCTTCTCTTAGATATCTCTACGGTGAACTTCACGAACTTGCTCATGGTTCACCATCGATTCGAAATATTTTCCTTCGACCTCCCATCGGCAAATTGTATTTGCGAAATAGTGTCTCAATTCACTTAGTTCTATCGAATGCACCAAGTGGCGATGCAAGAGAATATCTCCCATTCGATTCGAACAACTATCTGAGCGCATATGATTCCGTGAGAATTTGTCTTTTTATCGTCATTTATCTGCACGTATATCATCTACAGGCTCAGTTGAAAATGACAGCTCATGCACCGATCTATGAAAATCGTGAACAAGGTTATCTAAGATACAAATATGTCGAAGGAATAGAAACAATAATTGCTACCCATCGGCAACGCTTTGGTCTGATGTCATGTAGTGATAAGATTCTCAAATGGAATGTTTTGGGAATTCAAGGTGCTCTTCTTTCGACATTGATTGAACCAATCAAGATCTCGTCTATCACGAATCGTATATTTCCCTTGTTTTGCGTAAAACTATCGCTTACCATCTAATTGTAGTCAGTGGTTTTAAACAACAGCATACATCTCGTGCCTATTGCTGTCGCTTGAACAAAGCTTCATCGACACTCGATGTTCATCATCCTCAAATTGGTAATGATGAGAATCGATTTCATTGTTTTATCGATGGTAAAAGTTAATCTCTAGGTCGACCGAAAAATGTCACAGCTCCAACTGATGAGCTTGATCATCAGTTCAGTTATTTTTGGTCGTCTATTCACGCTGGCGAATTAATCGATGCATCAACTGGTCGTCCTACTTCCGGGTAATCAATAAAACTGACCGTTAGGCGAAGTCTATAACTATGATTTTCTTCTAGAGGCAATAGTGCTATATCCAAAGCAGCATTTCTCGGTGAATTTAAGCAATTGTGTTTACAAATGTGTCATCCGTGCAATAGTCATATGACCTATAACGAATTGAAGCATTTAAATGAAGAATATTTTCGTCGAAAACAGGTGATGACATCATTTCTTGAACACGCAAATTTTGGCTATTGGTCATCGGAGAAAACTCATTTGGAACAATTCAAATACTCATCAAACATATCGCCAATTACTCAAAATAATTGAAACCTTCCAATGTGGTACTATTTTGTCTTTTCGTTTGTATTATATGTAGACTAGAAGAAATAAACAATCATCGATTGTGAAATTTAAAACATAGTAATAAAGATTGAATATTCTAGATTGATATTTAAGATCAAAATCATCAACGAGTCGAAAATCGACGGTAAGTTTAACACAATCCACTGCTTATTTTATTCTCGCTCAAAAATGAATCCATACGCCATCTACAGATGTTTGCTCAGTAGAAAATAGATTTGAATTGACCTAATATTGTTTTTCTCTCAGCATTCATACTTTCCAAATCAACAACATGTGGTTGTCAACTGTGATATTGTTAATTTTATACGCATCAAACTGTGCAGGTGATAATTATCAACCTGAACAAATTCATTTGTCTTACACAGGTGCTTTCGCATGATTTTTGTGAGAAACTCAATCTGAACATGATCTATTTGCATTCCAGATGTTTTCAATGAGATGGCTGTTACATGGAGCACGCAAATCTATGCGAACGACAGCTATGTGGAATACGGTCTATGGAATGAAAAATTTAATTTAGTACAAAATGCAACTGTATCAAAATTTATCGATGGTAGCAGTGCACATCGAGTCTTATATATGTATCGCGCAGTGTTGAAGAACTTAGTGATGAATACTACTTACAGTAAGAAACTTGTCCATGTATTGAAATAATTTGGAAGGGAAATCGATTTAGTTTATCATGTGGGTAGCCTATTTGGTTGGAGTGGAAAATATTACTTTCGAACAATACCGAATGAAGATCGAGATACGTTCGCTGTCTATGGAGATTTAGGAGTTGTCAATGCACAAAGTTTAGCACGATTACAGCGTGAAGCACAAATGGATTATTATGATGCGATTTTACATGTGGGCGATTTTGCTTATGGTACGTATGGACACTTAGTAGAACAAAAGCTTGCTTTTCTATCAGTTTCTTTCGCTACTAGATATGGATGCCGATCAGGTGAAGGAAAGATTTACATTAACTTCACATATATTTATTGATTGTCTTGATAGAGTCGAGTGGGTGATCAATTTATGAACGAAATTCAAGAGATCGCTACGTACGTGCCTTATATGGTCTGTCCTGGAAATCATGAACGAGCATAGTAAATGTCCTAGGTTTTAATCGATTGTTTGAAAACTAGCTTTTTTCTTGTCTAGTAATTTTTCTAACTATAAAGCTCGGTTTACTATGCCGAACAATGGTGACGGAGAAAATCTCTGGTACAGTTATAATTTTGGTTTAGCACACATTATCAGTTTTTCTACGGAAGTCTACTTTTGGTGGGAATATGGCTTTGCCCAGATCGACAATCAGTATCGTTGGCTTGAACAAGATTTAATTTGGGCAACTGCTGCAGAGAATCGAACAAAGCATCCATGGATTATAACGATGGGCCATCAACCAATGTACTGTTCAAATGCCAATCAAGACGATTGCACATTTTATGATAGTCGACCACGTTCAGGTTTACCCTATATTCATACATACGGATTAGAAAAGTTGTTCTATGATTACGGAGTCGATTTAGAACTTTGGGCACACGAACATTCATATGAGAGGTATTAAAAGAGATTGTCGAATCAGTTCAAATAGCGTAGTTTTTATATTGTAGACTTTGGCCAATTTATAACTGGACAGTGTACAATGGTTCATCGTCTGAACCGTATAAGAATCCAGGTGCTCCGACGCATTTAATTTCCGGTTCGGCCGGTTGTTTTTCAAAACACAATCCATTCTTGAATGAAACACAGATATATTCTGCTTTTCGTTCTGACGATTACGGCTATTCGCGTATGAAGATTATCAATACCACTCATTTGTATATCGAACAAGTTTCTGACGATCAAGTGAGTCTATCTTCAATGCCATGTAAACAGATCGTTGCAAGACTGTGTATGTTTTAGGGCGGAAAAGTAATCGATAATTTTACTTTAATTCGCGAAAAACATGAGCCGTATTCCATTCATCAACACAAAGGTGTCAAAATCAGTCACAAAACCCTTGCTTACCGTCAATAGACTGCTACATGATTGTATTTCTTTTGGATATCTTTTATCGATATGATTGACTTTTTTTTGTAATTTCAACAATTAATTGATGCAATAAATATTTTGTAAATCGCACCATAGGACTCACCTAGCGACATCTTTTGTGTCCAGATATTCTGGACTTTCTCGTGACAGCCAGAAATTTTTCTCTCTTTTCTAGAACGAAAAACTATTTTCTTCACATTCCTATCAGCGTTAAATTCGACATTTTTGACGAACAATGACCAATGGCTAATTGCTTGGAGATAACCGTTCTCTATTTGTTTATTTTTCCTTCACACATGATTATTATCGTATGACTTCTTACTCTTTGTTCACCCTTGACATGAATTGAACATTTTTTCATCGTTCACATTCATTTTTTTGTTTTGTTTTTTAGTTCATCATGCTCTTTCCACTCTTGATCACATATTTTCTTCTTTTCGTCACCGTTCAATCCGCAGTATTCGACAATAGTGCACGCCAGTCTACTAGCACTGCTGCTGTTTTTCCAAAGCAAGCCCTCTCTTTTGATCAATATGATTTACATGATGGAACATCCACTGCCGAAGGTAGTGGCGATGGTGCTAATCTTGATGAATATGCTGACGATGATGAAGATGAGCAATTATCGAAAGTAACTGCAAGCACCAGTACGATAAGAACGACAATGACGACGACGACAAAACGTTCAGAGATGAAAACCACCAATAGCACAAAAATGATGGATTCAGGCGTTAATGAATTTGATGATGACTACAAAGATGATATTGAAGATAGTATCGACTACAATGAAGCAACAACGAAAATCACTAATGTTCCATTAACTACTACTCGTTTGGAACCTGCTATTCCACCTCAAAAGCCTCTTCGTTTATTCTTCAGTTTTCTCACTCGTCCACCGATTGCTGCTGGTATTCTTGCAGGTAAATATCTGTACTAATAGAAATCAACTTGGATTCAACGAGTTTTCACTTCTAGGTTTAGCTATTGGCATTCTATCGTCAGTCGTTCTCCTCATTTGCCTTGTTCAACGTTTTAATAAGCGTCAACGAACACATTCGTCATATACCACAGGTCTTCTGTATCCAAGTCATTATGGATATTCGAAATCACCACAGGAATTCTATGCTTAGCAAGAAACTTCGTTTCGTGTAGATTTCGTTTTTCGTTTCTCTAGATGATTCTCATTTTTCTGTTTTCTGATGTATTTTGCGGTTGTTGCTTTTTCTTTTACAAACGCTCAATTTTTTTCTTTGTTCGAATACCTTCCAAATGTGTCGGATGAGCAACTAGGTATCTCAGGTATAATTGTATTATAACAATGTAGAATATATTATTAATAAAATGAAAGAAAGTCCCACTTGTTCAGTTTCTCGTTTACAAAAAGAAATCTTCTGCTCGATGAAATTCGATCACACATAGTTTTAGTCGTTCGAATGAAATCATATTGATTCGAATATTTACTAAATGACAAGGACTGAAAGAAAGATCACAATGACAAATAGATTAACAATTTCTAAGGTCGTGCTGTATTTATATTCTTGCTAAGAGTAACATCGTAATGATAGCTGTTGAAGAATCGATAATTAATAATGCAAATTCAATTGAATATTTCAGATAATGAGTCAAAGAATATCGAAGAAGTCTCTCATCTCGAATGAGAGTATTCTTTATGAATTAAATGATTATGATCGTCAGCGAAAGACGCAAACATTGATCGAAGACGATCGTCTACAATGTATTCCTGCAGATCCCGTTCTCAAAAGTCTTTCGGTAAGCGAGAACAAAGGATTTCATCAACATTACAATTCCATAAATCAATTTCAGTGTCCGATTTGTCTCGACTTGTTCAATCGAACAATGGTCACCACCACTTGTTTGCATCGTTTTTGTGCTGATTGTATTTATCGTTGGCTTAAATCAGAGAATAAAGTATGTCCAACATGTCGAAAAGTGCTCAAATCAAAACGTTAGTAAGTATACGAGAAGTCGTTGATGGGAAAATAAGCGTTTTTTATGTCCTATTTCTCGTTCGTTTTCTAGTTTACGATCGGATATTCGTACTGATTCGTTAGTCGATATGATTAAAAAACAACAGGTGAAAACAAATGAGTTGTCACAATTGTACAAAGAGCAACAGGAAAATGAATGAATGAAATTTTTTTTTGTTTGTATCTTTAATCAATAAAATGTGAACTCTGTATATAGGAGAGAGGAAGAAAAACTAAGAGGTCAACTGATCCATCAGCTGTTTCGTTCTTGCTTGTTCACAATCATGGCTAGCTCGCTCTCTTTCTCTCTCTCTCTCTCTCTCTCTTTCTTTTTCCTCGATCGTTGCTTTTGAGAAAGAGAGGGAGAATAAAACACAGACATACTACTATTGCCGTTTGTACAACATGAGTAGACGGAAGAAATGTGTCACTGTATTGTTTCTGCTGCCGTGAGTTTATGGTAATTGAGTGAGCTGCTAGAATGGAGAATCGACTTGATTATGCAGATAGAAATGTCCGTCATCATCACCAATACGTATACATTCTATTTCTCCTTCGCTGTGTCGTTCTCCTAAGCAAGAATATATATATATATGTGATGTAATCAAACGGTTGTAATGCAGTTGGGTTTAGTAAGCTTTTTCTCTTCGGTCGCTTTACATTTTGCACACTCTACACAATAGTTGATCAGATGAAAAGAACGAGAAACCGAATAGATATGGATGGATGTATGTAGGAAAAAAAACCAGGCATAGAGAAGGCGAACATCTATTCTTATTCATTTCTATAGAAGTAAAAAAGAAAAAAAAAGAATCGGCAGTGAGTGAGTAGAAGAGAGAGAGGGAGTGAGACAGAATCGTGTACATATTGTAATTGATTAGAGTAAGTACTTGTTTGCTGTTCAGCCTTGACTGATCGAAAAAAAAACTCGACACAAGATGAAATGGATCCGTTTCCCAAATGAGTAATACTAGACAGGTATTGGCGGCCTTGTAGTTGATAAAAAAGAATGTTGGGGAGTTATTCCTACGTTCGACGGTGAACTTTTCATCGAGCGTAATTATCATAACTACACATATATATTTGATGCATATGTATTCACATGTGTCTAATTGAATGTCTTCTTTCTTTCGTTTCTTGCGTCGACAAATAAATTTGTTAAGATTACATAGGTTTTGTTGATCATTTTAGACTATTATGCGTCACAATAATAGTTCGTCTTGGTTGCAAACAAACCGAACGATGATCGACGAGTATTGTAATATGAATATACCCGCTGATTACGATTTGCATTGGCTTATTGCCCATGCCGTATTGGCATTGACAGGATTATTCTACGCACTTCTTGGTAAGTTTTCTGCAAAGCGTTGGATGATACATTTCGAGAGAAACCGAACTGTTTGTTTAGGTTATCGTTGGTGGCGGTTGACGATGTTCATCACCTCATTTGGCTTAGGCTCTTTATTTCTTTATATTATTCTCTCCACACAGCCAACAATGAATGAATCGCAATTACTAGGCGTGTCGTGTTCAATTGCAACTTTATTTGGTTTAATTGGCGCACTCCTACAATATGTCGGTCTATTCATCAATGGATTTTGCTTTGGTTTAACCCTCTCGATCACCACATTTATCTCATTAGACATGAAAAATCGAGCTAACGGTGTCTCCACGTCATTCTGGTTGCCCATCGGTTTAATTTTACTCTTAGGCTTAATTTGTGCAACGCTAACATTACGTTTTCAAAAGACAATGATCATCATCACGTCATCATGTTTAGCTGGTGTATGTCAAATACTTGTATTAGATTATTTTCTTCAATCATCTGTTTTGCTTCACTTTGTTCATAAACGCTTACTGTTCGAACCGACACCGACATTATGCTTACGACATTGGTTAATTGCATTGATATTGCCGGTCATCATGTGTTTCGGTATTGTTATACAATTTTCCTGTACGGGAAGAAATTATGATCATCGGGATTCATGGCAAAGAGGTATGTGACTTCGATGAGAGAGAACACGCATCAATATCCATATCTGATAAGATATGGGATTAGCTTCGTTCTCCCTCTCCTGAGAAGCTTTAATTAAGGAAGTGAAAGGACAAATGATGAACTCAATAAAGATCACTCTTTACTGAGCAAGAGACTAACGGAAGTAACCATTGAGACATTCTTGAAATACAATGAATATATAAAATTGGCTGATTTTATTGTTCTGCATTTGATTAGAGATTGAGTTTGCCTCTGTCCTTTTCTCAAGGAAAATCCATCTGATTTGATCTGCTAGTAAATATTTGTGATTTATGAACGGAGAAAGACTCTCCACACATATCTATTGACTTTTTGCGCCATTTACTATTCTCCGTATCTTTTCACATGCTATTTGACATGCGACATTTATCGTTGGCTTCTTCGTCACAAGTCGACTTGAAATTTAGTGATTGCATGTCTGCTCGCACATTTTCTTCTTTCTTTTTATGAGACCGAACACTTTAAATGTGTTGCACGAGACGTGTCCTTATTGATCAATTAAATCAAAATATCCCGTTTCTTTTTTTGTTTATTTAGTCTACCCAAACTTTCGATTGATTTGAGTTTTTAATCAATAGAAACATTTCTCCAGAGAATTCTCTCGTCTTTTTCTTCTTCTTCTCAACATATTAACCTTGAACTTTCACGACCGGATGTGCACGTACGCTTATCATAAGTCGACCGAAGCACGTCAAACACAGATAGTATTCATTATCTTGAGTGAAGATAGAAGCCTTGAAGTTCAAGTTAACATTGAAGTTATCCAAAAGACTGAATTCATTTAATTAATTATCGATTAATTTATATGTGTAAAAAGAAGCAAAGCGATAAACATAGACTGTCGGGACATTTCCAATTAAGACATAAAACTTTTTTCTGTATATTATATGGTTAATTAGCGTAGAAGAACAAAATCTAATGGAATAGTTGATGAGTATTAATAGTAATGCATCTAGACAAGCCTTTTGGTTCAATGATTTCATACATGTGTATGAATAGAGAAAATAAGAAATAGACAAACGAAATCATCGTGTTTTGTTTCTCTTTTAGCGATCAGTGCCGGCAAGAAACGATATAAAACAGCAAATTTAAAACGAATTCGTCGCCATTATAATCAAGATACACTTCGCGAGCATATTATTCCAGATGAAAGTAATCGATTTCGTTATTTTTATCATATCAGACGGGCGCATGGTGACGCACTTTCGTCGGTAAGTTGCAAAATCAATCAATAACATGTCTTGTGTCCATGACAATCGTGATGAGCGGCAATCAATAAATACGTATTTGCCCTTACAATCGAGGTCTTCTGCTCCTATATGTCAGTCACAGCCGGTCAACTCATCATCGTACACAGATGAACCCGGCTCGAGAAGCAAACAGAAGTTGTCAACACGCCGATGGTAGATAGATTCAGTCATTAGTCTCTTTCGAAAAAGATCAGGTCAAGGAGACGATTGTCTTATGTAAATACTTCGCAGCAGGAAACAAACTGAACGGTGAAAGCGAAGATGCACTACAGACATGGTCAAGTAGATTGTTCATCGATGCAATATATCGAAGAATAAATAGACCAGCGGGTGTTTAGTGAAAGATATTGGAGAATTATGATGTAAGAAAAGCATCAATCAAGATAAATATTATTTGTTATTCTAGGATTTTATACAAAATGTAAGACAACAGAATTCAGCTGCAGTTCGTTTGACAACTAATCAAAACAGTAATAATAATAATAATAATGATCCTAGTCAACCAATTGTATCAACAACCAATACAACAAACGCTGTAGCATCAGCACGAACAGATAATGACAGTACCACGACAACATTAACTCATTTGATTTGATTCTTATTTCGAAGACAACGCTTTTCTGCCCATTGTGCTATTTCCTATGTGTTTCTCTGTATGTTTCTGTCCTGTACAATGAATTTTCCCGTTTTGTCATACTCTCAGGAATCGTTTTTATTTTACTATTTGCATATTTACAACGACATTTGACAACATGACAAGAAATAAATGTGCGTATGTATACTCGATAGATAAACGGAAAATTTCAGCGAGGAATTTCCTATAACATCTGTAAGTTATACTATTGAGTAATTCTACTCTGATCATTTACAGTCGATACGATTGCACATTGTCTCCTTGTGTTTTATGTAAGCGTCATAAACACGTGGGTTTAATGGGATGAGGTATAGGCCATTATAAGCAATGAAGAAAAAAGTATCGAATCAATGAGGCGTAACTACTCCAACAAAATCATACGAGTGCATATCAGTAGAGAAAAACAAGGTAGTGTACACGTAAAGTCAAAAAACAAAAATATTGGTTGAAAGTAATCGATAATGAATTGGACATCCGTGTTCATCTTTCTCGCATTATTCACATGCGCGCAGAGTAAATATAATCCGATTCCAGTTGGAGCAGTCGTGATTTCCACGACAAGCCAAATTATGGTTATGAAACCGGTGGAATACAATGGAACCGATGAGTTAGTTACTATTTTCACAGCAAATTCAAGCATGAAGATTATTAATACAGCATATGATTCAACAACTCGCAGCCTGTTTATTCAGTTTATAAATGTATCGATGAATAACACAGTTTACTCGTGTCAATTAGCTGCAGTTGAACAACTGGATGCAAACATTTATGAGTTACCAATAAAAATCAACGCAAGCAGTATTAATCAACTGACTTCATTCACCTCAGACGTTACTAACCGACGTATTTTTCTCACAGACAGTTCGGGTATAGTAACGTTATTTTCGATGAGTGGTCTCATGCAAACAATAGTCGCAGCACCCTCGAATATTACAGATACAGTACGTTCGGCGGCTTATTCAAATAGTTTGGATAAACTCTTCATTATAACCGACACGAGGTTATACGCGTGTATGAACTTCGATAATGCTAATTTGTACTGTTGTGGAAGTATAGCAAGTAGTAATAAACTTCGTACCATATCATTTGATCAAATCTTATCCGACACATACGTTTACGTCCTTGATGAACGTTCTGGTATCTATAAAGTTGCATTCGATACAAATGGATGTCCGACAGCATTGAATCCTATCAACACACTTGGCACTTATTATAATCTTCAATTTGTTATCGATCGTGGTTTATATTTTGCATCTGGAGGTGTACAGTCAGCAAATGATAATTCTATTCTCGTTATCGCAAACGGGACACAAACACCCCGATCTAAATACATTGGCATACCGATTGTTGCACTTCATATATCCAATCCTAACACAGGCACGGTTTTAACATCTGAAGAAACATGTTTCAATGGAATAACTTATTCAGATTATCGTGCCGCAGTCATCCTTGCCGCTATATTTGGAACGATCATGGGTATATTCATGTGTTTCAATGCTCTGTTCTGCATTGACTTCGTGATGACTAAACGTATCATCCGTAATTTGAAACGACAAATTCCTCATAATTTACTGGAAGATCGTTGGAATAAGTTAGTTGAGGAAAAATACGCAAAAATTGCTCTTGAAAGTAAGATTGAAATGCGATTGACAAAATATAACTTTTATGTATCTCTATAGAACAACGACGAAAAGACGACCCACCACCGCCGAAACGTCAATCAACAACGGGTACACGAAAAGCTCCACCGGCAACAACAGTCGAAGCAACAGACACGACTAATCGAAGTGCTGGCGAGTCTCTTCAAGTTCCTAATCCCATACCAAGATTATCAGCGTATCTTCGCCGTAAGAGTGAAAGCTATTTGAGTCGCCGTCGAAGCGATGATTATCGAAGCGCACGTTCTAACCAACGCGATGAGATATCGGAATTACCATCACGCGTACCACGAGGTCAAGCAGGCGCACCTCAAATTCATATTGCACCAGTTCAAGAAGAAAATGAAAACCAACGAGGTCTCCGATCGAACCTTAGTCGACAAGAACTACTCAAAGATGCTGATTTTCTCTAAAAAAACAATTTCATCACTATCTCGGAGAAAGAAAAGACTTCGTCTATTTTGTTTTTTTCTCAGTCCTGTACGTAGTTTTTCCTCTGTCTCTTTACTCAATAAATCATGTAGCTTCCAGAAATGCACTTTTAAATAAATAATTCTCACTCTGTTATTTGATATTCACACATATGCTGAGTAATTTCTCGAGCAATTGAAATATGAAGCATTGTCTCAAACTACAATAGATCCATACAGTGAACGAGTGATAAAACACATTAGTCGAGCCAGTTGCCACCTTTTGTGTCTCAACTTCGCATATGATTTGCCCTTCTTAGCATAAAAAACACGAAATATGGTATCTTTAATATATGGAATCGATAAGTTTTGGCTTTGATTCCGAATTTCTATGATTGCCAGACACAAAACATTTACGGGCGAATTGTCGATATGTTTCATTCGACCGACATTTTTCGTCTCCTTGTGCAACTTTTAGATAAGTAAAACTTAATTTTAGACGGACCTTTCATCTTCAATTCTTCAGTCGAGTAATATTTAAAAAACACATTATAGCAAATGTTCTATTTCGATAATTTTTATCAACTGCGAAAATCTGAGTACTCAAGTGAAAAAAATCGAAAAAATGTAAGATGACTTTTAAAATATTCTTTCGTGTTCTATTGTCTTCCATGTGTGTTTTTGTAAACTGTCGACCGTTGTTGCGACATTTCTTTCTATAAGATTTCGTATTTTTTTACTTCTCTGAACAGAGTAATGCTTGTTAGTCATGCTGATCAACAAACTACTATTGTTTTCTTTTCTTTATTTTTACTGTTTGAGTGATTGACAACGAAATGAAACGACGAAAGCAGTTTTCATCAAATTCAAGCTCCCATCTACTATTTCATATGTTAGGAGATGTGAACGAGAATAGGTTTCTTGTTTTTCTAGATTATGATGAAACATTGAGCGCAATCCGATGGCGAAACAAGCTGAAGTTCTGGCGAAAATCGAAGCGAATTTGCATCGAGCTATTCAGCGTCAAGACCTGACAACACAGGTAACACTTTCTATACACAATCATTTGTTTATTTAATACTTCTACTGCATTTATATAGACGGTGAAGTTTGAACTTGATGGTCAAGTACGAGCATGTTGTTTACCGAAGTCATTTACTTATTCAGACTTACTCAAGTCTATCGAGGATTTATATGGCAATCGAGCTTTGCTTGAGCTTAATAATATTCATTGTTTATTTTCGCGAGATGACGCACTGCGTTTACCAATCACAAATGATGAAGATTTGAAAAATTTATTTGCCATTGCAAAGGTAAATGGCTTGAATAAACTTACATTTTTCCTGAAAAAAGAAACAACGAAGACAAATTCATCATCAAAAATGCCAACTAATCTGAATGATGATTCAGGAACAACCTCAGACGATGGACATAATCGAGATGTTGAATCACCACCGCCAGGTACTCTCGTTCCACAAAAACGAAATCCCAAATTGAACCTCTCTCACAAGTCAACAGCATCGCACGGTGGCGGCGTTTATATTCCCGAACTGGTTCGTTGCTTTGTTTTTTTTTGCACCACAATCTCTCGTATATTTATTGCTCGAATAGATTGATGATATATTTTCCAGCGGTGGCTCATCGGCTAATAGTCGCGAATCGAGTGGAAGTAGTGAACAAGATTGTAAACGTCGTTTACGAAGTAAATCTCGAATATTTTCATCCTGACACGAATCTTTCGATTTCTACGCTATGTCTTTTAGCGATGTCAAATAACAAACGTACATCGACATCATCGAATGTTAGCGGAAGTAGTTATTCGTCACAAACAAGCTCCAACGATTCTAATCGGACACCGTGCTCTCGTTCTGCTAACACGGATAGAAGTAGGAGATATACATGGATTGCAATTGTGTCATCAAGTTTTGTATTTTCAGTTCCACAAACACCTTCGAACTGGAAACTTGGTCGACAGTTAGGACAAGGTAGAATATACTCTTCTTTTAAAATAATTCCAACATTTCACTTGCGTTCTACAGGTGCTTTTGGAAAAGTTTTTCTTTGCTATGATGTGGATAATGGTTGTGAATTAGCAATTAAACAAATACAAATCCGGGGTATCAATTCAGACACGACACGAGTAACTAACAACGAATAAAGCTATGTCCTCTGAGATTTATGTGTTTCAGGAAGTGAAATTTCTCGAAGGCGAAATCAATATCTATAGACAACTCGATCATGAACGTATTGTGCGCTATTATGGTGTTGAACAAACCGAAGATTACCTACAAATATTCATGGAATATATGGCAGGAGGATCTGTTCGCGAACAAATATTAAACTACGGCGCATTGACAGAACAGTTGACTAAAAAATATACGAAACAGATATTGGGCGGCCTCGTCTATCTGCATGAAAATCGTTATATACATCGTGACATTAAATGTAGTATAGATTTATTCTACAGAGCAGCAGCAACGAATGCTATATATGTCTTTGATTTGATTTGTAGGCGCGAATATTCTACGAGACATCTCAGGTAATATAAAATTGGGTGACTTTGGTACATCAAAGCGTTTAATTGCTATTACCAACAATAACCAAGCCAATTCTGGAACGATCGGTAAGAAAGAGAGTTAAACCAATGCAATTTACAAGTCATTCTTCGTCCGAGTGTCTGCCATAGATGCTGGTAAAAATGATGGGGGTTCATATCATGACATAGCTCGTCTTTGACTGATTTCGTCATAACGTAAGTCACACGATGAGAGACTACGTTCCGAATGATTGCTCAGTAGAAGAGTTTTCGTTTTTGACTTTCTCGACCGCTGTAAAAGAAAACATCTGTTTTTTAGGCACTGCTCATTGGACAGCACCAGAAATCATTCAAGGAAATATTTTTGGTCGCAAGGCAGATATTTGGTAAAGTATTCAGCTCAAAAGGAACATACACTATGTTTTTTTTTCTACATTAAAGGAGCCTTGGTTGTACTATAGTCGAAAGTAAGAACGAAAATTTAGTCTTGATCAATTTTCTATGGATAAATTTTTCAGTGCTAACTACTGGTCCACCCTGGCAACATCTTCAACCAATTGCTGCTATCTTTCAGATTGTGACATCGGAGAAACCTGAGTAAACGCAACTGCTCGATCGAATAATTCACGTTTTGACAAGTGTCATTTTCTACTTTCAGATATGAACTGCCAAAAAATGTTTCCAAATCAGCACGCGAATTCATCCAATCGTGTTTAACCAAAGACTATCAACGTCGACCAACTGCAACAGATCTCTCTATTCATCCGTTTGTCTGTGATTAATCTCCATCATGAACATCAAGCCGTTGATTTTCCAATGAGAGCATTTCATAAAATATCTTCTGGTTGCATTTTTAAGCAATCCGACTCCGATGTTCTTACGCTGTTCAGATTTTTTCTTCGTCTTGTCCGTAGTCCTTATCATTCAATAGAAAGACACACATAACTCTCATTGAATGTACATGTATATATACATATTCGAATTCGATCAACGAGCAACACTGCGTTCTTGTGCTTAGTTATTTCATGGAAATAAATCAAACGAAGTAAACTGTTTCATTTTCAATCAAAAAATATATAGTATATTGTTCAAAAATGAAGAGAAGACGCAGATATGAGTGAATTGTGTTTTTTTCTTTGTCTTGTAACAAACACCAGTGCTCATCGAATTAGAATAAAAGAGAAAGAGAAAGAGAAAAAAATGTGTTCAGTCAAATGCACAGGACTGCACAACCAGAAAAGACTTGATCCAATAGAGAAATATTTTGTGGAATGCTAATCACAAGTGTTAAAAGATGATCTTATGTATAATAACATTGATAAAAAAAAATGAGAAGAGAAAGAAAAGTTATTGCCAATACAAAAAGAAAAAATTAATGTGCTCCTTCCTGGTTATCGTCAGCATCCAGACCACGTGTGACTTTTGTAAAGTCAAAGGGTTCGCCCATGTAACGACGATAGACATCAAGAATGTCGAAACAAGTTGATTCGAAATGCGTTGTAGCGTCGTATGAACTTGATATAAAGAGCTGCCATGGAAAAAAAACAATTAGACATATACATGTATTTATCAATGAGATAGATTTTACTTTGCTCTTTGTTCCATCTTCAACGGGCTCATACAAATCACTGACACTAACAAATTTTTGATAGATAGGTTCGAGGAGTGCAAGACCGGGTTTGATTTCATTTTCCGGATTGTTGGTTTCGACGGTTGTACTAACCAATGCAACGTACCAATCTTTCGGTGTCACCATATTCGTTTGACCCATACAACAAACATAAATATCTATGAACAACAAAAGAACTCGTGTTTCTTTGCATGATCGTCAAAAACGTCAACGAACCATTATGACGTTGAACTTGCTTTTGAGGAATAATAATCTGAATGGAACCTGGTGATGTATTTGATCCCACGTTGACAGGATGTCGTAGAAGACAAATAGCGCGAATAACTTTACCAACTTTTTTCACTTTGTCAGGTGCATAGGATGGATCACAAATAACAGCTTTACAACGTGCTACTTGATCACCAGATCGAACGCCGACAACAACACCGTTTTCATAAACGATTTCGTCAACGGGCTTATCAAGCATATACGTTCCACCGTAGATAGCACTTAGACTAAAGGGACAATGATTCGTTCTACTATTTCCGTTCAAAGATATTGTACATACCGGGCGAAACCTTGTGGTAATTCGCCAAGACCGTACAATGGATAAAGATATGGCGATTTGCCATAACGTGCTAATGATTCACTGTAGAGTTTGATGCGTTTGATCGATTCCAGTACAGGTTTTGTTAGGTAACTAAATAGAAAATGAACGATCGGTGACATAGGTGTGATACTCAGATCGACTTACTCGTCATCACTGTGGAGTGCCAAAGCATGTCCAGTAAAATCGATGGTATCTTGATCAACACCAAATTTTTTAAATGCATCAACCATACGTGTATTTGGTGGCACGTCTTTATATGTTTTAGGATCTTTTTCATCATATTCATTAACCCAAACCAGTAGATTACGGAAACGTCTTTTTTCGAAAAGACCCATCAATGCTGAAGAAAAGAAAACATACCAATAACGAACACTCAACTACAGTTGCCCTTACATGATGCAAGTGCTTCACGTTCATCGGCTGGTACTTTGTGAATTTTTTGTCCTTTGTATACATAACTACCTTCGATACATTTGAATTCAAGATAACGTGTAACACCTGTATGAATCAATAATTTTACCAAAAGACCTACGTAATCAATCATCAATTGTTATGTTGTTTGTCTTCGCAACCAATTTGTATCTTACCGTTAGCCATAAGAAACTTTGGAATTAAATCAACATTCCAATCACGGCCACGACCTGTCTCAGCTGGCGGCGGTGGTAAGTTAAATTTCGAATAAAGCTAAGCAAAATATATGGTCATAGGCAAATGAAATGGGATTCTATTTACGTCTTCCAGAGGGGTCATCGAAGCTGATTCTCCACCGTAGTATTTGTTGCGATCCATATGCAAGATTTTCTTTCCAGCAACACCGAGTAAACCAGCTAAGACACATTCCTAAACGATTCGAGTATTCAATGAGAAAAGTGTTTCGATTTCAAATGTTGTTTTCCGTTCGTACTTTCAAGCCCGTGCCTAACAAGATAACATCATATTCTTCATCCATGGTTGGATCTTGTTTTTATCTCTTACAGCAAAAAGAATGAGATCGAACAGAGTAGAATTGTTGGTCTGAAAAATGAAATAATGCAATTAAAGTGACACGCGTACAGATGCGAAGAAAGAATATGACGAGTGACGACGGCTGCTCTTCGATGATTCAATAAGATGTTTGTTCGACATACATAGCACAATTGGCGAAACAAGTAGCGACGCAGTGCATTATTTTAGCACATCTTCTCCTTCTACTAGATCACCCATAATGGATGTTAACAACTCGATTTTCATTGGTGGAATCTCAGCAATCTAACGACATCTTCTAGTGTCTCTTGAAAACTTTGTCTATATATATATAATAATAATCCCGAAATAAGTTGATATCGAAAAGGTTTTTTTTGCCTTGGATATATATTTACCTGATTAGCTGAGTCGCTACTGTCAATAATAAAAACAATATCCTTTTCTTTGCGGTTTTGTCTTCTTCTATGTTTTCCTTTCTTTCAGATTCCAACTTTTGAAATTACCATCATGCCAAAACGAAAAGTGAGTTCAAAATTAACAATATGATTGAACCTGTATTTCTCCCTCGCATTTACAGAATGATGATGTCACTGCAGACGACGAGGATGATGAAACGAACTCACGAGAGAAATCTACTCAGCAAAAACAACAACAACAACAACCATCACAGGTGAGAGAGGAAAGCATTGCTTGAACTCAATAGCGGATCTATCATTATTCCCTTTCTAGAAAGTCTATGATTTTCACAAGAAAACTATCGAAGTTTATCCTCAACGTTTACTCGAGTTGAATCGACAGTTTGTCGCATCCATTACCTCTCAAGTCGAAGCTGAAGAATATAGTGTTCTTGTTGGAAACTGTCTCGACTATGTTCGTCAATATTTTAACTATGAAGATGATCTATTGCAATATTCACCATGGTTAGTAACAAGACTTAAACAATCTCGTTCAGGTTAGTCAATTTGGAACTTTTACAAAGCACTCACTATGAAAATCTCTCTTTCAGATATCGTCAAATGTTTACAAGAGACAATCGACGTTTACGAAGCACTTGCACGTCATGATTTTGATCGTATAATCGAGAAGAGCTCTAATGGACTATCATCAGATGATACAGCGAAAAATAAAACTGCTCCAGAAGTTCAACCATCATCAACGTTTCAATTTCGTCCAGCAGCAACTACTGCATCATCATCCTCAGTATTAAGCTTTCCCAAAGCAACTACAACTACTGCAGCTACTACTTCTGCTGTCACTACTACGACTAGCGATACGATTGGGTTTAGTTTTGGACAAACAACAACCACGACAGCAAGTAGTAGCACGTTGCCGTCAACTGGTTCTACTTTTTCTAAACCACCACCACCATCAATAACAACAACAACAACATCATCGTCATCATCATCGACGACGACGACAACAACAACTGGATTTAATCTATCAAAACCTGTAACAACGGCAGCTAGTGATTCACTACCTTCATCTGGTTTTATCTTTTCCAAACCAATTACTGCAACAACACTAACACCAACAACAACCAGCGACTTGACACCACCAACTGGCTTTAGTTTTAAACTGCCATCAGCATCAACATCGGCATCACCAGATAAACAAACGAGCACATCACCATTTGCATTCAGCATACCGTCAACAGGATTTGGAACGGTAGAAATCACGAAAAGCTTTCTTGTCAATCCGAACTCTTCATGACCATTTCCTTCTAGTCAACATTCAACTCTCCTTCTTTCGGCAATCTGGGAAGCGCAGAAAAGACAACCACTGGTTCAGCGTCGTCCATCAGTTTTGCTTCACCTCCGAAATTTTCATTTGGATCAACGCCAGCGATAAGCGCAGAACAACCGGCTACGGGAGAAGATAATGAAGATGGTATTTTTACACATGATTAGATATTTTTATCATAATTGAACGTAATTTTGCTCTCTAGAATCAGCTGAACCACCTGAACCAGAGAAAGTTGAACACGAAGCCGATGCCAAGCTAACCTACAGGTAAAACCTTGACAGATAAGACAATATTTGAGTTGATGATAATAGCGATCTCGATTTCTCGACTATCACTGAGAAAATCGCGTATTGTATCAGCTGAGTATGATGCTCAAAACAGAAATTATCGTGCTAGGAAATACGAATTCTTCTTTTCCAGATGTCGAATGGGAGTGGTGAAGCTAAAAGAAAATAAATTAATCAAACGTGGACCTGTACAAGTTGTGCTGAAGGAAAGCAATGGAAAGCATCAGCTAATCATTCGATCTGATGATGCTTTAGGTAAGACAAAATTCCAATCTTCTTTACTTCATGTTATTTGCTCCTATATTTGAATTCAGGACGATTATATTTGAATATTCTTTGGGCAAAACCCATCGAAGCAACAAAGAATTCTAGTAAAGATCTTACCTTTGTTTGTGCGATAAATCCAGGCATGCCTGAAATCAAAGAAGGTGAATTTGGCAAGGTGTTATTGCGGTTCGATAATGAAACTGATCGAAACGATGCTCACGACAAGCTCAACAAAGAACTTTGATACATTTCTTTCTTTTTGTTTCATATTGAACATTTGTCTAGAAAGAGAAAAGATCGACAGATCTTTTCTACGCATTCTTTAGGTTAATTCCTTTCGTGTTTCTTTCTTTTTTTGTTAACAACGTGCAGATCATCATGTCCTTTTCTTTGTGTCCAATGATTTGTTTCATACCAAAAAAAAGAAAACAATATTCTGAATTATTTCATTGTTCTTTTCACTTCTTCTTCTTCTTTTCCTTTTTATTAAAGATGTTTCAAAATAACGAATCATCGTCAGACGATGATGAGATTTTATGTAAACAAGCTCTACCGATTGCTGATGATTCGATCGAACCGATTGATCTGAGCAAAATGCCAACAACTGGAGAAGAGTATTTGAGACAGGTTCGGTACGATGACCAATATTTTTCTTTTTCTGCACTAATTGCATGATGAAGCTCATGAATAACTCTAACCCAGTGCTTTTACAAGTGATTTATCAGTTCGTACGTTGATGTTGGTTATTTTCTTTAGTTTTCAAGCGTCACAATTGCCAGATTTTCGAAGCGATAGTGAAAAACAAAGACGTGTATCGAAATCTTCAAATACAAAAAACCATGCTTGGCATAAATTGTTTTCTGTACGCATTTGTTCTCAAAAAAGACTTTTCTCTTCTTAGAGTTAGTTTGTTTTTATAGACAGCCAATCCGACTGCGAAGTACGTTGTTCCAATGGATTGGCAAAACGAAGAATGTCGAACGTTTTCTGAAGTACGAAACAGCTTCTTTGAAATGCGCGACCGGCTACGAGCAGCGAATAAGAAATATAAAAATACAAAACTGAAAACTGCGAATCATTATTGGAAGTTCTGTTTTGGCGATGAGATTCCCTTTCAATCACCATTGTCGTCGTTAGAAGCTGATGAACAACAACAAATGCAGAATTCGTTTCCGACTATCACAAAAATGAGCATCCTAACACAAGTAAGTTTCTCGTCATTAGGTATGCTTTTATCCAATTCTATATTTAGCCTCAGATTCACGAACTGTTACAACATGAAATTGATTGGTTGAAGCAATGTGGATACTCCATTCATCTTGTATGGCATTGATTTGATGATTTCTCGATAATATGATGGAACATTTTGTCTGATTTAAGGCTTTGTATACGTTTGCGACTCTCGTAGCAATTGAAAAGCCGATTGGTGATGATGAAATGTACACCATCCGACAAATTTGTATGATATGGAAGCAGACTCGAACGAAATTTTTGGTAAGTCTTTGATATATACGAGTAGCTCTGATTAAAAACTATTTGTCATTTTTAGAATTCTGCGGATAATCAGCAATCTGTTGATAAAGCTTTGATAAAATCATGTGATCTTTTTGTGTGTATAGTCGGTCGTTACTTTGGACAATTCGATCTAGCTGATGCCAGCGAATAAACGATGAAATGTTTCTGTTCTTTCATTTTGTATAGTTTTCACATGTTATTCTAGATGAAATCTTTGAAATATTGTTTTCAGCCGTTAGTTTTGAACCGACTTCCATCTTATATATTATCGACTTCTCGCCGATGCCTAGCGACGGAACAGAGCAAAGAGGTAAAAGGTGAAGTTCCAGGCGAAATAGGTCCATCAGCGCCAGAACTTCAAGTTAATAATCTTACCGGTGAACATGAACGTAAGTAAAACTGAATACTAAGCAATTCTTTCGATCCTTAATGATATTGTTTTCAATAGATGTTGTTGAAATTGCTCTCAATCGTGCAGAAAGACGTAACGCACTTGGTAAAGAATTGCTTGCTCAGGTAATTCAATTTGAAAAAAAAACAACGAATGTCGTATTTGATTTTCTCTAGTTGGATGCGACAATGGACAGCATTAAAGAGAATCAGAAAATTCGATGTGTTCTCTTTCATAGTTTGGTTCCGAATGTCTTCTGTGCTGGTAAAGTTCTCTCACATTAAACAAATAGGGAAGATAAAAGCTGACTTCGTTGTACTTTTTAGGTGCGGATCTGAAGGAACGACTTACTATGCCTCAAGAAGAAGTCGGACCATTTGTGTCAAAGATCAAAGAGATATTTTCAAAAATCTTTGGCTTACCGATACCAACTATTGCAGCACTTGATGGTAAGCCAAATATATGTTTATCAATGAGAGTGGTCGTTCATATTTGAAATAGGTTTGGCACTCGGTGGCGGTCTCGAATTAGCTTTGGCTTGTGATATTCGCATAGCCGGTAAGGATTTTTGCAATGGTAAATTGATGTTTCAACAGAATTTTCTAGCGCAAAATGCTAAACTCGGTTTAACAGAAACAAAACTTGGTATTATTCCCGGTGCGGGTGGTACACAACGATTACCTCGACTGATCGGTGCAGCCAAAGCGAAAGAATTGATCTACACCGGTTTGATTCGATAGACAAAAAGAACTTCTGCTATTCAACACGTGTTCTCTATCTAGGACGAGTTTTAGATGGACAGCAAGCGTATGACATTCGTCTTGTTAACGAAGTGGTCAAACAAAATGAACAATCGAATGCAGCATACAAACGTTCACTAGAAATTGCACGAGAAATCGTTCAACAGGTACGTCTTCCAATAGTTTCTGACTCAAATTTGATTTATCTGAACTTGGTGATTGCATAGGGACCATTAGCTGTTCGAATGGCTAAACAAGCAATCAATAAAGGTATCGAAGTTGACCTTCAAACAGGTCTTGATGTCGAAGAAGGTTGCTATGATACCGTGTTAACATCTGAAGATCGCATTGAAGGTTTGAAAGCGTTTCAAGAAAAACGCAAACCTGTCTACAAAGGTGTTTAATTTCAATCTTGTTTGTTATCTGAGTAACACTGTTTTTGTATTTTTATTGTCTTTTGCCTCTTTTTGCATCCATTAAACCTATAGACAAAAAAAACAAGGAACATACTACCATGGACGAACATTAATGAATAATCTTGCAAATATTTTCTCATGTAGATTTTCATATTATGGTGGGATATGATCCAGGGAAAAAGAATCTAACCAATAGTCAAATTTTACTTGCGAGTTCGACATCAGGTTTTGTTTCACGTTTTCTTTTACAACCGATTGATGTGGTTAAGATTCGTTTTCAAGTAGGATTGAACGTTGCTTATACTCTATCAGGAATCAAACAGCGATATCTTTCTCTAGCTTCAAATTGAACCAATTCGTCAACAGGCAGGTTCAAAATATCAGAGTCTATTTCAAACGATTCGATTGATCCATCGCGAAGAAGGGATTCGAGCTTTTTGGAAAGGACATATCGCTGCACAGATTCTTTCCATTTCATATACTACCTCACAAGTAAGTTGTCGAAATTAGATCGGTTTACTCTCTCAATCGAGTATTGTGTAGATGTTGGCCTTTGAAAAGGTTACTCAACAGCTCAGTGAACTGTTTCCTGGTGCAGGTTCATCAACAGCTGAGAAATCACTCGTACATTTTATCGCTGGATCGATTTCTGCTGGGGTCGGTGTGATTAGCTGTCAACCGATGGACGTCTTACGCACAAGATTTGTTGGTCAAGGTGAACCGAAGGTAATCAAGTCAAGTTAACGAAAAGAGCAGATGTGTTGCAGTATTGACTTGATAGAAATCATCTACAATTCGATTCTTTTTCGTGTGTTGTACTCTCGGCACTCAATGCGTCAGATTGAAATTAGTAGAATTCTTTTGTGTTAAACGTACGCGTTGTATTTTTAATCAGTTGTTTAATAGTCAATGATTATTCACGTTTATTTAGATCTATACGTCCTATATGCAAGCTATTCATCGTGTCTGGACTTGTGAAGGCTTTCATGGGTTCTACCGAGGATTAATTCCGGCTATTATTCTCTACGCACCTGTTTCTGCACTTACATTTGGATTCTATGAATTCTTCAATCGAGCATGGGATCATTTGCCACATAATCGATTCGGTAAGTTAGTTTCGATATTATTCGAATCAAATTCTTTCTCTCACATTACATAATCATAGACTCTTTAAAACATCTATCTAATGGTGGTGCTGCTGGCCTATTAGCTAAGCTTGTTGTTTATCCATTTGATTTAACTAAAAAACGTCTTGAAGTGGTCAGCTTCGAAGAAGCACGTTCAAAATTCGGACAGGTATGCCTTTTGAATGTCTGATCAATATAATCCTCTGATCGCTAAATTCGATTTTAGACACGTATTTACTCTGGTATGATGAACTGTCTTTCTGAAATCATTCGCAACGATGGTTTTACTGGACTTTACAAAGGCATAGCTCCAAGCCTGATCAAAGCCTATCTGTCCACTGCTGTGACTTTGACTATATACGATTCGATTTGTAATAATCTACGGCAAACATCATCTGATTAGTTTGTTTCCTCCACATATGTGTATTATTTTTCAAGTTTTGTAAAATAAATCGACACACAAATTACTTTTCTCTGGAAGAAATGCTGCGTTCCAACTGTTAAGTAACATAAATATCAAATGAAGTTCTCTACTTTTAAACATAATCATCAATGTATAATTACTGGTTCCATTTCTTCTTTTCTTCGTTATATTTCGCTCTCGCTCTCCCTTTCTCAGTTACTCTCAATAAGTGCACCAGTTTGCGACATTGGATAGAGACAAGAAGAGACGCTCGCGTTTTCTCCCTCTCTCTCTACTAAACCATTACGTAAGATAAAAGAAGAAGAAGAAGAAGAAGAAAAAACGAAGGATGTGTGTATAAAATAAAAGGTGCCACTCTCGTGCCACAGCTGAAAACATGCTGAGTAGCAAGAGGTCATGTTTATGCGCAAGGTCAGTGTTGTTGCAAGTCGATTGCCTATAATTTAGTAAGTTGATAACAAATTTTTCGTTTGATGAACTAAATGTCAGACAGGTGGATTTTTGTCAATAGAAATAGGAACAGACAAGGTAATATTCATAGTATAAAAACTCCGATCAAGAAGTCAAACGAGGTTTGCTTGTCTTCATTTCATCGTTCAGCATTGTGAAACGTACATTTCTTTTCACACATACGACGATTTTCTTGTGGGTGCCAAAGGTTAACTCTGTGAAAACTTAATTGTTATAATCACAGCCTTTTGTTTATTTTTAGTTTACCATTTCCCATGCAGCCAAGTCGTTCAACACATCGAACACGCTGGCGGACTCGTCGATTTTGGCGATTGTTTCATCGACAGAAGCCGGCAAGCATCGATATTACCTACACTTACGAAAATCTACTACGTTTTCGTGAGTTGCCTGTCTTGTTCTCTTCTTCTTCTACTCTACTATTGTCTTTCTTCTGCAGCGCGACTGCCGATTACTGTCCCACCACTTGTTCCGACGTTAATGTCTTATCGATGGTATGTTTCTTTCACGCGGAATGTTTGTATTTGGGCGTATGAACCCCAACTATCTCTCTTAGGTACTATTGACGTAAAGCTTGTGAGACGAACAAATGACAATGTATTTACAGCGCTAAAGAAAGAAAGAAAGAAAGAAAGAAAGCAAGAGCGAGATTATAGTTCGAAAAGAAGGATTAGATCTCTGCGTGTGCGATCGAACTAGTAAACGAGCAATCAGTTAAGCACGTTCAGAAAATGCAAACAGTCAGTCGACGACTAGCGATTAATTGACACGCATCTGTTTAACGCCTTTTTTCTATGTTGTAAACATCGTCCCTTTTCTTCAACGAAGACACAGACACAAGTTTTGATAGTAGTGTCAAGGTAAGAAAGAAAAGAGCGACGGAGAAAGTGAGCAAAATACAACAAACGAAAGGTGAGACAAACGCGTTGCCATTCTTCGTGTGTGTGTGTTTATGTCTCGTATTTGAACATGCTCATTCTGCTTGATTCAACATCACTGATTATAAATCTCGAATTTCCAATTGAATCTCAACAGACAAACAAGAACGACAAATACATTATTTTGATTACTAAAATGTGGTTTTTCTCACGTTGTATAAGCATTGATTCTTTAAATACATGTTTTCAACAACAAAAGAATAGATCGAGTTATGATTTTCGTCTTTATGCTACCAAGTCTGATGTTTTAGCAAAAAGGTGAGACACGCTTTAATAATTTTTCTTTATTTAATAGTTTTCCTGTTTCTAATCAAGTTCAATAGACTGAGCGAGAGAGAGAAAGTAGATGATGAAACACTTGGTATTCGTGATTACATCTCCATTTCCTTCCTGTTGAATAATCTGTGAACATCCGGTTTACATTTTTCTTTTCTATCATAAGAATTAATGTGTACATAAGATATTCCTGCATTACATCATATTTGTTCATTTTGAACATCGATGAAAGAACCCAAAGTAATTACCTAGAATAATACTCGACACTGAAAATCTGTAAATAATCACATTTGTGTTATAAGAAGATAGATTTTTCATAAAACCTATGCGACAGAGTCATTTGTGCGTAAATCTCATTTTGAATTTCTCTTGTTGTCTATAGGAACGATGAAGATGACTGTGAACCTGTGCCTAAGAAACCTCCACGTGATGCACATTATCAACAGCATTTCCGTCGACGTTTACCAAAGCGTTATAGTGATATCGTTGGACCGACGACGACGAAAGTGAACCCTCCACGAAGAGAATTCACATTTAAAGAGAAAGAATCGACGGATGCTGCTGCTGCTGTACTTTCTCCACGTAATCATCGACAGTTGTCCAGTAAGCCAAATAAAACCGAAGATATTTATACTGTTAATGCGCCGAATAAAAAGACAAACGAAACTGTTTCATCGGTTCCGCGGACGGAAAAATACGAACGATCGAATCCAGCCCGTCGGTATAATAGTAAAAACAAGCGTTTAGCCAGCACAAATGCAGTCGATCTTCTAGCACATCGCATGCAAGCAGCAATGAGTGCAGAACTGATGCATTCACTTGATCGAAATTTTGTTTTTGGCGACAAGAAACAAACCGCTAGTTATCTTCATATGAACCGCTCCTATTCTTTCAATATTTCGACACCGCCACCAAGTGCGTGGTGGCAAAAATCTATTCATATGGACCATCATTACTATATGATTCCACGCGTGAAAACATATCTTGACGATGAACAAAAATCCATTGAAACGATCCAATCCCTCGATGAACCTACACCCGACTACGAAGAAGAAATTGTCATTCAGGAAAATCAAAATGATCAAACTGACGAAGAACCTGCTGCAGATTACGAAGATTCAACAGTGACACCAGCGTCCGACCACACGGAATCGCCCGTTGGTCAGTCAGCAGCGTATGATCTGGGTGTGTCATCATCGTTTGTTCTTCCACAAAACTCCCTCACTCCAAGCAGCGAGGCGTGTACGCAAGACGAATCATCAGTACCACCAACTCCTCCTCCACTTCCAAGTGCAATATTCGAACAAAAGAATATCACATTCCGTTGCCGTACCATTGCAGATACAATCAGTGCCGATCATAAATTGATATTAAAAGATGAAACGGAGATCCGGATAAAAGCTAAAGAAGAAAAACAAACAGGTAAAGGGCTTTCCATTGTGCAATTCATTTAGTTTCTGTACTTTCTTCTTTTCAAGTTTCTAAATTACAGACACCCCCTGTAAAAAAATCACCTCCGATTTCTCTTGTTACATCGAAACCATGTTATTTACATCTTTCCAAAGAAATCCTACAAAAGACAACATTACGTAAAGTTTCTCAACCCGTCTCCCGTTCGTATTCAACCTATGGGTCGATGTCTCATTTAAATGAACATGACACTGAGTCAACAACATTACGCGGTCGTCACACTGTTACCAACGATGATCAAGCCATCGATGGTTTATCATCATCAGCCACAACATCGATTGTGATTGAAAATGAATATGAACATCGAACTTCGTCAAAAATCTACAATGACTATAAACGACGCGCATCTTCTATAAATATTTCAACAACGAAAAGTTTCAATGGCACTTACAATCACGCCTCTCACATTCACCCAATTCATACCCATATCGGTTTACGTTCGTCGACTTCATCATCATCTACCATTGATAAAACATCTGATCTGAATCTCTCGAATAAGCAAATGGATGTCGGTATCATTAATCAATTGAATGAACATCTATCCGTTCGTTTTCGTAAGCAACAACAAGAAATATGTTCACGAAAAAGTACACATACAATTCTCGAAGATTCAACGAATCAATTGATCGATAATGCTACCAACGATACTCAAAATCACTATGATGAACCTCATCTCACAGAAGTTACACAGATAACACCCATTCGCTGTTCAGGAACATCAACAACGTCAATTCCACCACCACCACCACCGTAAGTTCAATTAATAAAAGTTCGTGTTCTTGCCCGACAAAACTAAACAGGAGATATATCTGGTATAATCTAAATCTTTAAATAACGAGAACATAGTACCACCATAACCGTCAACAAGTTTTCGTAATAGTAACTCGAAGCGTATATCTGTCATTGAAATTATGGTTTACTTTGAACTAGATTGCCTGTGGGTGGCTTCCGATCAGTTGTCTCACAATCGAACCGTCCATTCAGTTCTCAAAGAACATCAATCACGACGTTAGCACGCGAACCCAACGGATTGGAACTCGGATGCAACACGGGAACATCAACAACATCAAGCAAATTATCGGATACACAAATTCTTCAGGAAGTAAGGTTTACTATAAATAACTCTCTGATCAATATATCTCCTTGTTTGCTTCTTTAAATAGCTCCGTACCAATCCACTGTTCACGAAAGCAAAACAATATCTTGAAATCGAACCAGGCTCCAACGGTCGTCGATCTGGACGTCGTTTGAATGAATCAGCCCCGTATTTACGATTGGAAACATGCTCGAAGGGAGTTTCATCCGACCCTCAGGACGATGATTCTGGTCGAAAATCCTTTCTCATGTGCTCTGCTGATGTCAATTTTACGATCGAAGCTCCATCGAAATCAAATAATTGCACAAAAAATGAAATAAAACGCATTAATTCCCGGACATTCACTAAATCCTTCTTACAAACTCAATGTCGACAATCAGAACTCGAAGTTATTTTCCAAGTAAGTTGATGCTATTCAGACATCTGCTCAGAAAATATCCTCAGACAAAATAATCAGTTCGGTATTACATTTTCATTGTTGAAACAAACTTGTTTATGTATTGTAATTAAAATCTGATATATTTTTCTTGTTGTTCTTTTTAGAAACGTGCTCAGCGAAGTGAACAAAATCTAACTTAATACAAGACATTTGTTCTCGACTATTTTTTGTTCGTTTCCAATAAAATGCATTTATATTATCAAAGACATGTCACTCTTGATATAGTGATATCATGATAGGTGCAATAATCAACAAGAATGTTTGTTTTTGTTGTGTCATTCATTGGTATGCATTCGTTATTGGTATGTGGAAAGGAATATTTCGTAAGCAAACAATGTTTCGCCGGGTTCTTCTTGACGATTGTCGGTGAAACTAGTGGAGATGATTGAATTGCTACTTGTTTATTATTATCCGAATTAGATTCGAGATTTTCGGCTGAGATAGCAGACGAGGCTCGAGTTTGCGAATAATGTACGAGCTGCAAATGATGATGCGCCATAAGATAATTTCGAATACGTGCTGGAAAACACTGACAGAGATATTTGACAAAAGCTCGACGAAATTCACGCGACGAATAGGCATAGATGATTGGATTCACACTAGAAAAACGAATGATTCAATCATAGAAAAAGATGTGATCTCGTACCTTGAATTGATATAGCCTAGCCAGGTAAATAATTGAAAGACAAGATCATTTCCGACGAGAAATTGTTCGAAAGTAGTCAGGGATGGTTTTGTTCGCAGAAACTGTTTTGCTACTGCAGTTAATGGATTATAGATGAAAAATGGTAACCAGCATATCACAAAAATGCCCATGACGTAAGCAAGTGTGATGGTTGCTTTTTGTTCTTTGGAGAATTTCGATAAACGCTTGCCGAATGATTGACGATATTTATTTGCTTGAATTTGCTTTCGATTCGCATTCATTTCAGAAGTGTTCATAGATGAGCAATATGACACAGAATTATCGGTTACCGATGAATCGCCATCATTTGGTAGACCATGATATTTTCCTCGATGAATACGCAGGCAAACATCAGGCGGAGCATTAGCTGGAGTGACTTCTGCTTGTTTTCGTCTCTTGCGTAACTTGGGTTTGATGGATGGTGTGACTTTAACACCGGTTTTGAACGCTTGTAGTTGCTGAATAGCAGCGCGGTAGATTTGAATATAAACAAAGATCATTACAAATAATGGAATATAAAATGATATGAATGAAGAGAACAAGATATAGTAGATATCATCAGGAAATAGACAACGGTTGTCTTCGTATTGACGAGGAACTAGATGCCAATAGCCAACAGCTGGAAACGATATTAAACCTAAACGGAAATGGGTTTAGCGAAAAGGATATTGAGGAAAGTGTAAAAAAAAAGTTTACTTGAACATAACCAAACGGCAACGAGTAGATACGGCCAACGTTTAACGAAAAATGCTCGATGATATGAGATAGGATCAGTTATTGCTGAATATCGATCCAAAGCGATGACGCACAGATCTAATATCGATGCTGTACTAGCACAGACATCAAATGAATGCCATACATCACAAAAGATTTGACCGAATGGCCAATAGTCACCATAGATCACTTGGATAATAGCAAATGGCATGACGACTAATCCAACAAATAAATCGGCGCATGCTAATGAGGCCATGTAATAGTAAGTTGCTAAAAGAAAGAAAGAAGAATGCTTATAAAAATCTCGAATATGATCAAATCTACCTGATTTCAGATATCGTTCCTGCATAACGGCATAAATAACGAGAACATTACCAAGTACGGTAATAATACAACAAAAGCTAAGGACAACACTTAAAATTGGATTAATGATGTTAATATTGTGATTGATTTCTTCGAATGAAAACTCAAGCGAACTGTTCGAACCGACAGATGTCAAGTTGATAGCTATTGGCATTGGATAGTCGAAATAGATAAGCAAAAAGGGAAAATATCATCATCGTGTTCATGAACTTGATAGTCGTGGTTGGTGCTCTTTTCTTTGGAACACTTCTTTTTCACATCTGAAACAAACAAGGAATGAAGTAAAGCTTTGATCAATGCTTGACATAATCCGGATATGCATCAGACAGTAGCTAGAAAGAATAATCTTGTAGATTAACTAGCTTTTATACACAGATAGTAATAGTCATATTAGTATGACATTGATTACAATGAAAGATCAAATTACAAGACGGCTGTTAACTCAGAACGCATCAATTAAAAAACTAGGCAACTGCAAGCAATTCTATGTAATAACTAAATACATTTTCCTGGAAATGTCCTCGAGTATTCTTGGAGAAAAGATCTGTTTACTATTCTTTTTTCTCCAAGTTGAAGTCACTTGTCGAATGAGACTATGCAAACTCTCCAATCGTCAATGACAAGATCAGTTTGAATAATTAACTAGACGGGAAATACATTTGTTTCGTTTCGAGTACGATTACCAGATCGAGGTAGATACACATGACCTAAGCTTATATTTAGTCTTTTGGTTCTGTTTACAATCTATAATTAGCAGTCGTTCAGTTGCCATGCATATAGAAAAGACTACCTAGTATGAACGGGTTTGATTGGAAAGGGAAGTGTCAGGACGTTCTCTGGTTTTTGTACAATGAAGAAACTAAATGGCATGTCATTACGCTATTGGCATGTTCAATAATTTCATTAGGCGAATAGCGAGAGTTGATCGCTTTCTCAATCTGAGAGTTTCTAGGGATGTTGAATTATTAGTATAAAACTTTTAGCACTATTTACAGAGAGAGTTGATTACATGTGATCTTCTTGTATTCAAACTAGCTTATTGTAGCTAAAAATTCAATTTTCTATCTATTTTAAAACGAGATTAGATAAAGAACATAAATATCGAAAAGCTGAGGGAATCTTACAGATGATATTCAACTAAATGCATTTCAGAACACTAGGTATTTTTCGACGAAAGTACTCGTCTTGATTACTATTTTCTCTCCCCATCATTATTAATTAAGTTGACTTAGTTATTAACATGGCGATGGAAATACGACTGGATGTCTCTCCTTAAGCATGCACATGAAATTAACCGTTGGTGTTTCTCTAGGATAGTTTCTTTATTGATATTTTTAAAGTTAAGATGACAGTTCTTGTGTAATCTAATAAGAAATATTAAGTAGGAGTAAATGGAAAGCGTGTGACTTTCTATTCTTTACCATTTTCCCACAGTGTTGAGTGCTTGCGTTTGGCATCCGTTTTACTTTTAATAGTTTCATCTTGTTTCACAAAATAGTCATCGAGTGAAACAACGGAACATCCATTAAGACATGTTCCTAACTGTTTCTCATACATTCCTGTCACGCACACCTCGAAATGAAGCGATAAGAAAGAAACCGATCTTCACCTACCCATTTCACGAAATTGTTCTCATTCGACTGATGCAAATATTTGCTTTTCTTGCAATTTAACGCTATGCTGATGAGCTAAATACTAATAAGAAGACAAACGGAAATCTCGTAATGCACCTCAATACGTTCTATCGTTTGATGTCGAGGAAAACTTCTTTTGTTCTATGATTAATGCATTGGCAAAAGGGGGCTGCACTTCAACGTTCTTGTGATCTCTATTTTTAGTCAAGAGTCTTGTCGAACATCTCGAAAAAGAAATCGATTGCGATGTGTATTTGAAGAAAGAGGGAGAGAGACAGAACGACGAGAAAAGAGAGTGTATTAAAGACAAATATCACAAGTAATCAATAAGAAACTAGTTTGCAATTACTTTTCCAGAATAAACAGACATGAGCACTTTCTCTTTGAATTATTATGGAAAAATAACATCGATTCTGATGTTTTTGATAATTAAAACGACAAGATAAACATCGAGCTGACGTTTCTGACAAGAGGAGAGAGAGAGCAGCGATATGAAGTTTACGTTTACGTCGAGACAAATCTGAAAGTTTGCTTTTGAAACGAAAAGAAGAAGAGAGAACAACGAGAAAAATCCTAATTGACTGAATTCTACTAAGACTGACGTCTATTGAATTATGTTCATCAGAGAGATAAAAAAATTCATTGACATCCATAATGGTATTTATTAGATCAGTCATCAGATGAAATAAGACAGTGTATGGTTCACTTTGACAAAATTGAACTTCTTTAAACGCAGTGAAAAGATCTTACCGACCCAATCGCATTAAGAATGCGAATAAGGTTATTTTTCGTTTCGACTGATTCTCTGTGCTTACTTGGAGCTTGAATCAGCGCACAGTACACTCAATGGCATCAATGAGCGGATGATATGTGTAAGCAGAGACTTCTTCGAGACATTTATTTTACTGAAACATATTTTATAAATCATGCTGCACTAGTGATCCATGTCATATGCTGTCATGCTTTTGAGATGAGAAATATCATACTGTTCTTTCTGCCATTCTTAGTCATCTGGTATTAATATATTTGATGAATATTCAATTATACCGCGAGCATTTTGTTTCTATCATCTGAATGGATAATAATAAGAATCGATCTTTCTCTTTTTTTTTTATCGATCATGCGTTCTTTCTTTCGTATTAATATAAAGAAAACGATGAAATCCTACGGGCGAGAATCGCGTACAAGAAAATTTCTCCACGATGACCATCGTTCGGAATTGTCGTATAAATAAACCATTGAACGCGTCAATGATGGCTGTAATGTTTCTCGATGACACTCGAACAACCAAAGAACCACACCCCAAACGAATGCAGCGAACCACGGAAACACCGGCTGTTGAATACGCGGTAACCAAGCACGTTTTTGTGCATAACGTGCGAGCCCAACTGTGATTCTTGCGAGAAGGTAGTAAATAATTTGTTCATTGACACTGTTATGCTCGTTAAAAGTCACATAACCAACAATGAAAGCGCAAACGAACGCTCGCCATGGTTTTGAGATTCCAAAAACGGATGCAAAGATTGTTCGAAGTGTTTTATAACAAAAGACAAATAAACCTAAGTTTTTCCCATGTAAATAACTCATTCGAATAATAAAACGAATTCGCTGTGGCCATGGCTCTCGACGAAACAAGATGGCTTGGACAAGAGAATGTGCAAAACGTACTTTAGCACCGTAGACAATACCTTGACGTAAGCCTTTTATCGTTGCTAAAGTACTATGATGTGATGGATCATTGAGAAAACTATTGACAACATACGGGATGATCGACATGAAACTATTGAGATGGTTGTGATGATCAGATCTAGGTGAAATTTATGTACGACTGCATATTTAGTTAGAAAATATGCATTTGTTATAGTTTGTTTTGCTTGACGTCCGTCGAATTGAATTAATGGATGAATCGAAGGACCAAACGACACAACAACATTGAGAATAACAACTGAAGTTATAGATGTCTCCAGTCAACATATGTTTCTTCTCAGTCGATTGCATTGCGACAGTGCATGAAGAATGGCATCGCGCTCTTTTGCGATTGAATTTATAAATCACGTCAAAAATTCTCGTACAAATCAGAAAAAGTTTCAATCAAGCAAGAATGTCCCTCAATGCGTATATGTAAAACATAAACAGCAAAAAAATATCATCTGACTATACAAACGAGTGAGTAGTTCAAAGTCGAAATGTTATGCAAATACGCTCGACGATCGTTTATTGAACCATGCTTCTGACATCGGTACACGAGCCGGTCCAACCAAAACACTATCATCTTGAGTTTGTCCGTTTTGTTGCGTTGGCGGTTGACCTGTGCGATGGGTTGCGGCATCCTGCTGTTGATTATACAGTGAACGGAATGTAATTGCCTGTTTCAAGTAAAGTCGGGCTTTGACAATTTCTCGTAGCAGATATTTCAGATCATCGCTTTCAAGTTCAGGCAATAAACTATCATCAAGTTCTAAATCATACGTTTTATCTTCTTGTAAACGATGCATGAATAAATGTAATTCGCGAGAGTTATTTGTTGAACGATGGTAACGCCCGTTATTGTCATGTGCGAGACTTTTGAGAAAATAGTTTGCGTCTAGATCTTGGCAACAGAACGAGATTGTATTGATCGAAATACGTTTGTTTTCAGTTGTATTCATGTCGATCGTGTTCATCAAACGAACTTGTTCCAAGAGGTATGTTGTACTATGATCAGGTTTGCCATCACTAACGTAATAAATCGCATCGATTGGCTGTTTAGTTTGATGAAAATCAAATGCGTATCGTAAAACGCGCTCGCTGCAAGTGTTTCCATGTGCTTTCAATGTACTTATCCAAGCCAATGCTTCGTGACAATTATCTTCTGTTGGAAAAATCAGATTTTCACGCCATGCTTGATAGGTGTCATTAAATTGAATAAAATTAAATTGAATTTGATTCGGAAACAATTGTTCCCAGACAAGCGTAGCCAATTCTTTCTTTAAGAAGTCTAAATACGGTTCCATTGAACCACTTGTATCAACAAGAATAAGAATGTTCTTATGAGTGATTGTTGAGAAAGTTAAACGACTGCCGTTCAATAACCATTGCATGCGTTTGTAATAACGACGAAGAACACCTTCGCACCGTCGACGATAATCATCTAATTCTCGTGGACGTAATTGTAAATGGCGAATACTACCGTTGATATTAATCGATGGAAATACAGAACAGTAACGAGCAGATGATGTCGATTTTAAATTTGGAACAGTAATTGTGTCATGGCGACCTAGGCAAACGATTGCTTCGACTAATCATGTACGACTATATGTGAGTACTTACATTCTGGTCCCGAAACCATTTTGTGTAGGTCAAGTTTCAATCGAACAAGTGAATGTTTTCTTAACCAAGCCTGAAACAGAGTTTACTGATGTTGAATCTCCCTAGTTAAGGAATCTTCTCTTACGTGTGATGGTTCATTATCTTCATTTGTTGGAATAAGTAGGACATGGCCTGGCGAATATTTTCGTACGGATTTCTTTCCTGTTGATGCACTTGTTGAATCAGTTTTGAGTACCGAAAGTTTTGTGTTATGTTGACCATCTATATAGAACGATTCTTGCTTTAAATCTCCTGCTGCTGCCGCTGCTTTTTGTCTAAACAACCAAATAAATCGATCGAGTAAAATTTTTCTATTACAAAAAGCACAGAATCCAATTACTTTCGGCGTCGTGCACGTGCAGAATCTTGTCGTAGAGGTCTGTCTTCAGGCCATTCAGGTATTAGATTTCTATTTGAGTTCGTACTCGTTGGTCTCCAATGTTGTTCGTCTCCATTATTACTTGAATCATTGAGATGTTGTCGGGCAGCACTCAGTAATGTTGGTCGAACAACTAACGGTCCCGAACGCTTTTCCTTGTCTGTATTTTCAATAGGCAAAGCCTTTGAATTTGCATTGTCACTTTCGCGGACACGTCGTTTGGATTTAACCGTTTCGACAAGATTGGCTGCTTGTTCGGAAAACTGGCAAGCTTTCTCGATTTCATTTTGAAGTAATTTAATGTCATCACTTTCGATAGTTCCAGTTTCGCGAAACCACAAAAATCGTCCACCGGAGTGTTTTGCCAATGCACGCATGAATTCCGCTGTTTTCGTGGCATTAGCCCATCGACCACTTCCTGTCATTGATAGACTACTCTGAATACCATGTTCGGACATGTAATAATCGTCAATATTGAACAAGATCGTATGCAAATGTATCGATCTACCAACATTACATTCTTCGACATATGCACAGCATACATCCAGTGTTTGATCTGGTACGCCACTTGTTAACAGATAGATGCCTTCTGGATGAATATGATGTTTACGTTCTTCTTCATTTTCGTAAATAGCACGCAATGCATTGAGAAGATTACGTGTGCCACCACAATTTAATCGTAACACCTACAATTTATACGATATTAAGGGGATCAATTATTCTCTAAGAAAACCAAAAAAATGATCGTACCCATTGCCAAGCAAGTTGCAAGTTTTCAATATTTGGTTGTACCATTGTTGGTTTGAATCTTAGTAATCCATCTTTATGAGGTGTTCCAAATGCAATGATATTAAAAAATCGTCTGCCAAACAATTGCTGTTCAAGTAACAATCTCAATGAATGTTGAATATGTATAATATAATCACGATTTGCTTGGCAACAGTCCACCAATATGATGATATTATTTTCAACAAGATTACCAAAGATTTTACGTGATGATGAACATAACCATTCCATGCGCTGTTCGTACAATTCGACCACTTTTTTCAATCGCTTCTGATAATCGTACAGAGCGGCGAGATCGACATGAACATTCTTTGTAGTACCATCGTGCCAATCAACTTGAATCATGGAACGGTCATATATTTGAGAGGTAACAGTTTTACGAAGTATTGGAATGTAGTCTTCACGTGCTGCATAAGCGTTATGTCCAAGAACTTGAAAGATTGTTAGCTTTTTCGCATATAAACCATGTTGACAAAGCCAATCAGCTGACGTACGATAGACAGCTGGATTATTGCTTGATAAAGTTGGAGGTGGATCTGTTTGCTGTCTGCTTCCACTTGAGTCGCGCTAGAAAACAAAATAATTTTCAGTTATTCAAATGATCGTACTACCTTGTATTTTTGTGTCTAATCAAAAAAATGATTGGAAGAAACTTACAGTTTTGCTAGAAGAATTAGCGGATTTGTGTGATGGTGTTGCTGATCGGCCGGCAACGCTGACACTATCATTGAAACGAACGCTGGACGACTTATCTTGTGACCGAATCGATGACATCCGTTCGTTGGTTGTTGCTGCTGATAGAGAACGTGGTTGTCGAGCATAGATTATCGGTGATTGTTCAATAAAATGTTGAGAAAAACGTAATGGTTGTTCATGATTGGGTGGACGTGGTAGAAACTTCGATTGAGGATAATGTGCCATATCGAGAGTCAATTCGTTTTCAATCGAAATTATAGCCGAACCAAGTGCGCCGTGTCGCATTTCGTTTATGCGCGACAAAAGATCATAAGAACGCTGAATTTCTCGTACAAGAAGACGAATATCTGTACTATTGTAGATCTGATGAGGCTGTTCACGCGAGTAACAATGATACGTATGTTTAATTGTTTCAGGTATATCAGTGGTCAAGTTTTGTAAAGCGCTAAACGAAAATGAAACAATGTTCTAGTTAATCTAAAGAAGGCGATGCTTTGTTTGACTAACCTCAACGGATTGTGTTCAACCAGTGCTGTTGATGTTGATGCTTGTCGTGAACGTATCGAAGCAAACGTGCTTGCAGATGTAGTCATTGTTTTCAATAATGCATTGACGAGATGATGGCTACAGTCATAAGATACGGCATGGATGCGTGGAATGTCTTCGCCACAGAACAATTGTGATGTATAATCAGCAATAATGTCGATATTTTGATCAGGTAGACTACCAACAACTAATAGAAGTGTATCGTAATCAGACATCAACGATGCACGACGTAGGGCTAAAATTGATGATCAATTTTGTAGAGAGAAAGACAGTGTTAACATTGTACCTTTTAATAAATTACTACCACCACTTGTTTTGAATACACATTGACTTGCGCCGTCCATATGAGTGCAATTTTCATCGGTACAGCCAAATGCTGATTTCAAGGTTGCTAGCCAAGCGCGTGTCTCGTCCAATGAACGAGAGTTGACGTCACGAACACCTTTCCATAGAGCATCAACTTCAGTTCCATATGCGATAAAACCTATTTGTTCTTTATGAACTAATTGTTCATCAATTAAGCTTAATAAATGTTTATGATATTCCTCTCCGCGTCCGAAACTGGCTTGACTATAGCTAAAATCTAGGATAACGAGAACGCGTGCACCTTGAACAACGCCAAAGACTTTCCGACTATCTTGCAATAACCATCGGATGCGATTCGATACAGTTTCAATTGTCGTATGTAAACGACATTCGAAATCATTAATGGTTAACGAATCAAAACTGATGTGTTGAATTGCTCGACCTGATTTATCGGTCGTAGGCAAAGACACTTTACCTTTAGTCAAGAGATCTTTTAATGTCAAACCATTTGCGGCTAGACCGTATTGAGATAACCATGCTTGTGATGCACGTGTAATCGAAACATCTTTTGGTACCGCAGTAAGACGATCTAAATCATGATAATGATTGACATGCGTGGCTTGCAATTCATCAGGCGGTGCACCGCGGGCTGAAAATGGTATAAAGTCTTGTTCATTTCTCTTCTCTTGGGAGTATTGACGACGTTCATCGTCATCGTCATCGTCGTAATTTTCATTGGCATTGATTATTGTAGATTGTTCATCATCAGTCAATGATGTTAGAGATTCCTCCGAATCTTCTCCTGTCGACATTAGATTCAATCGAGATTGATTATTGTTTGCAAGTCAGTCAGTTTCAACAGATTGATTTATTTGATAACAACCATTTTTAGTTTTTATGGTAACCAGGTATCTACCACATGTTAAGTGTCCCATATCGTCTTTTTCTAGTTACATCTAGATCGATAATAGACGTATAATTTTAATGAATATGGAGAAATATTTCGATTTATTATCGATTCATTAAGTGCAATATAGATGGCGCTAAGCGCTTTCGAAGAAAAGGGTACATTTTTGTGTGATAACGTATTGCGTTGCATGAGACTAATATAAGTCCAAAGCACAGCGATTTAATTGCTTTCGATATGTTAGAATCGTTTTTTATTCTTCTTAAGAAATGAGTTACACTACAGAGTACTACATTAATATGTTGGTTTCTAGTTTTAAAGACGAATAGTCAATGAATGAGAAAAATATAATACTTTTAAACCTAGGAGAAAGAAGAAAGAGTTGTTTTTAGATAAAAAGCTAATTGCTTGTTGTTTATGGACGAACGGTGAGAAGAACACGTGTAGCCATTGAGAGTGTTGTAAGATAACCAGCAAGACAAGCAATAAATCGGCTAGGTTGTGGTAAAGCCAACTAAAATAATCGAAGGGAAAAGGTCATGTTGAAAAATGTTAGAAGAAATTATCAGATGCTTTACTTGATAGGTAAGTGTGTGTAAGACACGTGAAACAAAGAAGATGCGGAAATGCCAGAGAGCGGTATCGCGGTCTGGATTGGTACCAACGTAGAGTAATCCAACGAGAACGAATGGGACGATGTTTTCGATATCGTTCAAATGGTTACGACGAACGCGTTCGACATCAGGATCATTTAAGACGACGACGGCTGATTTATTTTTAGCCAAGGATAAATCTTCAGGATTGGCAAAAACCTATCGATAGGAAATGAAAAAAACCAGTGCAAGTATCAACGAATCGATTCTTACATCTTTGGACATACGTTTGAGAGTTGTTAAAGCAGATAAACCCATCATTTTAACAACAGATGCTGTTGAATAAAATGCGAAGTTTGAGAAGACTGAATTGTTAAGTGTATAATAAAGGATCGACATTTTGTTCGATTAATTTGTATTAAATCTAACGAAGATAAGTTTGTTTTCAAGTTGGGGAAATAAATCGCAGTAGGTCGTCTTCTGCACACGTCAAGATACCTGAAATGAATGAGGAGAAAAGAAGAAACGATCGTCGAGATATAATGTAAGCACAACAACAAAAGCACGCACACACACAGCACATCATCGTATAGAAACTATTTTCTCTCGTTCTCTCCACCAAAAAGAGAAGAAAATGTTTTTCTCTCGTCAGGACGTATATTTAGATGGGCTTGTTTCTGCCTTTTCTTACGCGGTACATACCCTCTAAACCATCGGCATTCTGTATTATCCATATAAACAGAAGGAGACTAATGAATACAAATAGATTATATCTTTTCAAAAGAAATAATGCCTGAAATGAACTTTTTCGATTGACAAACTAACGACTATTAATGCTTTTATCATTATGGCATTCACTCGCCAGTGCCGACATCAATGTGATGTCCAGTGATCTGGAGAGTATTATACGATCATCATTAACGAGACAGCACCATATCAATTCCACCCTTGTGTAGGATGATTGACACTACAAACGGCGCCAATGGTTTCATTTGCTTCTTATTCGAGTCGATATGGATACGGCTAAGGAACATGAGAAGTTAGATATTGTTGATCTACTTCGTTTGTTACGAAGTTATAATATGAAAGAAACAGAAGCACGTCTTCGACAAGAATATCGTTCACTGACGAGTACTGATCACCAAACATCTTTTACGACTAGATTGAATGTAAACGATTATTTCATTGTCTATTCATATCTGTTGGATTTCATTATGAGTTCACATTACCAGATCGAATTGATCCAATTCCTTTTCCCGCTTTTTGTACATATGTACGTGGATCTCATTGAACATGATTATCTCGACGATGCCCAAGCATTCTATGATCAATTCGTGGATTCTACATTATATTCTTTACACACGGAATTTTTCTACTATCTGAAAATGATATCGCGATCATCCAAACATCTATCTCAATGTCCATTGACGGATTCATTTCGTACAAGTCGTTTTTTTCTGTGTTTGTCAATGGCAACATGCAAAGAGTTGCAAGCTTTTATTCATCACACCAGAACTGACTCTCAATCGTGTTTAACATCGGCGCAAATTTCCCTACTCCTATCTATTTTTCAACGGCATATCAAAGTCGATGTCAATCAGCAGGAATTTACACCATCGAACATCGTACGGTATCAAACTGTCGAACAGCCAATGGCACCGTTGTTTGTTCATACAACACTTGCGAATAAAATACAATTTACGCGTTTATACACCGGAGTTTTACCTTCACAAACACTACCACTCGATCCGAATCGATCATCAGGTACATAAAAGTCTTCCTGTAGATCCGGATGAATCAAAAGTTTTAGTTCATTGCTCACAGTTGAGTGAAAGAGAACTGCTGATGTCATATCCACAAATCAACTATAATCGTCTGCCAACTAATCTTGATTTGAACAATATCCCTCGCCTTGGCCCACATCAACTACCATCAATCTGTTTATTCACGCTGAAAGATGCTCAACAAACTGTTAATTGTGCTATGCTATCCAACGATTGTTCTCTATTAGCTCTGGGTTTTCAATCGTCGGAGATTTTGATTTGTTCGTTAAATCCAAAGAAAAAACTACATACAATGAAACCAACAAAACAACTTCGTCATTTACTGTCGAATTCTACGAGATATTCGAATAGTGATCCGATCCTATCAATAGATACCTCCAATGAACGAATTTTGATTGGACACACCAGTGCTATACTTTCACTTGCATTCGAACCTAGCAAGCAGATCTATTTGCTCTCTGGCTCGCAGGATTGTACGATTCGTCTTTGGCATTTATCAATATGGTCATGTCTAGTTGTTTATAAACTTCATCATCAGCCTATTCTCGCCGGTAAATCACTTTCAGTTATGTATTTTTGTCACGGCTAGTTTCTCGTATGGTTTAGTTACTTTTGCCTCTATCGGTCAGATATTCGCATCGTGTGGTATGGATGGTCTGGTATGCCTTTGGACCATCGATAAGATTAGTCCAATTCGAATCTATCCTGAATATGGTCATACAGGTGTCGTTCACCTAATTGAATTTCATCCAAATTCCAATTACCTCGCATCAGCACATACTGATCATGCAATTCATTTATGGAATATTCAAAACGAAAACGCACTGGTTCGAATTTTTAATGGCCATCGTCATCAGATCAGCGCATTGAAATTTTCACCGACTGGTCATCTTCTCGCGTCGGGCTGTTGGAATGGCGAGATCATTATCTGGGATATACAAAACAATCTCCAAATTGCCCATTTAGACTTGCATAAACAAGCGATTTCGTCGATTGAATTTAGTCCACTCACAGGAACTTTACTGCTCATTTCAAGTATTGACGGAACGATCTCCTTATGGAATTGTTTTATGATAACAAAGATCTACGATGAGAAACTAACCAATTCGATTGATGTGAATTTGTCATCGAACAAAATACTTTTCAACGTCTTTCGATCTCAAAAAACATCGATATTTCATATGCGTTTCTCCAAGGAAAATATTCTCTATGCTATCGGGTTATTTGATGAATAAAGAGAATTTCATTCGTATTGCAAAATCGCATTAAATGACGTTTCTTATGCACGTACGACATCTATTGGTTGAGAACATTTATTGGTGACAAATGAAAACCAAAAAATAATCAACATACATATAGACAGACAGGCAAAGCGATGCAATGAAGTAGTTTTCATTTTTTTTACTTTATGAAGAAAGTGACATGAGATTGTTTCATTCTATTGACTTCTTCCATTAGTATCGTTCATAGAATCCTTTTCATTAGTAAAAGTGCAAACACTCTGTTCGAGATCAGCAGGATTTTCCATCTTTATATTTTGATACTGAATACGTTACAGGTGTATGTGGATGAAATGAAATTTTAGATGGCGGGAGATATCAAAGCGCATCTAGCTCAATTCGAAAAGACAAATAATGTCCAGGAAATTACAGCAGCGGATGAAATCTATGCGTATGAGAGCACCGTACAACAATCAATTCTCAACAGTCGACCGTGGTTACAAAAGTAGGCGGTGATCTTCTTTTCTCTATTGAAAAATACATCCGATTTTATTTGAAGTCCAAATTATTTCAAACGGTGCAAGATCTCAGCATTGGCCCTGTTGAAATTAGTTATGCATGCAAGATCAGGTGGCACATTAGAAGTCATGGGTATGCTATTAGGAAAAATCGACGGTGAAAATATAATTGTCATGGATTCGTTTGCTTTACCAGTCGAAGGAACAGGTAATAACACATTTATGACTGCCACGTAACCATTTCTGATCGTATCTGTTTAGAAACTCGTGTAAATGCTCAACAAGAAGCTTATGAATATATGAGTTCATATACTCTATGGGCAAAAGAAGTAAATCGTCCTGAAAACGTTGTCGGATGGTATCATTCACATCCAGGCTATGGCTGTTGGTTATCCGGTATTGATGTAGATACTCAAATGCAAAATCAACAATTTCAAGATCCATTCGTTGCCATTGTGGTAAGAACCAACCGATGATTTCGTACTGTCATATGTATGGCATCGAACTCTACTCGATTTAGGTTGACCCAACACGGACCATATCGGCTGGCAAAGTCAATATCGGAGCCTTTCGTACATATCCTAAAGGACATAAAGCTGAAAGCGAAGCAATCGAATATCAACCGATTCCATTGAATAAAATCGAGGACTTCGGTGTTCATTGTAAACAATATTATCCTCTCGAGATATCATTTTTCAAATCTTCACTCGACAAACGTCTTCTCGAACACTTATGGAATCGTTATTGGGTTAGCACACTGAGGTTAGTATTTTCCTATGTTTGATTTTTGTACATATCTGTATTCTAGCACCTCAACATTATTGACCAATGCTGATTATATCACCGGTCAAATAAGTGATGTTGCCGATAAACTAGAACAAGCCGAAAGTCACTTAGGACGAACAAGTTTTCTTCCATTACCCGAGCAAGATCGAAAACAAGACGATAAATTAGCTAAAGCAGCAAAAGATTGGTAAGTTGAGTTGATTGATGGTCGAAACAAGAAAAACGCTGGTTTTCTATTTCAGCACAAAAACAGCTGTCGAAGCGGTCAATTCTCTAATGTCACAACTGATCAAAGAACGTCTTTTCAATCAAGTGACATTCCATTCATAAACATGGCAGACATATCTTTGTTCTTTTCTTTTTTTTTACCAAAAATATATCAACTATACCTATTCTAGAATCGAATGATCTACTCTTAATTTTATATTTCAGATATGGCCAGTGATTGACATGTTTTGATAAAGAAATACATTTTATTGTAGATTTTTGTTTGCATATCATGAGCAATAGCTCGTATTCGTTACTGAGTAATTCATCAGACAAACTCGACGTAGAAATTTCTATTAAAGAACCACCAACATCGTCATCAGCAGCTATGAATAGCGCGAATGAAGCATTGAAAAAACGCTATGTGCAAATCGCTGTTGCTGTAATTCTTTATTGGTACTATAACAATTCTCCATTCTTTTTACTAAAAAAAAACGTCTTCTATTTAGGTTTGTTTCAATTACAATGGTATTCTTAAACAAATACTTACTAAGTTCAAAGGATGTCAAAGTAAGTTGAATATAACGTTTGTTCGGATTGGGTAAAATGAATTCTTTCTATAGCTTGACGCTCCACTTTTTATCACCTGGTATCAATGTGTTGTTACAGTTGGTATTTGTGCCGTTTTAGGAAATTTGAATAAACGTGTCGCGTTATTTTCCAAATTTCCGACGTTCAAAATTGACCTTAAAATTGCACGTGATGTAAGCTAACAAACTAAACGAGATATTTCCGCAAAATATTACATGTATTCTTTGACACAGGTTCTACCTCTATCAGTTATGTTTGTCGCAATGATTATCTTCAATAATTTAACATTAAAACATTTAACTGTATCGTTCTACATGGTCGGACGATCGTTAACAACGGTTGCAAATGTGGTATGTAATCGATTGATGAGTTCGACTTTGAGTTGAATGACTTTTCTAGGCTTTTACGTATTTAATGCTCGGTCAAAAAACATCGTACAAAGCATTAGGATGTTGTGGATTGATTGTTGCTGGCTTTTTCCTCGGTATCGATCAAGAAAATGCACTTGGTAAGTGCCATTGCTTGTATCAAACGGATTCATTGAAATATTCTTCTATTTCAGGTACTCTTTCAATGTTCGGCGCATTATGCGGTGTTGCATCGAGTGCCTTCGTAGCATTAAACGCGATTTATACGACCCGATGTTTACCATGTGTTGACAATAATGTTTGGCGTTTATGTCTTTACAATAATTTCAATGCCTGTATACTCTTTCTTCCTCTTATGTTAATCTTCGGAGAATTGACACCTGTTTTTACTTTCCCCAAACTATTCAACATACCATTCTGGTTTGCCATGACCATGGCTGGCGTACTTGGCTTTTCTATGGGTTATGTCACGGGTTATCAAATACAAATGACAAGTCCGTTGACACATAACGTCTCCGGCACAGCAAAATCTTACGTACAAACTCTACTTGCCGTTGTCGCCTATTCGGAAGTATGCCCACTGAGATTTTTGAGTACCGATACATTTGGTTGTTTCTTAGGTGAAAACCTCACTTTGGTGGATATCGAATATATTCGTTCTTGGCGGCTCAGGTTTATTTGCACATGTTCGCGCAACAGAAATGAAACGCACTCATAATACAAATAATAATAATGAAAATAATTCATCAACATTACCCAAATGACGCTGTCGAACGAACTACTTTTGTGATCAGGAATCTCAAACAGACTGTTACAAATTTGAAGTGAAAACACATATAAAAGAAGACAGATTTTATTTTCATTTTGATTCTTTGTTCTAATATGATTCGATATATCTTATCAATTTTTAGATGGCAGCCCCTAAGAAAGTAGTGCTTGACATATTACTACCAAATGGTTGCGTTATTGTTGTTGAGTGTGAAGAGTAAGTTTTTTTGTAATGACGATCTTCGTCTACCTAATCGATCAATGACTTCTCTATCTAGAGACATGACATTAGAGAAAATCAAACAGAATATATTGTCATGTATTAAACGATTAACGCCGTTCAATGAACTCGTTCATGATCAAAAGAATTACTATTTAGAATCAGTTACATCGGGCGCACAAGTCATTCCATTGTATGATGAACAAGTTAAATTAAACGAGTTAAAGTAAGAATTGGGATCATACAATCACTCGTTTCAATAATGATTTTTAGTCTTTTTTATGGATATTTGAGTTTACGGGAACACGATGCTTTTCTTGACGAAAAAGATGATTTAGCGCTGATGAGTAAGACAAATGTTTGTTCATTGAAACACGATTACTTTGTTGTTTTGTGAACAGGTTTACTGCTTGGTTTTCCACTTGATGACTTCGCTAGTACATTAGAACGTGAGGCATGCGAAGCGCGATCCTTATTGAATCGTCTAGCTGACATGCTCGTCACCGAATCACAGAAAGATCTAAAACGGAATGGCATACCCGAACAAACAAACGCACATGACGTGGAAGAAAATCAGACGAATTTGATGAAATCGCAAAATCTACTTAAACAATTTAGCCTTTCATCAGGTTTGACTTTCTCATGAACTCAATTTTCTCTTTAATGAACATAACATTGAAGATATTAGACCGATATTCGTGCAAGTTCAAGAGCGGCATTCAACATCACCTATATGCTTTAATTTAACGAGTAGTTTGTATTCTTCACCCATTGATATCGTCGCGAATGTGATTTCGTCGAAACTCTCTGCCGACAATCCAACAATGTCCGATGATGATCGAGTAAAGATTATTCGAGAGTATAAAACACGTTATTGGTTGCAAGCATTTGGCTGTGAGGAAAGACTCTTTGGATCCAAGCCGATTCTACAATCAAAAGTAAGACAGATTCCTGACTGCGCTTTTGCTTTGTGAGACCATGACTTGTTTTTTAGTACGTTCAAACGTGTCTTCGTCTTGATAAACCATTGTATTTCAAACTAATCAATATCGAAAGTACAGTAGGTAATGGTAAAAAGCGATGCTTAGCGATGATACAAGAAGCAATCAAACAAGAAGAGGAGCGGAAGAAACCACAAAGTAAGCTCGGTATCAATATTTTGTCAACCGTTGCTTAACTTCTCTTCTGTCGTGTAGAATTCGGTGGCAGAAGCAATGAGATTCGTCAAGTTTGGAATGAAAAATATATTGCCAATGAAACTTTTTCCTTACGAATTCTTTCTGGACAATTGATTCCGGCTGGTGAATTCGATGAGGTATGCTTTCTTCAATCATCAAAATTGAATGCCTACGAAATGAATTGTTAGGTCAAAATTATCATCGGACTGTATCATGGAACTCAACCTTTATATCCTGGCTCAATCGTTGAAAGTCGATCTGTAGATACACTAAATCCCGATTGGCAACAAGAGATCAAATTTGATATCACATTAGTTAATCTACCACCTGCGAGTAAACTATGCTGCTCGATACATTTTCATCGGCGGCGAACTTCACTCTTGATTTCTGTAAGAATCACAGTCTCATTTTTGGGACAATTTAGAAAAAGAATAATGGCTCCTTTCAGGATGAATGGATCTGTACTGGATGGGCGAATCTCAATGTATTCAATCACAATAGTTGTCTTATTCAAGGTAGACAAAAAGTACGATTTTGGCCGACAGAAACAAATATTGGCAAAATAACAATATCTCCATATGGATTTAACGAAAAGAACCTAGCAGGTTTGTTTTACATACAAAGCTTGTTCGCCATATCCTCAATGTAATGTTTTGTGACTAATTAGGTATCAATCCCGATCGATCCTATCCAACGATCGAGTTGGGATTTCCTAGTTATAAATATCAAATCGCTACATTGTCGCCACGAAATGGTCTGGCCATGCAGGCGCAAACAAAACACGAACAATTACTACGATCATGTGCATTTCAAGATGATGTAATTCGATTCTACAATCTCGATTGTATGTTTTGATCTTGACTTATTCATTTAGTTGGAAGAAAATGTTGTGCAATCGGACTTCTATGATTGGCTGCGTTCAATTGATTTTGAACTGACTGAACAAAGTAGTGCTGAACTTTGGGAACGACGGTAGGTGTTTTCGTTCTGAATAGAAATTATTAAGTAACGATTCGGCTTTTCTCATCAGATACGAATGTATGCACGTTCCTGAATCATTACCACGATGGCTCAAATGCGTCAAATGGTCAAATCGGGATGACGTTCTCGAAGTAAACACATCCAAAAAAGCAACTCGTCATGTGTTTCTATGACAATTATACGTTGCTTTTCAGGCGTATAAAGTAGTCGAAAATTGGCCGACGAAGAATATTGATCCATTGATGACCGCACTTGAATTACTTGATGCTGATTATCCGGATCCATTCGTTCGTTTCTCAGCTGTACGTCTATTGGATACACGTATCGATGATGATCGACTTCTACCAGTCATCTTACAAATAGTACAAGTAAGTTCAACAATTGCTCAGACTCGGTTCAAACCTTTTCTTTTTTCTCTACAGGCAATTAAAAATGAACCATATCATGATAGTGCTCTAGCTAGATTTTTACTTAAACGTTCTCTATTAAACCAACAAGTTGGACATTTCTTCTACTGGCATTCAAGGTAGTGGACATCGATGATGAATTTGATACTGATTCGGTGCATTTGTCTGTTTAGAGCGGAATTGAAAAATCCTCAACATAAAGTTCGATTTGGTCTTTTACTCGAAGCTTACATTCGTTACTGTGGTGAATATGCGGAAGATCTCGGACGACAAGTTCGAACAGTTGATAAACTGACATTTATTGCTGAAACTATACAAAATAGTACACATGATGAACTATACAACCAGGTTTGTTTGTATTTGAAAGAATGCCGAAGAAGATAACTGTTTAAATTTCCTTTGCAGAAAGGTTATCTTGCTCATCTACTGACAAGAGAAGGTTACACTCAAAATTTGCAATATTTTCGATCGCCAGTCGATTACAACATTGAACTCGGCCAGCTAGAGTAAGATGATTCTAGGAAATCGAACTTTATCGCTGAAGATATTTTGTTCACAGCTTGGAACATTGTCGAATCATGTCATCTGCTCGACGACCGCTATGGTTACGTTGGACAAATGGATCAGAGTATGCTGAGCACTATTTTCCCACGTTTGATCTGATCTTTAAAAATGGAGATGGTAACTATCAATCGAATTGTTTCATTTCATGAGGAAAACAACAACATTTCATCTGTATTTCAGATCTTCGGCAAGATATGTTAGCATTGCAATTCATTCAAATGATTGATATCATCTGGAAAGCAGATGGACTCGATCTAAGGTTTGAAATACTCTTCTATCTCTATCGCATATCCATCTAAATTTTGTAGTCTATTGCCGTACGGATGTTTAGCTACAGGTTACTGTTCGGGTTTGATTGAAGTCGTGAAAAATGCGAAAACAATCATGAATATACAAAGACTAGGTGGTTTCAAAGGACAATTTCAGATTGATCCTAGCGCCTTATATCGATGGATTGCAAAGAATAATCCAGGTTCTGACAAGTATGTTTAGAAAATAGAATTCGTCGAATATTTTTGTCAATTTGCATTTGTTAATTTAGATTAAGAACTGCGATTGATCTATTCACTCGATCATGCGCAGGCTATTGCGTTTTAACTTACGTTCTCGGCGTAGCTGATCGCCATCCGGATAACATTATGGTGAATGAACGTGGTCAAGTAAGATACAGTCGATTTCCTTTGATGAAAATTGAGTTTGCTTTCTCTATTAGCTATTCCATATCGATTTTGGACATATACTAGGCAATTTTAAAATGAAATATGGTATACGACGTGAACGTACTCAATTAGTTCTGATCGATGACTTTGTTCGAGTTATAAATAATAATGCGGAGAAAAATCCAACTGAAACACGAGAATTTCAGAAGTAAGCGTTCGCTGCGAAATTAGATTCGCACTCGTGATTGTCAAACTAAACAACATGCCGTATGAATTTCGTTTTAGTTTTCAAAAGCTTTGCGTCAAAGGATATCGAATCCTTCGCCGTCAATATCGGCAAATCGTGTGTCTGTGTAAACTGATGATGAACTGTGATTTATCGGAGTTGCATAATGAGAACGATATAGCGTATCTTCGACAGACATTCGACCTTGGCTCAAACGAACAAGAAGCATGCAAGCGGTTTGAACTTGTTCTACTTGATTCGTACCGTTCAAGCGTGAAAACTCGTGTGGATTGGTTTTTTCATGCCATCAATCATATCAAATCATAACAATCATGGTCTGTACATTTGTCTTCTAGCGAAGGGAAAAAGAATTTCATTTTGCATTTTTATCTGTGTCTCTTCAAATAACCGTGTACTTTTACATCTTGATTTTCTTCATTCTTTATTTTTGTACACATGAACTGCATTCGAAAACAAACTAAGAAAATCGTTCGTGATAAAATCAAGAATATTACTGAGATGATGTTGTCTGTGAACGTGGTTTTTTTTATTTAATATTATTTTACCGTCTTGTAAATGTTATTGCTCAATAATAATGATTTCTATTTTATTATTTACTAAGAGAAATCCAATGACGCCATGAGATGATGAGTCATACACGACTTACGGCTATCTGTTGATTGGAAATTTCATTTTCATTTTTCTCACTCGGCAGAATATATATTCTCTTTCTGTCGCCATTTTCAGCCAACACTCGCTCACAACTGAGTTATCAAACGTTTGGAATGGTGTGTGATATGTTTCCGGTGGTAGATGCTACTTTTTATCCATCTATATGAGTCATAATTTGCCCATGCAATGATCTAGTCGACTCCAACCAACGTTCCATCGATTGGTTAATGAAGAAGAATGGCTGACTATCGCTCATATCGATTAGTTTCCCACGTTGCATTCTTCCCGACGAACTACCGCCGTTTTTCGAAATATGATCTTACAGACAGTGTGTGAAATTTTTCCTAAGAATTGAATTTATCTACTGTAGTAAAATAAAACTAACGAACCTATCGATAAATTACAATTTCATATCTGCCATTGAATCAAGAAATTCTCACCATTGAGCATGGCACTACATGAGGACTCAGGATAGTTTTTTTTGTTTTTATCTTTCGTTGCAGATTAGTTCAAGTTCAAATGTCGCTTTGTCAACATTTCCTACGTGGGAATTGTCGATTTGGCAATAACTGCCGATTTTCACATGTGACTCCTACTGAAGCACAAACAACCAGATTTGCGTTCCGCTCACGCCCGGAACGACCTCAGATTGATCCTATATACAAGTATGTTGCACCTGCAGCAGCAACCGTAAGTTCAACTTGAATATCTTTCACTACCATAAACACAAGATTTAATAGAATACTAAGCATTTCAATGCTGAATCTACGACCACGCGCATCATGAAAGATGCTTCGAACTCTCCGATATTCAAATGGGTTAAAGAGAACTTTCGTGATGAACACAAAGCTATAGATATATTGTAAGTGAACGCGATGCGGAATCTTTTTTGTATGATTTGCTGTTATAGAATACAAATGCAAAAGGAAGCAAAGGTTTGGCTCAAGTCAAGTCTTTGGCGGTTTACATCTCGATCGCTCTTTCCTGGTGGACGAACATTAGAACGTAAATAACTTCTTTGTTACATTCTCTTTCATAGCATTCTATACTTTCAGCTTGGATTGATTATTCATTTGAAGAAGTTAGATGGTTACATCGATCTATGATCGAACAATCTCAAGAACATGTCTTTGTTCGTAGAAATCAATTGACTTACAACTGTGAATACCGTTAATTTTAGAAAAAACAATACAGCGACTATCTTGTAAGCACAGAACGTCAACTTGCTGGCTTAGCAAAATCGAATCTCGAGACTTTCGCTTCACTGGTATAGACATATATACAAATAAACTTCACGTTTTGGTGTTGTGTTTGATCTGTGATTTTAGAAATCTTATATCGATGAATATATTCAAAGTGCTCATAAACCGTCGGCAGTATTAGCAAGTGACGTCGATATGAGAGATGCTGATAGCATTTCGACGACGAGATCCGACACAAACGCGGCTATTTACACAGCAGATCATGATTTACTTGCAGAAGAACGTGAAGCGTTCGAAAACGACCTGTTCGAATTAGGACAAATACCTGTTCATGCTCCTCCGCAACGCTTTTGTTAACTTTTTTCCTCATTTAATAAACAAACAAAGTAGTTTTTTATAATAAATTAACGGCGAAGTTTCGATTGGTGATATAGTTTTAAACGAATATAAATATATATATATACTTGTATTTTTGTAGAAAGAGTCTGCACACTTACAGAAAGAAGACATTATTGCACAACGAATCATTTTATTATTTCATCTGGTTTCTTTCTATTCTCCTACTTCCTTACACTTTCCGTCAGCAATCTTGCAAAATAGCCTATTTTACCTGAGATTTTTTTCAACAGCTATTACGTGTATCTATGAGAGAAAATTGCCAGAGTCGCACCATTTGAAAAAGACATAACTTCATTTCGATATAAATGGGGTGCGCTTTCTCTGAATCTGAAAATAACGCATTACACCCACATTCTGGAATGGCCTCGAGTTATAACCAGTAATTATCTCTTGTTTTTTATATTCAATTTCTTATGTTATTCTGTACTATAGTAATCGACAGAGAAAGATTAATCCAGATATAAGTTATGGTCCTGATGAGACGGATCTCATTGAGTCTTTATTGATTAGTTGCGGTAATAATACTTTAATCGATCGTTTGCTTGGTTGTGCGTATGGACAGGCATTGGGAGATGCGTATGGTTTATCCACTGAATTCGAAACTTATGAAAGAATTGTAGAAAACTATCCGGAAAAATCTAAGCTTATTCCTTTTCCAGACTATAAGCTAACAGGACATTCATGTCGATGGGTACAAGGCGACTGGACTGATGATACCGACCAATGGATATTAATTCTTGAGACTATTCTAGAAAGCAATGCAGATGAAAAAGTATTTGCAAGAAAGCTAAAAGATTGGATTCGTCATGGTTTTCCTGTATTAGGTGATCAAGGTGGCATGGGACTAGGAGCTAATGTCAGTCAGGTAAGTCAGTTGTGATTGTTATTTTCATTTCATTGAAATTACTTCTATAGGTAGTTTCCAGACCAGATTATCTTGATGATCCAATCGAAACTAGCCGATCGGTTTGGGAAAAAGGTAATCGTAAAGCGGCACCCAATGGAGCTGTTATGCGTTGTTCTGCTGTTGCTCTTGTCTATTACAATGATCTAGAGAGGGTAATTGGTGTTGAAGGATCGTTGCATCTGGCAATTTAGTTTTAATATTTTTCTATTTCGAATAGCTTAAATCAATCACGATCTCTATGTGTAAAACAACACATTGTGACCCTCGTTGTATCGCATCATGTCTAGCTGTTTGCTTGGTCGTTGCTGAACTTATAAACAAGAATGTTGACGGTGATAGTATTGAATCAATTGTTAGAAAGTCTCAAGAAGAAACAATTCGAATTCTCGGAACTGATTTTCCGCAAGATCAAATCGAGGCATTTCTATGGCATACAAATGCATCTCGAACTCTTAACGATTTACAATTAGACGAGCACGGAAAAATCGGGTATACATACAAGTGTTTAGGCTCGGGATTTTACGGTTTACGGTCAAAACTTTCATTTCAACAAACTTTAAATGATTTGATTCGACACGGGGGCGATGCAGATACCAATGGTGCTGTCTGTGGAACAATGTACGGAGCGCGATATGGCTACAGTAAACTACCTGCTGAGTGGTTACGAGCGATGCCATACAAGAAATGGTTTGACAAGAAAATAATTAGCTGTCTCCAACAAATAAAGGTGATTGAGAGCAAAAAAATCAGTACACCACTGTGACCTTTTTTTATAAGAATGAAGAATATTTAACCGGAATTACTTTCTTCAATATCTTTTTGAAATTATATACTGTCCGCATTGCTTCTCAGTATAAGCATATTCTACGGTCACACATGAATCAGCTCAAACCAGGTTAAGTACTTGTTGAGCGTTTATCTTTGGCATCTTTCATATATTGATCGAATTGATAATTGATTTGAAAGTGAACTGTATCTTTTTTGTATTCATTGAAATTATGCGAAAGCAAAAAAAGAAGCATACGCACAAAAAATACGACGAAAGAAATAAGAAAGGTGGTGATATGATTACAAGAAAAAAAGTCGAATGCAAGCAAATGAAATGACTACGAAACCGAAAGAAAAAGAGACTGATGAAATGTTGACTAGAAAGCGCAAGATTCCGCTGGTATAGTTTGTCACGTGAATTGTGGTTTATAAGCTAGATAAGCTTTTAAATTGTCAGGTAAACGTAATTGTTTGATTTGTTTTCGATCGATATAACGTAGAATATTTCGTCGAGTGACTTCTTTCAACGTTGTACAAGTATATGGTAATGAGTAAACTTCTATTAAACGCACATTTGATGATGGTTCAATGTTTTTCAAAACAGCTAACGTTGAGCCACAGTGTGACAAGGATGGATAAATGTTAAATAAGAGTGCGAATTCATTTGTAAAAACAAATGGAGAAAAGAACGGACCACGGTAGTCGATTATACTACGTGTGTGTAATAGTGTCGATGAATTCAGTATGTACAAAAAGTAATTCCGTTTGACACGTTGAAATATCGGAACTATCAAAGTATAAAATCAGCATACATTCGTTTTCCTATTGCGCAAACTTACGTGTGCATAGGACAATGATCAAATGTCCATCATTGGTATATTCCACTCGATAAACTTTTGTTTTCAGTGTATGATTCGAGCAAACGAGGACACGATCTTTGGTTATATCTGTGATCTGACCACGAACAGTATCGAATTCTGCCAGACGTGAATGTCCGTAACGTGGGTCGAAAGAAAATCGTTGATCATAACCTAAGATTGGAATATTTTCTTTTTTTCTTTCATCTTGCATCTCCGAAACTTACGAGCTGGTGTTATACGAAGTATTGCATACGTTTTGATGTCGAATATGACAGTAACTTCATGTATCTGGTGGCTGTAGGAATGTTTACCTTCATAGTCAGGCGTAATCAATAATTTCGTCCGATCCGGAGATATTAAGCAAGCATAGGAACGCGCATTGAAACGGTGTGCAATTGAATTGAGCTTTCGAACAATCCGACTATTCCATGTTGACGACGATGATGTTAGCGAACATGACGACGTTGGTAGCATATCGGAATCATGATTCTCCATACAATTACATGATAACGACGATAGATACGGCGTCGATCGATGTTTAGAGCCGTGAGTTAAATGTTGAGAACTCTTACTATTGGCTAATTCATTGGTATTTGATATTGAGTTCGAACGTGTATTTGCTGAATCGGAACTAAAATCAGAGAAAACGAATAATAATGATTTGTTATTGTTTTGCAAGGAAAGAAAAACAGTGTGACAACAAGAATATCTCACCGACTAGCCGATTTTCCAAATCGAACTCTCGACATAGCCGATGATAGAGAATTGTGAGAAGTGTTAGTCGTATTGTTAGTAGGATGAATATGATTATGGTTATTAGCAATGAGAGCAGCAGCAGCTGAGGCAGTTACCAATGTGCAACGTGCTGAACCAGTGAGATGAGAAACTTTCTTGGCATTATCCACGAATTCATATGCATCATTTTGCATATCGAAACGATTCTCTGTCTCGTTCAACAAGGAATAAGACTTGGTCGATGAACGCTGTGGTTCATCGATATGGTATGCGCTCAAGGTTGCAGTTTGCATCAGTGAACTATGTCGATTAGGCGTATTTACACGTGTAGCGGAATCAGATGACTGTTGGGTTGGGATAGGCGGAGATTTCGGTCTTTGAGATTGTCGATGAAGGCATGTACATTTCTTCCATGATGGTTCACTTTCAGATGATTTAGTTGGAACAGGCCGATCAAAAACGAAGATTTCCACCTAAGATACCCGAGTTAAGCAAAAAGTCAAAAAGACGACGAGTAAACATACTTCATTATTTCCTTTCCACAATTGAAAGACAATGAATTCGTCACAGCATGCAATCACCCGATTTAAACGATCTATACGTTCACGCACAGTATTATCATTTGTACGATAACGTTCGATATTTGAAGGAACAGTGAGAACAATATCATCCTCTCCATGTTCGCTTAAAATAAATTGTGCATCGCCCAAACGCGTTAAACTTTTGAAGAATCTTCCATTTACATAGGAAATCGGTTTTGGATGAACACGTCTTGTATCAGAATCACTCGTAAGAGTAGCGAATGTGCACGTCACCGGTGAAGATGAGCCGGAGAGAGTCGTAGCTGAGCCAACTAAAGCAAATGCTGACGGATTGTTACCGTTATTATTATTCCGTATGCTGGATTTATTAGTTAAGAACGAAGTCGATGACGGAACAGGCGTTGGGGTCAATTGTGTTTTGGTTTGTACGATGAAATCATTGGTTAATGATAATGATGTGGAAACGAAAGAAGTTGGAGTTGTGAATGAACTCGACGACAGTGATGGTAAAACGGAGAGTATCGTGTTATTATTAGTATTCGTATTGGGCACGATTTCACATCCACTATCGGTACTGAATTGATTGAAGTGACCGAAACGACGTGCATCATAGTAGATCCATTTTTGATAAGGAATAACAACGATTTTTCGTGCTCCATGCGGCTGCGGAACACCGGGTAGTTGTTTTTTGTTAACAGTTATTCCATTACCCATCTAAAAATTAGAAAAAAAAGAATAATGAAGCAAACCATGCGATACATTTCTCTATTCATTTCAATTCTCCTTTTTCTCCAGGCAGAATCAAGAAGCGAGATTTTGATTTCTGTGAACAGAAAGTTGTTTTTTTTGCAAAAATGTGAAAAGTCCATTATTGTATTAAATTGAAATACACTCATACACATGCACACACACACATCGAAATGAGTCAAGATTTTTCGTCGTTGTCGTCGTTCTGTCTGAGCGATCTGGTTCAAGAAAACAGAGGAACAACGAGGAAAAAGAAAGGATGAGAACGACACGGCACACAGACAGATAAGAAATGAACATTGTACAAACTTCGGTTAGAAAGAAACAAGATTTCCAAGGAACGCAAAATATCATTCTAGAGTGGAGACAAGGCACGAATAAATATTTATATGTATATGTAGTATACGTGCATAATATTGCAAGAAGACAAGAGGGGAGAGAGAGAGAAAAAAGATCGACACTGTACAAACAACAAAAAATATATAAATAAGAAGGCCGAGAGACTAGAGACAGATGGGAACGAAATATAGAGAAAGAAATAGAAGTAAAAAAAAGAGAAAGGGTGGGATTGAAATGAGTATGTAAGAATTGCACACATACGCGCACATGTAGAAGAAAAAAAACTGAGTTTTTTCTTTCAGATCAACAGCGAAAAGAAAAACAGAAATAAACTACACAGCTACATGTACATGTATAAGACTGAAATGAAATGAAATGAACGTAACAACAGCCTGAGAGATGATAAAATACATGTGTGAGTATCATCCGTTCGTACGTATACATAAATATGTGTATGTGTGTGTGTGTATGTCCTTTCCTTTTTTTTTACAACATAGACAAATATCACAATATGCGAGAGGGAGAGAGAGAGACAGAAGAGAAGAAAAATGAAACAGAGATGCAGAAGAAAAATTGAAAGGAAAAATCCTTTTCTCTTTCTATGGTAAAAGATGATCCACACTTGGTAGTGTGTCTGGCGGTAATGGTTTGACGAACAATGAAGGTAACGCTGTGTCAGTTGGATTAGAATTATTATGGCTATTCATATATGGTTCGAAATCTCCGAAACTAACATCATCGAACGAAGCAGCCGTGTCAAAATCATCATTTAATAAAAGAGAATTTAAATTTGTGTCACTACCCCATGCTGTTGAAAAGTCAAAGGAATTAAAATCTGTTTGCCATTGCTGTTGATCAGCAACAAATTGTTGTACTGGTAATGATGAAGAAGGAGCAGAAGAAGAAGAAGAAGAAGGAGGAGGAGGCGGCGGCGGCAACATAGTTACTTGTAAAGTTTGTTGTTGTTGCTGCTGTTGTTGTTCTTCTTGTTTAGCTTTTTTCGTTAATCGACGTCTTGATGCTGGCTTATCCACATTCGATTTCTTCGTTGGACTTGCTTTCGATCGTCCAGTTTTAAATAAAAGATTGTCCATTTGTCCTGCGGGCGTTGTATGTTCAAATCGATTAATGGTATCGATAAGATTATCAACACCTGAACAAGACGATGAATTGAGAGTTTTGATCAATGTACCTAACGTTCGTGGTTCAACAACACCATTTACTACGAGACAATTGCCACCATCATCAAGCGTTGATTGAGTACTTGGATTATTGCTACTACTATCAGATTGAGCCGGAGCTATGCTACGATTTGTATGAGGCGTATTGTGAACGGTAAGATCTAAATCGAAAGAATTTGAGTTCGTTTTGCTGTACGAGAGAAAAAAAAGAGCATATTTGATACTAACCACTTGTTTGAGAAATCGATGGCGTTAGCACCAATCTCTGCTGTGTCGATGGATCGTGTGTGAATTTCTGTTGTAGAACATACGGTTTATTGTTAATAAAAAATATTTGTTGTGGCTGTTTCTTTTCTTCATTACTACTGCTATTATTATTATTACTAAAAATAATTTGTTGTGCTTGTTGAGGATACTCAGTGGTGTTTGTAGTTGTCGGTACATGGAGTACGACAGACTGATGTGCGGTCGCGTTAGGTACAGGTAGAAGATTTGTTGTTTCTGTACAATTTTTCAAGCCTGAGGAAAGAATGGGAATTTTCTTCTTAATTGTTGCTGCTGATAATATTGTTGTCGTTGGTGGCGGTGATATAGAACTATTATTCCGTTGTTGTTGTTGTGTCTGTGCTTTTTGAAAAAGATGATTGACAATTGCATTGGAATCTGAAGCAGCGCCTGATGCCAATGCGGAGAGAAGAAAATTTGTTGTCGATGGATCGTTAAAATCGATCATCAACGGTTGGGATGATTCATTTGTTTGATCATTAGTTTTGATTAAAGAATAGTCATCCGAAGTAGTATTTGATGGAATAGGAGCAATTGGCTTTGGTGTGGTTTTCGTTACTATCAATGGTGTTTGATTATTAGTGCCCATGAGAGATATCACATCGATTTGACTGGTAGTTGTACATGGCTTCTGAGCAGCTGCCGGTGATCGAACAAAGTCAGGCTTCAATGCATTAACATTCAGCGTAACTGGCTTTCCATTTGTTGATACTGTTGATGTAGCTGATTCAACACGTACTCGTTTACTAGGATTATTGTTGTTATTTGTATCTCTATTAGGAGACAAAAGTACATTTTGTACACCAGATAGAACAGCAAACGTTGATTCATTGGTAGTCGGTTTAACTTGATCGAATAGTGATGGAACTCGAGCGATAACATTCGTGTCTGTGGTTGACGAAGGCGTGAGAACATTGTCATTCACATAACGAGAGTTAGAAGTCGAATGGTGAGTTAATGGAGACGTCGAATTTCGATGAACGAGATTAGTATGAGATGTGGAGGAAACAGATGCAGGCGGTGAGAGAATCGAAGAAGGTACAGGCTGAGTTGGTTGATGAGGGTCGACTGATGGTTTAACAGCTAATTGAGCAATGACCGGAGGTGTAACAGCTGTTTTACGAGGACGACCACGTGGCCGTTTCGACGGAGGAGTTACACCCGTATGCTGCAGTGGTGTCCATGTCATCGATTGGCCAGTTTCTACGAGATTCATGATATAAGAGCATTCTATAATAGATCGTTTCGTAGCAAAAAGATAATCCTACCTTGTGCTTGGCCAGCATTATTAACAAAAACAACTGATTCACTATTGGTTTGTAAAATGTTCGATGAATTCGATGCACAAACAAAAACATTTCCATTTGTTGTTTCAGCATGAGTTCGTTTTCGGCGTTTTACTATATTGAATTGATCGCATAGAATCAAATTCTAATGCAGAGTAAATCATCCAATTACCTGACTTTTGATCCGTATCACAAAATGAATCAATACAATTTGTTAATGTTGCCATTTCCAAGATATTTGATTTCTGTCGGCAATGCGTTCCTTCCAGAACTTGTGTTACTTCCCAAGATTTGGATTTAATCGTTGAATCAAAGTTGAAAACCTTATCAACAATCAGCGGACATTGAAGACCGCATTTACATGATGTTGATGTTTCAAGATATTGACGAACAGTATCCAATGAATCAAGTATGACATTTGTCGGACTAGAAGTTGCCAAAAATATCAATCTCGTTCTCCACTTCTCTCTCTCTCTTTTTCACTCTTACCTGACGTAGACTACAAGATCCGGCGCTAGTATTCGTCTTTGCCATCCGTATGGCACAGGTATGTACTCCATTATTTGTGAAGTCTTATTCATTCCTGATTGTGTGTTGGAAGCACTCTTCGTCGTCTTCTTTGTTCGTGAAAAATTCGGCGATAATGACTCATCTTTAACAAGAATTTCTGCCAGTGTTTTTGCTTCTTTTTTCACACGAGACTTTTTTACTACTGTTGACGGTTGTTGTTCGTTTGTCGATGAGAAATTAAACGAATCAATGTGAATATTATAATTAGTCGTTGTAGTCGTACTTGTTTGGTGTTCGTCGACTTCTTTGATATTTTTCAAAATCTGTGAAACAATCTCAGTCGTTTGCTTCTCGTCGAACTGACATTTTTTCGTCACATGTTCATTAGCTAGAATATTCGTTGGCTGTTGTTGAACATTGGTTGTATGGATGTTAACATTATAATTATTGACACTGATATTATTAGCTGTGATATTACTCAAATTAGTAGTATTTTGCATTGAATTTGTGGACTCAATGATTGTGGTAGGTTTGAATGGTGATGGTAAACGTGTGACATTGATCAATGGTGGCTGTTGTTTGACAGGTGTATCATGACTAGACGAAGAATTTGTAGTTGCTTGTTCAGATGGACGCTGTTGTTCATCTATCTGACTAACAAGTGACGATTGTGAATGAACAAATCGTACGAGATGTGTTGGTGAAGCACTACTACTGCTATTCAGTTGACTAGATGATGGTACTGCTTCACTACAACATGATTGAACAAGTGCATCAATTGTCACATTAGCAGCAAGAGTTGATGATTGATCTTCATTATTGATACTAGTTGCTTCGCTTGTCGTCGTAGTTGTTTCATTTATAAATGATGTTTGTGTTGAAAGATATGTTTCTGTTGTCGTCGTCATAATATCAGTTCGCTACACGAACTAAGAGAGACTTGAATGCTCATATGGATATAAACAGATTAGATACAAAACAAAACAAAACAAAATCTAGAAGGGAAATTTTCAATTCATTCACTTATTGTTATGTTGATTATTATTATTGCTATTATTATTTGTTTTCTTTCTTTTCTCACTATGAGTATAGTTGTTGTTGTTGTTGTTGTTGTTGATCCAATGGCCATGATCGAATGATAAGGAACGCCTTAATGGATTTGGATGAGATTTTTTTTCGAAAGAATTATTCACCTTGTTTTTCGAAAAACAAATAAGAGCGAAAAAAACTAAATTACGAAATGTTTCTTTCTTTTTCATTATTCGTTCCATGATTGTCTCAGCGACATCTATACCCAAGTGTATGACATCGTTAATAAAAAAACAGAACACACTACCAAGCTGTCATCCTCGACTAGGTACACTATTGTGCTGTCAAAAAGATTAGATATAAGAGCCCGACGATGATGATTGCACAAAACATGTGATATCGTTTTTATTGAAACAAAGTTTTATGAATAAATAAGCAACTGTTTCAGCATATTTTCTTATTCCACGACATCATGGCTAAGACGAGGTTTATTCAAATCGGTTGGTACGAAAGCGATCGGTAATAATTCACGAAGTGTATACAATTTGGATTGATTTTTCGAATTGACAAGGTATACTTCGAGGTCAAGCCCGAATTCAGCCAATGTTTGTCGACATGATCCACAAGGTCCTGTAAAACCAGTCTCGACATCGCTTAGATAAAAGAATAGACTACAATGAACAACACGTTTCTGTTCATAATACAGACTTACGAAGTGATAGCAATCTTTGTAAATGTTTTCTCGCCTTCCGAAACTGCTTTGACTATGGCTGTGCGTTCAGCACATGTTGCCAACGCGTACGATGCATTTTCAATATTGCATCCCATGTAGATCTTTCCATTGGATCCTAATAGAGCAGCGCCAACGCTACGAGCATAAAAAACAATCTCTTATTCTTCAAACGATTTCACTGTTAAAAAATTTTGTACCGAAAGTTGGAATATGGACAATATGCTGCATGCTTAGCTGTATGAGCTGCACGAAATAACTCTAAATATAGGAGATATATCTAAGCTCCATTTACCCTGGAACAACGCTTCTTATGTGATATATTACCTTCAAGTTCAGCGGTCGGAGGTGCTGGAATAAGCGCCTTTTCCATTTAATCGTGTTTTGTATGAGAAACGAAACCAATAAAATGTATCTCTTGTTTTATATATACACACATACAATCGCAAGGAAGAAAGAAAAATATATAGATATCTTTACATGCAAATAGTCATCCACGCGTATACGTTGAAAAATAGACTAAAACCGTAAGACGAAAACAGCTGTCACTTATCACATAGAAAAACGAGAGAGAAAGTTAAAACTGATCCACATCATTGTCATATAATTGAAGAAAGCAATAGATTGAAATGATTGATAAAGAAACGAGAGAGAGAGAGAGAGAGAGAAACAAATGATTATAGTTTTTCAATCGACGAGGGATTGTAGGTATTATTCGTTGCTACTGCTGCCGCCGTTATTGTAGTTGTTGTTGTTGTGTGGCGGGTAATACGAGGAGATAGGCTCCGTGCTGCAGCATCTTTCGATTGCGAAGCACTGAATGTCAAAAGATTATGTCGTCGAGCAACGTTCGCATCATCGTTGAAATTGATTTTTCGATGTGTTAAGGGCACCGATAACGTTTGATCGATGAGAGGATGATGAGATGAAGGCATTGATGCAGTTGAATGCGCAGAAGACGCTGCTATTTGTCGCGTATTGATCAATGAGGTGGATGATTGTGTCATTGTGATTGATGTCAATTTCGGAAGATTAAAGCAGGCTTTACGAATTAAATGACGTGAATTTGATTTAGATGGTCGTATGACACCTGGTTTTGATAGTTCAGCTAAAGAAAGAAAATGCAGATTAACTGTGAAGTATCCTTTTTCACTATTCACCTAGATGCACTGCATAGCCATCAACAACAAAACGCACTTGTCCTTGAAAACGATTTTTGACTTTTCCAACGACAAACAATCTTTCCGGTGGGACATGAATTAATTGATAGCCAGGAACATCTTTCGATGATCCATATGCCGCCATGATTGTCAAGTCCGCATTCTCAATAGCAGCGCGTAACATTTCTGCCTTGTGCTTGATCGGTTCACGACTGATGCCATCATTGAACAGAGTCAAACCTTATCGAAAAGAAAAGAGTTTCTTATAAGAAAAGAACTCTACAAGTGGCAAACCATGAGGAAAATTATGCTGAGCCAGCCAGTGAACGACACGACGTTGTTGAATATCTGGACGTGCAGTTATGTAAATAATAATATAACCTAATTCTTGCCAATATCTATTTGGGTATGAGAAACAAGCTTTTGTCTAGAAATCAGTCGGAAATACGATCAGAATCTTACCGTACAACATCCACAGCACCAGGCCGTACTTTCGGATCATGATGACTTACCGAAAAACTCGACGTAAATGATCCGTCAATACTGAATATTACTGCTTCACTTTTAGGTGGCAGAACAGTAAGATGAAGATCAACTGTTGTATGATCGCCACTAAACAAGGCAAGAAAGACTTCTTTGTAGCAAAGCAAGTTTATTGAATTCTTACCGAACCACGCATTTAACCGGATGTAGTCCGAGAGGTAGTTTTTTATTGTCTGGAATTGTGTATCGTATACGACCGTGAGTGTCGGTTTCAACAGTATCGAGCAATGTCCATTCTCCATACGGTGCTGATCGCATTACGTAGATATCTACTTTTTCATTAGCTAAACAGACCATATCGATGGGTCCATAATGAAATTTCGCATGGATGGTTTGCGGCCGGGCGTCTACTACTAGTGTATCATTTCCTCGATGGTTTGGAGCTAAGTTCTACAAATGGAAAACAAGTCGTTTTCGTCTCATTGAATCAAAATGGAACATACCCGTATTTTAACACCAGTAGTACGATGTGCCCAACGTTCGGTTGGTTTGACCGGTGTAAATGAACATGGATTGTTAGTTGTTTGACTGCTGAATAAGTGAGATTGTTCTTGATTTCGAGTTATCTATTTAAAAGAATATCAGTGGAACGATCAAGCGCAAACAGTTTCAATAGTTACATTTCGCAAAATGAATGACATGACATCCCGTGATTCCCAATAACTTGAATGAAAAACAATTGGCAGAACGTGTGCTGGTTGGCTCATAAGCGATTCTGGACAATAGACAATATAATCAACACGTCGCGATCCCCACCAAGTTTGTCGAACTGAATGCATTAAAATCATATTTTCATCGAGTTCTGTTGCAGTTTTTTTATCTTACGATCGGAGAAAATGGTATTTGTATCATTTGACGATGTATTTGAGTTTTTCTTGACGAATAATTTGGAATATTTATGAACATATTCAACTGAAAAAAGATGATGAAACAACTGATGACTTCAACTAGGAACACGCTGTTGACATACCGAGTAGTGTCGATTCACCATCACCTAGTGGAAATTGGGAGTAACGCGACACACAACACGGAGGTATTTGACTGAATTCTGACTGTATCAACGGTTCGATTCGAGATGCATTCGGATCACAGGCGTGAAATAGATTGTACAGTTGTCCACAAATGGGCCGCACAACTAAAGAGAATCAGCCATCGACGTACATATGGACACACGACAATTAACTCCTACCAGTTTCACTGAGCATTTTCCGGTAAGCGAGTATTAATGATAAGGGTGAGCCAAAAGAAAAAAATTCATTAACATCAAATGCTAATGTTAATCCATAATTATCCTGTCGTGTATGGCAATTATCTTCGGATCGTGAACTAAATGAAAGTTTATTTTTATAGTGACGATACACAGATATTTAAAATTAAAGTTTATCATACATATTGTCACTTGTATCAAGAGTGTCGTTGGTAATATTTCGTTTTGTTGTTTGTCGATGTCCTGAATGTCCCGATGCAGTATCAGAGTTATCTTTTTGAGCTCGTTTATTCAGCGCTGGCATACGCGATGATGTGCCTTCTGATAATAAAACAAAGAGAAAAATATTTTCTTTCAACAATAATTGATACTGTGATCAAATACCTTCACCATACAATGATATCGTATCATCGAAATTATGATTTAAACACAAAGCATCATATGCTAATATACCTCCATTTGCATCGCCAATGATCACCACCTAGACAAGAATTTCTTCAGATACCGAGTCTTATTTCATTATCTTCGACATACCTGTCCCGAGAAATTCTTGCCTTCCTTCGATGAAATAAAGTCTTGATACACTTTATTTGCTTCTGTCACCGTACTCATTAATGATGATTGATAACTACCATTGGATGTGGCGAATAATGGAATTGCGTTTATTGGTAGCGTTTCACTATGCGATATATCATAAGTTATGTTGAGTGTTCCATATGGTGATAGATTATTCAGTAGATTGATTGCTTCGGTACATATCGAACGACAAACAACGAACCGAATCGCTATTTTGCCTTCGATACGCGAATAATGATTTCGCATAACAGTTTCAAATGTTGAACGGAAAGTGATGAAATCAGTTTTCTTCGCGCTGATAAATGCATCTTCGGTTGAAAAGATATTACCTAATCGGAAGAGAAAGATCGGACACTTGAATGTTTTGTCAAAGTGAAAATGCTCGAATAACTCACCACCGTAAAAAATGAGAATCAAAATTTCAATTTGACATTTATCACTGTCAGCGGATGGCAAGGATTCAGCTGCTCGTTCGTCATCTTCAATACTTGAATGATGAGAACCGGAATTATTTGAATCGTTCAAATGAATATCTTCGAGTGAACGAGTTAATGTACGACTAGAGCGTGAACTCGAAATGCCTTCAATTGAAGCTGAAAATAGACAAGTGTAGCGATTAGATTAGCAAGTACTTTCCAGAAAAAACAAAACAGGTCAATCGAAAATCTTCCTTTAATTAGATCGATCCTTCTTAAGCATAATAAATTGCAAATCGTGCGTAAATATGAAAAGATCGAACGGATCGAGTATAGAAAAACTAATCAGAACGGATTGATGAGATTATATTTAGTCGGGCGAATAGAGACAAGTCTTAATGTAGCGGAAAGTCTAGTGAGGAGTTATAGGAAAATTTGGATTTCTTTTTTTCTGTTCGTCATACAATTATATATTCTCTTGTAATTAGGTAAAACTTGTGAAGGTCAACAGGCATATTTCTCAGGAGATTTGTTGTCAATCTAGTACATTTTCTGATGCATCTGACAAGATGAAAACAATGTATATACAATAATTTCATTTCGTGCGAATGTTTGTCTATGACTCTCGAAGAAGAACGATGACAAGAGGACAATCTGCTTACATTCAGCATCAAAGAATTCATCGTCGGGTGTTTCATCTGTGGGTAGTGGAGGTACTGGGAATGAATTAATTCTTGGTCTGGTGGCATTAATGCTATCGATTGACATTTGTCGAGTTCGTTTGACTGACAATGGTTGATTAATATCATTCGTTGATTCAGTTCTATTCGTTGTATTGTTATTGTCACAAACTGAATGTGATATAGATGAGCGAATCATTTCGTTTTGAAATTGGGCCATTCGTTTATTCAATTCACGTTGTGTTTCATCTTCTAAATGACGTATATCAGCTAAACTTAAACCTTGATATTCATCTTGCCAACACCAAGCTTGTCGATGAGCTCGTAGGATTGTCTTACGCAAAGCTATTTAGTAGAAGATTCAAGTGACTTAATCCGAAGAACGTATCACTTCCTTTGGTACTCACCTATCTCATGAATAAATCGTTCGCAACGACTCTGCATGCCCCAGTAACGAAATTCCGCGCGGCATAGTTTATACGCACACATAATCGAATCCTTTCGAGTCGTTTTTTTCATTTGTTCAAACCAATCTGATGCTAACGGCCCACGTCCTAAATATACCATACGCATGAGAACCTTTCTTATTAAAATTTTCATGATAAGAAACATTCAAGAAGTCACCAATAAGAAAATAACCCTAATCAACTCGTACTTTTATATCTACTCATCGAATCAGATCGATATCTGATTTGTTTCATGGCGCAATGACATTTGATTAGAAGAGAAAACAAAATCTTTTTCGAACCTGTCTTTTCCGAATGGAAGACTGACGGATTTTCTGATGGATTTTCTGCTAATGGTTGACTGGAAACAATATCAAGGAATTCTAAAAGAGAAAGTCATCTTTTGTGTTGGCAATCGACGGCGAAATACAAACCAACAACACGTTGATCGATTTCCTGTGGTTTTAATTGGAAAATATTTTCTTGCGTACCAAAATCGGCCTGATAACATGTTTCAACTTCGATAAGAAATCGGTCAATAAAAGGACAACGGTAACGCGTTTTCGTATAGGGATAGGCATTCCATGCTTCTTCTTCGATCTTCATGGCATTCGCTGGCAAGATTGCTTTGAACCATCCGGGCAAATGTCGTTCGATGTGATATATCTTGAACGTATATTGACCACTACCGCCTGGTCCGTTCGTGTAAGGCTCATTTTTAATTATTTCAACTCCACTGCCGGATGAATTGGTTTCTTCACGACTTTTTTTCTAGAAAAATACACGTGTCTAGATTCTTCGGAAGAAAACCGAAACAGAACAAAAAGCAAATGCTAAATCAGATAGAACTTTAGTTTTAGTAAAGAATCAATATTGATTAGATTTAGAGAGAAGAGCGAAATAGCTCATGCAGCAGTGGGCTCTCTTTACTTTGTTTTTACCTCTTAAGATGCCTAAAATATGATGTGATATATTCGATTTTTCCTTGCAAACAACTAACTCAATTGTAGAAATTAATCACCTACCACAATCATGTATAATTGAGCTATTCGATATTCATCGACAGTCATTGGTACTGGAATTCGATATTCTTTGATAAGCATTTTTGTGGAATAAATTAATCGAATATGTTGATGGTATTTCAGATGAGGAAAATGACATTCATTGTACTGCTGTTGTCGTTTGTCATTACAGATCCGTTATGTGTATGGATCATCTAAAATCACTAGAGATATAGCAGACATTTCTCTCTTTTTTTTTCTTTATCCTACATTTATATTCTCTTCTTCTTTTTTTCCTATCTATCGTTTTCTCGAATCGACGACGACGACGACGACGACGACTGACTTGTTTTCTGTTTTGCCCACATGTCAAAACATATTCTAAGCGCGATCGTCTTCCCGAACGCGCGTCCGTCTTCTTATTTTTCTTCCTTCTACTCCTACTCCTCCTTCATCATCATCATCATCATCATCTTCGCATGCTATCCGTGAAATGAAGCAATCATATTTCCATCATTCTAGACGAAGATTCTTCGCTGACCTTTTTCCTTTCTCAACACGTCGTTTTCATTAAGTAAATACTCATGGAGAAAAATCAACGGAACTGTCGAGCATCCTTCACAAAGACTTAGGTGTAGTCTATTCTCACAATTGAATTCCAGTTTATATAGACCGGCTGACAAAAGTATATAATTAAATATAACTGCAAAACAAGAAACGAGATATTCTTGTCTTCCTCTTTCCAATATTCAAATGAACCGACCGACGTTCTCAATATATAACAACGCGAATGATCAGATGACGAATCCACATTGGTGGTAACAATAGAAAAGAAAGATTCGGGTAGCAGTGTTTTGTAAAATGTAACCCGACATGGTGCTGAGTGCTGGAAACAGTTACCGATTGTTAATGGAATAGGAAAAAAGGCGTTTTCATGCATTCTTCTACATGAGTGAAGAGAGTTTAACTTCCGTTCGTTCAGTCTAAGTAAATAATTACTTTCATATATCGATAAACCTATCTGGATCGGAATTGCGGTGGAAAAAATCATCAACTGTCATACAATCAAACTTACAGGAAGCTGAGATTAACGAAATAATTGAATGAATTAGAAAAAGACGCTAATATTTGAAGTATTAAAAAATCATAATCATTGTCGGTAATCACTGTCTATTCAAATTATCAAAGTTCATGTTTTTTTCCATCAACAGCTACCGAAACAGAAATTCTTAAATCAGTCAGTTACACAATTTCTTTTTCAAATGTTCATGATTTGTGTTCCATCGAGGAAAGGTAAAGAAACGTGCCCTCATTCTGTTTTCGTCATAGAGTATCTGAGAAGAAAGATAAATATCATTACCTTGGTTGTTAACAATTGTTTGATAGAGATCTGAAATAGAGAACGGAGGTTTTTAGATAGGACATGAACATTTATATATTTATATATATGATATCTCCAAGAAACGCTTGTAGAAAAAATAGAATTACAAGTAAAGCTGGGTGAATTCAACGAAATCTGTGATTTTTTTTCCTTTCAGTTTCCTTCGTAGATGAATTTGAGCAAAAATTCAAGTGAAAATAATGAACAAAATCACAGCTAATGCAATGCCAAGAAATAAACGAGATAAGAATTCTTGTTGCTGATGTTCAGGTGTATTTGGTGGTGCTAAAAGTAACATGTTTAATCATCGAGCTGTCCAAATGAGATTCTTTACGTGGTGTATAATTGTAATCAGGATTATTTGTAGCAAACGTTGTTTGAAACAAACCGAATGGGAATGCCCCGAAGCCAAACGACATTTGAAAGTTTACGCCTTCACCGAAACCGAAATTCTGCGTGAAATCAAAAGAAATGTCTTTCCATTTAGTTGTTGTTTTTTATGTCAATTACTCGATTAGGTCGAGGTTCTTCTCTCGTACCAGCTGGTCGTGGTGGAACAGTGTTTCTATTAAAAAAAAAGTAAACTCTGGTGACTTTCGCGTTTGAAAGCTTCGTTGTTATACCGTGGATCTGTTTGGTTCGCATTTCGACCATAGATTGGAATTAATTTCTCACGCGATATGCTACTTTTACATACGGGACATGTTGGATTATGTGCACGAGTTTCTAACCATTGATGAATACATGGCCAGCAGAAAAGATGACCGCAAAGCGATAGCACAGCGTTGCGAGCTGTGTCAAGACAAATCTATTTGAGAGAATCCGAATAGGTCAAATAATTCAGAGATTAAAAAATGCGGAGTGCTTACATTGCATTCATAACCTGAATCTTTATCATTATTTGACGACGTTTTTTTCTCTTCATTGCTATTTGATGACGGAGGTGTGTTTGGGTTCTCTGATGGTGATTGCTCAGGCGACGCCATTGAATGAAAATCTAAAACAATAACATCAAATCTCTCAAGACTGTTGAAATGTCTTCAAAACATAACAACATGTCAAGAATGCAAAACACCTATATTATTGTTGCGCAGATTGATTGGTCGTTTCTACACCATTGAAATTTAGCGAATGCCACCAGTGGATTTGACAACCAATAGAAAAGAAAGCTCGACTCATGCTTTTCTAATGGAAGAACGTATCTAATAGAATTATTTCGTTTTCCAAATACATTGTGTTGACAGCTTGTGTTTACTAATCGCTTCATGAGATTAACTGACGTAAGATTCATCATCGATCTATTTCTGTATTTAGTGTTGACTTGATTTCGCGATGCAATTATCTTTATCATCAATATATAGAAAAATTTCTACTTAACAAAAAAAAAACACAAGAAAACGTAGTCATGATTATTGGAGTTCGCGTGCCGGAGGATATTTGTCATCATAATTGATCATGCATTGTGGTAATTCATCCGTCAATAATCTTATGACTGCAGCACGATCTTTAATATTTAACAATCGTGCCAAGTTTATTTGCTTTAATTTTCTAAAAAAAAGTGAAGACTTGGAAAAATCGGACGGAGTTTTACAAAATTTATCTACTTCATTCCAGCTAGATACGCCAAACCATTTTCACTAATTTGACCTAGATCAACCAATGTCATCGATTCGACGGTGTCTTTCGCTCTATTGCATCGAGCTAGACAGCCTAAATTCAAAAATCATGGAAATTGTACTTGGAAGATTCGAATTCGTCTGACGTACTATCACCGACTTGATCGCATTTTTCCAAATGGATCGTTTTTAGATGCTGAAGTCCCTCTATGATAAAAAAGAAGGACATAACAAATGAGGAGTATTGAAAAGAAATGATAAATTGAAATCACCTAAATAAGCAAAACCTTCGGATGTAACAGATGCATTCACCGCGCGGATTTCTTCAACTCGAAATTGTCCAGGTATACTAGTTGGTATTTGATTGGACTTCGATATGAATGAGCCCCAATTTTGAAAACGTATCGATCCACCACATCGCACTAACCATTCGGCGCAAGCCAAATCCGCACCAATTTCTTGTACACGTTTTCGATCGTATCTAAAATAGTGAGAGAAAAAAAACGAGTGCTATTCAGTAAAAACGAAGGCATTCTGTTGAAAAGCAAACAACTGAGTGTTTTTTTTCCTCAGGAAGTCAATACTCGTCATTGTGAAGAACGGCGTATTTACTTTCGATAATATTAAGAAATCAAACATACGTTACTTGTTTCGAATAATATTTATAGAATTCCAGAATTGACGATAAACGATTGAGGATGAGAAAGTATTAATTGCGGAACGATGAGTGAGAAGGAATGTCATCTACAATAGTTTAAACTAGAAGCGGGTTCAATACTTTCGTTAATTATATTTAAATATTTGATGCATACATTCACAGATCAATTGTGACAGAAGTGTTTTCAGTTCTCGCTACTTTCTTTCAGTGACACAAATAAATCCATAATCAAGGTCACCAGATGGCGAAGTTGATTGCAACAGATGTAAGTTAGAAATCAATTAATTCGTCACACTGATTATTAGCACTTAGGATAACACTTGTATATTTCACTCCTCCGCAAGGCCTATTAACGATAATTTGTACCATTGATATATACAAATAAACTACTGATGAGATCGCATCAATCAACATTGCTTCATTTCGAATCTCTTTGCAATTAGATAGAATTCGCGATTTCTATTTCTTCAAAACCAAAAGGATTCTCGTTTAATAACAAATTCTTGTTTTTTTTTCTTTGTTTATCTTAAAAACGAAACAACACACATCTCAATAAATCACTGTGTAGGTTTGCCAGTTGTTTCCACTTTCGGTGTTATTCCATCCTCAAGTTTGGCATGCTCTTCACCTTCCTTATAAGGTTTGCACGCTGGAAACAGTAAAACTTCCTAAATACGAAATGAACCCCGCATATAAACGACCTCTTGATGAGAGTGTCTCCTACCTTGATATTGTTACTATCAGTGAGCATCATCGTTAGACGATCAACACCTAAACCCCAACCACCGGTGGGTGGTAAACCATATTCAAGTGCGGTGCAAAAGTTTTCATCGATTAATTGAGCTTCATCGTCACCAGCATCCTTGTCCTGTTCGGATAGAAAAAAAATATTGAAAATAATCGAACAAAAAACAATGAACGATCTACTTTAGCTTGTAACTCGAACATTTGTCGTTGCACGAGTGGATCATTCAATTCAGTGTAAGCATTGCATGTTTCTTTGTAACAAATAAATAATTCAAAACGTTCTGTTAGACCAGGGATGGAGCGATGACTAGGAAAAGAAAATAAACTCAGAAGCATACGCAACAAGTCTGTACTCACTATTTCGCTAAAGGACTCATCAATTGCGGATGATTGCAAAGAAACGTTGGATTGAGACATTGAGTTTCGAGAAAATGTCCAGCTAACTGTAAACGAAAATGATTTCTCTTGATTGATGATCAAACAAAGTCATTTACTTTGTCAATCAATCGAGCAGTTGTACGTGGATTGGTACATTCGATTTCATGTTTCTTACAGAGATTATCGAGAAATCTATTCGATTCTGATGTACCCAATTCCGTCGCGGGTGGAAATTTCTCGCCGGTTGCTTTCTCCAAATCTTCGATTAAACTCAAACGTTTGAATGGCGGTGTAAAATCGATTTCAACTGGTGCTTGATCAGGTCCGTTCATATGATACGCGATTTTATAGGTTCCAAAGAGATGTTTAACAAGACCGGATATTAATTTCTCAGTTAAATCCATTAAATCATTGTAGTCCGCATATGCCATATAGAATTCACAGATGGTAAATTCAGGATTGTGTGTCATATCGATACCTTCATTACGAAAGACACGGCCGATTTCAAAAACACGATCTAGACCACCGACAACTAACATCTACGAAAAATTAAATAGTCGTTAAAGACACGTCGTGAATAAGACGAAAGTGTTTACTTTAAGGTAAAGTTCCGGTGCGACACGCATGAATAATTTCATATCGAGATCGTTATGATGAGTGATGAATGGTTTAGCAGCAGCACCACCTGCAATCATATTCATCATTGGTGTTTCAACCTATTGAAAGCAATCGAATGAATGATTGGCCGAATGACAGCTGAGATAATTACTTCGAGAAAACCGAGCGAATTAAGAAATTGTCGAACATAGTTGATGATTTTTGCTTTGACAATAAATTTCTGTCGAACTGAATCGTTGATCAGTAAATCGAGATATCGTTGACGAAAACGTGTTTCCTGAACGATGAAAATATAAGCTAAGCAATGAATACGGATTTAGAAACATACCTTATCCTTAAGACCATAATGTAAACTAGGCAACTGATGTAATGTTGGTGTAAGAATGATCAGTTCTGTTGGGATAAGACTGAGTTCGCCCTTTTTTGTTCGTGCTAAAATCGAGGAATGTGCATAGATATAACTAGTGAAATGCTTTTACTTGGTTTTCCCTTGGCACCAACGATGTCACCACGACGAATACGATCATTCACAGTCGCAAATTCTTCTTCGTTGTGATACATCCTACAGATTAGCGTTCGAATGAATAGTTAACATAGGAATCAAGGAGTTTTACTTGAGATTGGCCATAATTTGGATCTTAGCTGAATCACTATGAAGATCATAAAAATACAGTTTAGTGCCCGATGAACGTTTTGAATAGATACGTCCTAAACAACAATTCAAGTCTTGTCAAAACGAAGTTTTTGCATTTACCGGCAACAGAGACGATGTCTTCATGAACTTCTTCATTTTGCAAATGAGTATATTTATCGATATAATCGCGTAATGATATTGATACATGATATTTATGTGGATAAACTGTTTCACCGGCTTGTTTCAGTTGTTGAATGTGATGAACGCGCATCTTGTAGTATTCCTATTGAATTTCGAATAAGATTTACTTGACAATAAAAGTCAACAATCTCACGTACATTTGGATCAATATCTTGTTCATCATTCTCACCAGCACCCGCACTAGCTGCTTCCTTTTTCGTAGATGACTGCGTTTGTGGAACAGTGGTTACCTTCTGTGCCTTTTCATCAGCCTTCTTTTGAGCTTTCAATTGTCGTTTAAGTTCACTAAAATAGCAAACAGACTCATTTGAGATCCAATATGAGCTTCTCGATCAACTATTTCCTCTATTTATATAAAAGCAACAGAATTAATCATGCTCGGTTTCGAAATATCTGCCAGTGCTTCTAAATCTCTCAATCAGAAGAATTTCGAGTTATTTTCAAACATTGCAATGGGTTATAGCTCAAATGGAATGCATACCATTGAGATGTCATATAAAGTGCATTTTGAAAGCGACCTGCACTGAATATGTTTCTTGTTAAACGAGCTAACATGGTGTAGTATCCTTTCTAATGCACAGAAAACATCTGAAACACGTAGAAAGATCACATACTTTTTACTGAGTTTTTCTTGTGTTGAACCTTGTTCATCAACTTTATCACCGGTAGCTTCAGACGACACTTTGAAAGAAAAAAGGAGCCAATCATGTTTAATCATTTGAAAAATAGATTATGCTTACTCTCTCTCTCTTTCGTTCCTTTTTCACGACAAGGAATGACGAAATCTATCTACAATAAAATAAGAACATCATATGTACAAGACAAACAGTGATAGAAGAAAAAAAAAGATGACAAGAGATCGCATTCACTTTATTTCATAAGAAAAGACAAGCTATTGCGCCAGTACCAGATACACATGGGGAGAATTTTTACTATTATTGAAATCATGAACAAAAGAATGTGCTTTTTGAGTTTCATTTCTTTTTATCTGATAAGCTTTCTTCAGATGAGGAAAGCGTTGGATAGAGTGAACGCTTATTGCCATTAGGAGCAGGATTACCATTGGAATGGTTTACAGTGGAAAGACGAATGGATCGGCGAGTAACCTGAGATTCAGTTGCTTGGTCTGTTGAGTCCGAAGAATCGGTGACGGACAGTTCCATGGGTTCGGCTGCAGATTGATTTTGTATTGGAGCTGGAAGAGGAGCAGCTGGTGGCGATGGACTTGATAAATTACCGTTAAAAACAGGTTTGCGTTTACGAGCACCATTGAGATAGTTACAATATGCACACCGAAATGCTACAAAACAATTGAAAATGGTATAAATTATACTGAATGTGACAATGATTTACATAAATATTCGAATTCTTCGTCTAATGCCATGCCTATTGGAAAGAAAGAGAAAATAAAGTATTCGATACGTTGTACGTAGAAAAACTCAACAAACCATTGTGACTATTGCATGAGCTGCAAATCAATGCATAACTAAATTGTAATTTTATGTCGAGGCGATATTCATATGAATGAGTGAGTTGAAAACATACCGTTTCGATGGTCCATCACCAACAATGGTATCAAGAATAGCACCCCAAAACGTGCGTTGTGGCGGTAGAATTGCTCGTGGTAATTTGCCAGGCGTAACACCAGCTAAATACAAATCGCATATCGTTGGTCAAATGCGGCAAGTGCCCATCTACCAGCTAAACGCGTTGACCCGCCACGTACTGGTGTTTGGATCGGATGATTACCGTTTTCCTGTGATATTGATTTCGGTGGAGTAACTAAAAACTCATTAGATATGATTTTTGTCAGATTAAAATGAAACGACTTTACTGGAAACAACAGGCTTTTCCAAGTTTGGTACGCCTGGTTTAATAGATACACGTGGACGTAGATCTAAAATGTATAAATACAATCGTTTATTTAACTCTTCATGCCTGTGTACCTTTACTATTTCCATTGGCAATGGGAGATCGGATCTCAGGTGCGATGGTTTCACCATATTTTTCCAAAAGATTCTTGGCTACGGCATATGTTTCTTTATTTTTCACTTCCTCAATCTATATAACAGAGGAGAAACGTTCGCGAATATGTCCCCGATAATCATTTCTCACCAGTTCTTGCTTTCGCTCCTTGAATATTTCTAATTTGTCTTCTAGAAAAAACCAATGTAACCAGTTATCTCCATTGATGACCAGAAATATAGCATTGCTACCTTTTGCTTGAATAATCATTCGAAAGTACCATCGAATAATCCAATGAATACCGTAAAATCTATTGATACAAATCGAAAAACGACTTCGAAGTGTCACCAACATCCATAAATGACATACAAAATAGCCAATACAATCGAAAGGGTAAATGCATAGAATCGACTAACGAAGTCTCTTGAAAGAAATAGAGTGTAATAGGAGATATTCGTCACCAAATAGATGAGGATGGCGTAGATAGCGAACCACTTCGTCCATTGCCGTTGAAGTAATCGTGATTGAATTAAACCTTGTTGGAGATTGCTTAATTCCTATCATTGTACAATGGATTGATCATATTTCAATAATAAAAACCTTACACTATGCAAATCGTCGAGTTCTTCGCTGAGAGTTGTACGAAATTTCTGCAAGAATACAATGTATGGTTGAGAGCGACGCGAAGGAACAGTTTCGTATTACATACAAAGATTCGAAACTTAAACAAACGATTGAAAAATGACGTCATCGACGATGATTGCACAGAAAATCAACTCTAGAAACAGAAAACCATCGATTTAATGAGGCTCCAGCTGTCGTTAATACTCCTACACATACACGACACAATCGAAGAAAGAAATAAAACACAACGTGTCTGCATGTGTAGTTCTCTACGTTTGTTAGATATTGTTGTTGTTGTTTTTTTTTCTAGTTCTCGGTGAATCATAGTGTTTGATTGAGTGGACCAATCAGTTGCGTGATCATAAAAATTCCCTGTAAAGAAAGTTTTACGTACTACGCGCCTCCATTATGGTAACTCAAAAAGAATATTTTATCTAGCTTGACTATAGATTATGAGTGAACCTAGCAAGTAATCAATATGCGAAGATTTACCATGAAATTATCACGCTTTTCGTATTCGATTTTAGGCGTGGATATAGTATTATAGTAAGAAATCTACCGAATGGGTTTAATGAAGTAAAATCGATGTATTTTCCCAATGAACATAGATTTTCAATATTGTGTCTAGGAACAATTGAATCAATTATTTTCACCATGTGGAAGAATCATTTCTACCAAAGTCCTACCACCAAAGCCTCTTTTTGAAGGTGAATGTGGGTAGGTCTTCGTGTGTAGCTCATCACTGAAATTTCTCTATGGAAATAATTTAGTTTTGTCAATTTTGCCGATGCTGAAAGTTGTCAACAAGCTGTTGAGCAACTGGATCGTTGTTCTATGAATGGATTCATAATAGATGTGAGACATGCGATGGTAATTCGGTTCCTTTATGTAATCTCATTTATGAAGTTGATCTTGTAGCCTCGACCTGGAAATAACACTTTTGATCGATCACCGAGCGGATAGTGAGTGAACATTTTGAAGAATCACGTCTGGACTTGCGTGTCTGAATGTTCTAGTCGTACGACGTCTGCAACAAATCCAAACTTCGATGACAGCAATGGCGTGTCGTCGCCTGGAACTGCTGCGCGATTTAACGCTTTCCGACCAGCCAATGAACATCCATCAAGTTCTACACCATCCAAATCTATGTTCAGTAACAATTCACAATCAAATAGAAACGATGCCGAACGCGTATCGAACACACCAAAGCCAATACAAAATAGTAGCACACCTATACAACAATTACAAACTACCGCAACTAGTAAAAATTCATTCGAGAATGGTTTGGAAAAGAACGTTTGATAACTCGAATGAAATCGTTCACCAGTTAACTTTTGTTTAGGAACATCTATGACTTATCCGTTAGCGAATATTCAACAACATGAACCATTTGAGAAGGATAAGACTTACAGTGTCTATCTGTCGAACCTCGAAATACCACACGTAGTATTTGCAGCGACATTGGATGATTATGTTAATGCAACATTACTGATCACACAAATGAATAAGCATGAACAAATAGTCAAAAATCCAGCAAACTCGCACAAAACCAAGTAAATCAAAGTTCGATAAATTTCGCTTTCTTAATGGAGGATAAACTAGATTACTCGTCGGACAAATCTGTGCAGCACAGTTTAAAGATGATTGGTATAGAGCTCGTGTCGTGGAAATTGCTGATACTCGTGTATGTGTTCAATACATTGATTGGCAAGTTGACTGTCTTGTGCTCTACAGATCGAATATAATTTCTTTCGTATTGTAGGGGTAACATTGGTTGGTGTGATGCAATGCTTCAAATCCGTCCTCTACCCAATGACTATTACAAAGATCCAGTTCTATGTGCTAAATGTATCCTAGACGGCGTTCCATCAGTGGAAAAACTGTCCGAACAACAATCGAGTGCTATTCTCAAAATTCTTGGTAAACTATTACCGATACCTATATACATGAGATAATGTTCATATTGATTTGTTTTTCTTAGTGCTTGATGTTAAACTTGAAATGACTGTGATACGTTTTGAAAATAACATTCCGTATGTGCGATTGAATTTAGGCGAAAAGAATTTAAACAATGAAATTCGTGCTTTATTGAATGCATCGACGGTGGTCAAATCAGATCCAGTTATGCAATTCGATACGTATCAGCCAGAAGTGGATCTCGCTGGCAGTCATTACGTTCAATTAACATCAGTCGATGCAGATCCTGAATGTTTTCATGTTTTACTAATGCGTGATTGTTTACCAACAATTATGAATACATTGAAAGATTGGAATGCAAACAAACAGCCGCTGGTCGGCCAACCAAAATCAGATACTTTGGTCTGTGCACAGTACGATGTGGATGATCTTTGGTATCGAGCATGGATTAGAAAAGTTACCAGTAAGAAAGTTTTCATTTGTGAATACTCAGCATATATGCAATGACGTTTTCTTCGACAGATAATGGTGCTTATGTATATTTTGTGGACTTCGGTAATGAAGAACACGTCAGTAACGATCGTCTTAGTGAATGCCCGGATGTTTTGAAAAGTATTCCTTGGCAAAGTGTACAGGTCAAATTAGTGAATATCAACTTAACTGATAATGAACGTTACGCACTGTTAAGAGATTTCGAAACTGAACGACTGGAAATGAAAATTTCACAGAAAAATCAAAACATTTATCTGGTCGAATTGTTTAATAATGGAAAATCATTGAGTGATTACGTAGCAAATCTAAGAAAGCAACAACCACCGCTACCACAGACCGTAGTCGCGTCTAAAATTACAACAGAAAATACTTCACAAATATCACTGGAGAGTAAGTGATACTACTTCATTTCATTTCAAAACACCGTTGCTCGACGATTTCATTCAGATTCACGTCCAATTCTACAACCTATACAATCTACGCCTGACACATTGAAACAATTCAATGGTAATGCGACGCCTGTGGATGTGATAAAACGGCCGCTGTTTAGTAGTAGTCCTGGCGCGACTAGCGGAAGAATACTATTACCTGCCACTGATCAAACTAATGGTGCAACTTCTAACGAACTGCTATCAACGTTGATCAGCGAGCAACGTCGACAAAACCATTTACTTGAACAAGTGATTGCAGCGATCAATTCGACCAATGCCCTTCTAACACAATTAGTTCAACGTTGAAAAAATTTGCTAACGAAGATACAATCAGATACTTAACCGAGATGGTGCCAGTTTGTTCTTGTTTTTCAAATTTCACCCTCACATTTACGAATCATTCATTTTTAATTTTTTACTTCGACTGCAGAAAAGGTTTCATTACAATAAAAAGTTTATCTGAGATGCGATCGATGCGTCATCGACCGACTTCAATACAATTGTATGTAGTTAAATTTTAGATCAAATTCTTTTCTGCCATTTCCTGTTATATCAACCAGAAGAATAGATATGACGGACAAAACCGATCAGATCATTGTTGTCGGCCACCGCAATCCAGATACAGATGCAATTACAGCTGCACTGGTCTATGCTGATTTTCTTCGCCGTATGAATGTTAATGCTAAAGCGTATCGACTTGGTGACCTTAATAACGAAACAAAATTTGTACTGCAAACAGCTGGCGTCGAACAACCAGACATGATACCTGATAATATTCCCGAAGGTACACAAGTAGCACTAGTCGACCATAATGAGAGTAAGTAGACATGTGCTCTTGGTTCAATGAGAAATCTGGCGTTCTCTATTTTTATCGTAGGTCAACAATCAATGAAAGACTTGAAAAAAATGCGTGTTTCACATGTTGTCGATCATCATAAACTTGGTGATTTAACAACATCGGAACCAGTTTATCTACGGTTCGAACCAGTTGGCTGTACAGGAACGATTCTAACCAAAATATTTCGTGAAAATCATTTAGACATCGATCAGAAAACAGCGACGTTGTTACTTAGTGCTATTCTCAGCGATACGCTTCATTTTCGGTAGGCGATATAAATACGATGTAACGCAGCAGTCATGAAAATTCAATTTTCAGATCACCGACAACAACTGATGACGATAAGAAAGTGGTTGAATATTTACATCCATTAGCTAAAATTGATGACATACAAGCGTATGCTGGTAAATTATTCGAGGCTAAAAGTGATTTAACCGGATTTTCAGCGAGTCAAATTCTTCTACTCGATTTCAAAACATTTCCATTTCAAAATGAACACTGGGCAGTCGGAACAGCTGAAACATGTAATACTGATAAAATTCTTGAACGAAAAGATGAATTTCTCAAAGTAATGATTGAAGAAAAGAAGAAACATAAGTTAAACGGCTTTCTTTTCTGTGTCGTGGATATTCTCAAAGAAAAGAACTTAACTCTGATACCTACTGAAGACGAAGACAAAGTAGTACGACAAGCATTCAAAGTTGACATCAAAGATGGTATTGCCGACCTTGGCTCTAACATCAGTCGGAAGAAACAAATCGTTCCCACACTCGAAGCATACTTCAATGGCAAAAATAAATAATCAATTTATCTTTATACTAGTGATAATCGAGCAATTCATATTTATATATTTTTTTACTGCTAATAATAATAAAAAATAATCTCATTAGAATTTAATTAGATACTGTTCGTAGTTATACGTCAACATATCCCATACTATCCATCATTTGATGACCATGTTCAGCATTTGGATCACGTGGACCGTTGTGCACACGATTCATCGCTTCCGAACGCATCATTGGACCGAATATCATGAAAATAACGCCACAAAAGCACAAAACAGACAGAATCAGAATCAGCATAATATTGGATGAACGACTTGATGACAACGACTCAAAATCCATCGTGTCATTCTTATTTGTAGTGACATTGATCGAATTCAATGTTGTTAATGCTGTTGATAGTGTGTACATGGAATGTCATAGTTTATGCCGATCGATTCATTCGATAGTTACTGTACTTCTCAACTGTGCGAGTCAATGTGGGTGCAATGCTTGTCAGAGAACTCTTCACTAGTATCTGTTTGGTCGAAAGATATACAAATGTATGCATATATAAATGGGCCAATGTTTGTTGATGTGATTATCATTGATCAAGTAGAAGAAGAGCGGGGAAAGCAAAACAGAAATGACTCCGACAGGAACTGTGTTTTTGTGTGTGTCAGGCTCTCTCGCCTATCAATGTTTCTTTTCTGTTTACTAAAGAAGTCAAGACAGATCTCATCTTTCATATGTATGCACATAATTCATCTGAATAATGGTAGTCGACGACTGTATGTTACTTGAAAGAGATAGAACATGTCTGGTGCCTCTAAGTATATCGTTAATGCAGGGTGAGGAGTTGGAAATTCAACATCCAGATTTATAGTAAAAGATGTACAGGATTGATTGATTTTTTTTCTAGAGACAAATTCCATTTTCTGATAAGAAATACGGCGTTAAACAATGTTCTAGTTATTTCATCAGCTGACACAGGAAAAACACAGTCCATATTCCATATTTTACCAACGAAATTGGTTACCGTGTTGTATTCTCATCTCATCATCAGTGAGAAAAACTATTCTAACAATGTCAACGGAAAATTTGTACGATGTTGTTATTATTGGTTGTGGACCAGCTGGTATCGCTGCTGCATTAGAATTTCAAAAGTGTCAGTCTGTTCCACGTTTTATAATTGTTGAAGCTCGTGATCGTGTCGGTGGTCGCACGTACACCGATACAACTACATTTGTTGCTAATCAACCTATTGATTTAGGTGCACGATGGATTCATCATTACCGTCCAGAAAATCCTCTTTTTGCTCATCATTCTCCTTCGGATCAAGATAAATTAGATTACACTTTCTTTCGTGGCGACAAAACTGCTTTCCTTGATGAGGACGGCACAGTTATGTCCGAAGCAGTACTTACCGAAGCAGAAAAAATTGCTGGAAATTTATGCGCACTAATCAAACAGTACCCGTCGGATAAAGAAGATATTTCGATATGGAATTGTATTGAAAATGAATACAAAAAGATTTCCGACGAACAACTGTGTCGTGTTGTTGATATGAATCTGGCCTACATCGAACTTTATGAAGCTTCAAATCTCGATCGACTCTCTACAAAAATGTATCTAAAAACCGACAATGATATCGAAACTTGTAACCTGACATTGCCAACTGGATTAGGCACTTTTATCAAGCAGATTGCTGAACGAAATCATCTTCCTGTGCAATTAAATACTATTGTTACAGATATTCAAATTCCCAGTAATGCCGATGATCTAATACGAATAACTACACAGGATCACCGTCAATACTTTAGTAAACATGTATTAATTACAGTTCCGCTTGGTTGTTTGAAAGCACAATCAATACGATTTACTCCATCTTTACCGGAATGGAAACAAAACGCTATTGATCAAATGGGTGTAGGTTTATTAGATAAAATTTTCCTTCAGTTTCCCACAACGTTTTGGGATGAAAAATTAGAAACAATCAGTACTGCTTCTAATCGTTTTCGATTCTTTTTATGTCATCCACAAGATCATATCTTGGCTCTATTTGTTGTCGGTAAACTAGCGCACGAATTAGAACAGCAAACAGATACGCAAACTATTAAACAAATTATGGAATATATCCAAAGAATCTTTCCAGATGCACCACAACCAATTAAATGGGTAATAACTCGGTGGGGATGCGATCCATTTGCTTTCGGGTCATATTCAAATCTCCCAATTGGTGCAACGACTGGAACAGTCGAAGCATTGTCGAGAGAGTGTTTCGATGGACGAATACATTGGGCAGGTGAATATACAAATTACGGGGGAACACTCGGATGTGTGGATAGCGCTTTTGAAAGTGGCCATCGGACAGCTAAACAGATTTATGATCATCTATTTTCGAAATAAATAATTAGTTCTGTGTTGATTTGAATAAATTTTTAGTAAACAGTAAATAGCGACAAAGAATCTAATTGAACGATAATGCGTCGTGTCTTAGGTATTTTGCTCTATTCTGATTGATAAATCACAGGTAGATGACAATAATGATCAAAAGGTAATGTATCTTTGAAATCGCCGGGGATGTGTATACTTGTCAATCTGTATAAATAGTATAATTTAAAATCAAGGAGGAAGTAGCGACTTGTTTTTAAACATATTTTATAATAATGTTTTGATCCGTAAAATGATAGTCGTAGGCCAATGAATCGTAACATAATATAAATTCGAAGGATATATCCAAAATGGGGTTTTTCACGAATGTGAGTATGAAAAATACTTCTATCAAATGTAAAAATGGTATTTTTGTTTCAAGCTTTATATGATTAACAACATCTGGCTTTTTAATCGTTTATTCGAACAAGCCTGTCTTGATTACAAAAGTGATAAATATGTAGAAGTAAGCATAAAATAAACAGTATCACTTTAAAAAATGGAATTTAGATGAAGCACAGTACTTCTTATTGAACTCTCCGTATTAAGTTTTCGTAGTTTATCCATTACAAGTACTAAACTGTGTTCTTTCCTTTTCCCCACAGTCTGTAGTGATTGTAAATGGAAAAACTAGGAAAAATTAATAAAAGAAAACAGTCGTTTATAATTACATATAAATATGTTAAACCGAAAAATCGTTAAATTGCATACATTGAAAAATTTCCCTTAACATGAGTTACAAATGTATTATAATCCAAACGAAACCACCCACCCACCCACCCTACCATTCGGAATAGGATACATAATGGCTCATGGTTTATTGATTCTACTGCTTGAATTTTCAAGTAAAAGAAATTCCACATGTACTGTAGTCATTGATCTTGATTAATAAAATGAATATATTGGATTTTTTGGCGGTTGATCTTGTTAAGGATGGGGCTCAACTGTTGGGCTAAACTCGAAGTTCACTAAAATAGAATAATCTTTTTAGAAACAATATTTATCATTAAAACCGTTCACTAAAGAGGGATAAATATTAAGAGCGACGAAATATAAGAGATAAAAATCGAAGGATTCGAAGTCAATAGTCATCAATCAAGTCGTCTAGCTTATTGATAATTAATAGAGATAAACATATCATGTAATTACTCATTCATACATGATTCATATATATTTTTTACATAAACAGTTTTGAAAGCGTAAGTGTATTACCTTATTCTTCGTTTAATCTTTTATAGATTAGTCATCTCTATACAAATGCTCGAATTATCAGTGTAAGGCGGACTATTACCTGGCGAGTCTACTGGTTGCACACCAAATTGAGTGTAATCTACTGTTGTTGCAATTGGATCACCACCTACAAATGACGGAAATTGTACGGTATACATAGTTGAATTCTTGGCAAGTCAACTTACATGGATAAGTTGTTTTGGATGTCCAAACACTATCTAGAAACACAAAAATATCGCCGTTTATCATTTAAATTTAACTTCTAGATAATATGTCGTTGGGGTCAACAGTCCTACTGAACAACTCATTATCATTGGGAACCAACCTTTGATAGTGCGGTTCAACAATCGAATACATATAGTCATCAGCAATTTTGATAAAAAAAGAAATCATTATGCCGTCATTTCAGTGTATTTTACTGAAGATTGAAAATGCTCTCTCATGCGCTTTTTGAACATTCTACACGATGACGAATCCAAGAATGTTCATAATTCTTATTCTCAGTTGTTAAGCAAAACATGTTGAAATGTAATCAATGTTTACTTTTAATTTGTGGAAGCCAACGACTCTCTCTACTTTCTTACTGAAGTCGGAAGCCGGAAAAGTATGTTTATTTTTGTGCAAATGCGACTAGAAAAAAAAATCTGCTGCAATACAAAATATATATGTAGTGTTGATAAACTTCTTTTTTACGTTTTTTTCTGTGTAGATAGCTGTGCATTTCAAGTTCAGCATAATAACACGATCTGAGAAGGAAGAGTATTAAGTTTAAACCCAGTTTTTGCTTTCAATGTACTGATTCAAACATATCGAGCTGCGTCAAGACATACTTATGGTTTCTGTAACTACATGACTAGTGATGAAAGGCCAGGAAAACAGTCGTTATTAGAATTTAGCAATGCAGGTAAAGCCTAAGTATAAGATTTAAATAAACGATGCGATACTTGCAACTTCAGTATATATTCGTTTTTCCTGATCAATATCTCTACCGATTATTTGCTCATAGCCTGCAGTGCAATATGACCCTATCTAGTCGTTCTCAAATGTTTATTCGATATCAACCACATTGAATTTATGCTTCCCTTTCCTTACCGTAGACCACTAAATTTTCACCAATTGCTTGATCACCGGCTGGGCCAGTCGACATCGATAATGGTGATAGAATCAAGCCATCAATGTAGATGCCGGGCATGATTATGTTCCAATCTACGAAGAAAAGGTAGAAATAAATTTTATAGAATTATATTACTAGGAGTAGTGTAGCAATCGTTAACTCGATTCGAGTACTAAAACTTCCTTCGAATTCTAAAACTCGAAGCTTCGAGTTTTCAACTATTCGAGTTTTACACTACTACCCAACGCTCACACCCTCACCCACACCCACACCTACACTCTCACCCACACCCACACTCTCACCCACACCCACACCCACACTCTCACCCACACCCAAACCCTGACCCGACATCCACCGTCGTACTCATTTAGCTAATGATTAATAATCAGTTAGCTAATAATTGATAATCAGTTAGTTGTTTAATAATTATCATTTAGCTATTGGATATTTAATGGCCAATTAGTTAAAGTTGAAAACTCGAATAGTTGAAAACTCGAAGCTTCGAGTTTTAGATTTATAAGTTTAAAAGCCTAAGTATAAGATTTAAATAAACGATGCCATACTTGCAACTTCAGTATATATTCGTTTTTCCTGATCAATATCTCTACCGATTATTTGCTCATAGCCTGCAGTGCAATATGACCCTTTCTAGTGGTTCTCAAATGTTTGTTCGATATAAACTACATTCAATTTATGCTTTCTTCTCCTTACCGTGGACAACTACATTTTCACCAATTGCTTGATCATCTGCGGGACCAGTTGACACCGATAATGGTGATAGAATCAAGCCATCAATGTGGATGTCGGGCATGATTATGTTCCAATCTACGAAGAAAAGGTAGAAATAGATTTTATAGAATTATATTACTAGATAGCAGTAACATCTGAGAGCTAGAGTGTCTCGAATTAAAGAAAGACGGTGACCGATCAATTCGTCGCCACTCATTTCGTCGCGTTCTTTTCGTCGCCGCTCAATTCGTCGCCTATTCAATTCGTCGCATTCAGTTCGTCGCGACTTAATGAAAGTAAGAGAGAGGGAATCAGGCACAAAAACATCTGTAATCCAATTACACAACTCTGTAAAGACTTGCTAGAGTCTATTGAACAACTTGAGAGGCTCAATCAAGTCTTATCAAATCTAACGTATATCAAAACTATAATTATTTACTGGAAGTAGCGATGATACCAGATATTTATTCAAAGAGGGGCTCAGTGTTCCCCAAACCTCCAGAAAAATCACGAGAGGACTTCGGGTTCCGAGTCATAGGTTTTTGTATTGTCTTTGAGACTGACCCACAAAAAACATAGGTTGTAAAAGAAACCTTTGTAGGCTTCGAAAGAACTTTGAGAACAGCTATCCGTGTACTGATTCCCTTGGTGTTGTCACTAAAATTTTGTGGAAGGGGTTTTCCAGAGCCCATTTTTTCGAGTATCGAGAGTCTTGTCTGCACTCAGTTTGCTGACACAGTGAATTTCATGTATCTCATACGAAAACAGTTGTCGAATACTTCACCTACATCAGAGCCAACAATTTCCTTTCATCTTGTCACCTCAACTTTTGTACCGTACTCTTCCTAATCACTACAGAAACTATTGATAACTTTTATCCATATTCGAAAATATCAAATACGACCCAATCCTTCTTCAAAAAATGTTCTCTGTGAAATGACGACCTTCGATTCGACAAATACGCAAGCGATATTTTACTTAATCAATTGTAAGGTTTAGAAAACTCGGCTCAGAAGCTGTGAATCAAATTCCATTACAGCATTTCAGTCCTGTTACAGATTCCAGTAACAATCTTCAAGGAGCTGTGTGATTGGATTACAGATGTTTTTGTCTCTGATTCTTTCTCTCTTACTTTCATTAAGTCGCGACGAACTGAATGCGACGAAATGAATAGGCGACGAATTGAGAAGCGACGAAAAGAACGCGACGAAATGAGCGCGACGAAATGAGTGGCGACGAATTGATATAGCACCAGAAAGACATCACATACGAAAACGTCTGAAGCATTTCCAACAGAAGAAATGGTGAGCTAAGTGACATCATCTGAGTTTCATTTATATGAATGGTTGATTTTCAATTTTTTTTTTCTTTATCTCTACTGCAAACTCATATGGTTGTTGCTTTTTGTTTTTTTGCCTGTACTACGACATTCACGCGCAGTTTTGTCATATTTTTTATTATTATTTTATCACGAACATCGGCGGACGAATATTTCAAACATAGATATGAAAACAAGCAGAGCCCTTGCCATGAGAGAAAAATCTATTTTCGCCTCGCCTAATCTGTATATTACTCTTCTTCTCAACTGTTGTCAGTGTGCACCCATAAAATCCGATTCGTCATCCAGTCGGACTGGATATCGCTGGAATAGATATAAGCAAAAAAACGACTAAGAATCTTTAATGAATCTATACTAAATGTAACAATTACTCCCTGACGGTGCACCACTGACACCAAATAACACCGATTAAGCCTAGCTCAGTAGCTTTCTCTGCCTTATTCTGTTGATTGCTCTCGTATACTTCTATGGATTTGGTATTTCGTTCTGATTAATATGCAAATGAGATAAACAATAGAAGCAGTACAGTTCTGTAAACTCCAAACAAAGTCGTTGTCACCGTAACACAACAGACAAACAACGATGGTTATACATACCATCTACTGTAATCATACGTTTTTAAGCGAGTAAATCATCAAAATCATGAGCTTCACTCGAACACTTATCGCATATCTATTCATAACCCCTAATCTTCAAAGAACGTTGAATGAGTCGTGGAAACCTATAGGTGATTTTTTAGTAGGAACCAGATGTAATAATCATCTCATGGTGATGCATTCTTCTGATGTTCGCATACTCCCATTTGAGCTTATCTATAATTTCGATTAAAGCAATACTACGGTGCATACCTCGTGTTAAATCCAGACTAGGCGATGTTGTTGTGTTATTTTCAGTCATATTCTACTAAAGAATTTGAGACTATTAAAATAAAATAAAACTTTTTTTTCGGTAAAGCACGATTTGCCTTTATAATTTCGTTGTTTAGAGAGAGAGAGCAAGAGAGAGATTACATTCCAAGCATACAGATGTGTTCTTCTTTTCGTTCTTTATCGGCAGAACGATTCTCATTGGTTTAATATCAATACGTTCTATTATCAGCGAATAGTAAAGCAAAGAAATGAAATCGAAATAGTCAGCAATATTCATTAAATCAATATACACTTAGTAATAAGTCATAATACAATGGGATACGTTTTTCCACACCTCGATAGCGAGCCGAACAAGGTACGTCGACATGAACAAGCCGGAAAAAATCATCACAGAGCTAATTGAAAAGCGTTAACCACATAAACAAATATAACTATACGAACACCTCTGCTTTTCGATTAGCTACTATTTAGCTGATACTATCAACATTCGAGTGACGTTATCACTCTTTTGATCAGGCTTTCAAAAGAGAATCGATAGACATATACGCCGCTTCATTTATCTTTCATTGTTATGCACTTTTCTAATAGAAGACGTGACTAATCGGAAAGCTTCACTATAATTTCATAGTGTAGGTGTATCTTATACGGCATTGCTCAAACATTTGTATGTCGACTGGACGGCCTTTGTTTTTTCCTTCCTCTTCCTTATTTTTTCCATTGAAACGTCTACCACCATCGATGAAAGGTGAGCAGTCGATCAAGTAATTGCATGGATCACATTAATTGCGTAGTATCGAAAGAATACGTAACATCAATCATTGTCGACTAATATATTCATTACGGAAAAGTCCGACCGCAAAAGAAACTTTCTTTACAAAGCAACTATAAATAAATTCATACTGGATGGTAAAGACTAATGATTTGTAGGAACACCAATTTTACCATTGGCAGTCAAAGAACTCAATAATTTCATCAAATTTTATAAGATTAGTGGCACATAGTTCTAGAATAGTGCAAGAATTTAATTAATGGGGTCATATGTCGGTTTCGATAACGATCTTTAAGGACATTTCACAAGAGTTTCAGTGACGTGCTAACTCTCGTAAGATCAATAGTCAATGCTGATATTAAAATATCGCTAAAAAAGGAACCCGCCTACATTTACAATATAAACATTTGTCTGGAGAAGAAGAGAATTGACGATGTGCGCGCGAAAAGTACATTTTTCATGCAGCACAAGATTAGAATGGAAACAGAAGATATTCTACAGACGCGTAGAGTACTTTTCCATCCCGCGTTCATTTCGAAACGATGCAATATTCTTTTTCATATATTTCCGCTTATACATCGCCAACAGATTCCAACGTTATTGAATAATTGTGCTGATTAACTACGTAGAAGTTGAGAAAACATTCATCATGACATTATTCATATCAAACTAATTGGGTGTGAGTAATTACAAAGAAATCAAAGAATATAATTGGACTCTCTAGAAAAAAAAAGAGAAGTTGAGATGAGCCAGAAGGATATGTTTTTATCAAAGTTTTTAATTGATGCGTGTTTTCTTTGATCGTGTAGCGAGGACGAGGATTTATTCGATGAGAAGTCAAGAAAAAGTATAAAAGGCATAAGGACATCGACGTCGTCAGAATGTTATCTTGCACGGTTTTGCTAAATTTATTAACTCTTGCATTCAGTTGCATCGGTTTACTCAGTAGTATGACATTTATATTTATTGTGATCAGTTCTCATCGATTCCGTCGAAATCTTAGTTTAATTCTTGCAATGAACTTAAGTATCGGAGGATTGATCACTTGCAGTGCTATGTTAAATCAAACGATTTACATGTTACTCAATGCTCCTGAAGATTATCTATGTCCATATCGAAGTTATTTCATGACTGTTGGTGGCTTATATATATTTCAAACGACGTTATTACAAAGTTTTCATCGATTACGTGTAACAGTTTTTGTTCATGATCGTCGTCTTCGTTATCAGAGTCGACAATTATTCTCAGTTCTATCGTTGATTTCGTTCACGATTTGTTTTATTGGCTTGTTACCTTTATTACTAAAGAAAAGATTTCCATACTATCCCGATGCTCATGCATGCTATATCGCCTTCAATGATGTTGTTGGCGTTCTGTATCCATCGATTTGTTTTTATTTTACCCCGCTGATCCTCCAGATAACTATCTCATCTTGGATTCTTTGGCATATATCGCATAAAACTCTTGCAGGTCAACCATTTTATAAAACAAAACGACGTATTCTCAAAGAACGGCGTGTTTTATTTCGTTTATCTATCCCGGTCTTGTTATTAATGAGCGTCGGAGTGATTTATTTTGTATTTTTCTTTCGGACAATCATTCCTGGCCAGCAATGGCAAGCGCCAGCTTATGCACTTCATTTGAGTTTTTCTGGGACTTCTTTAGCGACGGCATTGTCTATGTTAGCAAATCTGCTATTTTATCATCAAGTGAGCGACGTTGTTCGAAATTTATTTCGTTGTTGTGTACAAAACAAATCGAAACATCGTCGTATTATTATTGTTATATAAACTATAGTTCAAGTTTTTCGACTGTGTGAATAAGTTAGATTTTCAAAAAATGTGTAACTATAACAAGATTTTTTGTGTGATTTCCTCAAAAGGATTCACCGATCGAAAAGGTAAGGATATGGCTTTGGGCTTGATGAAATTAATAAAAAGCAGTATGGATGCATGATTGTAATTTCTCAAGGCATAATATTGGATTTTACGATTGTCTTGATAGATTTCAGTCGGCTGGCTGCAATGATTTGTTGGAAAGTATAAGTGTGAATTCGAAGATATGACTTTGATCTGATTATCTCTGCTCATTATTTATCGCTACTGATGATTTTAGCGGAAAACATGTATGGATTGATGGAGCTAATAGGGGTGTCATTTTGGCGTTCCGTTCTGAAGATGGGGAACGTAGCAAAATACAGTACTATCTCGTTGTTTATCAGTTGCGACAAGAATGAAAAACATTTTTTCTTATTGAAAAGACTAAAAAATCCGTGACGTTCTCCGTTCAAGAACGCGGAAAGCGAATAGCGTTCTCACTCCCTAAAAATGAAACGCATCTTTTTTATTATGCCTAACTATGTATCAACAGTTTGACTATGCTTGAAAAATTGCTAGAAAATGTACGTTGAAATTCGTTCCATTCCCAGAAATGGAACGCTTAAGAATGGGGAATAGTGACACTCCTAGGAGGTAAGCCTTCATTTTTTTCTTCTTCTTTAAAATCGCATCATACTGGTACAAAATACGCGTTTATATACTCATCTACCGAATACAGGAAAAGCAAAGGTAATCCAGATCGTCATGATTACATATATTCTTTTCTAATAATATAATTAAGAGATGACGTATGTTTCTACTTGAATTTGTCACCTCGATGTGTATGCAAATTCATCATTGTAATAATATTCGAGACTTCCTTTCAAGTATGAAAGCCTCCGAAGTTTGTAATCATTTTCTATTGCAATAGAGGTACTGTTTCTCATTGTTCTTTATGTTCAATGATTCCAGGTATGTCACAATCGTACGTAGTCTTACCAGAGAAGTTATGGAAAACGTATGCGTCTGTACATGCTAACACTCGGGCAAATGCTTGACTGTTCTATTTATTTAAGATGAAAGAAGACAATAAAAAGAAAAGAGATTGAGAAGAAGCGATGAATAGATACAAAAGGTTCAGATCTACGAAAAAGAATGAGTGCGAAAGTAGACAGAGAATGTGAGTAGAGTTTTCCAATGTTAGTCTAGTTTTGAATTAATTGCGGAATGATGTAATTATTTTGAGTGTTGCAATGTACGGGCTAGAATGGCATTACAGTTGCGCTGAAAGTCAGGTTCACTAAAATAAAGAAAAAGTAAATATAGATGAAAATTTGTTTACAGTTTTCTATTTTAAGACGTTCAGTCAATCATTAAGCAATGATTTCTCATCTATCGCAAGAAATGTGCTTGTTGAGTTCTATGGCAACCCTTTTTTTTTGTATACTTCGAGCGAAGAGTGTCATTCATATGCAACGATGAGCCCTCCAGAAAAGAACTAACTCATGGTAAAATAATATGAATTTCCTTCTGCATACAATGAGGAATTCTATTCTAATCTTAATCCAAAAACAGAATGTATTTTTCGAAAGGATAATATGTTTTTGAGGATATGGTACTACGAAATAACATGAAAAACATTAGAACATACATCTTTATTGAACATTTGATTTATACATATGTAATACTTATTGTAAGCTAGCAGTGAGCACACTTTTTCGAGTTCAATCCACTCCCAGATCTCGCATAAACTAATGACCATGTGATCAACAATGACATTATTATTTCTTAATCATGATCAAGGAACAGCTTGCAATTTTTCTTTCACATTTTGAACTTATCAGTCTGCATCTTCTGAAAGTGGTAGCCTTCAGTGCTTTTAGGAAATTGAAAACTCTTTACAGTTTTGTCAGCAATACATCTAATTATTCCTGAGATACAATCAGAAAGACTCACAAGTAAAAATGTTGAAGAGAAAAGCGTAAGAACCAGAAAAGTTGTATAATTGGAAATATTGACGAGGAGATGCGTCGGAAAGTAAGTATAAAATAGTACTTCTGCTGGAACTTAATAAAAACAATGTATGATATTATTCCGATTAACATATGAGAGTGAATACGAGAAGGCGTTTCTGGGTGCAGGTTAGAGCGTAGCAGAATATGAAAGAAAAGAACGTTAATATTATCTATTTCTAGATTTCTAATCTTTTGGCATTTTCTATGATTGACATTATTTCCTTCACCTTTTTTTAAGTTCGATATTTTGCCTTTCGACATTTGGGAAGTAAATATCACTTCTGGTTATAGTTACCAAGCGTCATAAAGAAATTCCAACATTTCTTTTTCTTATTCATCTTGGAAAATGCTGCACGGCTTCTAACAGTCTACAACGTAAAAATTAGACAACGCACGTAGAGAAAACTAGTTGTAAGTAGTTCTGAATTCTGGTCAATGAAGAAAAATCAGAGAAATGATTATTAACTTCTCACGAGATAGACAAATATGACATAAATCAGGACATTTTGTAACTCTCATTTCTCAGATACTACTCTAGCGAAATGAGATCAATATTTTATCTTATTACAATATTTGGTCAATTTTATCTTTTTGGCGTAAGTTATGCATATAGGGTTACTTTGACGAGAATTCTGATTGGGAATTTGTTTTTTGGTCAGTATAATAATTGAAATGATCAGTAACAGAAATAATTCCAAAATGAGTTAAATTATTAAATAAGCAGTAAAAAAATGATTGAGCAGTAAAATTAATAATTGATCAGTAGTTTATTTAAACTATCAGCTATTAATTAGTTAAAGCTGTATATTAATTAAAAGATCAGTATATCTATTTTTTCACAGTCGAATATATGAAAGTGTCAGTATAAAAACTGAAATAGTATAAAATGAATAATTTCCCTTCTACTTTCTCTCTTTCATAGTATGTAACATAACCAGATGACAAATACAAGAGAAAATTATCAGTGTGAAGCTAGCACGAAGGAGCTACCACGAACAAACGATATGTTAGGTAAAAACTTTTTTACTAAATATGTCCCGTGCATGCAGTCTACACCATTCGACTCAGAATTTAATTCTCCATCGAATGATGATACTTTTATTCACGGGACAAACTTTGGAAAAATTCTATCTATATCTTTGTTCGTTTCCTTTAGGTCTATTTATAATCTAGATAGAATTTTTCCAAAGTTTGTCCCGTGAATAAAAGTATCATCATTCGATGGAGAATTAAATTCTGAGTCGAATGGTGTAGATTGCATGCACGGGACATATTTAGTAAAAACGTTTTTAGCTAACACATCGTTTGTTCGTGCTAGCTTCACACTGATGAGAAAATTCCAACACACATATAAAAGAAAGAGAAAATCCATGATATGTACATATGACAGGACAGGGAAAAAAACCATCGTACATATATGTGATCGCGAAAGAAATCGATGACACATGATCAACAATAGGTGGCTGATGTGGAGTAATCCTTATGATAGTATCCGAAGGATATGCAGATCATAACAGTCTGGTATTTGTTATTGATGGTTGTGAAAGACTAAGGGGAAATAACCATCTTAAATCTATCTCTCGATATTTCCTTTGTATCTTGCTATATATAAATACTTCATCGTTTTTTCAAGATCAGCAAAAACTGTTCCCATTGGAGAGAAGAGAAAGCGTGGCAGAGCAGCCAAAGCTAAAGCTGCATTATTGATGCAATAATTGTATTTAAAAAAATTGTCAAAAGGCTTATCAAACTGTCTAAAATATTATTTACTTAAATAAATTCATTATTTCTACTGCTAAAATCTACTTTTCTACTGATAGAAATTCAATATTTTACTGATAACATTTCTATTTTTTACTGACAGGAGATTGAATTTTCTACTGACACTTTCAGCTAATATACTGGCCAGTTTAGAATTTATTACTTATCATTTCGACACTGATCATTTCAATAAATCTGCCGATCATTTTCATTTTTTCTACTGACAGTTTCAATAATTATACCGACCACTTAAATGGTACCTATTCTGATTAACCATTTTCTTTCATCGATCCCTCTATCTTCCGTAAATGGATTCATTCTCGTCAAGGATAGTACGACTGATAAAGGAACTAACTTTGCAAATAAGTATTGACAAGCATTCTTTACGACAAAACTTATCTTGGTTTTATATAATAAAACTCACTGTCTCCTACATTATTGTTTTTAGGCAGAAAAAGTTTTATAAGCTTTTCCTAATGGACACAGAAAAGAACGGTATTTTTCCCACTTTCATTCTTTGATTGAACAGCTAATCAATGGCGATTATTGCTAAGGTTTGTTAGATCATTACAAACGAGAAGTAAATAAAGGAAAAGCTCAATTCAATGTTGATGCATTGGTTTGGCAACGCAGTCTTAATATACACAACGCTACTTGATAGGTTTGTATAAAATATATATTTACACTTTCAGAAAATTCTCTTTTATTATGAAAAATTCCTACACTTAGAAAGTGTTCAGGACGGATTACAAGACCCTAGTAATTAGTTGGTAAATTTTCATTGAAGTACGTATAGTTATGTATGAATTTTTCGTGGAAATATCGTTAGAATCATTGCTACGAGTGAAAATCATAGTATTCTAGTCGATTTTTGATAGAATTTTTGTAATTTAAATTAACAAAAGTTAGTAGATCTGGAACTTTTCGTTCTTTTTTTCATCGTGTGTAACATCAGTTTTACAGCTCTCTCATTTTCTTGTGCGCAGATCGATGCGATCTTTGTGTCACAATGAGAATCGATTCCATTAAGCTTTCAGCTGTTAGTCATTAATTTTTTGTAATGGTCGAGTCATTGTATAAAACACGATACTTTTTTCGAAACTTTATTGTGCGAGTAACATATCGACGAAATGATCCTTACAGTACCAGGTTATGAAAAACACAATACTATTTCAACGTTATACTGCTTTAGTTTTTGCTAGTGCAATTCGATGTAGGCATGGGAGCTGATACCGCCACTGATCTTTGAAAATTTATAGTACTCAAACCGAATTTTTTGTTTTTGTTTCTAGCCTAGTTCCTCACTACAACGTTCTGTATCATAGTTTTTAGTTTTTTTTCCCGAAAACTAATGAGAAAAGTCTAGCTGCCCTCACCGACTGAGAAATCCGCTTACACTTCTAATCGTATATGATTCAAATGAGTCCCGTTAAATTTACCGGCTGTCCCTGTCTCGATCAATCATTTCACAGAGAGTGATATTTTAGTGAAATTTTTTCTTCTAATTTAACTTGAACGCACCTAAAGTGGCTAAATACGAACAACGCTTGCGAGTAGATGTGGATGTGAGGATAAGGGTGAGTGAAAATGTTGGTTTGGATGAGTATACTTGAAGCTCAACATATCCGTACTCCCATCCATCTTCAAATGATTGTCAACAAAGTATACCGGACCCATTAAAACACTGATATTTCTCCATAGGAAAATTTTGAGAAAGAGATCATAAAACTAGTGCGCATTCAAAGATACCTAAATCCAGTTGTGTCTGAGTTCTTCCTACAATCACTGAGAGAAAGCGCCTCACTATACGATCTTTTATCTAAGCTGACGTTCCTGTCAGATGTTTACCTTGTGAGCACTGCGCACATTTTCGTCATTGCTTTGAACATATGCAAAAAAAGCAGAGCTGTGTATTTTGAGAAGTCGGGTAAGTCAAATAGCAGCTAAGTCAAATTCGTCCGATCAAAAGCATATCACATGTGTACATGTGCTGCAGTTTATCACATTCTACAGCATCCACTTGTGAATTACCAACAGTACCTGGTTTTATTGATCTTCTATAAACCATGTTAAAAATGTAGTGAGACTTTTATCGTTATCATAAAACGTGAGTACTGTTACGAAAAACTTTTTTCTACTGCAGTATGTATTATATACATGGACATCCGTGATAAAAAGATTGAAATCTGAATCCTGTATATTTTACGAATCTTAGAGTTCCGCAAAAGAACATTGTTCTCTTTCTAGATCATGTCGAAAACGTGATTTTTCTCGAAGTCATGTTGGCTTGCTTAATCGAACAGTGATTCGTTAGCAAAAACAACGGATCATTGCAGTACACTTCCCTCTTTGTCCAAAATGGTGAATACACCACGACGATTAACTAAATTCAAGGTAAGACAATACTTTCTAACTTAGATTGTCAATGTCAAATGATGAGTAAAGATCTAGTAACGTGACCTATCTGTACACCAAATAATAGATGGCTTCTGTTCTCCCAAAAGTTGTAGAATCTCATCAGTATCAGTCTCTAGATATTTGAGGATGTTACGGTGGTATCTTTCTGTTACAACAGAAGAAATATCTTCTGTCATAAGCACATCCTTTCTCTCCTCTCCTCGCTTCATTCCATCACGTGCGGAATGTTCGTTTGGTTTTTCGTTGAGTACCAAAGGCTATAGAAAGAAATAAGAAGCGAGGGGGGGGGAGATACGGACATGTAACATTTTCTGTCTATCTTGTAGGTTTTTTTCTCGTTAATCATATATTTACAGTATGTTTCGCATCTGAATGGTACGATTACTGTACATGCGAGCTCTGCTTTTCTCAAAGTTACTAACATTCTTATGCGTAACGTCCATGACACCAACAGCTTATACGCGCTGTTAGCATATTGTCCTTTTCTCTCTCGAACACAAATAGTTTCGCCGTCGTTTTCAGAAGCATATAATCTTTTTATAAGGTTCTACTCGTTAGGATATCAATTCTTTCCTTTTCTGTCCCGATCGTTTTATACATTTTTAGTACAACAACTTCTGCTTAGATATATACTATATTTGGATTTAACGAATGCGACTCTCAAGCAGGAAGAATAGCACAAGATGTAGCATAACTAAGGCTAATATTTCCTTGTCTAAGATCCACTAATGTTGCTCATTCTTGCCGAGACTTCTTTGTAAGCATATTTCGATATGTTTCAACTTTCATACTGATCTCATCATATAAATTACTGTTGTTGTATTCCTTCAGTTACCGTTTTGCTTTCAACTGTTTATTGCGTGTTTTATTGATTAACTGGCTTTCTAATACAAAATCTTATCGACCATTTCGTTTCCTCTACCGAACGCGTAGATCAAAATCTTTTTTAAGCAACTTTTTCATTTACTTTTTATTCTATCAAAGCTATTTGTACGGCTAGAGTATCTTTTCCGCTTACTACTATATGTATTTCAATATCTTTGTACTAATTGATGTTCTATTTCTAGATGAGGCAATAGTTTCTTACTAAATTCTTTTTTCAACTGTCCAGCTTTATAGTATATCTTACATGGATATCCAGAAGTACGCAGTTGTCTAGATACTTTTTGGTCTTTATGATAATAAGCATCGTAAATAGTTCTAAATCTTTCAAGCTTAATATATGTCGTTTTCCAAGCTCGTTGAGGTGTGACAAATTGTCACTATTGTTCAAACACGCACAAATATAACTAAGTACTCTCATCTCTTAATCTTTGTATATCTAGTCTGTTCTATTTGCTTCGCAACGAGTATTGCTTTCTTTTAGGCGGTTTCTTACCACGTTTCGTCGGATCATTACCAAAGAATGGAACATTCTCATATGTTATATAGAGAATTAGCGCGTCGACATAGCATATTAACGTATCTATGTCTGAAAGTGGTATTCCATCGGTAGCTGGTTGTAGATTAATGTGTGCATCCATGTGTGATGATGTTGGATAGTGTACAATAATAAAATCACACTGCTCAATATGTTGCAAACCTAGAATTCTAAAATGGTCCAATGACAATAAAACAAATTGATGAAAAGAGCGTTGTTTCGTCTCGCTTTGTGCTCATATATTTGGATTCATGTTTATGATACTGTTTGCACCTCTGGTCAAGCATACGGATAATTCACTGAAGGTACAATCAGTTTGGCTTGGTATTAAGATTTGCTCAGCTACTAACGAAAATATTGCAGCTTTTTTCCTAGGCCTTCTGACTGATGAACTGTGGAGATCAACTCTCAAATGTATAGCTTCTCAGTTGGTAACTCACCAAAAGTCTTCCCACAAGCTTCTAACGAAACAAGAGTTTGTCAATTTCTATGTCGCGTTGATGAACCGATACAGCTGTTAAAAACGCTTCTTTTAATCTGCCTCAAAAGTGGCACGGATAAGTCGGCAAGTGTAATAAGTTAATATGGACAAAATTACTCATCCTTAGCCTACGTGTGTCATTGTAAGTACTCATTTTGAAAAGCAAAAAGATACTCTCCTTGATAGGTTCAGATCGCAGTCAAAGTGCTTGCTTCCGTAGACAAAAAATACGCAAGTGATAGTTTCGCCTTCAAAATATTGATAAAGAGTTCTGTCTCAAGTACATCAGAATAAACCAAAATCGAATACACAGCACACCACCAACAAATGAAACGTACTGCTCTCGCTCTCTCTCTCTCTCTCTGTGATAAACATATAGCATAGGACTAGTATTCGCGTTCAATAAATTTGATAGTCAATCACAAATGTTTATCTATTTTTTCTTCTATTTAATTTTTACGTACAACGCAGAGGAGAGAACCATCCAATCAGAAGTAAATCTTTTGCTACATGCAACGCTAGTTGTTCATATTCAATATGTAAAATAAATGCAAATTTAGCTGTATGTTATATTAGGTCGATGCATGAAAATTAGTATTGCTAATTAATATAGCTAAGAATATAATTGGTCGAAAAAATCTTTTTTTTTACAATTTTTTCTATTGGTCAATCAATGTACACATATTTGTTTTTTTTCTCATAACTGTAGTGTATCTAGGATATTCGCTATTATTTTCTTTTATTCGTTAAACAAACAATTCTAATGAATAATATTCTGACTGGTTGTTTTATGAGACTTTGCTTTGGCGGAAATGTACTTGCGTTCTCGCTTGTTCAATTTCGACATCGACCACCTATTACACAAATTGTTAGTACGAATATGCGGTTAGCACACTTGCCAGTGAATTTACCGGATGTTACAGGAACACTTTGTAAGTAGAAGTATCCCAGTTATGAATGTTAACACAGAGCAAGTTAATTGATGATGATAGCCGAGCTATACATATAGAAGAACGAAAAAAATTTATTTGAACGTATGCATCATTCTCTGTTTTCTCATTGGAAGATAGCAAGAGAATTTCGATAGAGACAAGCTGAACGCAGGAAAAAAGTCTTTTTCTCATCTCGTCATCTTTTTTCTCGCATTTATATTTGTTTGTTTTCAAGTGAATTTCATTGTTGCGGCTTTAAATGCGATACCAATTCCAACAGTAAGGGAAATTATATTTGACTTGTTAAAATCGGCTCGGTTGATCTTCATTATAGGATTTCAATGATGGTTTCTATGAAAAATTGATTGTTTGGAAAGTCGACGAGCACATTCCTTCAAGAATTGATTTTCAACAGCTATCGAATGAATTACAGGATCGGCATATACCATTGGTTTTTGTAACTGAAGTTACCCCTGACTTCCAAACTTGGGATCTCTATCGTGAAACGGCTCGAAACACCGGTATGTACAAATATTCTTGACTGACTTCATATGTTGTTTACCATTCATGTTAGGTGGTGAATATTTACTGCTTCCAAGTGATCCAACGGCTCTGAGACGTGCTATATCATCGGCTATTAATGGTGAAGATACTCTACGGCAAGCATTCCTTCATTTACGAACGCAACAAAACGCAGCAGCTACTAGTCGTCCAACTGATGCCAATGAACAAACGCAAGGTGCAGACAACGACTTGATTTTCCCGTTTGATTGATAACAATACAAAAAAACCCTAGAGCTTTCTTAGACATTTTGGCGTTCAGCTTTATAATAAAAAAAAAACGAGAAAAAAATGACCTAAGCGTACACAAATATAGCTCTAGATTACATTCGGTTGTTTCTTTTCAGATAATACAAACTTCACATAGTAGCGACTGTTTCATAGCGCTACAATAAGACAAAATTCCATCCATGCTTCTTAAAAACATGAATCGACAACCACAGTGACTAATTGGAAGTCGAACTTGTTATTATGAAACAAATAACTAATGCTTAGTTACATTTTCTTCAACGGACAGTCGTATCATTAATATCTGAGTACCCAGTTGTTTGGTGAATCAAAACGAAGAAAAGAATATTACATCGAGAAAGCGAAACGACTAAACTTAGTAGAACTATCTGCAAAATTTCGATATAATGCCGAGAATATCGACGTAAGTCACTTGTTTTCCACATTGACATGACGCTCAGTATAGCAATTTATCTATTAGCTTTTTATTTTTGACATCAAACGATCTTTAGTCGAAAGACGCTTAGCATCTCGAAAACTTGTCGCTTGGAATTTTAAATGAGGTGTCAATCGACGAAAGAGCTGAATGACTGTGTCAAGTAATACGTCTGCCGGTTGATACGTGCCAGAGTTATTGTTCAGCCAAAATGCGTTGTTTTCATCCCGCCAAAATTCTCCCGCAAATCGAACATCTTTAGAGTTATTACATAACGTTGCATGTTTACAAAATAGATGGTATAATACATTATGATTTTGAGGCGTTTGTACAATTGAGAATGAACTGCCAGTTAGGACAAAGTTGTAACGAAATTTAGAATCATGTTTGGATAGTAATTGTTCTAGAAGATCTTCTATTGTTGTGGAGTATGGTAATTGTTCCCAATTATCAATAATTTGTGACTGCGAAGCAAGTATTAATGGTGTAAGGTAGACGATAGTTCGTTTAGCTATATTTTTAGGTGTCATTGAAACGAACGGAGGAAGTTTATCTGGAAGATATTTGTTAATTAGTTCACTTGAAATGTCATATTTATAAGCCACATAGTCATCGAATGCTGTAGACGTCAATATACTTTCTTCGAACATTGAGTAACTTCGCGAAATAATGTGTGCAGTAGTTATTTATATGTCACCATTGTTATGAAACTCGCCATGCAGAACATGCAGTTTTGAAAACAAGCGAAACGCTCCCACCAACGCCCATTTCGCGTCATATGATTACCCGTTCGGGTATGTTACATTACCTAGCGACATACTGACTCACGAAGTAATTGCACATATTTTTTTTTATCGAAAGATCGACTTGGATTCTATATACTTCATTCGAATGACCGTTTTAATATATGCTGAGAATTTCATTCATTGTAGTTATCGATGAGAATCAAGAAGTAAAAGTGACATTGATTGTAGAAGTTACAAAAAGCGAAAAGTAGATCTGAAGTGTTTATAAAATAAAAAGTCGATATTTTATGGAATATCTGGAGTTCAAATGTGACGGAATGCTTGTTGAAGTTGATAACTATCAGTTAGCACCATCGTCGTAACACGTCCTAAATCACGAGCTGCGTTTGCCATCAACATATAACCACCACCTACAAAGTATAGTAAACAGTTTATTGATTACAGCTACTTTTAAGTATAGGTCATCTCTTTTCTCATACCTGTACTACGAGATAATTCACGAAAAAAATTCCAAGTATCATAGGCAGGTGTACAAATGAGAACAACGGCTAAGATAATACCATACCGACGAAATTCACGGGTTAATTGATCACGATCAGCACCAAAACGAATACTGCCATCGGTAATCATTACAGCTAATCTTTCACAAGATTCTTCATGGCCATTCTATGGAAAATATTGAGCAAATTAATTATGCTTCAAAATAGTCACGTTGTACTCACATTTTGAGACAGTATAAATTCAAAAGCTTCATTCAAAAGCTCACCTACATATAAGATACAGAATTACAATAAAGAAGTTTTTGGTAGAAAACGTCGAGATTATGATTTTTGCAATTAGATTCAAAGAATTTGATTGATTACTTACAGAATGATGTGGTTATTTCAGAATTAGGCATTTTTTGTATTATGGCACCAAGTCTTTGTGTAAATTCGTTGATTAATTGTGAATTATTATAATTATCAACAGTAATTCGATTGCCATTCAGCTCACCCTGAAATCGATTAAACAACATTGCACTGCTTTCAGCAGAAAGTCTGAATGTAACACAAGCAATTGAATTGACCATTGAATCTGTAAGTAAAGGTTAAAGTGAAAATCTATAAGAAACGGACGATCAGCTATTGAAGCATTCAAAATAATGATTGTCGTAAAAAAAGATACGTGTACAAGACTTCTTTCTGTTGTGTGAGATGCTCGACAGTGACTGCAGATTAAAAAAACAATCACCGAATGTAAAAAATAAATGATAAATGTTTTTACTAATATAGTGTCTTTTCTCCTTTTTTTCGTTTCGTTAAGAAGTTTGTAGATGTTATACCGAAATTATCATGTATGGGACGTTTTTTTTTCTTCTTACGTCCAAGCCACTTTGTTTTTTATAAGCCAACGGAGCGGCTTTTTTGTGTATTCGTTCTGTTCTTTTTCTCTCGTAACCGCGCTCATAATTGCCGTTCTTCTCTATACGACGGACCGATTCCGTCGATATAAAGACTCTAGTTTTTACTCAAGTGTTAAGAATGCATGTAATGCGAAAAAAGAAACAATAGTTTGGATATATATTTTACAAAAATAAAACTATGTGTGTGAAAATTGTTATTCACAAACTTTTTAACGGTAGAAACCTGAATTTTCATATGTTTATTAAATAAATCGATTTTCTCATAAATGTGCTACATTCTTCATGACGCTGCTAACCATCGAATCCTCAAACACAAACGGTTTTTCATGTATCGTGTCATCATTACGAATAAACTGATTGACGAAATTAGTTACAAAACAATCTTCACGAAGCACATTGATCAATTTGAAATGAGTTAGAGTGTCCGGAGAAAAAGTTCTGCTGATTTACTGGTGAATGCTAAATATCTTATAGTACTCGAAAGAAAATGAAGACGATAAAGAATTTCGTATTTTCAATTCAAATTCGATTGCACATCCTGTTGATTGTATTTGACACAGTAATGACTAGCAAATAGTTGTAGATGCGAAACTAAAATCAATACTAAATAAACAGAAGAATTTTCAATTTTTCATAACTATTATAGCCTAGTGCGATATACAGACTGATTGCTGCCATTAGTCATCGATCAACTATTGTCATTTCCGATTTCTTTTCGGTTTTTGTGTGTTAGTTGACATACATACAATCTTTCGATATACCATTCGTTTATCAATGTATCATTATCTTTGCCTATTGCCCTGTTTGATGCCTTCGGCTGCTCATTGATTCTATGATACCGTAAAATTGCCATGGTGATCGTATTTTCTTTTCCCTATTCGTTCTATACTCGCAAAGCAAAAGAAATACATGGAACATTGTTTACCCGGTCGTTTTCTTCCTACGATGTACTATTAGTAATAACACAAATAGTGATGCTTTTGCCATCCACAGTGGATTAACAAATACGATCTGTCGAGCATGCATTAACTTTTCTTCCTCGTCGTGCTACACAACGGAGATTATAATAAACTTTATTTTAACGTCAATAGTACGAAAATCGAGCGAAATGTTATTGATAGAAAAAAGTGACTCGGTGTATCAAGCTCTGTTGTCTAATTAATGATGCAAGCTTATATCGTTGAGATGATTGAAAATCTTGTTTCCAAAAGATGACAGTGTTAAATTTGATCAAACAAAAAAGAGATCTGTATTTTAAATGCTTACATACGTCGACGTCAGTTGTGAGAACTACGACACAGTGACGTCAAAGGAATGTCTTTCTTCTATAGATGCCATTGTCATCTTGTCTTTCTTTCTTCCTAGGTAATATTCTAAAGGAATAGTCTCACAATATTAACCCCTCTTGATCCTATATATATAGCCGAAGGTTTTACGTTGCTGCTCGGTTTTCATTCACTTCAAGATGTGACAACGACCATATTGTATCTTACATGCTATCTATTGGCACGTTTATTGGACCAATAGGATATTCTATGAAAACAACCATGATTCATGTTAACGTAATTTTTCTGTCGAAATTAGTAACGAATACATAAGAGTTTGTTTTCTAGATTCGTTCTTCTAGTATTGCGTTTATAGATGAGGAAATGATATAATTGCATAATGCGTCTAATCAAAAAGATTCTTGATCGTGGCTCTGCGGGTGAGCTAAAGCTGGAACCCGAAGAACCAGAAGATATGTGGCATGCGTACAATTTGATTGCCGCTGGTGACAGTCTCCGTGCATCAACAGTGCGAAAAGTAGTACAAACTACAGATACAGGATCATCGACAACGACAAAGAAACGAATGATTTTAACCATCGAAGTGCAAAGCGTTGGTTATGATAGTGCAGCAGCAAGTACATTGAGAGTAAAGGGACGAACGATCGAAGAAAACGAATTCGTTAAAAAAGGTATTTTGGACGACTAAAACGAATTTTTAATGTCTTTTTTTCTTGTAGGTTCCTACCACACACTTGACTTAGAATTACATAGTGCCTTTACCTTGAGAAAACATGAATGGGATTCTATAGCTCTCGATCGTGTCGAAATGGCATGCAATCCAGTTCACCAAGCTGATGTTGCCGCTGTTATTATGCACGAAGGTTTAGCGAACGTATGTCTCATTACTGAACATTTGACAATCAATCGTCAAAAAATAGAACATACCATTCCAAGAAAACGCAAAGGTCTCTGTGCTCAGCATGACAAAGGAATGGAGAAATTCTTCGATGTCATCATTGCTGCAATCATTAAACATATAGATTTTTCCATTGTGAAAGCAGTTATTATAGCAAGTCCAGGTTTTATTAAAGATCAATTCTATCAATATATGTTAGCCAAAGCTACACGCGATGATGAAAGACATTTGCTTGAAAATCGCAATAAATTTATTCTGTTACATTCAAGTAATGGTTTTAAACATGCATTAACAGAAGTTTTACAAGATCCATTGGTCTTGAATCGATTATCGGATACGAAAGCGACAGGTGAAATGAAATTACTTGAGCAATTTATGCAATTGTTAAATGATGAGCCTGAAAAAGCTTATTATGGGTTAGAAGTGATTGAAAAAGCAAATCAAGCACAGGCTATTGAACGTGAGGAATATTTCGAGATTCGATGGAATAATCTAAAGTAATTCATCTGTTTAGATTTACTGATAACTGATGAACTCTTTCGAAACATTGATTTCAATAAACGACGTCGTTATGTTCAACTCGTGGATTCTGTCAAAGAAAATGGTGGTGATGTTCGATTATTTTCAAGCATGCATGCATCGGGCGAACGATTAGGTCAATTGACAGGCATTGCCGCAATTCTGCGGTTTCCCATGCCTGATCTCGACCTCGCTGATGATCATCAGCATCACGAAGCGAATAATGGAAACAATCACGATGATTTACAACCGAATCCGAATCGACCGACGGATGATAATGCTGATTTTGATGATGATCGATCCGCGAACACTTATCGCGCATTGAATGCAAATCGAGCTGAAGCATCAGCTTGGTGATAATATCCATCTATGTCATTAGGCAAATCTTCTTCAAATTTTCTTTCTTTATTTATTTCACGGGTGTTTACTTCTCTTCTTCTCTCTATCGTATAAATACGTCTCTCTCTCTCTTTCTTTATGTGTGTGTCTTTTCACACGAGTGGCGTACTAAAGATTTCTTGAGATATTTATCGTTTAACTCTATTTTTCTGCTGCTCCTACACTCATATATTTTGATTTGTCAGGTTATATTCTTGTGTCATTGAAGTAAAAAAAAAAGAAAATCAAGATTTCCTATCGACAAAAAAAAACACTTCTTCTCTTTCAACTGAAATTCCTTTCGCTGCTGCCATTGAGTCGAAATAAAGACCCTTCGATGCGTTGCGCCATCTAGATGAAAAAACAAATGATTGACGCATTAATGATCAAAACAACGTCAAATTACTTGATTAATTGTATATCTAATAATATTCTCTTGTAGATTTTGATTCGAAAAAAGAACTTTTTGATTGGCTTTCAAAAATGGTTTTCTAGGCCACGTATTCCTACCAATAATTTTCAATTCTTGTGTTTACAAATTCCACATATCATTCACCTCAACATCTGATGCCTTTCTTCTAGATAAGCGCGCCAGAATCATTAATACAACTCTCGTTAGAATTAGTTATATTTAAGATGAATATCTTTCGATTATTAGGGGATTTTTCCCATTTGGGAGCAATCATTATTTTATTATTAAAAATTTGGAAAACACGGTCATGTGCTGGTAAGAACAAGCATTGAGTATGTCCGTCTTCTTTCTACATATTTCATCATAGGTGTTTCGGGCAAGAGTGTTTTACTCTATGCCATTGTCTTCACATGTCGTTATCTTGACCTATTTACTCATTTTGTTAGTTTGTATAATTCGGTTATGAAAATAATTTATCTCGTTTCAACGTATTTTACACTGTTTTTGATTTATCGAAAATTCAAAGCAACTTACGATCGTAATCATGACACATTTCGTATTGAGTTTTTAATCTTACCTTCAGCTGTACTTGCTCTCTTATGGAATCATGAATATTCCGTATTGGAAGTAAGTTTGATTTCGAAAATACACAAACACAAATGATTTTGTTTTTGTTTCGAAAAGATTCTCTGGACATTTTCGATCTATTTGGAATCAGTAGCTGTTCTTCCACAGTTATTTATGGTTAGTAAAACAGGTGAAGCCGAGACGATTACAAGTCATTATTTGTTCGCATTGGGTATCTATCGATTTCTCTACATTCTCAATTGGATCTATCGGTACTACACGGAAAACTTCATCGATTGGATATCCGTCGTCGCAGGTGTTGTTCAGACAGTTCTTTATTGTGACTTTTTCTATCTTTACATAACCAAAGGTAAGATGAAAGAAATTCGTTTTTTGGCAACAAATCATTTGGTGTGTTTTGATTTTAGTTTTGAAAGGAAAGAAATTGTCTTTACCTGCTTAAATCTCGGTCGATTTATCTTCGTCTGACTCGATTTCTTTTGGTTATCTGTTTTTTTCTTTTTATTTAACATCAATATTGTTACCAAGTGTCTTTATGAAAGGGGACTTAATTAGACACAACACTTTTCTTTCTTTGTTATTCGATGATCAAATCTTTTCTATCCTTAGAAAAAAAATAACATCACTTACATTCTTTTTTCTTCGCTTCATGCATGTTTTCTTCTTTATTTTGCTGTATGTTACACTTTAAAATCAATAAAAGAAAAAGAGGAAAAACGTAAATGACTTCTTAGGCTAAACCTTTTCCTTTTCCAGTGCTTTGTCATTATGTTCTTGTTTTGCTATCTCTCATCGTTCTTCATGTCTATGGGCTTTAGTGTGCTTCTTGTTTTGTTTTTTTGTTTCATTCGTTTTTCTCATTATTCTATCCATTCTAAACGAAGATAAAAAAAGATAATTTGAGGTATACATGATACCACTTTGATTTGCTTTCCAGATGACAGAATCAGAAACTAAATCGAAAAAGACTCGAACAGGCCATTTAGCGTCACCGACAAATGTAAATGCAGCAAATCATCTGTCGTATTTATTCCAAGTATGTTAGGTCGAGTTTGTCATCCTATTGCTCACACGCATGATTTCCTTAGATAGCACATACAGTTTTACTAACGACGACGGATTTGAACTTAGTTCGTCATCTTGTCAAACAGATTCGTGTACATGCTCAGAAGAAACAAATTCGTTTGTAAGAGAAACGAGATCATTGTCGAAGTTTTTGTTCATGGATTGCTTTAGACATCCGGAAATGAAGCGATTGTTGTGCCAATGTTGTAACATGATTCTATGGGCACCGTTAACTGCGAATGTTCATTTTAGTAAGGATTTTCAACGAAGAAAACGTATCATCGATCCTTTTCATTTAGATAAACGTAAAACAGGAATTATTGTTACTTGTTCGACATGTGGTCGATCTCGAACGTATCCAAAACAGAACTCCTGGCCAACGGAATACGGCGCTCATATGCCGAGCGATTGGCTTTTTGATCTCTCACCTTCCGCTGCAAAGGAAAATACATAATTCATCATTTTCGTTTTCATTTATTCTAGATGGGTAGATTTGATCCACAATTACGTTTTCTAAAATATAAACCGCCATCGAAGATTCCGAGGTAACTGACTTCGATCACATTTGCTCTATGACAATTGTTTTGTTTAGAGCGATTCTTGCGCCGAATTATCGTCTCAATCAATTTCAATTTCGACAAGCATTACCTGCACGATTACGAGATTATGTCCGTGGTGGCGGAACAGCTGCATCAGGTAGATTGCTATTCTGATCCTTCATTTTGATCATGTTCGATCTTTAGAATACACTTGTGGCCCATTGATGAACATTGTAAGCGACATTTTCTTCGCAATATTCCTCTCACTTAGTTAAAATCTATAGATGTTAACTTGTTTGCAAAAAAATGAATATGATAATTTTGGATGTGAAAAGGAAGTTGCTGATTTTTATGCATGTGTCAACGAATTTCAAGTAAGCTGTCTACTCACACGAAACACATTTCTTTTAAACATGATTCCTTTGATAGAAAACAAGTGCGATCGAAAAAGAAAATCTTAAAGGTGGTGGTGATCCAGATAAAGTAGTCAAACAATTCGCCAAAAATCGGCAACCAGCTTGGCTATCGAATAAACTTTTAAAAACATACCCAACATCATCATCTGTGGAATAGAATCTGTTGTTCTTAGTTTTGTATTTGTCAGTATCTTAGGACTAGGATTCATTGGAAAATATACATGCTATGCAAACAAGATTTTGTATAATCTTTTGGTTAATAGGTTGATGGACATGCCCTTTCATCATCGCTTTGTTATCGACTGTTGGCGTGTGGTCTTATTTTCGATTCTATTAACAAAGATTAGTTTGTATTATTGAATTAATACTCATCACTACGATCGTATTACATATGAGCGATAATTAAAAAGAGTCTGCTGATGATTTTCAGTGCCTGACAACTAAACAAATAGTAGTAGAACATTGCTAATGTTCCGTCTTATTGGATCCTTGTCAATAATCTGATATAACTAGTAGTAGACAGACAGGGGAATGTTTATCTTGTTGTCTTCAGCATGCATAAGATCTAGATGACATAACATGTGCAAATTGTCCTTCTTTTTTCTGCGTCTACTCTTAATGTTGTTCTAAAGTATCAAGGACCAATTCAATACACTTCATGCATGGCAAAATTGAATAGCGGAGCATCGGATGAATTCATTCGTTCGGCTTCATCATCTTCTTGCCGTCATCAGGAATGGCAAGCTCGAGATAGTCATTGAATAGAAACTACTTAGATAAGAATTGTCATTTCTGGATGTCGGATGTAATAGAAAAAAAACAAGAGACGAGGAAAAAAAAAAGGAAAAAAGGAAGAAGAGACAAGAGTGGAAGATGTGTCTTCGTTCGACAGCCATTCATGGTGTATTTCTTCAATTGACAGACTCGAAACGATCTGTATATGTATATGCTGCTTTCACCGATTAGATGCCCGCTTTTATCATTACTCTTATTGTGTCACACAGATAAGGAACATCAACAGTGGAAATAACCACATGGCTGCGTCGGCAAATAGAACTAGATGTTTATCTTTTGCCACATACACGAGAACTGGTGAGTAAAAGTACTTTGTTAACATGTACATTGATTTTCTTTTCACTCGTTCTCCTTGTCAATTTTTTTATCAAATAAAATCAATATACCAGGGGACATGTAAATAGTAATGTATTAAATCATTAATAAGTCATCGATGATTATTTCGACTATTAGCCTGAAGGGAATTAATTCTCATTTCATGCAGCAAGGCTATTCTTCTTCTTCTTCATCATCATCATCATAACGCAACATCTCGTCTTATCAGTTGTAATAAAAAACGGGATTAAACGGAGTGTTCTCTTCCTCTTTTTCTCTTTCTCACTTCTTCTGTTGCGTTAGGACTACTGACAATGAAATGCTCGTTTTCAATGAGTATCATCGTATGTGACGTACATCAACTGACACACAGTTAGAGAAATTGTATATTTTGATAATCGAAAGAAGATGTTAGCAAGTTATTAGTTCTATGTCCTTGTCTTTCATATTCATCACTGTGTGTGTTTTTGGCGCAAGGAACGAATGCCAACAAGTTCTAATGAGGTTAAATAATGTCAATCGACTAATACGCATCTGTTGAACACAATGATTTCTTTTCACTTTCCGTACAGTCACGTTTCGCATGACATCATGCACAATACGTATCGACCATCGGTTTGATTTGCTAAGGTGAGCAGCGAAAAAGCTAATGTTCGAGTCTATTAGCTCATCACACTTTCAATCATAAAATAGCGTGTATACTTCTTTTTGCTAGCGACAAAAAATATCGTGATCAGTTATATATGCATTTGTATCGTTAATAGAAGTCAAATCATGCGTTGCGGATGTCTGTACACAGAACAGTCATGTGAATGTTCGTACAATTGCAATACTCGTACTAAGTATGATATACTGGAGACTCGTCTCTTTGTTAGACCGATGCCGTTGAGTGACATAGTACAACGTAGTTTTCTTCTGTAGACAACTTCCGCTCGGACGATAGAAAAAAATTTGAGTTTTGTTATATATTGAACGATGTATAATTAAAAAATTCAATCATGTGCCAATTGGTAAACATAGGAGTCGGTTTCTTTTGTTTCATTTCACATGTGTAATTTCTTTTGTCACGTTCTTATCGATCGTTAGTAAAGTTTCAATGTGGCAATTAGAACTGTCCAAAAAAAGCAAAGAATGAAATATTGGGTTTAAATTTCTTTTATTCTCTTCGAGTATGCGTCTTGTCAATAGTATGAGTGTAGAAAAGATGACAGAATGTTTTCTTTTGTCGTTCTGCGTAACTACGGCGAACGTTTGAATTCTTCTAGACATTTAAATTACTTTTTGTGTTGAAATTGTATCTTTCTTCTTCATTTGTTTAGAACGATTCATAGACATGCGAACAAACTATGAAGGATGACCGATAATTATCAATGATACGCCCGACTAGAAGAGTCGGGCAACAAGCCAGTCTATGGCTTTTATTTGCACTCCGCATAAAAAAATGTTTTCGTCTTCGATACCTATTAATAACATTAATTATTCTCATTTTATTAACGTATTTACGTCTTATTAACCATGCTCCCGTCGATCCATCGATGTTGAACGATGCATCGTCTGATCATCGACAACAGAAGAGCTCTCTAGACAAACTCCGCTCATTAAAATGTAATTTTGATGAAATTGAATCATTACTTCGTTACAAATCAACTCGACCACCACACACAGATAGTCGTCCAAGGCCGACAATCGAACGACTACGTAAGCTCTTTCAAATGCTCATTTCCTACGAAGACAAATTTCGTCGTGTATTCGATCACCTCCAGATATTTCGTTTTACCGACATGTACAATACACTACGTCCATACGCTAATGATACGCAACGTTTACATAACATTTATTGTCTATTACAACGATATACAACCATATCCGATAACGGTCATATCGACATAGAATCAGGTTTTATCAATTATTTATCTCAAGTTTCGAGCTATTTAGCGGATGGTTTTGATAACCAACATTTGAGTTGGAATACAACTTCAACGGATGCAATTCGTAAACCGGTTATTGTTCTTGGATCGAATATTCATTTTTTTAACATGCTACAAGCATCCATGCGGACTATTGATAAGTTTTTAAAAGATCACAACGTTGCTGTCTATGATCTAGGATTCACTGCAGATCAAGTAGATATGGTAAGATTTGAATTAGTACCAACATCTTGAGGAAAGACATTGAAATATATATGATCTGGATTTTCTATGTTAGATTACGGCAAATTGTAAACGTTGTACAGTCATTAAATTTCCATTTGAGGAAGTCGCAAGCGTAGCCAGTCATGTTCGGAACTTAGCCAATTTTGCATGGAAACCGATTATCATTCATGTAATAACTTCATTACAAACGAAGAATTCAAGAAACGGGACATCTCTTTTCTCGCTCTAGGATGCTGTGCGACGTTTTGGCTCTATTATTTACGGTGATACATCTGTTCGTTATAATACTTCAAATTTCACTCGATTACTAATTGACAATGAAATCCGTGGCTTTTCATGTCGGGAATTACCTGGTCATTATCTTCCATGCTTCACATTAGAGAAAACATTTACATGGTTCAATGAAACACCGTCGACATTTGATGACGTCTACATTGCTGAAGCAGGCTTCGTTGCTGTCACAGATAACTTCTTATCGCGCCTGGTACTGAAGACATGGGTGACTTGTGCCCTTGATCCAGAATGTATCGCACCAACTCAATCTAAATCAGTATGCAAACATCGCTCCGGTACAGGGAACGTTCATCGTTATGATCAATCAGCAATGGTAGCCGTACTTTCGTTCTATTTCTTTCCAAGTTCACGGAATGGTAGTACAAGTAATCCAGCTCCGTACGATATGTATGCTTCCATTCAAGGTAAACTAGCAGAAGTTCGACGTGGTGAAGGCGATCCAACCTATTTTACTGTCCATAAACCCTAGAACAGTCTAAAGTAAGTTCCTTTGGTATTGCTGTGATATGATAATTTATAGAAGTTTGTTTTGTTATTTTTTTATTTATTAATAATAAATATTGATCACGAGACGAAATTGCTCTCCGAGGTGCATCATGGTCTACCTGACGTTGAAAGTCGTCAGTGTTGCTTTCATCGAAGGAAAGTTCATCTTTAATCGAAAAAATTTAGTTTTATTCACTTACTACTGCTACGACGATAGTGTCTATCTAATCGTATGCATTCATCATTACTTGACTATCTCGTTTACAGTGTACATTGTTCCGATAATCAAGAATCGATTGTTTTTATTTAAAAGAATAATAAGAAGAAAAGTAGAATTTGTAATACCGATTGAAGAGAAAATTGGAACAAATGAAATATTGATGAAGTAGAATTCGATTGGACTGGACCTATTTTACAACGGGCGTCAGGTGAATGACGTGTACAACCATCGACACCGCCTGGACAGTTAATATTGATCTGTGATTGAAGGTAATGTTCCAGTTTTTGAAAATGATTCTGAACTTCAGCTTGAGGACATTTATCCAAACGAGATTTTAGACAACGGAAATATGCTGTCGATTGCTGGCACCAACTACGTTTATTCAATGTATTCCATGACGGATAAAATTTAACAGTAATCATCAATGGTTGACATAAGTCGTTGATGACTTTCACTTGACATATCTCATTAGCATTCGATATTTGAATAGGCGTTGAGCCCAGAATACCATTTTTGGCTGCCGCATCCGCATTGTGAGTACCACCACTTCGAACAGAATCCGCTGCTTCGGGTTGCTTTGGAGTATCCCAGATAATATTAAATTTATAATCTTCAATTTTATCACTACAAAAGCCCAACAGTTCATCAACGCGTTTACGAATGCCTAAAAAAAAAGGTTCGAGTCTGAATTTTACTACTGTACAAAATTCTATCTAGCTCCTTACCTTTCATAATGGATTCCATCGCCATTTCATACTTTTCCTTGTTCTCACAACCACGATATTTCTTGTGAACACATTCGAAATACACTCGTGATGCCGTACAATATTTGATTGGATCTGTTTCTCGGTCTTCTTTTTCCGGCTTTTGACCGCATGCACGTGAACCCATCACATCACACGCATGGATGGTCGAAATCATCATGATTACGAAACAAGAACAACAATACATGAAAGAATTATACTTCATTGTGTTGCATCGAAATATCTGATGTTTAAAAATGAAGACAGGTCATTAATTTTATGATTGTCACCTTCTCGTTCAATACAAGATTGCAGAAGAAATTGTTGCTAACAGTTTTGAATAATCGAGAAAAGAAAAAAAAGAGATCATGCACGCACGAAAGACGAACATTTCTCGTTTACCGATCGATACGTTGTTGCATCAACGACAAATCGTTGACATTTTCTCATTAAACAAACAACAGAAGCTTTATTGAATCTCAGTGATGAGATATAACGAGAGATGAACAGATAGTGAAAGAGAACAAATATTTATTTAATAGCAAAATGGATGTTCTCCGTACGATGATAATTAAGCACAAAACAAAACGCGATTGTTACGTCGCTCTTGCTTTCTGGTCATCAAGATGTTTCAGTCCACCATGATTTCAGTCCCAGACCTGGTTCAGATATTGAGCCAATGATTGTATAAGGTATTTTTTTATCGTCGTCATTAGCAGTTTGAGTTATGGACGCACCCGAGTTTGGAGATTCTTTCGGTGCCGTATCTTCGAAAATTTCCTGTACAACACGAAAACTAAAAGCACGATAAATAGTTTATTTCTAATAGAATCAATGCTCTCTACCGGATTTCTTCTCCAATTTCCATTACAAGATCATGTGTTTCATCGCCGGTTTCATATTGCCATGCCCACGTTTGTTCTGCTTCGATAAACCGTGATGGATGTTGAAGTTTAGTCGATGGAATGAGTATATCGTCAAAAAAGCCTAACGTCACTGTAATACCATCTTTACTCGATGAGCGAATTTTACCTTTGAAAATGTGAAATACTCATGAAATAAGCGAGCCATTTGCGACATTCTTACCAACAAGTATTTCGTCGATATTTGGACGGAAGACGACATAACGAAATTTGACTTTGATATGAAAATTAGCATCCGATGGCAAGAGAATGCAATCGCCCATGGATAAAATATCGTACAAACAAATACACAAGCCTAATTCCTGAAAGATTGTGTTCGCTAGTTTGCGATCGAGTTCTTCGGCGACAATCGTACTCAATTGTTCATTGAATAGATGAGGTGCAATCGAGACTGTGTCATCCAATGTTGCCACAACAAACATTTCTTTCTAGAAGATAAGTGTCAATGTATAGACGGATATATGCGCATATTTCATTTTCACTAAACACATTAGATTCTTGTTTATTTGTTTTTTTTAAAAACCGTTCTGTAACAAATAATAGCCTATGACGTGTCTTTTTCATTTGGGGATTTTTTAGCACGCCGTACTGCGGACATGGCATCACCGGTTAGCTTAGTATCGGCAGGTTGAGGAGTTGACGGCGAAGACGGTATCGACGGTGCTGATTGAGTTAGAAAGCCTTGTCGATCTTTGCTCTGAAGGTTATTATAGATTGATAATGCGGAGGCAACCATCGATGACATGTCACCGGTATTAGAAGGTAAAAGTATGGTATTATTCGTTCGAGCCAGGTTACCGAAAGCATGAACATATTGTTCAGCTATTTGTAGTGAAGCAGCATTACGACCTTCCTAAATTTTAGGAAGAAGAAGTGAGTATTCTTTGGAAAGAAAGGCCAGGCTTTACTTCAGCGTGAAGTTGATCTGAGATAATTTTAAGTGCCTCTGCACGAGCTTGTGCTTTTGCACGTATGGCGTCGGCTTCACCAGTAGCATTGTTGATTTGTTCAAGTCGAAAACCTTCACTAGCCAGGATAGTTGCTTGTTTTGTACCTTCAGCTTTGTTAATTTGACTTTCCCGAATACCCTCACTCTCAAGAATGGTCGCTCGTTTACGTCGCTAAAATAAAAAGTTTTATCGAAAAACAAAACTTGATCTTCATCGTTACTTCAGCTTCGACTTGCATTTGCATAGCTTCTTGGACTTTAGGAGGAAGGCGAATATCACGAATTTCATATCTGAAGAAGTCACCTTAGACAATGAAAGAATCACAGAAAAGCAAAAAAGTTCACTAACCGAAGACAGTTGATTCCCCAAGCTTTGGCAGCTTTATTTATTGCATCTATTGAACATCGCAACGATATAATTGATAATACGCAAGAAATAAAAGAATATCTTACCAACAATACCAGTATTTAGCGATTCTCTCTCTCGAAATACTGTATCCAACGAGATTTTGCCGATTTCAGAACGCATCGTTGTTTGCGCTAGCTGAGTGACAGCAAATTCAGCATCTTCAACACCATAGCTAGCCTAGTGTACACATTTCACATGAATATCAATATGTCACTTCTATGAATGCGTATTTACCAAATAGGGATCAAATACTTTCAGATACAAAACACCATCGATGTTCAATGTAACATTGTCTAGAAAAACAAACAGTGCATTTTCCGACGAATTTCACTTCGAAATAACCTTTTGAAATAGCTGTTTGACTTGGAACTTCAATGGCAATTTCTTTCAAACTTTGCACATAGCTGATTCTATCAATCACTGGTAAAAGTAAATTCAAACCCTTGAAAACAACAACTAATCGTTTTACAACGAGATGTATTTCAGTTTTCACTCACGGGATTTAAAGTCTTATAAAATTTTCCCATTCTCTCCACAACCCATGCTTCCTGTTGTGGTACAAATAGAACAACAGTATTAAATGGTAAACGAGAACGAAAACGATGTTGTTGTTCAGTTGTTGCTGTCGTTATTGCTCGTTGTAATAGACGACGCTAATGAGAAGAGACATAATAATGATCAAAGTCAATGTTCCGCACACTTACAGACACAATCGGACCCAACGTTCGATTCAAGACAAATGCCATATCGATTCGCGCAACAACACAAAAATGATTTCTACAAAAAGTCGATGATGCAAGAATAGAGAAGTTTGTGGGTGATTCATTTCAATTTCTATCTGTAGTATCACACACAAGCAGGTATATTTTTATTTGTATCAATCTGACATCATTCATGGAAAAAATATATAAAAATGTGTAGCACTATCTGACAAGTAAAATTCATGGAGAGAAAAGTTGTCGTTTTGTGTCATCTAAAGCAAAAACGAAAGAAAAGACTTGATGGTGCAATGGTTTCGAATACAACTTACTGTTTAAGTGACTATAGTCGCTGGGGAGATTTTCATCGTTAACACTTAAATCATTCATATGGAATGGATCCCGACTATGACGATGACGAGGTGCTGCTGAACGTGGAATATCTTCAGGTTTCGATGCAGGGGGATTACTGGTAAAATAAGAAGATTCCAAAGCCTGAAAAAACCAAATATTTGGCCATTGCATATCTTTGTGTGGCCTGTTTCTCATACCTGTTTAGCTGTAGCTCGATATTTAGGATTCATCACTAGTAGGCTTTTCAATAGAGTTAACTCCTGTTCATTGGCTTTGGGAAATTTCTTTTCGAAAGTTTCACCATTATTTACTAAGCTTTCGTCATTGAATTGAAGGAAATGCTTGAAATGTTTCGCTTCTGGCCATGTTTTATCAGTGGGCTCACCAAGTAAGCGGTAGATCATAAGAATTTGTTCGATTTCGCTTTTACTTGGAAAAACAATATGACGATTGATTAGTTCGCCAAGGACAACACCTAACGACCACATGTCTGTGTTTGTACCATACTGACGATCACCGAGAAGAAATTCTGGCGAACGATACCAAGCCGGTGGCAATCGATGAAGTTTTCGACATGTATCATCCACATAGATCGAAATACCGAAATCAGCGATTTTGATAATTCCATGATCATCGATCATGATGTTTCCTGGTTTAATATCCTATGCCATCGAATACGATTTATGACGAGATTTACATCAAGTGAAAGTACCATACCTGATGCATAATACCCGAAGAATGAATGTATTCCAGACCCGAGAGCATCATGTAAGCCATCGATTTAATATGGCTGTGCGAGTACCGGTTGTCTGTACAATGAATCAAACGCTAAACGAAATCAAGCTCTGTGTAAAAGAAGACAATTTCTCCTCGAAGATTCGACACTTACACCAAGATCAGCAAGCATCAATTCGAAAACTAGTACAGCAACTTTAGAGTCCGGCGTATAAAATGAATCAAGTAACTAAACAAAAATCTTCTATCAAAGAACTTTCCGCAAAACAAATATGTACTCTAATAACGTTAGGATGATCTAATTTTCGTAACATTTGCATTTCATTTTCTGCCGCTGGTTCAGCCCAATCCGTATATTCACCATGACGACCAACTTTTATCTATCGAAAAGAAATCAATACGTTCTTGAATGTTGCATTCGAAGGAACTCCCAACTTTTTTAATGGCCACTTCGGCACTTGTTGGAAGATACCGAGCTTTGTAAATTCCGACAAGCTAAATGGATATTGAATGATTTTGCTGATGAAATCTTATTGTTTTCATTGAGTCATACTGAATCTTCGACAATCACTTCTTCGACCACATAATTTTCGGATTTCGCGGACGCCATTGAATTGAACAAATCGAGAAAAACTAAACAAAGACTTCTGTAGATTTGATTTCTTCTTCCACTATTGTTTATTTATTTCAATGATAAAAGCCAAAGAAAGACAAGAAAATGTCGATTAGAACCCAGCCAACAAATGAGAAAAAGAAAATGTATTTATTCAGTTTTACAGCGACATCTTTCTGTCAGCCTAGATATGTTTTTTTCTCTCTCTCTCTTTCTTCGTTCACCAATTGGATCACAAGCAACTAAGTCAGTCAAATAGAGCGAAAGAGTTGATTGATTGATAGGTAGATAGTGAACGACCATCGGTCAAATTGTTTTTTTTTGTTGTTGTTTCTTCCTTTACAAGAATTTCAATTAGAATTCGTTTCAATTTAGTTACATTTACAGCAACAATGCAGATATGAATACCAATAATATCAATACTCCATTGTCAAATCGAGTATGTCGCTTTTTCACGTGAAGAAAACCGCAAAAACGAACGTCATTTTTGTTTATATAGTCCGACGGTAATGATTCGGGATCGATCATTCCTTCGATGTATCCGTCGACTCCAGCAGCACCCGGAAACAATTATTTATCACACCGGACGTTTATTCCGCCAACCCCAGGGTCTGTCAGCTCAGACATTGATACATCGAATCTTACATCTATTCAACAAAATGATCCACGAAGAAATATCATTCAACAACTTGCACTTCTACTGCATGCACATAAATGTCTTCAACGCGAACGACAAGCGCAAGCTTGCAATGGAGATAATCATGGAACAGCACCGACAACGACATCATTGAATCTTTGTACATTACCACATTGTGCGACAATGAGGACAGTGCTTCAGCATATGACGAAATGTGCTGATTTCAAAAATTGTACATGTAAGTTATATGAACTATGAACTTGCCTTTAAGTATGATGGATATCCATCTTTTTTCTACATAGTTAATCATTGTGTTCAATCACGTCATATAATACTCCATTGGAAAAATTGTACTACCCCAAATTGTTCCATATGTGGAACATTAAAAAAGCCATCAGCACTTCGTCCACAGAACTTCATTCGTAAGTTCGAATGTCTTTTATTTCTCGCTTGAACAATATGCAACTGACTCTTTCGTTTAGCCAAAGAATGGCAACAACAATTGCACACCGATCAACGAAATCATTTAGTAAAAAAAATTGTTGCAGCACTATTAAATACTGTGCAACAAGATGGCCGTTCTCTTCCACCTGATCGTCTGTCAGCAGTTACATCCTATGCTCAACAAACCGAAGCAGAAACTTTTAATACAGCTATCAGCCATGAAGACTATTTCCATCGTCTGGCTGAACGTATTTATAAAATACAAAAAGATTATGAAGAAAAACATATGTCGAAGAAGCAGCAAATCTTAACGACAACATTGACATCCATAGATAAATCAGCTGGTGAACAAGGTCCACCAAATCGTATTGCGCCACAATCAGATTTCCCACCCTCATTTCTATCATCTTCCTCAGCAACGCCACAAATCAAGTCAGAAAATCATACTCCGAATCCCACACAATCAGTCTCCTTTGATACGCATCGCATTTCGACTGATAGTCTCAATCGAATGACTATAAATAACAATACTTCAAATACAACTATCCATTCAGATACCAATGGTACACATGCTGATGTAAAACCAATTAAATTAGAACAGATATCACCCAATCACGATACCAAAATTCAAGTAAGTCATTGAAAGACGCGAAGTTTCGCGAAGAAATAACAGTCAACTGAAACTCAGCCTTGAACGCTGCGTACCTAATGACCTCTATTGAACACACAGGGATGTTGAGCATCTCTACAGTTTTCGGTCGATTAAGTCATAGAAATTCTGTCTGTATTCTAGGCTAACACTACTACGATGACGACGATTATTAAAAAAGAAGAAACTATTAGTACGAGTGAAACAGCAGTCAATGGTAATAATATTACAACAACGACTGTTGAATTGATAAAAAGTGAAAAAACTGATATTGAAACAACTCAACCGAATCGTCCACCACCGATTGATGCTGCAAGTAAACTATTGCAGAAACATCCAGCCGCATTTTCTCCAGAGGATATACGAGAGAAAATGACACCTGTACTTCGGCAGTTATACGATCAAGAAGAAGGTATTTGGTTTCGTCAACCGGTTACAGAAGCGATTGCGCCTGGATATTTTGATATAATTAAATATCCAATGGATTTCTCAACAATATTCACTAAATTAGATGAACTGAAGTATACGACACCGTTTCAATTTTGCGAAGACATTTGGCTTGTATTTACGAACACTTGGACATTCAATAAGAGAAGTCAAAAAGTGTATAAAGCCGGCCTTAAGGTAAATGAGAAGCGAATTAAAAGAAAATCAGCTGTGCATTATGTATTCTTAGATTTCTGAAATGTTTATGGAACTAGTTGATCCTATTATGAAAGATTATGGTTATTGCTGTGGACGTCAGTATGTTTTCTTACCATCAGCCATGTTCTGTTATGGAGTCAATGGTATGTGTTGTACTATTGCGCGTGATGGTGATTATTTCGTTTATACTAATCCGGATTCATCAAGAAATAATCTCTCCGGCGATAAATATACATTTTGCAAGAAATGTTTCGATTCTGTTAAGTCAGAATATATCTTAGTTGGCGACGATCCCGCTCAAACCTTAGCTGAATTACCTAAGGTCGAATTTCAACAAGCGAAAAATGACCATCAAGAGCAAGAAGCCATGACGGACTGTATCGTTTGTTCACGACGTTTTCATAATATCTGTGTTCTCTATCACGAACATATCTGGCCTGAAGGTTATGTATGTAAAACATGTGTAAATCAGTACAATATTAAACGAAAAGAAAATCGTTATTTGGCACACAAGTTAACAATGACTGATTTAGCAAATGCATTAGAAAAACGCGTTAACGATTTTCTTCGAAAAGATTGTGATCCTGATACAGGTCGTGTTACCATACGAGTATTAGCTGCAAGTGATCGTATATGTGAAGTAAAACCAAGATTAAAGAAACATTTTGGTACACAAGTACCAGACGGCTATCCCTATAGAACGAAAGCGATATTCGCATTTCAAGAAATCGATGGTGTCGACGTTGTTCTCTTCGGAATGCACGTTCAAGAATACGATAGTCGATGTCCAGCACCAAACGCCAGGTAAGGTTTTCAATTAAGTTCGAGTTACAGAATACACTCTTCTATTTCTATTTAGACGTGTTTACATCTCCTATTTGGATTCAGTACATTATTTTCGACCGAAACACAAGCGAACGGCGCTTTATTTCGAGCTTCTCATCGGCTATCTGGAATATGTTAAACAATTAGGATTTGCTTATGCACACATTTGGGCATGTCCACCAAGTGAAGGCGATGATTATATCTTTCATTGCCATCCAGCTGAACAACGTGTGCCAAAACCTAAGCGTTTACAAGAATGGTATAAAACAATGTTGGATATTGCTGTGAATCAACGAGTCGTCGTCGATTACAAAGTTTGTTCATGATAGTATCGAGATATTTTTTAGTAACAACGTAATGTTTGCTTTAGGACATTATGAAAGACTGTACTGATAGCGGCGTGAACAAAGCATCGGATCTTCCATATTTTGAAGGTGATTTTTGGTCTAGTACAATTGAAGATTTGCTGAAAGAACTCGATACCGAAGAAGAAGATCGAAGAAAATTCGAAGAACTTGAAGCAGTCAAAGCCTCAGATGATGGCTGTTTCGACGATCCAATCGAGCCTGAAGAGCCAACTGAAGTAAAAGGACAAGCTAAGAAATTAAGAAAGTTTATTCTGTTAAATTTTGATAGATATCGGATAAACGTAAATCAGGTGGTGCGACAACACATAAGAAGAAGAATTTTAAAAAAACAGCTGGTCAACGACGAATAGCACGAAAAAATATGTCGAATGGCACAGATCTAATCACGAAAATCTATGCAATGATGGAAAAACATAAAGAAGTAATATAAAATCTTTTGTCAACGATACATTCGCACGAACCCATTTCCATCCATTTATTTAGTCATTCTTTGTTGTTCGTCTACGCAATCCTATGTCCAATCCAGCAACGTTAACCGATACAGATCCATTGATTCAATGTGATTTAATGGAATCTCGTGATGCTTTTCTTAACTTTTCTCGTGATAAACATTGTGAATTTTCTTCATTACGTCGTGCCAAATATTCAACCATGGCTTCACTAATTGAATTGCATTCATCAACAGCAGATAAAGTTTCGTATACATGCAATTCATGTCGACAGTTATGTGATATTCGATATCATTGTACCGTATGCGATGATTATGATCTATGTAGTAAATGTTACACAACAGTTAAACATGAACATCGCATGGATCGTACAGATGATATGAGTGAAACACCAGCTAATTCAGATACACCGTTAACAACTCAACAACAGCGACAAGTCATGATGCAACGACAATTAGATGCCATACGTCATGCAGCACAATGTCGGAATGCGAATTGCATATTCAAAAATTGTGCACCATGTCAAAGATTACTTCAACATGCGAAGGAATGTACGAAACCATCAAGAAATCAATGTCCACTGTGTCATAAACTTATATCACCCATTTGGTATCATGCGAAAACATGTAATGATCAAAACTGTCCGGTATGTTTTCTTGTTCTTCGTCTTTTTATCGACTCTATTGAGAAAATATCATTTTATTTAGCTACCCTATTGTGCAAGCTTTAAAAATAAACTTCAACGACAACGTGCAGCAACTATGCAAGCAGATCGACGACGTATCAAAGCAATGCATCGGGCCAAAATGGCGCCAGGTACATTAGGAATGATAGTTGTATTCACAAATGTGACACGGGCTTTTTTCGCATATCTAGGACCATCTCCACTCAGTACACAAAATACGGAGCCTGCACCTACACAGTATCATCATCCAATGGAGTCCGCCTCGCCAAGCTCATCTGGTAAAATGATGCCCTCAGGTGGTAAAGGCGGTAAACCTGCGTCGATGAGTGGATTAGTGCGAGCTAACCTATCTTCTCAGCAAGTCTCTTCACAGCACTCAGTTTATTACAACGGTGGCAAAGGCGGTCCAGGAAATGGTGCGTATCCCATGATGATGTCTCATCCACAGCAATCTTCACAGCCATGGATGACACAACAACAACAACAACATCGATATGGATCACATATGGCCAGTGGTGGTAAACCAATGGCTTACACTCAGCAAAGAATGCCATATGGTGGAGATCCGTATATGATGCGACAACAAACCCCCCAAGTGCCATCAACATCTTACCCGTATCCATCAAATATAGGTAAATAATTGAATGCAAATGAGGGTTTTATATAGAATTTTTCTTCAATGATTTAGCTCCACCAGGCTATCCGCATTCTCAGCTAATGGATCCCAATGCAATCGCAGCAGCTCGTGCTGGTAAACCTATGTTACCTCAGCAAGTGCCACAGCCACAACAGCAACAAGTACCAACACGATATCCACTGAACTCCTATTATAGTCATCCGTCATCAATGTCTTACCAACAACAACAGCCACCGCAAATGCAACAACAACCGCCCCATCGATCGCTTTCTCAAGGCCCAACTCCTGCCTATTCGATGCCATCTACTCCAGCACCGTCAAACGGTGCTAGTTGTAAACCAATTCTTCTCGATTCGCTCGAATCAAAACCTGATGATCTCTTAGATGATCCATCGAAACAACAACAACAACAACTACAACAACCACAACAGTCACAGCAACAGCAACAAATGTTCCATTCACTTATTCAATCTCGTTCACGTTCACAGACTCCTTCTTACTATCCAAATATGTCACCAGCTAATGCTTCTTATTATTCTCCTCAACGTCCAATGACACCCACAGGAGATTATAGTATGGTCCAAGCACGTGGTATTCGACCGCCACCTCCTGCTGCCTATGGAACTTTAACTGTTCAGCAGCGTATCCGAACTCCACTTGCTCCGCCGATGTCATCTGTAACGAGTGATCCATCAATGGGTATGACACCAAATCCTATGGGACTTCAGTCTACTCCACCTCCACCTTCTGTAACGCCTCGTTAAAATCAGAATTATTTTCGTTCTCTATCTCTATTTATTATCTTCGTACGTGTGCCTCTTGCGCTCTATTTTTTGGCTGCCTGATTTTATTCTTCTCTTAAATTATCGGCAAGGGTCTCATGTGTTTTTTCTCATTTCATTTTCTCTCTTTTTATACACATTCATATATCTCTCATACATATATGAAACAAACAACTCGATTCATTTCGTTTCATTTTCTTTCGAGTGTGTTCATGTACATAGAGTTGAATCTTTTGTTTTTTTCTTTTCTTGCTTCTTTATGAAAAATATGCGCCTCGTTCAGCTATGGTAGTTTTGTCAATTCTTTCTTTTTTACATCGCTCATGTATATTGATATCTGTTTGCTGTGGAACAAAATAAAAACAAAGGCATCTTCGTTTCTCTCTCTCTCTGAATATTTTTCATAACAGATTTTGTTGATGTTGTTGTTGTTGTTATTCGCTTTGTGCATTAAGTTTGTTTCTCTCTCAGTCGTTGTTGTACTCTGTTGAATCCTCATTTCTTTATCTCTTCTTGATTTCCACAAGGAGTATGAGTCAATCGATGTGTATGTATCACATGTCTCTTTTTTCCTTCTCTTTAAGATTTGTCTGTCTTTCTTCCAGACAATATATGCTTTTCCTGTCGCTTTTTTCTATAAGCCCGAGCGCGCGCTATTGCCGTCAAAAATCTTATTTACTTTCTTTTTTTTTCTACTTGTACTAATAATAAAGTGAAATGATCAAATGAAAAGCAGAACGATTTTTTCTTAAATATATGAAATTGTGTATTTGTTACGAATGAACAACAGCTGTAGAGAATGCTAAGATTTTAGTCATTCGATGATAGCACTGTGGTTTGATAGAAAATATTAAGATCGATCACCAGAATTCTGCGGACATGTATGTTTGTTTTAATTCTTGTCGGAATCGTCCACTTTTGCTGCTAAGAAAACGAAAATTGGAAGATATATCATTTATCAAGACGATTAGTGACCACTCACCTTTCGAAGTTGTTGTAGTTTTATCTAAAACTCTTTCGCCATGAAAATAATCTTTGCGATGTTTACTAGATTTGTTGTTGCATCTGCTTTGATAGAAACACGGTATAAGAAAATCAGGGAGATTCGTATGTCGATACGCTGCTCGGTGGACAGGATCGTCTAGCTTGTCACAACTTCTATCGTTGTCACATTTAGGAACACGATGCGGTTCATGAGTAAGATGAGGTTCTCTTTCCGAGCAGAGTTCTGAATAACGACATGGATGCGAATATGTTGAATTATGTTCTGGAACATCGGATGAGTACTGAAGAAGACAGTAGATGCCATCTTTACACGGTTTCAAAGGTGACTTCGGAGTTTTAGCAGAAGCACTCTTTCGTTTGTCTGCCATATCACCATACTTGAGTTTGCTCTTAACCGTCGCTCGATGCGAATCATCGTATTCCGTTGTTACTGTTGTTGTTGCACTGGCACTTGCACTTGTGCTTGCCGTCGATGCGCCCCCGAAACTTTTATCGAACGTTGGATGCATCGAGGGTTGTCTTGTAAAATGTACAACTAAATTTTTCATCGGCACTTTACGATTACCAGCACTCACATGAATAAAATTCAATTTAGTCAAATCAAGATCCGATCGACTGAATCTACAACACATAATACCTCGGCTGTAGAGCGCATTTGGTCCAGCATGTGCAAGAACAACAAAACCATTCGAAAGATGAAGCTCTAAGCAGTAAGTGAAATAATCTGCATTGTTGCAACCAGTGTAAAACGTATCTGTTTTCACTCCATATTTCTTTTTGCTCCTGATTATTTCATGTTGAAATGGATGACCAACTGCCAGATAAGAAATCGGTTCGTGATATTGATCGTCGATTTCGATAGGTTTTGCGGCAACATAACATATTAAACAACGTAAATGTGATTGGTCCACATCTGGATCAATTTTTTCACTTGACAACGTTATCATCATATCACCGTGTAAAGCTTTCCAGTAGATATGAGTTATATTATCTTTTGATGGATGAGCTTCTTCAGAACGATATTGTGCGTACGCTTGCGAAATTGTCAGAGGTAAAACATAGTGTTCCTCAAGATTGGTAGAAGGTATTGTGATTGTTATACCTCTCAGATAGCTCAAAGCTAAAGAAGGAGTATACTTTTCATACCGCTGTAATATCGTCCTGACAACTGTCTCTTGGTAATCAGCTCGTACTTTAGAGCTTGGCGTCGCTCCGAACGTTCCTTTATCAGGCGTTAGTTCAACTTTGTGGTCTTCAATAGTGATACGATCGCTAAATACGGCACCAACGGCTCTTCTTGCATCCTCACTAAGATGATCAAAAAGACTCCTTGGCATATAGATATGATCAATATAGTCCAAAGGAATCAGTTGAGGTAGATGCGCTTCGATCGTTTGATGAGAATCAACTGCAAGCCATCGTTGAAATATTTGATCAAGAGTAATATCCATTGATTTCAAGTTGAATTGTGAACTAGTGAGTGCCATCAATTCCAGTGCTGCAGCATACTCATAACCTGGCACTCCGGCATGTAATCTAGTCGCATGATAGTGTTTCACTCGTTCGGAAATAGAACCAGGATCGTTACCCAACCATGGCCGCATTGTATAGGCTCTACCGCTAACAAAAGACGTTGCTGCTTGCATGGAGAAATTTGCATCACAATGATGCAAAATCTCTCGTTTAAAGATGATAACTATATCACCGTAATAATGACCCATATGTGGTCCAAGGATACTGAAAACAAGTTTATCAGTACCTAGCGCTTTGTCAGAGGCGTATCCAATACCGGCAGGATCGGAATGAAGTTTGATAGATGCTTGTGCAATATCAATTGCTTTTGAGCGTAATGCTCTCATGTCATTCGGCGGAATTGTGCCAGATAATTTATTCTCTTTCTTTCTTACTGTATCCTCAAAGGATGCTGCGACGAATATTTCCGGATTTGCAGATTTCGATAGAAATCCTTGCTTGCCAAATTCGAGGCAAACTAACGCAGTAACATATTTTCTTGCATCTTCTTCATATGTTTTGATTTTCAAAGCATCAATACGTCTGATTCGACTGTGATGTAAGACGGAATTGGCGACGAATGTTGGATCCTTCAAGTGCTCCATGTATTCACGACTCATTACATGGCCATGGAGAAGTATAGACTCAAATATAACTAAGTTACATCGATGGATGGGTTGAACCGTACGTATCCAATCAACAATTTCATCTGGTATTAAGCCAGGCGGTAAAGGCTTCCAATTCTGTTTGCTAACAAATCGATTAACACATTCTATGTTGTTCTTGTGGTTCTGAACAAAATCTACGTGTTTATTCGTACCATAGTATCTTACAACGCCAGGCTCGTGCATGATACGATGACGAAATTGAAGCCTATGCTCAAGTTTATCCGGCTCCCGACACTCATCACGGTATGGACATAACGGTCGAATATCAGGAATATGCGGATGTGTCAATGTATTAATGTGTTCTTCGTCGGAAACCATACTACATTTTTCACCGTATGGACACACTTGACGTGCGATATGAATTGATCTAGATTGATGTAATTGTGTTTGATCAAGACAGTTCCGTCCAAGTTTGCAAACATGAGCAAAATTCAGACAATGTTGTTGGATAACTGTTGAAAGACTTCGATTATTTTTTGATTCACAGAGAGCGCTATGCATTGGACATTCGAATGGGGTATGTGGACACGGAGGTGGAAATGGATGCTGAAAATCTTCGAAATGACTCTTGTCATGAAATAAAGCACAGTTATTTCCGTATGGACAATATGGTGCAAAATGTCGATATTGATCACAATGTTCTCTAACTTCCTTCAGATAGTCAATACATTTATGATTTTGCGGGCAAAGTGGTAAGTGTCGAAACATTTTCAAATGATCTTCTGTTTGTTTCTTGCACCGGCTTCCGTCAGGACAAAAATCTGGATGTTCATATTCGCGACAATGACTCTTGTCGTCGATCTGATCACATTTGCCACCCTTCCGACATTGACTTTGACTTGACGACTTGCTTGCGACACTCCCGTCACCTTTAGATTTCTATTAATTAAGACGAATTTCGTCAGTATAAAGTGCTTACATTTACTTTCATCGAGAAGGAAACACTCTTATGAAAATTTACCTTCGAAGAGCTCGCTGATTTCGATGCGAGCAAATTTTCTAGACATGCACGGTGAAATTTAACGCCCGACGCTGTGGTTACTTCCTGATCGTCATCTCCATGCAAGGGCTCATTACACGACGAACAAGTTGACATTTTAAACAAACCTAATGTATAAAGAAATTCTCCGTTTCCAACATATTAGACTTCCAGAATATAGAGTACCTCAAATCAATAATCGCAAAAGCTGAAGATAAAATATGTTTGCCATCAACGGGACGCAAATTCTTCAAAATGCTATAAACTCAAACTACCGGAGTGCAGTACCTCATCAGTGTAATAAATTTCCTTTCTTCAGTTTGGTAGGAAGAAAAAAAACTTATCTGGTGTAAATAACTGCAAAAAATTCCAACATAGGCATCAGTACTGAAGAGAAAAAACACAGTTTCACATGCTTTCTTTTCGAATAATAACACGGGAGAACAGATGTAAAAAAAGCATTGTCTTATTTTTTGATCTCTCATAGCTGTCTTTTTCTTCTGTTCTTCTGTAAATATATTCAATATATTTTCGTATATATTACCAAAACTGCCGCAAATGAAAATATATACATAATTTTAGATCATTCATCATAAATTACAAACATTGAGACATACTCATAAGAAATTAAAAATTTATTTAAGAATTCTTTCATATTAGTCATATTTAAAAAGGATTTCAGATGGCTTTGAAGCGATTTTGCGTCTTGAATTGTTTCCGTTACTGGTTTTAGTAGATCTTGCCTTTCTACCATGGCGTCTATCAGCCATCCCAATCCTTCACGAACACCTTCACCACGAAGTGCGCACGTTGGATGTAGATGCCATTCTTTAATCCCATCCAACTTGACTAAATTGAGTTTTACCTTTAACTCGTCCAGTGTCATTGCAGTTGGTAGATCTTGTTTATTAGCAAGAATGAGGAAAGGTTTGGTGCGTAATTCGTCTTCATTGGCGAGCTGATGAAGTTCATTACATGTTTCGTCAATCGTTGTTCGATCACTGGAATCAACTACATAGATTATTCCCGTCATTCGTCGATAATACGCTCGCTGTAATGCACGACCTGCTGAACGTCCGCCTTCGTCGAATAAAATAACCGAGTTATTGTTTATAGGAACAATCTGGATTTCTAAGCCCATCGTGTATAAGGAGTCGTGCTGATTTTGAAGTTTTCTGGGAAAGAAGACTACAGAAGTTTTACCTATATAGAAAAGTAGCGTAAATGAATACTAGACTGTCGGAAATGAGCAGTTCGTTACCAGCTGAGTGCGCTCCCGCTATGAATACCATGAATGATGAATGTTTAGAATCGGATTCAGTTCGTTTGTTATGTGAAGAAGCCATTTCAATGGATTAGCTTTGCTCGATTTGCTAGCGCCCGACTAGACAGAAGATTTTGCTCGTTTTTCTCCTCTCTCAAATATACCTTTTCTAACGTGACAATCAGTAAGAAAAGTTATAGTCTTCAAACTGTGACATCGTGTCAAATATTTCACAATTCGAATGCAAGTCCTCCGATGACTCAACAAAAAGAACAAATGTAGCTATCTCACTTTTTACAATAGTTAATAAAATCCAACGAATTTCTTATTATAAAGTTTGGAGCACAAAAAAGAACTAAAATTGACTATATTCGGAATTGAAGAAAGTGTGTTTTGTTCACCAGTACTTGTATGGATACTGAATAGCACCGTACCACAAATGTTTTCGATGCGGATATCTGCGGCTTTGTAGATGAGAACGATCATGAGAGTTATATGAGGGATCATCAAACTGCGATCGATGATGTGATGCTCTATGATGATCACGATGCCATTGATGATCAGGTGCCTCTAAAGAATTTTCAGAGATTAAATATGAAACTAATTATTTTATCATAACTAACTAATCATTGGATAAAAACTCATGCCATTTGGCCAAATATTCGCATTGAGATAAATAGGTTCATTACAATTACTATGGATGTAAGGTAATTGTTCATTGTCTGAAGCCTGCTGTACATAGATAGCCACATGTTTCAGTACGGTTTCTATCTCAACATTTGGCATTGCAAGACGGGGAAGTAAATGGTGTGTATACACGCTGTTTCGAAGGTCAGATCTGGCTATAGATGATGCACCTGCTGCACATCCATAAGCAATAATAGTTGATGGTGGACCTTTCATAGGTGAAAGACCATCTCGTAGTTTTGGACGGCGATCAAAGAATGAGTTATGTCTAGCTGCGTCTAGAATGCTGACACGTGTCCGACAACAATCTAGAATAACGATAACAACTCGCGGCCGGTTTCGATGCAACTGTTGGATTACATTTTGAGCGTCGGTGCAGTAAGGATTGGAAAAGTCTATAGGTAATAGAAGATTCTTTCCATCAAATTGAGCGCCGTGACCAGAATAGTAGAAGACAACGATAGAACCTGGTCGAACAGAGCGTGCGAATTTATCGATTGTTGAGTCCATTTGCTCCTCGGTGAGATCGATTCCTACCCGGACTTGAAAACCAACCGATCGCAGAGATCTAGCTGTGTCTCTTGCGTCATGAGCGCATGGTGTTAGATCTCCTTCTTCATATCTGACATTGCCTATAGCCAGAGCTTGCTTTGGGTTCATCGAAATAGTGCCAACACAAAACTTCAAAGCGGAAATCTAGAAATACTGACGTCATTTTTTATGAAATGTATGAAATTCTATAAATGAATTTGACAAAAAAATAACTTGTTGTTATTCCTGTAGGAAAAAGAAAGTTGCAGCCGAAATTAATCATACCGTATGGTTGATATCGGAAGGTAAAAGCATGACTGTGGAGAAAAACAGATCGATGTTACTCATTTTCTCTTCTACCCAGTGTTTAATGTCACGTTGTTTAACACTTCCGTAAGAGTATATCAGCAAAAAGGAAATATTACAAGTCAACCACATGAATAGATATGATCAGTTTACTTACCTTTTTTTAAATTTTTTTGTTTACGTGAGAAACGAACAGGTGGGAAATGTATTGGATCATTGGTTATAATATGGCGAACTAATGAAAATATTTTACTACCTCATTGCTCCATGTATTTTTTCTCTTTTCTCTTGTCCTTGACAGTTCATTTTCGTGCGAAACCTATAACATTGCTTTTTCCACTGTCAGTTGTGTGTACCGCTTTGTAAACATGTCGTATGGAAAGTAGCTACAAAGTGTTGATAGAGCGTACTGTTTATCGGTGCAAACTATTGGACCTGAACCATTCTTTCCCCGCGGCATGCATTGCAAACTATCATGTTGAAAACAAGAAAACGTCCTCTTTTGTGTTTAGTGGTTAATCATCCGTCAGAAATTATGTGAGGGATAAACAGATTGTATCATTAATATCCATACCATAAAACACGAGTGGTTTATATTTCACTTCGAGGATTTTAGTGTTTATCTATATGACAAGCTAATCTATACATTTTCATCACACTCCAATCCTTATATTTAATTAGATTAATAAAAAAAACACGTCTATGTTTCAAAGGCAAGCATTAGTCATTGGCAATGGCAATTACAAAGCATTACCACGAAAACCATGTGTGAACGATGCGAACGACATGTCTGCAGCACTACGTTCTATCGGATTTCTTACACATTGTGCAACTGATCTGAACAGTTACGAATTGGAAAGACGTACGAATAGATTCGCACAGTCCATCGAACCGAACTCTCTAGTAGTGTTCTACTATTCTGGCCTTGGCGTACAGTACAATGATTACAACTATTTAATTCCAACAGACAACGCAGGGATCAATGCCGAGAGTATCAAGGAAGATGCTGTTAATGTTGAAAATTTCATCGAAACTTTACAAAACAAAGCTCCTAGAGTAGTGATTGTTATTCTTGACTGTTGCCGACCGTACCGGGCGTTGGGACGTTTGAATCCATTTTTTGATCGGAACACACTTGGCTTGCTCCAAGGACTTGCACCTGTACGTCCACCTCCATCCACTGTCATTGCCTATTCTAGTGCAGAAGGAACACCATCGACAAGATTGATCGTCAAAGGAAGAAATAGTATATTCACTCATCATTTACTTCGTCATATAACCACACCAAACGTCGATATTGATACGATTTTGAAACTTGTCTCTTGGAGTGTTCAACAAGAAACTCGGAATCAACAAATACCTATTCGGTACAGTAATGTGTACGAAAATATCTGTCTTGTCAATACCGGTTTTAATCAAAATTATCTACAATGGCCGTATGGTATGCAATTAAAACAACCCATCGGTGAGTAAGATTTTTGTGACATCGACAGAGATTTTTTGATGATCATGCATTTAGGTATGAGAGACTATCAACCAAGACTTATGCTGGATTATGCTCATCATCGTCATCATCATCATTCACGTAAGACGAGGAGAGCAAAGAAAGTGATCCATCCATTGACACACCATTTCTAAGTTTTTTCGAGAAATTAGTTAATCTTTCCAGTATGCATAATTGAATAATATCGAGACATCATGTGTGAATACAATTGTTTTACCCAATGTCTTTGTAAATTATATATTTGTAACCTGAATAATATTAACTTAATATGATAACTCGTACAATTCAAAACAGAAAATGAACTATTCCACCAAATATTTAGTATCAATTAGTATGAAGAAATTGATTCATCCAAGAAAGAAAAACGATTAATTATGAAAGAAATGAGAAAAAAATATTTCCGAATCGTTCTGTTCATTGAAAAGAAAAAGAAAATTTGAGATTCTATTGAAAACCATTTGGATTATTTGACTGCCATCGCCATAAATCACGACCTATTGCCATAAACACAATATGTTTAGAATATCCTAGTTGCAAATGATAACTTATACTTACACATGTCATCGAGATCTCGTTTTGCCGACCATTCAAGCTCTTTAGTAGCCAAAGCAGGATCAGCGTAAACAGAAGCGAGATCACCTGCACGTCGAGGACACTCTTGATATGGAATTTTTTTTCCTGAAGCCTTTTCCAGTGCTTTGATCATTTGCAACACTGAATAACCTTTTCCTGTTCCAAGATTGTAGATCTAAAAATAACAAGTTAACATTATCCTTTCCTCAAATTCTTTGCACTTACTTTGAGACCCGGATTATCTTGGAGTTTCTTTACAGCAGCTATATGACCAGTGGCCAGATCGACGACATGAATATAATCTCGTACACCTATACACAATCACTCAATTTATGTGATCAAGCGAGTTTATCAGCCTGACCTGTTCCGTCGGGTGTGTCATAATCTGTACCAGTAACGCTAACAACTGGTAAACGGCCAACAGCTACTTGTGCAACATAAGGCATGAGATTATTCGGTTTGCCGACAGGATCTTCACCGATTAAACCTAGAACATCCGATAGTAAGTTTGACCTTTATCAATCTGTAAGTCAAACCTGATTCATGAGCACCAACAGGATTAAAATATCGTAGGAGAATAACATTCCAATCCTAAAAATTCACGCTCGTTAACGAGAATCTCATTCTGAACAGCACGAACCGGATGTGCGACAACTGTGTCTTTAAGAATATGTTCACAGATGTATTTACTCTTTCCATATGGATTTGTAATCGCATCGCCAATACATGGATGTTGCTCGTTCAATGGCAAATATTGTGGTGCACCATAAACAGTTGCTGATGAAGAGAAAATGAAATTTTTCACATTGAATTCTTCCATACACTATCAAATCAAGAACTAATCGATTAAAACTATTGTAACACAAAAAAGCGTTTACTGTCAGTAAATTGAATAGACAACCGACATTATTTTTATAGTATAAAACCGGCTTTTGTACAGATTCACCGACTGCTTTCAAAGCAGCAAAGTTAATTATGGCATAGATCGAATGCTTTTTGAAAACATCTCGTAGTTTATCCAAGTCCAGACAGTCAACTATGTAATATGTTAATTTACGGCCAACAATCTTTTCAACTCGCTTCAAACACTCTAAACAAGCATATTGATCAGTCGGTATCAATTCAATCTATTTGATCGTACCTTCTGAGGAGTTTGATAGATTATCAATAATGATTGGTTCATAACCGGCATTGACCAATTCAATCACACAATGACTGCCGATAAAACCTATGCCCCCTGGTACCAATATGTTCAGTTTGGTTGTAACACCTATGTAGGAGGAAGATGAGTACATTTTTGGAAATGATCATCAGTCTTACCCGACGTCGCTGCCATAATGTTTCGATGAAATATTACGCAATCAACTTTTGCCTATCGTCTGAAATAATGCTTATTCAGGTATGAGTCTTTCCACCTTTTTCTTATTTTCGACTTAGATCATTCAATATTTGAATAGTCCTCTTCCTATGTTGCAAAGGAAATCTAGAATATTTTTTCATAGTAAAATGTTATTTGATTTAAAGTAAAAGAAAAGATAAAGCGGTCAGAGTAAGAAAACGTTAGGAATGCAGTGATTTGTGTCAATAAGCACATATAAAAAGAACCATTGAGAATGAATAAGTCACAGAAGAAATCCACAGATAAGCAAAAATGGACAAATAATCGAAGAATACATTCTTTCACGTAACAAATTTACCTAAAGGAGTGCAGCATACGAAAGAAAACAAATGAATGAATATCACGGGGGGAATTGGCATTTGCTTAACAGCATATTATAAATTCTGCTTTTGTAATTCCTTGCTTTGCTCAAATTTGAGGCGCAGTCATATACATTATTGGAATGTCAGAGAAGATCAAACGAAAAAAAAAAGAAAGTTATGAATAGAAGCATGTGCATGAGTTCATACAGATGAAAACTGAAGACAATGTAAAAAAAACAAGAGTGACACTACAATAAATAGAAGCATGACAGGGATATGGTTAATCTCATGAAACAGAACTAGGAACTATAGTTGCTGGTTCGCGACGTGATTGATTAAGAGTATTGAAGTTAACATTGAAAACAATTAAACAACCTGTCGACAGACCAGCCATGATGTATCTGAAAGCGACAATGAACAATGATGCTTTATTGGGCATAGAAGAGTAGTTACTTTTGATCGTGAGTTATGGCTAATGAACGAATACTAGCATCACATTGCGGATATGTATAAACCGGTTGTAAATCGTGTGTTCGAAGGATTTGAACGAAGCCACGATCACCTCCAATAACTGTGTATTGGCTATCGGCATTCAATACAAAACTCTAGGAAACGGAAAATGTCATCTATTCATCTTTCCATTCATCCATTCATTCATTCATACTTGAATAGTTTCATCTTCAAAAATAGCTTGTCGCATTAATTTTCCATTTAATGTGTATAAACACAGATTTGATCGATTGTAACAAACGATAATATCACCATCATTGGATGGTGATAATAAACGTGGAGTAGACATGTCACATGGATTCTCGAAAGCTCGTAAAATGTCACCATTGAGGGTATGCTGAAGAACGAAACTATGTTCGCTGCCACTTAGAACCATACCAAGTTCAGCTGAAATCCATAGACATGTTATATCACTATCGTGACCTGTCAGAATCGCTGATGGCGACGGGTTAATATCTAAACATAGATAATCAGTCTTTATTTTAATGAATCATTAAGATCATTTGTCAAACCTTGATTGGGAAATTCTTTGTCAACGATGGCTCCTTTTGATCCGTTCCAGACCCAAATGCAAACTGTTGCATCTCGTGATCCAGTTGCAATGAAACAGTTTCCACTAGCGGTAACTTCCGAACGACATACGCATGTGACCACATCGAAATGACCGTACAGAACTTGTATCGTCTTGGCCATGTCGGTATTCTGTACGCGGAAACTCTTATCCCAATAGCCCGTTGAAATGATAAACCGATTGTCAGCAGTAATGACAAAGCTCTGATGACGTTGTTGAATACGTTCATCGAATGCATCACCCAGATGACGACGATGTAATCCAGTATTTAATACTAAAAATGTCAAATCAATCACTCATTCAACATGAAGTAGGCACCGATTGCTTACCTAAGAGTGAATCCATGCTCAAGGGTAATTGTGGTTGTTGAGTATTCGCAGTTTGAGCTGTTTCTGTATAAGTCGATGATGCCGACGGGCCAGTATTGGCATTATATTTGTTAATTGAAAAATCATGCTTGTTACTAATGGTTACTACAGCTTGAGTGGCTAGCGTTGAATTGGTATTGGCAGCAACGTGTATAATTGGTGCGTTTGACGAAAATTTCATAATCATCGAAACGTCTTCCGTTGTACTAATTGTCAAAATTTCAAAATTTTCTTTCGGGTGGTTACAACAATGGTACTTACGTGTTGAAGGCTGATGGAGTCTATTAGAGAAAACAATCGATTGTAGTAAGAAAATAATAGCTGAAAGGATTGCTTACGGTTGGTACAACTGAGTTTCGTGGTGGATGTGGTTCGCTAAGAAGTTGTGATGGAACTTGACCGAACATTTTGATTTGCCGCTCAATTGTTGCACGATCAACTGGATTGGTCATAAGATCGAAATTGATCGCACCTTCGTATGATAAATGATAGAAAACATTGACAGCTCGAATAGCTTCGGGTCCTACAAAGTCGAGAGTAAATAAGTAATGTATAACAGTCATCAAAGTATATAAGAACAAACCTTTCTGCTTGTAACCAAAGATTAAATCAATCCATTGATGCAGATGTGATGAGACAAATTCGGATTCCAAAGCCTGATCAAATGAATATAGAAACGTTTAAATGAAACAAAGAGCAATGGATGATTACCGCTCGATTCATTCGAACGAAATCTTCCGGTGTTTGAGCCCATTTTGGCAGAGTAACATCATCGATAGTATGATCATCTGATGTTTGACCAAATTGATAATTATTGAAATTAGTCAAGAATTCTGGCACTGAGTAAAACTCTGGAATCAACTCCTTGACATCGGACGAATCACGTTGACAGTTTTGCCAAGCATCAGAGACGGAATAGAACGTTCGATTAGGTGACTCAAATTTATTTTCATGCATATTCAAATAATACGATGTGAATGGCTCCTTGAAAGAAAGAAAGAAAGGAAAAGATCGAGCTGTAGATAGAGGATATCTGTGACTTACAAGTCGAATAAGCCAATTAAGTGTTGATGATGCCGTAGAATAATGCGATCCGTAATGGAATGCTGGGACTGAATCCGATTCCCAAGTATTATAACGTTCGACAAAGAATGCTTTTCGTGTTGGATTCAATGCACCGATGGGCTGAAAAGAAGCGACACTCAGCTAAAGGAAAAGAAAATGATCTCATCGTACTTTGGACAGGTCTCGATAAGTAGATGCACTATTTAAATCGAGTTTCTCACTGTCATAGTCTCCTATGATCCATGGAAATATCGGATATTGATCTAAATCTTGATAACTTCGACCTAGAAGAATCAATCGTTGACTTTTATTTGGCAAATGATATGCACATTACCCGAAATCGTATTCAAATACATAAGATATTCGAAATTGGAAATTTCTCGCCGTTGCCAACGTTGTGTCATATTCGCAGAACGAAATAATTGTTTTGCCGATGCTAATGACGTTCGTCTACAGAGACAAAAACGATATTAATACCTAATCATCATTGTACGCATAACCCACCGTTGTTGTGGTAATCCGTAACGGCCTCCGACGCCCACACGTGGTAAGCAGTTAACGACTTTTTTAACGATAGTTCGATCAGCGAAAGCAAACATTATGCTTGCTGAAAGTAAACAAAAATCAAACGGTTCGAATTTCGATGAAAACGAAATTACTTACTTCGGTTCGAAACAAATATTTCCAACGCTCTATCTTGTAGAAGATATTTTCGGGAAAAGATCGCGCGTATCTCATGGAAATGCCATTTACCATATAGATTATCAATGAACGGGAGTATCTAAACAATGTCCAGCTGCATTCAGCTACCAATCGTTGCGTTTTTCTTACTTTAGGATCCAAATTTCGAAAACTTTCGTCGTCTTCGCTGGCATTGAATAGCATGGCACGATGCGTAATAGCTAAGACTCCGCGTATAGCATTCGTTCCAGAAATAAGCGAACATTCAATCGAATAGCAGATTGGACCTGAGAAGTCAAGCTCATGATCTTTTTCATCGATCTGTGATAAATCTTCTTCTTCATTAATATTCGGAGTGAAGTTCTGTGTTTTCTGTTGTTTCAATTGTTTTAACAGATGTTCTTCATTGCGGACAGTTGCCATCACATCATCAGCTGTTTCATTCGATGAAACATTTTCTGTTGCTTCGCTATGAGAAGTACCAATAGGATTTCGAACTAAACGCCGTCGTCGTCTTAAATCATCTTCCCATGGATCCAATTTCCAAAATAAACATGAATTGTTCAAATAGTGATCTTTATCATTCATCATTTGGGCGAAAAATTTATCCTTCAAGTGTAACGCTGTCGAATTATACCGTTGACGGGATGATGTTATAAAATGATCAGACAATTCTTCTTCTCGTTGACGTTCAGATGTACCTTGACTGCATTGTTGGTCGAAGTCACTCGCTTTTCGGACATCATCCGCACGCATACGATTAAGAATAAAATCAGCTTCGTTCGCTACTTTCACTACATGATCTTTACTTGCGTGTGCAAGTAGACGGCCTTCATTGACGAGTTCGATAAAGGCTAAGCCAGCATGTTTCTAAGAAGAAGAACAAGAAAATCATGTAAGTGCAGATCCAGAAATGTTGGAGAATTACTTGAAGTGAGTTTTGCCATTCTTGTGAACATAAAAGCATGACCAGTTCGACAACTGACGCGCTCTGTTTCAAAGCATGTAAACCATTCGGTATCAGTTCCTGTCCATGTGAACCAACTAATGTTTTGGAAAGAATATGGGAAAATTCTGCAAATAAATCTCGAAGGAATGGTGCAACATTCGAAAGGGTTCGTTCTAATTTCTCAGTAATATTCATCGCCGACGGTTCATTGGTATTAAACGTTGTTTTAGGGTAGTCCGGAAGTTTTGCTTCTGATATTTGACTTTGTTCAAGCGTTGCGGGATCATTTATTGGAATGCTGGCAATACTTGCTGAAAATTGAGAGCAAACGTAATGTCACTATCTCTGAATCAATCAACATACTGTATGGGGTAGTAGCTGAATTTGAGCCATTTAAATCTATTGATGTTTGACCGACTGATTGCGAATCCGTATCGTCCGTTTCGTTGTCTACATCTGCTCGTTCATCGGATTTGATTGATGAATTTGATGTTTTCTAACAAAAAAAAAACAATAGATCGCGTACAATAGATATTCAGCAAATAGTATACTTGATTCTTTGTGATCGGTGCTACAATTGAACTCAAACCATTGATACTTGCTGTATCGATATTTCCATCATTAGTTGAACCTTCAATGATACAGGTGAAACAGGCGGAGAAAATGATCTATTCCTACCGTTACGAAGGCTGCTAGCCGTACTCATAATCGATGTTGTTCTTGATAACGAACTCTGATTTGATTCGATAATATCCCGATATCGTGATACCATTAATACTGATGCATAGTAAACAATAGCCAAAGCCAGAAATTGTGTTTGTTTCGAGTCATCCTATATTTCAAAGAAAGAGAGTATATTTGACCTGTTTGGTATCGATGAGTAAACAATAATAAGTCATGCAGCACAAAAACACATAAAGCAAAAAAGAAAGAAAATACTGCTGAAATTACCACGACAACGACAACGTGTTTGCCAGTTTTACTCCGATCTTGTCTTACCACATCACGGTAGATAATCGCACGTAAACGGTGAATATCAATATCCTGTAAAACAGAACCAGGAGTTTTTATAAACGAACTCAAGAGGTTTTCCATAGTCTCATTTTCATCTGTTTCTTGTGATGTATTCATCAGATAGGTTAATTCAAGTATGGATTCAATCGGATCTTTCATCGAAGTCTTTGCTTGTGCAGTTGCCGGTTTTGCTGCCGCTGATGAATCAAATCGTTGGAACCGACCTTCGACACACTGACGGACAGCTGTAGTCATGGCTAGAAGAAAAAACAATCTTTTTAGACAATCTTCTCATTCGAGATGTGCAGTTTTTACTTAAACGTAAACATTGTCGTAGAATTCCTCCGTTCGGCATATTTTTATCTTGTTCGATTTCTACCAAGCTTGATGTATTCGTAAGAATAAATAAATCCATCAAGCTCATCACACGTTTCAAGATTTTCAATGCATTCACTGGTGTCAAGCCTTCAGTATTTTCCAATACTTCGACATCATGCTAAAAATAAAGTCCAGAAATCGAAATGTCTACGATGAAAATCAATCTCTACTGAAGCTGATGTTGCACTGGCTAACAATGGTAAAAGACCGCCACATGCATTGCATAAAACATCTGCCATTTGTGAAATGATATGAATGACATTAACACAAAATACTTGATTATCTGCATTATTGATTGCATCAGTAATTGGTTTTGTTGTATCTCTGAATGAGAAGATGAAACGTATGAGACAAGTTGCCAGTGACTATCTAAGTATACATACACTCGCCATGCACGAACATCGAATTCAATGGAATCGAAAACACTATGCAACAGACGAATGTGCAATGGAGAATATTTGAATTCCGAAATAGAGAATGGTGGTAATTGATTGCTTTTGTTGAACAATTGACGATTAGAAATAGATTCTAAAGAATGATCAATTAGATATGTTCATATTATTCCTTTCTGCTTTTACTAGTTGGTGTGAAAACTGGATGTCCGTCAATCGGCGTTTCCGGTCCACTTCCTGTTGGCGTTTTTGCCTAAAAATCAATAGGTTTTCCTAGCGAATATTCTCTTACGAAAAGTACGCTACTCACTTCATTTTCATCATCATTTTTCATATTCTCTACCATTTTGTTAACCTTTCGATAGTAGTCTTCTTTGGTTACCTACATACAATTGATTCGATGGAAAACCCAAGACTTTTTCGACATCTTACTCGTCCATGTAAAATTGAAAGCGTGTCAATCCACACTCTCCATCCGCCGAACTCAAGTTTGATTGCATGATGTAATAGAATTTTCAGTAATTCAAAAACACGTTCAGTCACTTCCGTTTGCCGATCATTGGATGGATAAATATAAGCCAAACCAATGAGATATTCTTGCCAAACAGACATTTGTAGAATGATTCTTTAAACAAGTATTTTCAATTGTACAAGTATTCGAGTGATTATTCAATGTTACCTTCGATTTTCTCGACTTGACGACGATAGCAAAATCATATCGTCGAGAAAACGAGATTTTATATCGTATAAATGAATATTATCCGGTGAATTTCGAAGTAACGTTGCAATCACTTTGATCATCGCTAAAATTCAACGTTTCTTAGCTGCGTTTTTCTCAAATATTTTCCTCTCACCTGGATTTTCAATTTTCCACTCGCCAGTGATCTCTGCAGATCGTTTTTCAACAATAGGTCCGCTGACTCTCTCGACTAGTATCTATTCAAAGCGAAAGAAACTTGTCAATTAAATTGAAATGGACACAAAGCGTGTTACTTCGAATAGAATGTTGTACGTTGACATGGTAAAACCATTCGGATTCAACAATAAACGATCAGCTAGTATTGAAAATAGATTATACGGTTGCATAGCCTCTGTTTTTCGTCTAGAAGTTAAAAGGAAATTACATAGATCATTACTTGTCGTAAACATTCATTCATACTTGACTGTACTGCGTTGAAGGAAGAATCCAAACAATTTTAAAGCTTGTAAACGTGTTGCTTCACTATTATTCCCAATCAACTTGAAAACCGTTCTTGAATGGTTTGAAATTCATTCATTAAAAAGGAGCAAAATATCTTCATCGATAAGTTTACCTTAAACCTTGTCGACGATCAAACGCAGGTACCATTGTTTTCGGATGTTCTGACATCAAATTAACAGCCATGTCTAAGACATCGATTAAATTTTCATCCTTGATAGAACAAAAACAGACATATTAGATCGATCGAAGAAGATCCACTTGGCTTACTTCATGTACAGTATGAAGATAGTTAAGAATAGCATGAAGTTCTTCTTCTTGTGTACCCGGACTGCTGATAACTAACTGCTTCATGTATAAAAGCATGTAACTTCTCAATTCGACGATTTGTTCGCGTGTCGGTCGATTATCGTCGACGGCTTTTGCCTGATAGCTGCTTGGATTGACAATCCAGTAGAAATATTTTAGTGTATGCAATGTTTGAATGATTCCACTTATTGGCTGAATGGAATGATAGATTTCATTGTAAGTGACGAATTCAGTTGCTAAATAAGTATACAAGCGCATTTGTACCTAAAGAAGAATGTTATCGAAAATGTACGCGTATTGAAATAGGCAAATACTTACGTCAACGGAGCAGTATATCCAAATGGACGGATTAAAAAAGATATGCACAAACAGTTGTTTCAACAACAATGGACTGTTTTTACTATGAATTTTCAAGAAGAATGTTGTTAAAGATATTAAAGCATTCAGTACTTCCATGTTGATATGTTCTTTCGATGACTGAAATTGCAGAAATAAAACGATTCAGTAAATTACATTATATTTCGATTGAACTTCAGCGAATTGCGAAAAAAAAACAGATGAGTAGTCTTTCATTACTTAGATTTATATAATCTGTCATCTGCGAATATAGAGATAATCGAAGCTATTTTTAGCTGTATATGTGGATTAGCAGAAGAAAGAGAAAGTTAGCTGTCACATTAAGATTAATAACCTTTCATGTTCAGGTAATCGTCCTGAAACATGATATATGTGGACAAATTAAGCTATCTATTCGACTTCACACTATACGTGACGTAAAATTCTCTCGAATAAGTTGCTTTACCTTTTCTAGATAATAACCAATGGTGAGAAAGCCTTTTGAACTAAGCATTTGATGTTGAATCGTATATGAACGTTCAATTAATTCGCAAAGAGTGAGAATTAAAACTGAACAAATATTGTAATTAATCGAACCATTCATTTGTTGATCATCCAGTTGATCAAACAGCGGAAAAATGACTTGGACACCGCCAATGGAATGAAATGTTGAATAAATGGAATGAGTCACAACAGATCGAACATGGCTTAACATTTGTGCATGAGCATTATGAACAAAATGAGAAACATTGCTTTTCGGACCAGCTTGAAAAACAAGTTTCTCTTCGCATGCAGTTGGATTGTAACTAAATACGATTGAACTCATCAGCTTCCCATCGTACATCGCTTTACGTTGTGCTTCGGTCAAAATATGTGCACTTTCGTTTTCAAATTTAAACAAATTTTTATATGCGGGTCCTAATTTGAAAAGACCCTGAACAATCATTGGTTCCAAGTATAGACTGAACAGATAGAACGTTGACAATTGTCCGGAAAAACTTGTTAAGTCATTTCGATCAGGCGTACAACCAACATAACATTTATCGAATACATCGCCACTTTCAATACTCCATGGAAAATAAGCCACGGACACTTGTTGACCATTGATATGACACTGAACACTACTTTTACCCCAACGTTGATATTGATGTGCCAGTGTTATCATATACCACTAGAAGTCACAATAGAAAAGTTCTAGAGGAAGATCAATCGATCAACGTACTTCACGTGGTTTGAATTCGTATTGGATGCAATGTTGAAAATTCTTCTCTTTCAACTTCGAATAGGATATGACCAAGCAATTACCAACAAAATGTGCAGTGTAACCATGTCCTTTTGATGTACAAAACCAATACAGATAAGGTTTTTCCTTTTCCATCACACCATTAGCAACCGGATCGATTCGAAACCATGTTGTGATAGTAAAACCATTTTGATACGGCCATGTTTTGATCGGTGGTAAAACCAAACCGGAGCCATTCCGACCAGGAAAGTTAAAAAATTCATCGGGTCCATGTCGATATGGAAGGTGTTTGAAGATATTTAACAATTTCACAGCGTGCTTTTTCTAAAAATAAACAAATGATAAGACGAAAGGTAAAAATAGCTTTCCTCCGTACCCAAGTATTGTTCTCAGTTTTCAAATACCGTAAAAGAAGCTTCAGTTCATTAACATTAATCGTCAACGATGTTAACACAGTCAAGATATCCACCAACAAATTCGCCACAACGTCATTTTCAATATCGTCCAATAATTCGAACACTTTCTTGTAAATTTTAGCATCGATACAAGCTAATAAATTCCGTTCGCTCTTTCGCATAATACCAATCAAAACACTAAGAATTTCAGCTTGTAACGATGGAGACATTTGATTGAAAATAGAAAATAGTTCGTAAAGATTTTGTGGCTTTTGAATAATATAATTCTTATCTACATCGAAATCACCGTCTACGAGCTAGAAAAACAAAATCAAGGTTAACATAAACGAGACGAAGATTGCTTTTTCCTACCGTGTTCAATATAGTTGAACTTGCATCTTTATTTGATTTATCGGCGATAATTTCTAGGAGATTTTGATGATGACTTTCTTCTACGATGACTGGTGACTCATCTTGTTTTTCGACAATTACATCCGAGAAAGATGCTAACGACGGTGTTTCATGCCCGTTGGGTGTCGCAAGAGATGGTTCATTCTCTTCGTCAGGATCATTCAGAGATACTTTTTGATTGTCATCTTCATCGCCGTCTTGATTAGGTTTGTCGGAGTGAATATCTTCATTATCTTTGATTTCTTCACTCATTTTGAAATCTTAAACGAGAAACAAAATAACAATAAAAATGCTTGAGCATCCTTCGCTCTATCTTCAAATTTAAATGTCAGATAGACAAACAGAACTATTAGTATTTAAACAGAACAATGGCTGAATTTCGTCTCTTATGCACGATTTCTATAGCTTCACTATTCTTTGTTTTCAATTACTAATTCAATCTTATATCTTCTCTTTTTTGTTCTATCAATACAAAGGTATATAAGTTGTTGATTACTCACGACACTCAAAGAAATGCGACACGTAGGGTTCAGATAAGCTATATAGACTTTTTTCGCCATTGTATTGAAATGACACTCTACCTCTGCAATAGAAAAGAGGGCGCTCAACGTCAACCTGAGTTCTCGGCACACCTGTTAAAAGCGAACAAACTGAGCACATCGAAGAAAGGGTAAATCACGAAGGAATATAGAAATAAACGTTTTTTCTTCATTCATTTAGTTTGTGTGATTACGACTGTTTCCGACTTAAATCGATATGTCAGTTACTGAATGCACACATTTAATATAAATTATCACTGTCACACGTCATTAGTATGAAAATTCTAGTTTTAATGATAGACAAAGATAAGAACATGATCAATATTAGCTGCAGTTGTTGGAGTAAGTATGGAACCTGACATCATTTTGGTTGATACAATCGGAACTTAGTTCGAAGTTGTTTTATTGACAAAATTAGTTATCGAGTGTATTTTATTAGTAGTCCCCATGAGCCCATATGAACTTCTTCGACGATTGCCTTTAGAAGCATTTGTTTGACAAATAAGTAAAAAACTATTAACGTAGAAGAACTTTTCCTTTGGAGCAGGAAGAGAGCGAAATAAACTATGTCGAACACTTCGTTTTCCTTGTTAATCAAAAAATATGTCAATTAGATGGTAACCTGAAGTTTTATTTCACAGGACAAATGACGTTTTGACGAAAACTGCGGTCATTTTGAAGAAGAATTTTCATGATGATGACGACCGACGATCGAATACTATTCAAAACGAAATATCCGTCACTACTTTTTTTCTCACTAAATGTGGCGAAGATGTAACTTGATTTCAAGTGGTTTCATATAAAACAAATATTTGCCCTACTGATTTATTTTATCAAGCAGTTCAACATGAATTTGAGCAGTATTTATTTGAATTGGAATGATGAAAGTAATAAAATAGTCAATAGCATTCACATTCGTTTACAGCCAACTCATCTTTGGAATGATGGCCTTTTGTTTATAAAGTTTAGCAAGTTCAGCTTGAATACCTTTAACATTTTGCATAATTTGTTTTACCGAATAAAATACATTACCGAGTGCTAAGCGATCACGCATTGAACGAGTGATATTGATTTGGCGAACAATTTCATTCACAGGCCAGTTATGACCAGTTGGAAGAATTCGGTAAACTGCATTGCCTGGATAGACATGGCGACCTTTGGCCGATTGTTGTACCCACCAATTCAGAAGAGCGGAATAAGATTGTGCTGGTGGATCAATCTGCCAGTAGAGCTGAGGTGTCATGTAATCAACTAGTCCTTGTTCTAGCCACATTTTCGTATCGCAATATAGGCTGTCGAAGGATGAAAGACCTGTTATACCAGCCGGTACACCATTCTTATAAATACCAAACGGTGATATGCCGAATTTAACCTTTGGTCGAATGGCATGCATTCGTGTGTACATGGTTTGCACTAGTGTATTTACACTTGAACGACGCCAGTCATTTTTATTCAATTTGCCACCGGATTGTTGGTATGCAGTATATGTTGAAGCATCTGGAAAGTCTGTTCCATCACTATAGGGATAGAAATAATCATCCATATGAATACCATCCACAGCATATCGACGAACGATGTCTTCAGTTACATTGACAATGAACTGTTGGACCTCAGCTGCACCTGGATCCATCCATATATAATTATTATAGGTGTAGGCATACTTTGGAAATCGTTTAGCCATATGGTTAGATGCAAATTCATATGTTGCACCTGACATTCGACCACGGTATGGATTTATCCAGGCGTGCACTTCAATGTTGCGTTTATGTGCTTCATTGACAATGAATGTCAATGGATCCCATAATGGTGATGGGGCTTTGCCGTGCGTGCCCGTCAAATAAAAGCTCCACGGCTCCAACGTTGAAGCATACAATGCATCACCCACCGGTCGTACCTGTATTTAGAAAGAAAACAGAAAAGAACAATGAAGCCAAGTGGACCGATTAGTAGGTTTTGACTTACCTGAAAGACTACAGCATTCATATTTAGTGTTTGAATAGTATTGAGAATATTGATTAATTCAGTCTGTTGTTGGGCTGGTGTTGCAGTTCTTGACGATGGCCAATCAATATTAGCTACGGTGGCAATCCAAGCAGCGCGAAATTCTTCTTTTGGTGCTTCTAGTGAGAAGCAACATTTGATATCAGTTGGTTTTGATTCACATAAACCGGTCATGTACAGGGCATTAGGACATAGAGTCTGATTGATACATTGTCCGACACCATACTGAGGATGATTGTAGGTGTCACACGTGTCGCCTTTTACTGTGAGTGTGAACGAGTATAATGAATAAAACACAAAAGTGAGTATAAAAAATGACATGATTGTTTTTTGCACTCAAAAATGAAAGAGAAAACTGTTTAGACCACATATTTTATATTTGCATCGAGTATAACACCTGTGTATTTTCACAAGATCAGCACACCTTCCTGTTGATTAAAAAGAATAACGATATCAATGTTTTTATCCTATTTCATAAACCACCAAAAGATTTCTTCTTGTAGTACTGCTAAGCATTTGATCAGTAAGTTATTGATAAGTATTTTGACTACTTTTACTGTGTGTGTGACAGTGCACAGAAATGTATTATCTTATTTTCTGTAACCAGACAGTAGAAATTGTGCTGTTAGTCTACTTTTTTGCTTCGTCTTTGTTTCTTTATCGCGTAAGTAGAAGTAGCGTATCTACTTGAATCGAAGTTCAATGTAGAGGCTGTGAAAGTGTGTTCATGTTAATAAACGAATGAAATCGTTCGTAGCAATTTTTCTGTTTAAATGTATTAGTTTCCTGTGTAAGATCGATCGTAATTGAACGCGTAATTTCTTGCCGGTTTAATGTATCATCTTTTAGTATATTGTTATCCTGATTTTAGATAGTATCGCAATGCATGACAGAATAAATGGGGAAAATCTTAAAAATTAAAACATCATCATTGCTACTATGCATAATTTAAGCCAAGAATAAGCGTCGATCCAGTTTATCAACCTCAAATTGTTTTAAGGAAATATATAGACATATACTATTATACGCACGACAAAATATTTAATCTTGAGATTAAGCATACAACAAGTTAAAGTACTTGGCTTCGACCATATTTCGGAGGACATGAAATATTTGATATTGAATAGCGATATAGCAAACAAAAGATGTTACGTTCTCATTATTGTTTAAAAATATGGCACTCCGTGTAAAGTCATCTTTTACGCAAAGTTATACTTATATAATTGACTGCTCTCTTTATCCAGGTTATTATGGCACGGTCGGTTCCAGCCAGAACCTGCTGGAATCGGCGAAAATTGTGCCGAAATCGAGAAGAACTGTACCGGAATTGACTCAGATTTTAACGGATCCAGCCGCCGGAATGATCGACCTGGGATTATTATAGCTCATAATATATCAAATACAATACTATCAAAAACGTATGTTATGCACATCATATCTGACAAAAATGAATTACTGAAGAGCTGATAATAGTTAGCCAACAGTACAGCTAATCTACGAAAATTTTCAGTACAGTTAACTTATAAGATATATGTACGTTCGTAGTAGCCATATGATATGGATATCTGACAAGTCGCTTTCACTGGAAATTTGAAAATGCTCTCAGCTGATACTATTGTCGACAACGCTAGAACACATACGGCATGACATTGTCCAACCTACTCATGGTCTATTTGGCTATATTCAAGATGACACCCCGCTCGAACACCACAATGAATCTCTTTTATCAACTTATTGATATATTAATGAAACTAATGTGCTGTCGCATATACATCTGCATTCAAGAATAAAAGATACCCGCCGTTCAAAAGCTGCAAATCTTATTTAAATCTTTCAATTTCGATCCAAAAGATAGACATAATCAATATACAAGAGAAGCAGAATCCAAAATACATAAAAAACGCCTTATCATTTACATGTACGCTCTTTTTCCTGGCCAACGTCGCAATTTACCATTTAGAACATCTTTTTCCGCCCTGAAACTACACAAGAAAACAAATTCACGCAACGAACATTTCTTTTCTGCTTGTTTATTTCAGGTATATAACGAAGAGTTTCTGTGTATGTTTTCTTTTCTTTTTTTTTCTACAATTTTTTTGATCCATAAATCGATTGTTCATCCTTAACCATCTAATTCAAGTAGAATTCAATTATCAGACGGATTGGTTTTTTTCCTTATTCCCTTTTCTGAAAGAAAGGGTTATACAGCGTTTAAATGCTGTGTTAAAAAGCTTAAAGATTGTCTGTCAGTCTGTCCTATCCAATCAGAAATCAGCATTTCTAAAATCGTTGAAATTGATCGATAGCTGCTAGAAAATGATCACCGGTAGGGTAATCGAGGTCGGGGATCTCGAATCCGAGGTTAGTTTTAACTAATTATTAACTATTAATTAACTATCTGCCAACTAGACATAGATTATTAATATACAGGGTAAGGGTCGACCGAAGGGTAATCGGGGTCGAGGATCTCGAATCCGAGGTTAGTGTTGCTTAATTAATTACTAGTTTTTCATTAACTAGCCACGACTTAGGAACATCCATTGTCAGAGTAGACCGAAGGATTTCTGATGTCGGAAAATTCGAAGTTGAGGGTGAATTTCGTTTTATTCGCTGAGCCTGGGCTTGTTCCTTCCTCTTTACAAAGGAGATATTTTTCTTTATCTGTTCGAAAATCTTTTGTAGAAGATGGTGAGCTGAACGCTATTCACGGAC